ATTCCACTCATATCTTTCTGTGACTCTGTGGCGAGTAAATAGGCAGTGTTCCTTGATAACCGGTACAAATTGAGCGCGAACCTGAACTCCAAGGGGGAAAAATAAAGTTCAGAGAGCAGTTGACTGGCCGTGGACTATCCATTGCTCGCCTTTTGCGAGGACAAACTTCGAAATATTAAAACTGAGTTCGTTAGGCTTGAATTCTTTTTTATCTGAGTATTGATTGAATTTTTTATGCATTTCTGTATTGTCCCCACCAACTAGAAGAAATAGTTGAAATTAGCAATTTAAACTAATAAACCATAAGAAATATCCTTACGTTCTCCGACACCCCAATTGCAATACACATGGTCAGGGTCTTTTGGGTGACTCAATTCCTTGAGTTCGATCTACAGAGGCGTTGAAATGATTAAGCTAGAAAGAAATGTGCATCCCCAGGATCATTATCTTCGATGGAGCTGTGTACGTTTAAACTTTCAAACATGGCTACCCGATACCATGAGGGGCTAGGGGACTCCGCGAAGTAATCCTCAACCCTGTCCTCATGAGAATTTTTTTCTTGGGGTCTTTCATCGGGTTTGAGAGCTCGATCCGCTCTTTCCCCGGTAGTTCACCTACGTGGACCTTTGCATCAATTTTACTTATTCTTCTCCCGCTGCGCTGAGTACTAGTAAAATCATGGTTTTTAGCCTAGTGAACGAGAAACCGAGAGACTCTACTCATAAAACCATGCGATGTGAAGCCGGTCATCATCGTCATAGTCATCGGATGTTTTCTTGCCCTCCTAGCAAGATCGAAAGGTATTGTTATTCCACTAAGAATATTCCTTGCGACATTTGTCCTAAGCATTGACGCGATAGTCTCAGTGAATTGGGGCCGTTCTATATAGCGGTTAGATAATGACACCGGTTCGTAATCGTTATAATATAGGATGAAAACGGGAGTATAGTACTTTCGATTCCCTTGGCTTTCAGGAAAAGATTCTTTTGGACTCCTCCCTTTGTTTGAGTTTGTAAAGCCACCAATATTCACCACGTAGAGGGGTGCTTATTTGATAGTGCGATTGGGAAAAGTCCTTGGACTGCCTTTGAAGATTTGTTAGTGAATACTCCTTTATAGCAGCAGACGTGATTCTTATCCTAGTGATGCATACAGGAATATTCCTTCAATTGTTTTGTATGACACCCTGAGGATTTGAGTTTCGAGCTCCCTTTGCACTCGCATTTGAAAAGATCTTCTCGTATTCTTCCTGGTGGGGCTTCTGAGAAATGAAAGCCCTTTAGTTGGGAATTTGGGCATATCAGATATCTCCCATCTTCTCTCTTTGGATATCTCAAGTTCACTGTATGTAACAAGTCATGGGTTAGAAAAGGCTAAATAAAATACGTAACTGTTCGGGGTTATTTAAGGATTTGACGATTTCGCGAATGGCCCTAAAATAATATGGTTTCCGGTAGCTAAAACATGGTATAGACAACCCTAAATAAAATGCGAAGTACAACCCAAAAAACCAACCCAGGCCTTACAAAGCCCATAAAGATTAAATGCTGAATTTTTTTTCTAATTTGCTAAGCGAAGTTGCCCATATTTTTGGTACCACGGAGAGTCTCTATAGTAAAACTTGTGTCTTTGGTTGGTGGCTGGTATTTTTTAGTAAACTGTATTTTTCTATGGTTTTTCCAGGTCATTCGCTGATGGACTGGGGACCATGGGCCATTCGCGGAGGGCCCGGGTCCACTCGCGAAATCGCCAAATCCTTGAATGGCCCCGAACAATCGGATCGGTCCATTATCGAATGAACTGGATAAATGGGAGTGAAATTAAGCCTTGAAATTAGCTCACGAATGATCCGGTTCTACTGGAGATCATAGGGTCCTATTGCTAAAAAGGGCTTGTAGAGGTCGCCGAAGCTCAGGATGCGGCAGATCAGGCGCCAACTATTGATGCCTCTTAACATCGCCAAAGTTCTTGAGGGTGCTGATTATTGTTGTAAATTCGGTCTTTAGGGTCGCTGGTGCCCCCTAGAGGTTGTTGAGGGTTGATACTGTATAAATCATTACTAGTTGTCAGCGATATCAGAGTCTTTTATCCACACTCACTCGAAGGTTGAAAGATGGGTATCGAGTCAAAATGACCAAGATCTTTGCATGAAAAGACCTAACCCTTGATTTTAGTGAATTGAGGAAATATGATCTGTCTAATTTCTCTGGATTACGCTGAGAGAAGAATGAGTCCCGTCAGTTTATTGGTTCTTCCAGATTAAACTACTGCATATTCTTTCCTCCATTTGGCTTGTGCATACAGCCCCCGGTCGTTTTGCCTCGATATCCATCTTTGAACCTTCGAGTGAGTGTGGATAAAAGACTCTATTGAACTATTTATCGTACTAAAACAACGATTTTCCTAGGCTGTTCGCGAATAGACTGGTCCAGCCACAGGCGTATAAGCCTAGAAGTCTATTCGCGAATTTGTCAGGTCCATTCACAAATCTGTCATATTCCGAAATGGCCCGTGAGACATGTCTACCTGGTTCATGGAATCAATAGATATTGGTAAACCAGTTTCCTTGCTAAGGAACTAGACCCGTTACGTAAATTGACAAGGATACATACCTGCGCACTCGAGTGACAACATGGCACGCATATGTACCTACATGTAGAGTAGTACTCTGGTACTCCAAGAGGCACATAGGCTTTATCAAAGTTGAATGATTCGTCGTCAGGTGTATTCTGTGGCAAGAAATTCTTCAAAGCCCAAAAGTTTTTGTGCCTGCATTAGTTTAAAGCTGCAAAGCCTCCAAAACTAGAGCACCTAGAGTACAACTTCAGCCGCTCGTACCGGATGTAGTAGCACATCCGGACGTACCTAGGCAGTGATCTTGTAGGAATAGGTGCTGAGCAACTTTCAGACGCGTATCGTCTTCGAGTATTGATGCTGCGAGGTATTATTCATAAGTATGAATGTTTAAGAAACAAATACCTAAAGTAGGTTTCTAGTTTAGTACATGTAGTTTTCAGGGGGTTTAGTGCAAGTAGAGCTTCTGTGAACCAATGAAATATTTTGTACTTTAAACCGAATTTTGAGCTGAAATACTAACTTAGCTGCGCCAAGGTAGGTCAAATAACCCCGGACAGATTTGAAACAAAACCGTTGTATCGCCTTGATTGCCTTAATCGATACTGGTAACCTAATTGGGTATTGGTCGGGCATCAACTAACTAGTGTAGTAATCAATTACAAAAAACAGTTGTTTATTTATTGTTGCCTGATCTGATTCTGTGGTTACGCAGACCTTTGTCCAAACACGGCCTGTTCCTGTTGTACCGTGGTAATGGACCGAGTGATCGTGGCCTTTTTTTTTTTTTTTTTTTGGTTTAACTCATTAATTGTCATGAAATGACTCCCTTCAATATGAGCGGGGACCTAGGCCCTCTTTATACTTATAGAGGCGACCGGATTATGTAGAGTGATTCTTTATTATCCGGATGATTGCGTAATGCGTTATGCTTAGTGGTCTTCTTTGATTTCTTTCCTCCCGATTCTCTTCCCCCGTTGCCTTATCTATCCCAGGGACCATATGAATCTGAAAAACGGTATAATTTGATTCCCTTTGTATACCCTCTTGCTGGTTGTCGTCCCGCGCGCTTTGGGAATGAAGAAGATGAGTAATCAAGAAGGCATATGTAGAAAAGCACATGTCATTTATAGGAGATGAACTGAAAGGCTCCATAGACTAATCGGTTCAACCATCGTTTGTTCATCAGAGAAAGGTCTACTTGCTCAATTAGTATATCGGAATAATGCATTCAGGAAAATTGAAGCAATGGTGCTATCACCTCCCGGCGAAAGTGACATACACGCATGTTTATATGATTCAACCAGTTTCAGTAGGACTGGCGGGGAAACAATCCCAGAACTGCCTCTTAGAATCAGCAAGGGATAGATGCAAACGGGGCGAGGCATTGTGACATAGACGGGGTAAGGAGGGAGAGGGGGAACTGAGGAATGACGGGCTGGGAAAGAATACGATAAAACGATGGAGGGTGTAATTGAAAGGAACCAGAAAGTAATAGAAATACATGTACTGTGTAAACATTGCTAGCTGTCAAATTCCATTGATGACATACCTAGCTTGGCATTTGAACTAAGATTAAGGTTGATTCCGGTACTCCCCTATCAGATCTAGCACTAGCGTCCGTGCACCAATTGCTGGCGTCAGGCGCTTATTTCAACTTCACAGCCCACAAGAAAAAAAAACCAGCCCCAGCCATCGGATACACCGAAGTACTGCAACAGATTCACTTCGATGCGGTCTAGCATCCTTGCCACCTCAGTATTTCAAATTCCCAGAAACACAGTTTCGATAAAGTGGACCTATATGCACCTGTCTTACGGATCACGAAAACCCTTATTCAGCAGCTTCCTGCCCCTCGAAGACCGTTTTCGTACACTGGTGGTAGAAAAAAAGAGTAGGAAAAAAAGCCATTTATCCCTTTCCAGGGTAAAGCATGACTCAATCCTTTGAGACCTTCCCCTATGGGGTCAATTACCGGGATTAATTGGGCCCGTAGTGGACGTCGCTTCGGATTTGACTCATAGAACCGCTGTTATTTGGATAAGGCTAGTTAGTGCTAGATACATGTAGGTACATGTATGTATCTGTATCTTGAACGTTTTTTATGCGGCGCGTGTTGTTGGGTTCCTGTGGAGAGACATAATCGCAGATTGAATTTTGCAAACGCACAGCATAGCCACCGAAGGAGCAGAATACTCTGGTGTGATCGTGGTTGTGCATTGCGCATATAAAGATGTCACATCCCTCCTTCGTTGTACTATATAATCATTGAATTTAATTGTAAACTCTAAACTTTATTTTTTAAAGTACAGAATTCGGAAAACTCAATTCCTACCACTTTACCTGAGCTGGGACATAAAACGTCACTCACCGTATTGCACTTGTACAGCCAGCTCGACGCCCTCTCTTAATTTACCCGCCTCGAGATGTTAAAACTCTCCCCCCACCACCACCTCCTTCCTTTCCTCCTTCTCCCCCTCCTCACATCCGCCGAATTCATCTTCCCAGCGGACAACACTATCCCACCAAATAGCACCTGCTCAACAACCTACACCCGCCCACTACAATGCAGCCCCGGCCTGCTATCCCTCATCGACAACACCACCGATGTCAGTATCCGCTTCGCACCCACGCTGCTGACGAGCACTTGCACATCCGAATGTTACAACGCCCTAACGCAGTGGACGGGTGACATCCTTCGAGAGTGTATAAACGCAACCTCCGCCTCCTCCTCCTACAGCTCACCCGGCAGCGGCACAAGCACCCTACAAAAGATCCTAAACCCGAAAACGCAATGGCTAGAAACCGCCTGGTTCGCCACGTGCCTAACAGACCTGTAATTCCCTCCCTCTATTCCCCCCTCTCTACTCCATCTCTAACAGACTCCCATAGGACACTCCCCACCCACCCTTTCTGCACAACCTACAACACCACAACTAAATCCCTCATGCGCCTCTACAACCCCGCCCTCATGAGCAGTCTCAACATCACCACAACCTTCTGTAACAGCTCCTGCGCCGTGCAGACAAGCATCTACCTGCACGAGACCAGCGCCCAGAAGCCTAACGTGTTAGACCCGCGCCAGGTGTGTCCCGGCCTGGACACCAGGCCGTTCTCGTTCCCGGAGGCGTGGAAAGTTAAGAGTAGCCCTGGATGGCAGTCAGGCGGCGAGGGCGGACGAGGGGTAGATGGGGAGGTAGGAGTGGGGAATAGCACTACTGGTGGCCAAAGCGGAAAGAATGAGACTTCTACCAATTCGACAGGCTCAGGCTGGCAGAGCGGTGGTGAAGGTGGGCGACCGTTCGTGAACGAAAGCACTGGGAATTCGACTGGCTGGTATCAAGGCGGGGAGGGCGGAAGGGGACTAAATACTAGCAGCGTTGTCAACGACACGCAACAAGGAGGCAGTTTACCCGCGGCCAATGGCGCAGGGGCAGGAGCAAGGGTATCCTTACTAGCTGTGGCGATCGTGATTGGAGCCATGATGGTAGGGTTGTAGTTAGGCTCGCACCCAATCCTCCTATAGGTGAGTAGCTCGCCGCGCATAGGGAATGGGTACGAGACTAGGCTGTAGATATATTAGAGTGATGATGATGATTGATGGACTTTTCTTTTTGCATGATGGGATAGGGCGTTGTTTTGCATTTTACATACGTACGGCATGATTGAATGTGGCATAGATGTACGATATTTAGTGGTAGTTTTTCTATCTAATCTCTATGAGACTCCCCAATTACGGTCGAAAAGTCCATTTTAGCTTTTTTTTTCCCCCTGTGGTAGATTCACCATTAGTGTAATCCTTCTAGCACGGTGATCATTAGTACTATCCACAACATAACGATTGTTGACCTCCCCCCAAACAAGGGCCAGGATAAATCCCTGTTGAAAATCATTATATGCACATCCTAGATAGGCCCATTATGATAAAATACAGCGAGATGTATGATTATTGTAGAAACAGGGGTCTAAAAACAGGGTTTCTATGGCTGGGCAAGCCAATAGGTCTCCTCCCATATTTCTGCAATAGCCTTACCGCAAGCTGTAGACTAAAAAAAGGTCATTAATATCCAACATAGTAAAATAAGTCCGTTGAGGCTATGACTGAGCTAGATTCACTTAATGAAATACATTACCTACATGTACTACATACCCCTTCACAACACCTGCGCACAGAAGGCATAACGGGTCTTTAGAGAGAAAGCGTCGCAAAGTGGAAAGAAAAACAATTGCCACGGCCCGCGCGCACTGTCGCAAGCACATAACGACCCCACCCCACCACGCATCTTGGCACCGCGCCGATCCGCGGGGTACCTGCATCCACAACATCCACATCCGCGTTCCTGCATCGGCATTTATTTATTTTGACGTGATTATGTTTCACGTCGCTCTTTTCCCCTTTGTGGAGGGGAGAAGGCGGTGAAGCATGGCGCATCACTCGTACTCGAGCCATCACTCGGAGGAAAGGCTCGGCACGGGATGGGTGGGAATAATGGACAAATTGTACGCGTGTGCACCAACGACCTGATGTAAAATAGTATGTTCAAGCGTGTACACGCGGCAGGCAGGTACATGTAGCCAGCCCGTGCAAGACGTAGATAAACACATGTAGCAGGGCAGAGTGCGTACGCAGCACATCAGTAAGCTAGGCAGTAGCTGCACAGGCATTACAGGCCGTCCCCTCTCCCACCAGCACAGTGCGCATAAACTCGCTAGTCACGCTCTACGACATCCAAAGCCCAACCAAGCACACACACCCACTTCCCTCACCCATCCCCTGCATCACCACTAAATCCCACGCTTGTTCTCCTGCACCACTCATCACCATCCATTCATCACACATCCGTCACTCATCTATCATCATCACGCTTATCTCTTTCCGTTCATCTTCATCAACTAGCGCACTCCTCATCCCGCTGCCAAAAGCTTATTTCTCTCCCGATTCCGTCATCAAAGAAAACCATGCCTACCTTCAATGCTACTTCTGCTGCGGATGCCTTCCCGCTAAGCCTCGACGCCGGCCCCGAGTACGGCTCTGCTGCTGCCCCCCAAGAGCCCACCCTACGCCGCAGTGCTAGAAACATGCCCAAATGCGAGTTCTCTGACTCTATGGATATTGATCCCCCCAATTCTTCTCCAGCTCAAAACAAGCGCAACAGTTCGCTAGCCGATTTGTTTACCGCCGCCGTCACTCCCCCACCCAAAAGAGTGCTCACCGAAGCCGAGGCCTACGCGCAGCACCTGCTCACCCCTCTTCCAGTGGTGTTGATACCTGCCATCACTAACCCGGATTACGAATCGCACAATGCAACCCTCGCCAGTAATATCAATTTTCAGGCCCGTGTGCGCCGTTCGGGAGGAATCAGAGCCCTTTATCCGGATACTGCGGTTGACGAAGTGATGCGTCTTTACTACCCCGACTACCAGAGCTGGGACAGAATCCTCAATGAGGGTATTATCAACAGAATGGGAGTTCCTAGCGTCGATGACATTGTCGGTATCACCTTGATTGTCAAGAGAAGAGGCTGGGAAGAAGAGGATAATCAGGGCGAAAAGTTGGAAATTAGGCCAGAGAACGCTGACTGGGACAACATGCTGGCTCGTTTGAGGGAGAGGGGCGTTGGTGCCAATGTTGGCTCGGGCCTCCGTGGTGCCCACACCGTCAAGTTGTTAATCAAGTTGGCCAACTAACGTGTATATGTTCTTGAAAGAGGGATTTTTCTCTTTTTTTTTCTTTTTCTTCCTTTTTTTTGGCGGTGGATACGATTAACCTCGGCCTGTACCCAACTTTCCTCATGACGACTAACACCATTTTCATTCTCTTACCCTTTCTGATACCCACTCACCTTTCTTTTCTTTCTTGATCATGATACCCTTCAGTATACTATACCCTTTTCATCTTATCTCTGCACACATTATCAACTTATTCTACATATTTCTTTTGTCCTCACCCCGTTTACTATATGCATAACCTTTAAGGGATGCAGTATAGTTACCGAAAATCAATAAGAGGATAGACACTCTTGATATTAGCATGTGGTAGATCTTTGTACAGAGAATATAAATTGATGAATAGTCTTCATATTAAAATCTTTGTCTTCTTTGAGCCATTATGCGTATGTGTCGATCTTTATGAATTTTGCGAGAGTGATCGAATGTCGATAGTTCCAGAGTACCCGAGAGTGCAAGTCTGAGAAATGCTGACTGGACCTCTACTAGCAGAGATATAAAGTCTCCGAGTCACGTGTAAGCCGTTTTCTAGCATCATGGGGGAGGACTAAAGTTAGGGGTCACGGGGAGCGGAGACTTTGCGTCCTTCCTAGTAATATGTTACTGTGCTGGTATTAGTTGCTGTGATGTACTAAGTTTGAGATGAATTAATTAAGGTCTCTTACGCCAATCCCTACTAAACTGTAAAGTAGGGTAAGAGCCAAGAACCAGTACCGGCTCCACTGCAAACAATAAATCAATTACTAATCAATCAATCAATCCATTAGTACCTGTTCGAGTGACATAGCCTCCGGGCTGCATACACGAATAAATTATCAACCAATCATATTAGTACTTGTTCTAGAATCGCACGAGTGATATCCCATGATCCCGAACTGATTATAACCCCTACCACGAGTAGGTAAATTTTTTTTTTTAAATCATTTTCATTGATTCTAGGAACAACGTTCGCATGCAGTCATAGACTATGCCGTGAAAACCTCTCCCCTTCCCACCCAGAATCCCAGTTATAGTGACTATGGTCCGACACCAACCACACATCCCCTTGCAGAGCAGATGACAGAGATCCTCCCCCAATTTTAACGAAAAATAGAACAAAAAAAAAAAAAGAGAAAAAGAAATCACACTAGTGGCCATTGGCCGTGTGCCCATATAGGGACTTTCGGAGAGTATAGGACAGGCCCCCTCGATAGGGGGTTGTGAGAGAGAAGGAGAAGAGGGGCCCTGTATGAAAGGACCTCAAGAGGTAGTGAGCCTGATCAGTGAAGAGGAGAGCCCATGAGTGAGGTTGATGATGGCTAGCTGGGCGCATCATGCGAAATGTCTCTTATTTTTATATGACCCGAGTCATGGAAGAAGAATAGGATCGAAGCGACGATTCTTGGCAAAAAGAAGCCAAAGAAAAGTCTTTACTAAAGAGGATCCCGCACTTCGTCAAGTCTTGCCGGCATTGAGAAGGGGTTGTCGGTTGCTTGAGAGGATGACCGCGAGTAGGTAAAGAGTGTCCTCATTATATATTACGAATGTGAGACTCTTATAAGGGGTTCATTGGCCGTAAGGTCTAGCTTATGAACCGCATGCACTGCGCCCACTCATTAGTGGCTAGAAAATCCTCTGCCGCTTGATGGGCCGGGGTCTACTAAAACCAACTTAGAGATGAAATTGTGCCCTGGTTCACCAGCGGTGAGACCCTCCATTATTCCATAAATGGGTGTATACATGTATGTTGCGCTTTTGGTTTTCTTGAGAGTATAAAAATTGCGGGTGAGATGTTTCTCTTTTAAACCTGTGTACCCGGCCAGGTTGAGATGGGATAAATTAAATATGGGTGATACTTGCAATTGAACTCCGAGCTGAATATCTTCCGACTGTGTTATCAACTGAACCCCGAGCTGAATATCTAGGTTACCAATGGAGAAAATGTACCAAACTCTAGAATCAAGACAACATATGTACTAACCAAAAGCCTGATCGATACTTATTTCCCCGGGCTCGGATCCCGCCGACAGAAACGCGCGATAGGTATCGAATCTACCGATATATCTGCTTTAGAAGGATAAATGTCCTCGTCCCGATGGAACACGACGTACCTCTTGTGTTGGTCAAATGCAGCTAAAGATCTTCAAGGTACAGAATCGCATGTATAGTTCTCGTTCAAAAATCATGGGACAACGCAACCGCGAGTTGCTACGGGGGCTTGTCCCAGGATTTTTGACATGGAGTTAAACTTACTGTTCTGAGCGAATTTGATTGCTCTGGATGCAGTTACACCCATGGTCAAAAAAGGAAATGTTATCAAATCAACTAGGTTACAAACGGCCACGAGTGTGGATAACTCCAATTTGAACTAGCAGCCTGGCGGGCAGCAACTTTTAGTAGACTTATCATATGCCGTCAGATTATCTTTGTATAAGGCAAACGTCAACATTGTACACACTAATATATGAGTAAGGATATTCTCACTTATCTTAAGCTAAAGAAACAGTCTTCTCTCTCTAGGTATAGAAATGAGGGCCCAATTCTGATACGAGTCCAAGTCGTATTACGGAGAGGTTCTTGTGGATACAGAGCAGCGGTACGGTTCTCCTAAACACAAATTCAGAACATTTTGAGCTGATAAGGGGGAACATCAGGTAAAAGAGGGTATACAAGAGAAATTTTTAAGAAGACGATCCGAGAGGTTCGCAATGCTAGGTGACATTAATGATCCTTGAACAGACAGGTAAGACGCAATTGCCAGGTCGCAGGATGTATAGAATCCGTGGCACCTAAAAACTCTACGAACTCCACCGTGGCATTTCAAATAGAGTTATGCCACTAGGGTGTGGGGGATTCCTCTCCATCCTGCTTTCTGTATGATATTCCGGGGTTAAAACTATAAAAAAAGAAAAAAGAAAAAAGGCTCCGTAGTACCGTTTCCAAGTTTTGGAGAGGTTCTTTTGTGCCTGAAAGTATATTTAAACTTCTCGGATATACTCAGTAATTCCGAGCTCTCCTCCTACAAGCTGAGCTTCGTATACAAACCCACTTCGAGCCAAAGCCCCAATAAGTTTCAGAACTTCAAAAGAAGGTTTAGTCTTCTACAAAGACCTTCATCTAGCAGAAGATGAGAGGTGAGCCTCTCCTGTCGTGGGTCGGAACCGCTTGAATTGAAGTCTGCTGGTGTTTCTACGCCCGCCCAGGGCGGTCTGGACGCCTTTCTCTAGGATAATTAATACCTTCGAGGCACTAATTAAGAATACATGGTACTAAAGTGTAAGAGGATGGTACACAATTAAGAGTGAATTAACAGTACATGTAGCTTGTGTCTTGAACAAAAATCCAAGTGACCATACCCATCCACTATAGATTGGGTCGATGTAACAGTGTGTAATCAGAATTTGAGAAGCCGGAACCGTCATCTCGAGAAAATAGCAAAGCCGAAATATTTGAGCGTGAATTTGAAAGCGGGTGGTGGGTATTCGATAGTCAGACCCACTATCGAGAAATGAGCGATAGTTAACAGAGAAAATCGGGAATAGATAATAAAGCTACACATAGAAACTACAGAAATACATATATCACTACTGATCGATACCATACGGAGGAAGGGAGTTAGATATAACTATAAAAAATCTATTACAAAGGAGGAATAGAGGTAAATGGTAGATTTGCAGAGAGAATGACTGGGAACTACATGTAATCAATTGATAGTCAGTGTTAAACATAATAATTACTGATCGTGTCGAATGGTGCATGCATGTAGTTACTTATGGAAGGAGTACGTAGTGGTATCACTGGTATGGAGAGACATGTCCGAGCAGCTGCAGCTAGCTAGAGACAAAGCAAATGTATCTTGGCAAAAAATGAGATAAACCCTAAACCCCCGGCCAACACCGAGGTATTTTTAACTCGTCCTGGAAGTGTACATACAGCTAGCCGGTGAACGACGTACGTTTCGTCGCGTCACTACCTCCATTCGCCCTCAACCACATAACACCTCCCGAATGCAAGTCTTCCAAGGTTTCCCCGATATCCGGTTAATCGAGAGCTGAGACCTACAGATCCACGTGGTCCCTAACATCCCCACACAGCCAGAAGATGAACTGAACACTCTCTGTTTCGATACGCGCAGCGGAGACTATCCGGGCCTAAACCAGATCAAAGGCATCATTACCTGGTAAAATCATGATCAGCAGATATTTAAGAGATAATACTACATCTTCAAGGATGAGTCCGAAATTTCTAATCATACACCCCCGTGCAGAGACGAACCAAAACTGACACATTTGAAAGAGCACAATAGGTAGGTATTCAAAGTCTTATTAAATTATAGATCACCTCGATTATTGGTCTATAAAACACCACATGCCAGCCTGATATCAGCTCAGCTGGCCAAATTGATTAATATACCGAACTAAAATCATGATGGTTCTGGTCCTGTATGGGGAGATTTTGAGAACTTGGCGGGGTATTATCAGTCATAAGCCCACGCTACGATACGACATGATCATTACCCCACGCTACGATACGATATGATCATTACCCCCGTGATCACACTCCCAACCTTGAGAGACAGTTTTCTGCTGATATCCCTTCGTGCGTTTTCAGGACCGGGCGCTATTTGGAGAGACTAAACCGGTCAAGTAAAATCTCTTGTAAATCTTCTATTAATAAACCTAACCCTCACTCCGTGAACCTCTTTAGTGTGAATGTAACGCACGTCACCCTTCCTTCACCAGATCGTTTCTTTTTTTGAACGAGTTTATTCTCTTTTTGGCAGCGTTACAATCCAATCACAGCTAGTATACTGAATATCACCACGCCGTTTCTTCGGCAAAAAGTTGTAAATTGCGGGAACAAACGAAGGGATATTCTCCTTCCCAGCTAGTGAAGAAGAGCTGGCCTCGAGAACATCAGAATAAGGTTTCTCGCCTCCACCCTGACGAGGACACAACCAGAAAAAGCAGGAAATTATCAAGGCATATATCCTTGCACATATCCTTGCACATATAACATTATTACGAGTCTCATCTCGCCAATGCGGTACCAATTAGCCCGCGCTGTATCTTCACAATATTAGTAGGACCCATGGGGGCGGTAATACTCGTGTTTCACCGCTGATCCATGATGATTACAATACGGCAGGCGGAAGGCGCTTAACTACAGAGTTTAAAAATCCGGATATATGTGTATGTACCTTGCTCTGAATAAAGTATAGCTTGGATAACGGATCTGCGATATCCAGCCGATCTGAAAGATCGGAATATCTAATGCCGATAAAGTCTACCTACATTGTACTCTACTGATCTAAGAGGGGAAGCTAGGCATGCGAATGAGGTTTGATTATCCATGCTTGAGACCTCACTTTTAATCTATTTAGTATTCTACGTAATCCGCACGCGTACTTTGTCGGCCGGTATGCATCGTACCAAGATATATTACAGTCCTACCGGCCGGTATCTGCTGCAATTAAGTACACATACATACACATACCTTACGGCCGATAAGAATTGTCAAGTGTTATGTTGAGAGCTAGTCCTCGGGATACCTACCGGCCGAATTACTAGAAGTTCACAACTCTCAGTGAACCATTCAAAGCCTTTACTAATCGGCAATACTAGTACGCACCATCGAGATATCGCGGAACTCGGGAATAGATGCAAGGCATCCACTCGAACCTTTTCACTACCAGCTGCAGATTATCAGTGAACACCATCGCACTTTTCCGCCGCGACCTGCTGCCACTATACCCTTCCAGGACACGGTTCTAGGATGTCAGCCGAGCATTGACCAATCGCTTGCGGGCACCGACTAGGTTCGAAATACGCAGGCAGCAAGCTGGGGTGGAAAGTGGTACACAAATTGTAGCAATGCCAGGGATTCAACTTGACATCCCCACACCCGCAATACAACCCCACGAGTATTCCGTAGCCATGCCTTTTGACAAGTCTGGAAAGTGGATAGAGGCTACTCTGAATAAAAACATAAAAGTTATTGAAGCCCAAGCTAGGGAAGAGTAGAAAAGGCTGGATTGGGGGAAATGTATATAAAATCATTGACAGCATGCCAAAGAGAATTTCAGCAGTAGTAAAGGACTAGGGAGATCATAAAAAGTGGTGAGTATAATTCAGAGGCCATAGTATCTATTCTGTATTTTATGGTTTAGTTATATTACTTCTTTTCATTTTTATTTTCAATTTTGCGTTGGGGTTCGGACTGGTTGCACCTGCTGTTTCCTCACTTTTTTCCTGCGGGTGTACATAGTTGCCTCAATAGTAATCAGTTAAGCGCGAGTTTTACTTTGATGGGCCGGGCCAGACCCTTTTCCATGATTCTGCCATAGCCACCACCCTACCTGCCTGCCTGCCTTTTCATCAATTAATGTGTCCTGCCTATCAAGTGTAATATGGGATATGGGTGTACGGATATGATGTGGCCAAATCGTGCACTTATATAGGAGCCGATCTTCTTAGTATACTTCCAAGGCCTTAAGCAGAAAACCAGGAAATATAAAAAGCCAGCGTGGACCCTCTCTACCCAGATTAGATTTAACGGCAACTATCTCAAACATCAACTACCTTCCAAATCTCATAAAGAAAAAAGAAAAAAGAACATGGAGCCTCAAGGCGGCCCCCGCTCTCTCATCATCACATATGGGGCTTACTTCATACCCCCAGCAGTTGTGCTTTATTACGTTGCGTTAGTGATATATCGAGTTTTCTTCCATCCACTGGCGAAATTTCCAGGTCCCAAGAAGGCAGCAGCGACAGGCTGGTACAGGTCCTATTATGATGTCTGGATGCAGGGCGAGATGCCCCGACAGATAGCGGTCTTGCATAAAAAATATGGTATGTAGTACGGTGTTGAGTTAGTAGAAATAAAAAATGACTGATATAAATATTATTTTGAAATTAAGGGCGGATTGTAAGATTTGGCCCAAATCATGTGAGTGTCCACGATACAGATTCCTCACGAGCACTCATTACTGATTCTCATTTTGATTTCTAGCTCCATTTCAGCGAGCCTTCTGCATATCACGAAATCTATGCCAATAATAGCAAACTTCTCAAAGACAGCTGGGTCTACAATTCCTTCAATGCTTCTCAGTCTGGGTTCGCTATGGTCGATCCATCAGCAGCCAAAGGGCGCCGCGATGTCCTTAGCTCTCTTTTCTCCCACCGCGCAATAAGCTCAATGCAGGGCCTACTCGCGGAGAATGTGAGTTTCATTAAATGATTCGCGAGACAAATACTTGACTTGTCCCAATCATTGACCTACGAAGGGCTAATCTTAACTTATCGTCAGTTCGATCTCCTCTGTACTCGCCTCGCTGAGCACAACACCACCAGCAGCGCCCCAATCAACCTTTCTGGCGCAATCCGCTCCACAACTGTTGATATCATCACGACCTTTTGTTTCGCACAGTCCATGCACGCCCTCGATGTGCCAGGGTTCAAAGCTCCCATCCTCCTCGGAATGCGCACATCCCTGCGTATGATCCAGGTGTTCAAACACTTTCCATTAATCCAGCGGATTGTTCTCAACTTCCCTCGGCCACTACTTATGTTCGGTGAGGTGGCAGGCTTCATCGACCTCTCCCGTAGACTCGAAAGTCAGGTTGCCAATTTTCTCAAGAACCCTGCAGATCTAGATAAGACGCCCCATCCGATTATCTACAACCGACTGTTGGACCCGGATGCGAAGGGATCGAGGGCGGCGCCTATCACGCAGACTGCCTTGGAGCATGAGGCGCATACAATGCTGTTTGCTGGAGCAGATACGGTTGCACTGACCATGACTGTGGGCTTATATCAGCTACTGAAGAGTGGGAGGCAGGGAGAGCTGGTAGAAGAGTTGATAAAAGCGTGGCCGGAATTAGATAGGGCGCCAAAATTGGAAGAATTGGAAAAGTTACCATTTCTGGTACGTGAATAGAGGTGGTCAAGGGTGTGATGATGTGCTGATGGTTGTGTAGAGCGCGGTCATTAAAGAGAGCTTGCGGATGGGTAGCGGCGTAGTATCTCTGCTAGACCGGAAGGTACCAAAGTCGGGCGCCGTGATTGATGGAGAGCAGATTCCAGGAGGGGCCGTGGTAGCGATGGGAACTACGATAGTACATACCAATGAGGATATTTTTCCTAATAGTGGTAGTTTCATCCCGGAGCGATGGACGGGACCGAACGGGAAGGAGCTCGAGCGCTATTTAGTCCCATTTTCCAAGGGTGCAAGACAGTGCTTGGGGATCAAGTGAGATAATACTGGCTCTTTGGACTTTATGGTATACTAATTACTTGGTGTGCAGTTTGGGATACGCAGAGTTATATATTGGCTTTGCCAGATTATTTAGAAGGTTTGAGATTACGCTGGATGGAACGACGTAGGTTTACCTTCTGTTAGGTTACGATGTGGTAGTAAACTAACCGGTGTTTCGATAATATAGGGAGGAAGATATGAGATGGAAAGACTACTTTGTGCCACTCTTTGAAGAGGGTCATATGAAGGGATTTGTGAAGCCGAGGGAGGCTTAAGGAAAATCCAGTTATATACTGCTTTATGATGATGTACGTAACTACATGTATATATCCGTTTTATTGAAGAATTGTCTTATGAGTGACGAAATTCCATGGACCCAACCCATCTGGTATTGTTGGCGAAATGGCCGTGAACGAGAACTTGAGTGAATGCCTGCTCATTGGGGTTTTCAGTCGCTTTATATCCATGTTGTGGCCACCTACGTATCTCTCCATTCGTTGTGCCGTTTCGTGATACGCTGTTATGTTGTGCCATGCATGATATGTCCATACATTTAGATAGACCACAAGGGATGTGATAAATCGAGCGAGAATTAGTACAAATGCAATACGATTTGGATTTCCTACCTTCATTGTCATCTAAGCGAACCACGTCGGCCTCTCTATCTATAAACGAAAAAAATCAGGCGCACTTTAGGAAGGAAGGTCGATTTGGAGGTCCAAAGGGGTTAGAATATATAGTCCACCTCCCAGAGGGTGAAAGTAGTTTTAGGTTAAGAGCTACAGTTATTACATAATAGCGCAGGTAGCATTTATACAAATCTCGGCGTGGACGGAATATCAAAGGAGAAGTTGAAGGTGTACATGTGTTACATAGAATGCGTTTGGCTATTGTTATCGAGGATACTGTCTGGTTTTTCTTTAGGGCCCGCCATGAAGGGATAGAGGACGTTGCAATGCGGATCAGTGTAACTTTGCAGCGTCATAGTTCATCAATCGCGCCAAGAAACCACTAAGAAACTGCACTAAGAAACCACACACACGTTTTGTTGATTCGAATATTGTCAGATATAACAACCTTCCCGAATTCTGCCGGCGAGGTATCGGTCACTACTATACCTAGATAGGTCAATTCACACTTTTTAGGTGAACAAAAAACTTCGAGCACCTTTGGTAGAAGTCGCGTACAAGCGCCGTCGCAGTGTACCCGCCTCCGAAGGCAACGGGCCATCTATGCTTACGGAGCCACTCCCTTATGCTCGCTAAACTATCTCTCCTTGTAAATACCAAACAGATGCATCATGATCACAAGAAAATTACTAAAGAATGTGTTAATTATGCGTCCTTAGCTGAACGAGTCGATTAATCAACCAAGTCTCAAGTGCGGGCGTGACCGAGTGAGAAATGATGCCGGAATGTACCAATTGTGGCAGTCATGCAACACGTCCGTCTTCAAACTCACCCTCGTGCTACGCAGATAACTCCAACGCAAGATCGCGCAACCTGAATGCAAATAGAGCGTATCGCCCGGCCAACCACCTCTCCCCCCTCAAAATGTTCCTATCCCACCAACTTACTACATGAACCATCATCGATATATTGATCCTTCATCGTACACGATCATCAACCAGGAAGTACCCGGCACTATGTCAAAGATGCTACCTTATACTGAGGACGTCAATGTTCTTAAAGAATTCACTGATATTGAGAGATTTCCGCCCCCCAAACTATCTTTTTGCGCAGATTGACTGACCGAATCGTAGGTGAAGGAGGTTTTGGAAAGGTATATAGAGTAAGGTGTATGAGAACCAGTAAGGTGATTATAGCCTATTCCTATCGCTGCTTCAGTATTTTGATGAATGCTTCCCTAGAACCTCGCACGCAAGGAGGTTAATTGGGAGAAGATGTCATCTCATTTTCATAAGATGCTTCAGAACGAGGCTCGCATGTTGGCTGAGATTCGGCACCCGAACATCGTTACATATCATGGAGCTGTCAATGATATTCCAAACACAACCTTGCATCTGTAAGTAGTCAAAAATCAGATGTGCCCTGTCAGCAGCTAAAGTGTGGTGATAGCATTATGGAGTATTGTCCGCTCGGTGACCTAAAACAGTACATCAGTGGTTTCTCCAATCGAGGCAGGCTGACCCCGGAGACAAAAATATGGGAAATCCTTGAGCAGCTCACCATGGCGCTTTTCCGGTGCCACAACGGTTACAATCATCATCGTGATTTGGCGGGCAATCATGGGAGTGCCCTTTATAGCGACAGTCCCCGTTTTTTCCACCGTGACCTAAAGCCTGAAAACAGCAAGTTTCCCAAGCCGAGATTCCATAAATCTTGAGATATATTAACTCCTCCTCTTTTTTAGTCTTCATTTACGACTCTGTCTGCAGCACCATTAAGCTCGGCGATTTTGGCGTCTGTGGTCGCCTGGAGCCAGGCCAACAAATGCGAACCACCTTTGTCGGAACTTCTTCCTACATGTGCCCCGAGTTGCTCCTTTGTAACCCTTATACTGCAAAGAGCGAAGTCTGGGGACTAGGGTGCATCTTGCACGAATTATGCACCCAAACCTTAACATTCACACCACTTCCAGCAGATGGCCTCGATTCGTACATGGACTACATTGGCACTGCAAGGGGATTCTATCCAGATATCCCGGGTTTATACTCCAACGATCTCAGAAAACTCATCAAAGGCTGTCTACTCCTGAATGCGGAGGAGAGGCCTGGGATAATGGAGATTGCTGACAACCCATGTGTCGTCATAGCCCGCGGTGATCGACGTCTGGAGATGGCCCATGCCACTTGGGAATCTGAGAAAACTGTTAATATTAGGGAAGCTGAACAAAGGCACTATCGATCGATCAAAAACTTCTGGATTAAGTATGATGAAGCTATATCTATCCTCCCTGAAAGGATGGTACGTCAAAATGGAATGAGTGGGTATAATAGAGTCCATAACAACATTCCGACTACTGAGAGAGAGAGAAAAAGGATGACGATGACGATAATGATGATCTTAGTACCGAATATATAGATTCGGGGGATTCTGATGATGATCACCAGATAGAATATCTTGAAAATTAGCGCTGTGGTCTAAGTCATTTGTACGTTGGAATTTGCCAAAAATAAGAGGGGCACTACGCATATATGATAATATGGGTACTGGCCAGCTGGTTTTGGTTGACGTTCGAAATGTACTGAGGTAAAACGATGAGCTACATTTTATCAATAGCGAATAAAGGTAGCCGTCTCCTGCAAAGATATAAATGACCCGAAGATCGATATCTTTCACATCCATTAACATACGAGCTTCTGGCCCCGTGCCCTTTCGCGCGATCGAAACACAAGTACACGTTTCGATAGAAATATTGCTAGTAAATCATGCTAACTGAGCGCGAGCGACCGTATAACGATCGAGAGACCAATTTTTATTAGATGGCAGGCGCGACGTGTATAGCATAGAGGTGCTGAAAGGGAGATATTTATCTTAGGTTGTGTTAATTGTGAACAGCACAGTTCTAGGTTCCATTCCACGATGACCTTTCTTTACTTTTCGGTGGTTTTCTAACGAGGACCTCCTTTAATCAAATTAGCCTAGCTCGGATGGTCTATAAAGGAATCGCTGTACACCTTGGCGACTACTCACGTATTATTAGAACTCTCGGTTTAAAAAAAAGGATTTCGGGAAATGTTTGAGGAAAATGGCGGCAAGGTTCGTTTAATTACAGCCACCTCAAAAGAAATCGAGGTCCAGTTGCTCCTTCTTTCAGGGTTATCTACTAGGTATATATGCGAGAGCGCTTATATACGTATTAATCGCTTGGCCCCTTCATACCATCCTGGCCACTAGATCATGGTTTCGCTTGTTTACGTGTATGTACATGTATATGTTTACTGATCATGGTCGAGTGATAATCTGTGTCGCAAAGCACAGTACTATGACGTAAGAAGACCTTGGCATGAGTATAAACCTTGCCCTTAACCCTTGCCCTATGGGAAGTCTTGAATATATGGTACCGCCATAACTCGAAAAATTGGCTAGATCAAAATTTCTTGTATGGGAAATTTCTAAAGCAGATCGATGCCATTCAACCAATCACTCAAGTGGTAATCCCTGGACGGAGATAGCCAATTTTTCGAGTTTTGGCGGTATTTGAAGTTAAAAGTTAGATTTCAAAAATTGTGTTCTTTTTAGGAGTCCATGACACTGGAAAAAGTAGCGCCTCTCTTTTATGACCTTGATGGTGGAAATGTATGTTTCAAATGATGAATTGCTCACCAAATTGCACGGGACGTACCAAACGCAATTGTAACAGAATAGCATATCAGTTCCTAGGGCTTGGCATTAAGGCTGACCCAACACCCACACTGCACATGGCTATCTCGCGGTCGGCCGTTATCTTTTCTCTACAATCGACTAATAGTTAGTCAATGGAATCAATAACTTCACAGAACAAATCACATCAAGGCGGCCTGATACCAGGACGCGGCACGGTTAATCTGATATCTTTGCCGTTACTACGGGGCCCGGGGCCGTAACAAAGCTTCCGAGACACTCATAGCATTAGTATTGCCTATCTTGCCAGCTAAAGCTATAGCATCAAGCCGATATTACTAGTGTACCCCCCATGCTCCCAACCAACAGCGATGCTAAGCGCGCTGTCAAATGTAAATCATTATGTGATATTTTTGTACAAATAGTAAAGGGACGTCTTCACATTCATCGTTGCTTGTTTTTATCGCCGATCAATGAGGTTTGGGCATGACTCAAATGATCGCGTGATATTCTATGATCCGGTCATCGGTCAACATAGTAAGAGTGAAGAGGTTTCAAGAGCCGAGATTCTAGGCATCTCCATGCCTCTTACACATGTCCTGGCACTTTCTTCTTACAATCTCGGAGGCTGCAACCTAGTTGCGTATTGGACTTCATTACAAGTACCGATGGGACCGGTGTCAAAAAGGCATATATATCAGACTGTTAATTTGCAGATTCGAGTAAGAATAAGCAAAAATCGAATTCACTCAACGGTCGGCTGAGCATAAATATCGTACAGGTTCTGCCAAGGCCGTCGGCGGTACGGGTGATCTACCAGATATCTGATAACCGTGAACGGGTATCTTGTTTTGTGGGTTTAACGTTTAATTTGTGATGTATTTATCGTTCTCGGTTCACTCTAAGCCTGGAATTATCTTTTTCGGCAGAGCCAGAGGGGACCCTCTTAAAACGCTAACAAAGTCTGTTGTGCACCTGCAGCCTGAACTTGTCAAAAAAAAGGCATATAACTCATTCATATATTGATTGTACCCCGCGTTTTGAATGCGGAAAAGAAATTAGGGGATGGGAGAATTCAGGTAATTGAGATTCAGGATCGTAGAATCGCCCTATCCCTATAAAGTAGAGCTAATGTAAAATGAATAAAAATACACCGGCAGTGGTTCATCTCATGAAAGAATTTGTGGTAGCACATACGTGCGCCTTGCTTATTTCTGCATTCACGAAAGTGCCGTATCTGCAGCCAGCTGCCACAGCCGTTCTACTTCACCCCCTTTCCCCCGGCAATGTAAGTGCTGGTGCGTACATACGGATAACTAGAGTTTCGTATGCATGATCTGAGATCTAAATATTACTTCCAGAACAAAATAAGTGCTCGCACGGGCTTTTATCTTGGAAACTTTACTTTTCGAGAACACACATTGCGTAAACATGACAGCGATGATCATACATTTACGATGAGACTGCAGCGAGCAGCAGTACAGTACATAGGACACGTGGATAAACGCTCTGTTCCTCAAACCACCACCATGGCGTTCATGACCATGGCTATGCCGCGTATGTTTAATTTTTCGATCTCCAAATCGACTATATACTCGTGTAACTTGGGGACGAGACGGCTCTAAACCAATTGATACTTGGGGATATGTCAGCTATGTCGGAGGGCTCATTGATGCAGGTATATCTCCGAGAGACCTTCAAACCTTGAAATATAAGTTGCAAGTACGTAACTAAAATATATAATTGAGCTCCCAATATATATTTATGGCCTAATCTGGAATGATTCTTGAAAAAGACTGCATGTATGGTGCGCCCTTAAAGGTAGCGGATCGCGACGAAATGTCAATGGCTTATAACTTTGCGACGAAAAACCGTAAAAGAAAAGCGTAATGATAGAACTCTAGTACTAGTGATGAAGTTTAGTTCTATCATTGAAGAATTTTAATATCTGTCTGGGTTGTAAAGCCTTAGGAAGTTGAAATTGTGTATTTTTGTATGTAAAATGCGCCAAGACTGAACAAAGTGGAACAGTATTATACCCATCTATACCCCAGAAATGCATACCTGACAGATCCGTGGCAGTAATGCAGCAGAATTGCCCTCTTATTGGCCCATGAGGCCCTATTGCAGCCACAATTGTTCCACTTCCGTATGCCACCATATCACCTTTAAGAGTGCGCACCATAGCAGCTACATTTATGGCGGTTTGAGGACCTCACAGATCTCTAACTTAGTAGAGTCGGCAGGCTTTCATCAAGCTTGCTACATGTATGCAAAGATGTAACCGATTTTATATACCAGGATTATCGGACTACAGTTTTCTTGGCATATATACAACACCCGGGGCCCGGCGTCTTGCATGTCACCGCGTGGGTGACGGCCTCGAACCCAGGAGGGAAGTGTAGTCCCGGAAAGTGTGAACATGACTAGGAGAGCTACATGTGAAAACAACCTATGCCCATCGGCGGTTATTGGTGTTGTGAAGTAGCCATGATAGTGCATAGTTGCAGTTTATATCTAGAATTTCATACATAATCATTCGTCTTGTTATAGGCTTGTCAATAGTTATGGTGGGAACCTACATGTACACAGTTTCAGAAATGTTTGAACGAAAGAATTCTACTGCGTTCGGAAAAAGCAATATAGTTAATCAATAGAGATATACGTTGCATTAACTGAAATTATCATATTGTGATTCATGATAACGAATTCGGGACCTCGCCTCAGAGCCTTGGGCTCGAAAGGGTTCAAGAAAGGGCCTTAGATGTCAATGGTGGGTCCCCAAATCTTTTAGGATAATTGGAAATGATAATTCTTGCATCATTTCGCGACAATCTTGCATATTGTGAGTAATTGGCCGAGTCTTCTCTGTGGCTTCGATTACATTTGAGAGAAACTTTGCCAGTACGCTTTATTTGGGAAATAAGGTATTTATTCTACTCAAAACAAAGCTGGCGCCGGCACATCGAGCCATCCCACTCTACCTAGCGGCGGTAAGCTGCTTAATAATCTCCCACCCACACTCATAGATATTATTTGAAATAATTTTATGCATCGAGAGAATACTCCCATATCTCCAGCTTTAATTTTTTACTATAACTAAATAATCTTATTACTCGGTACATATTCTGATCAGAATCAACATAGAATTCAGCTTAAGCTGATAGAATCGTACTTGCAGGAAACAACGGGCTGCTGCATGTAAATCTATGGCTTCGTTTTTGATGCCGCTGTCAAAAGACATAATTACCGGTGGTTTAATTAATACCAGGAACCGTTTCCCCATCGCCATATGATCATGAACACTACAACCGAATCCAAGGCTGGTGCTCCCCCGTACATATATATGTATCTACATAGAATATTGACAGCGGAGACATCAAGTGGGGGCCAAAAACGGACCAGAGAATCATGAAAACCTACCTATACTCGAATATATATATACTTTATATATATCTCACTTGGTAGATCTACTGTTGATTAGCGTCAAGTCATGTCGTATCCTCCTTCACAATTACGAAAATAGGCGAATTTAGTTTTTGCACTTCCATTTTGTGTAGAAAAAATATCAAGTGATTAATATTTCCCCCGTGTCAAAGGTTGGTGCCGGCTTTCAGATCCACGAATGAGGCACTCAATGAGATCTTGGCGCGATTACCGTTCGTTCAATGAACTCGACCATAAATTTAAATGTGACATATGATACCTAGCAGAATCAGGAGTGACACGATAGCTGTAACTATCTTGTCATGCTCACGTGGCGGCAGTTTTTACTGGGGTATAGTACGTTGTGCTGCAAGACTAAGCCATATGCCACAATTTCACTGCCGAATCAATTTTTAGAGGCCTAGGACCCAATCCGAATCTGACCGATCACTTAATTAACTAGTAGATAGACATACCACAGCGGTATATACCGATACCTATAGCCATCCTTTTCTTCGGGGTTCTCAAAATATTCGCACTTGCCAAGATTCCTTACATATGGAAGCAGATTGACCTTTATTCACTGTCGACGAGCATATCAGATGTCTAGGCCAGCTTCGCACTATCAGATACGACGAGAATCCATGAGGATCTACTCAACTCATGCTCACACGTGTCCTGTCAAACTTCCAAGCCTTTCACTTACTTCCTCTCAGCCCAGTCTGCCCAAGAATGTGAGTAAATCATTGTTTTGGTTAGCGAATATAGAATCAAGATTACCTGGGCACTCCTTAATGCTTAATGATACTCTTCCTCAGCTGGTGGTGTATTAATTAAGCCCAATCAGACGTACCTGTAATAGCCGTCAAAAATCAGTATGTGTAGATCTTAACGACTACAAGCATTGATACCCCTTGTCTAAATTTTAATAAGAGGCGTCCAGTATATATCTGTCCTTCTACGCCTAATTCGAACCTCAATGTAAAAGCACTAACAGGCGACTTTGCGATCCAAAGCTTGCACGCCCCCGACCAAGGTTCCGGGATCCTCAAGTGGGGTGAGAAAGGCGAGATGAACTACCAATTCAATTTATGGCTGCAAGTAAAATTGGCTGTCTATTGCCCTTTACGACGACCGGAGATAAACCTGTATATATCGACATCCTTTTTAAGATCGCCTCGTCTTGTGCAAAGAGGAGGCACAGTTTTTAAACATGGCCAGTACTTTACACCGTTTCCTCAGGGCTCTCCTGCCAGCACATGCATCGATTACGTTTAGAAGATTACATTGTCGAAAGATGAGTGTTCTTCTGTTGGAAAAGATCTCCCGGTCCCCCGGATAAGACAGGCAATGTGTAGATTGCACTGTGCCTTATCTAGTAGGAATCACAGAGAGTAGATTTCAAGAGTCAATAGACTAGCTCAACGACGCACACACATGTATATTCAAGTGATATCCAGAAAGTCGGATGTGTTCACAATCCGATTCTTGATAAACATCGAGCTGAGCCCAGACCAGGTTGCAAGTCCATGTTGACGCGTACCCTTTTAGTTGGCCATTTTAACCGATTTGAGATAGTGCTTAAAGAAAATCATAGGCATGCGCTAGAGTACATTATTTGACTGTACAATTCTTTGAGGTACTCGTATTTCTCTGACGTTTGTGGACGCGACTGATATTGCATGCCATACAAAAATACGCCAAGCTCATGATTTTGGGTGTATGCAATAATGGCCCAGTTCAAAAACGTCAGCGAAATACTACTCGGGGCAGGCAATAAGAACCTGAAAATGCAAGCTGCAGGCAGGTGCTCAATTTGGTGTAGCTTTTCGCCAGCCGCGAATCAGAGGTTGTTACCATCAAAAGTCATTTTCAGGTTCTTCTTACCTGCCCCGAGTAGTAGGTATTGTGCATGTAAGACAGCAGTGCATAACGCAGTGATGTCTAAGACTCCGGACGTGGGGTCCTCAAGCGATGATTTCCCCGAGTGAGAGGTAGCTGTAGGGCTTAAACTAATTAGTTTTTTGGCCCTAGTTATAAACTAGTAACTCCTGGATTTTTAAATGATTCGAAGGGACATAGTCACTCGCCATTTTGTATGAATAGGTTTCATATCTCTCCAAAATAACTATTAGATTGGTGCTCCTACTTAGTGATGGCAATTCAATTCGATACTTATCACTAGTTCTTGTGTAGGCCACGGTAAATTTGGTGCCTAACGATAAGCTTTAGCCATTGTATTGTATACAAGGAGAACTAGACTACTCACGTATCACCAGGTGAGCCCCTAGAGCAGCAAAGACATTATCATCGTACCTGAGAACTATACTTAAGTCTCACTGTATGTACATACATACCAATCACTCAAATCGATATTGGGGAACTATTATCCAATTTTGTTGATTCGGGCATATATTCAGTGAATACTCTATCCGAACATTCCCAAGATGAACACAGTGGTTGGTATCTTGGTCCCATTACCATGGAATTGGACCTTGCCATTTCTTAGTACCCAAGCATGCATGTAAATGAGGTTGAAGAATGGCATGATTGGAGGCTACGTTACGCAGAAGTCGTTATATTCTAAAACATTTGAATAATATGGTTTGAACTCCCTGGTTAGCCAAATCATAGCAAGCTGACAGCACATGTCCTTACAATCAGAAGTTCGGGGTGATATCCTTTTGCAGGGAGCTCTAGCGATATCTCCCCTTTCTGTTATGTAGGCATCTCATTGAGAGAAAAAAAAAGCATTCTAGCTTCATTTGTCTGCATGATTACTAGCGCCTCGTGTTTCAATATCACAGCTGGTATTCGGAATACAACGCACCCTATAGTTAACTTCGAGGAAACTTCCGCTGAAATTCCACCGTGTACTGATACTGTCGTTCACGGGGTATTGACGGACACTGGACCAGATTTGCCTTCAATTATTGGTCAAAAGGCCCCTGCCCGTCAACACCCAGTGTCCGTCAATACCCCGTGAACGACAATAACTCGTTATATGAGAGTATTTTAGATTTATACCAAGTTCGACTGAGTATTCGGGGAAGCTACCGCAAAGTAACTATGTCCGAGATCCGGAAGGACTCGGGCCGCGAAATAAAACGCCGATATTGCCTGGACGGCGGTGGTAATTGACCTCGAACGGAATCCAACCAGAAAGAATCGATTTTCAACACCTCGATGATCAATAAGATACGAATCTTTAATCAAACTACCTATGGGTCTTATGTAGTAACATAGTGTCGTGAATCGTTACTGGCAATACCGAATACCAAGATTATTTGCTTCGTGTGTTCCTATAAACCGTTAGAAATCATCAATAGGTATAAAATCTAAATATCACCGTGAGGTTCAAAATGATTTGTTTTACCGTTCGTACTACTGCTTTACTCGACTGCAACCCAGATAAGGTATATGTAATACATTTATGTATTGTATGTATGTAGGATATTCTACCTACTGAATATCTGTCTATTCATTTCACCGAAATCTGCCCAGGCCAATTAAGCTCAAGTATGCGCATATGCTCATCCGGCAAGATCGACTGGTAGCGATCCAAGTCCCTTGTCTCAAATACCTTTGATCGGACAATTCACAAGATGCGGATCTAGCTGTGAGAACTCCTCGATTTTGATTTTAATCTGACCTTGGGCACCACTGACCCTCGAAACCGGTTAATGTCAGGTTGAATGCTGTCGCTTCTGTTTCATAGGATCTAGATAGTTCATGGGGGGTGTACCTATACCTAGCTACTAGTATCATGAACGTCGGTGTTTTTTTTTTTTTTTTTTTGCATTATATATTACTAAGCGGATTAAGGTTTAAAGATATTAAAGAGAATGGGCCAGGCATAGTTTGCACCCATGAGCTCGATAACGTAAACATGTTGCATAAAAAAGCATACCTATTATAGGCCATGGATCAAGCTGCAGGGGCTAGGGGGGGTAAATGTACTATGAATCAGAATTTTCCTCCGTTCGAGTACTGGCAGGTGTAAGACATGCATGTAGCTACATGTATCTTCGTGAACGACGACTCAGAAAGCCACTCGTTTGTCCAATGACTGTAACGGTTATTTTCTTGGCAACTGTACATGTAACACCCAACAGACTCAATACAATCGTATTCACCAACGATCACTCGTGCTTATGTACATGTATCGTGTGAGTGAACTTCCAAAGGACTTAAACTTTCATCTTAATATCTCTAGGGCTAACTTTATATCTGGGATGTTATCTGATAACCTAAACGGCTGGGTGCGGCCTACTCTACATGTAGGTATGTGGATCATAAGGGGGCGCACCGCACGGGCAAGGCAGTGGCCAGCTCACCCTCGCCTTTCTCGGGAACGGGAACGGATGCATAAACTAGAGTACATGTAAGTAGAAAGGCTGTCTGTCACGAGCGGGATGCTTTGCATTTCAGTTGGGATTATTTTACAATATCGCAATTTGGCCCGCGTCTAGTTTTTAAGAGTGAATATTCCCCACCACCACTAGCCATAATGTTTCGATATTGTGAGAGCCAGGACCCCAAAACTAACATTTCCTAAATCTAAACCTTTCAAACCATTGAAGCGACGCTGGTTATGTACGTACGTTTTCATAGATTTCTTTAAACAGCTGCTTCTGGTTTCTAGGACGAACATCTGGCCTCATTGAGCTGCTGCTGGATCCTGAACGGGAGCGAAAAGTGTAGCGAAATTCGAAGGCCTGTCCTTTTCGGCGTCGAAGCGTCCAATGTGGCGTACACCCGCGCTGTCTTTGGTGTTCGTCCTATACCTGAATGGCATGGGTGGGGAGCCATACGCACGTGCGCAGACGGGGAGGAGGAAACCGTTAATCCTATTCCTCAGCGCTATTCGTGGAAGTACATCCGGCCAATAAGATAGTAACTTTGTATGTAATCCAGCTAAAAGCATTTCCCCTGGTTATTCCGTGATAGAGAGACCATATTAGAGAAGCTTGGCTGATTTCTTTCAATCCTAGAAGAAGAAAAGAAATCGTGAACCAATCGGGGCATGTGGCAACGTGAGACATAGAAATGGATAGCTATATCAACAATCGGGATAGGTAGGTGAGAGAGAAGATGCAGTCAATTTCAGAACAACATATGGGGTAATCAAGCTCAGCCTTCTCGAGCGAGTACGTGTGCAGATAATGATTGCATGCTTGGAATGGGCAAAGGATAGAGTACTATCTTGATGTTTTCCATAATACCGCAGTAGACAAGATGTGTGTGTGAAATACATATCAGACGGCTTCGGGCGCTATCCGTTGGGGCCCTCGGGTAAACTTTATGATCTAGCTTTTAATGCTTTGTGCTGTTTTGATCCTCGACATTTACTTTCGGATTTCTTTCCCTCTCAGGACCCAGTGAAAGTGAAATGCGCCCTGTTGTGCACCTAGTGAAGGGATAGTTTTATTCCAACATTTACATAATCCAGAAGTTATACTTCCTAAAGCTCTAAGTCTTGGAGAAGCAAAACTGAATATCTGGGGTGCTCAGACCGCCAAAGAGCTTTAAAAAGCGGGTTGAAGATTGGATTCCCACATGTCCAAAGATTGCTCAATTCTCATCTGCATAATCCTTGACAGCCGTTGCATGGATGCGGCCATAATTTGTTTGATTATCTAAAGTATGGCTCATTCTATAATTGGTTTCCAGATTTTCAGAAGATCCACGATTTTCAGAAATTTCTGGCCTCTTATCGAAATACGCCCCAAAGTTCCTGTGGAAATCCAGCTTGGAAATCAACAACATGCAGCTCAACTCATTTTTGGGCCTCAAACCGTGCAGATGTCAGATGGAATCGAAAAACCGCACAGCGCCGCTACCAAACAGACTTGATCGGGCCAGAGGCGGCGAATCGAATAAAAAAAAGATTAATTCCGAACCCGTTGCAACGCCTGATTGTACCGCGTAAAGCATCCGTAGGATTGAATTGTGATAACCGTAATTAGCTAAACCGCTTATAGACAACCTACAGCTCGAGGAGAAATACCGCTCTGAGTAGTATTGGCTTAATTCCTTTAATTCGACTAATAAAATAATCGGAATAGTAAAATAGTTAGTCAATTAGGAATTGGATTCATGAGACCACGCATGAGTGGCGCTCGTTCAAGGCGGACTAGCTTGGCGAGGAAACCGGCGAGCTTGATACGAAGAAGAGAGATGGCTCAAGCCTGTGTAAGTACATACAGTAGATCTATATGATCTAGTATATACATGTATATTTCGAGTGAAGACTTGTAATCGGGGTATTAATTACATATTGGCACCGAAAGCACAGTGCAGCCCTTACGTACGCGTAATTTGTGAATATGGTCGTCAATATATCACAAAGCATGTAGAATATCAATCCCAGATTTCTTCCCCTAAAGTCACCCATCATTTAGATGTATGTCCTAACCCCAAAACCTCATGTAAATACTTTTTAGGTCTAGAAAAAAAAAGTATGTACATGTATGTTGATAGCCTAGCTTGACAACATTGTGATGTTACGGGAGATCACTGTCCAGGTCCAGCATCTTAGGAGGTACCGTTACTGCTAGAGTACCCGCATGGGCTAGATACTTGTAACCCACAGAAAGTTAGCGAGCACGACCACACCCTCCTAGAAAGTGGCGCCCCCCAACTTCTCTGGTCTAGGGCGTCTAAGGTCTAAGCGTCTTTACTTTGGACAGCATGACGTCTATATGGAGCCTTACAAACGAGCCAATGTCGCACACAAGACTTATGATAAGGTCGAGGAATTGGCACATACTCCAGACCTTGCAACCTTAAACAGTGCACCGTTAGAAAATAGGTTTAAAAGGCTAAAAAGACGAGATGGAACCCACCTCTAGTAACCTTGACGTTGGAGGTGACCTTCATCATCATCATCATCAGAATCAGCATCAGCATCAGCATCAGCATCAGCATCAGCATCAGAATCAGAATCAGAATCAGCAACAGCAGCAGCAACAGCATCAGCTTCAGCATCAGCAACAGCATCAGCATCAGCAACTGCAACTGCATCAGCACCAGCACCAGCACCAGCACCAGCAACGGCAACGGCAACAGCAACAGCAGCAAGAACAGCAATCTACTATGGTTCCCCGCGTTCAACTCAAAAAGGAAGACGATCAAGGAAAATCACCATCCCTCCACACCATTCAACCGGTTGCTCGTAAGCGTCGATGCGTATCGAGTGCATGTATTCCCTGTCGGAAAAGGAAATCAAAGGTATGAAATAGCTTTTATTGAGATGTCAAATGTCTATACGAGTCCGCTTGGGTAGTAAACATTACTAATGTCTGTTCCTGAAAATAGTGTGATGGCGTCTCGCCAGCATGCTCTACATGTACTGCAGTTTACCGCACAGAATGCGTCTACGATTACGAGGGAGACCACCGTCGGAAAGGAGCTTTAAAGCGAGATCTGGCAGAATTGAGTAAGGTGCATCAAGACTTAGAAACAATTGTTAAGACAATTCGTTCTGCTTCGGAGTCGGATGTGGGGGACCTTGTTAATCATCTCCGTGAGCACGGCAATTTGGCGGATATTATGATCGGTATGCCAGATGGCCCGACAGCAATTTCTTTGGAAATAGACTTAGGCCATTTGGTGGAGAAATTTCGTGTGGGTGGAGGTGGAGTAGGGTATAACGGATCTCTGGGTGATGAAAGTTCTGATCACAGAGAGATAACTAGTCAAAATGCTTCACACATTTGGACCAATGTGACGACAGATGTTAGCTTTATATCTGATCTTCTTGTGAGTTTAGCGACTAGTCCAATACTTCAAAAACACACGGCTTGGAATCCTGCTGATAGTAACCCCTTTTGTGTAGTCTTTATATTTCACTTGGAACCATCCTTATTACGTTCTCTTTTCGAAGTCTTGCTTCTTGGCCGACATGAAAAAGGGTCGAAGGAAATACTGTAGCCCTCTTCTCGTCAATGCTATTCTCGCATTGGCGTGTCACTTCTCGAATCACCCGGATGCTCGATCAGAACCGAACAATCCGAATAGTGCTGGTGATCACTTCTTCGCGGAGGCCAAGCGACTCTTAGCGTCAGAAGGGGATACTCCATGTTTGACATCTGTTCAAGCGCTGGCGCTTATGTCGCTTCATGAAGCGGGGTGTGGCCGGGATTCCAGTGGATGGATGTACTCAGGTCGGGCATTTAGAATGGGCCTAGACCTGGGATTCAACCTCTCACTGGATAATTTAGGTCTATCTCCAACTGAGATTGAAGTCCGCAAGATAACATTCTGGGGCTGTTTCACTATTGACAAGTATGCAAAATACAACTTCTTGAGATATGAGATCTTAGGCTAACGCACAGACTAGAATGTGGTCATCATTTTTGGGAAGGATTCCACAACTTCCGTCATCCATTGTTGGTGTCCACAAACCGGGAATCCTTGGCCCCCTTGAACGTGAGACGTGGGAGGCCTATGGTAGCCCTGTCCGAGCTTCCGTCGGATTAGCACAACCGGGTCGTATACAGACAGTGGCATCTCGCTTTTGCGAACTTTCGGAGATTCTTGGAGATATTTTGTCCATGTTTTTTTCGCCGCGAGAGCGTGTGACATTTATTAAGCTCAACACACTATGTTCTCGGCTGAAAAAATGGCACGGCGGGCTTCCACCGGACATGAGTGCTAGGAATGAGGCTTTGCCATCCGTTCTTGGACTTCAGTAAGTGACAGATTCCTTTTTTTTGTATTGTGCTGCAGTGAGTGTTTTTGGAAGGGTATTTCATTCTTGGCCAAGATGTGGATATACTAGCCTGCATACTTATTTTATCTATCACATTTACGCAAAAGGGGCTAGCTAACATAATTTTTTATAGCATTTATTATCATTCTACCCTACTTCTTCTTTTACGTCCTTTCTTTCATAAGGACATGCCAATAACTGGCATCTTGCCCCGCGAGATCTGTCTCCAAGCAGCCAACGATATCATAGTCCTCACCACCTTATATAGAAAATCTTACGGCCTGCGGCACACCGTCATACACATTCCACAAATTGTTTTCACGGCTTCCACGGTTCTCCTGATGAATTTTCCGTCAGTGGCTCCCCATCAAATATCCAGTCCCACTCTTACTCGCTCTTTGAAAGATTTGCAAGAGCTTTCTGAGACATGGTATTGGTGTAACCTTACCTTACGGCACCTTTCAGCTGAGGCCGAAAAACGGGGAGTTGACTTAGGGCTACATTGGGATATGATTCATCCAGTCCATATGGTTTCTAGGACTTTGCATGTCCAAAATCGGAACATGGGTGGTGGGCACGCATTTGCTCAAGAGCACTATTTTTCGCCGAATTCCCAGAACTCTGCGCAACTCAATAGCCATGGAGGGTCTGCATGGATCAACGAGGAGGACGGGGTGCAAGGTTTTGTTGACTCGCTGATTAGTTTTCCTAGTGCCATGGATGACTGGAGTTGTATGGGTCCTAATCCGTAAGGCTCGTACTGGCTGTCTAGCAAATCTTATCTCCTAGGAATAGGTAACCATTATTTCCATTGGCGGTAATAAGAGGATCTCAAATCGGGGATAAAGGGCTTCCATCCGGTTTAAGTCCCATCATTTTGTAAATAATTATTTTCTGTGATGATGGTGATGGTTGCGGTGGTGGTGTAATGGGGTGTTTTTGTTTTTGTTTTATGGTGAATCGGGATGTGGCCTATCTTCATTATTGTACAACTCTCTTCGGTGTTGTGTATATATATATATTGGTTGATTATACTTGCCGCTGGGACAAGTTCTATGGGTCTGTTGATGTGGATATTGTGACAGGGCCATAACGTAAATTGGGAGTAGAAACTTGTTCTCGCGAGTATTCAATTTCTTTTACGATAGGCAATGGATTTCTACCTTGCATCATTACACTTGTTGCATTGTGTATATTTTATGTTCAGATCTGAATTAACATTCGAATTTGGATGTATTGGGCCGTACTTGTTAAAGCGACAGGGAGATTAAACTGGGAAACTTATAATTGTATCAGTTTATGAAATACTTGGAACTTACGTACAGCCGCATTCGAAAAGTACTGGCACCCTACTATATTGAGTCGTTCATGAATTGTGGCCCACCAACAACCATGGCACTCGCGCATACTCAACTTATTGATAGGTATGACCGCAATAGAAAAGCAGAAAGGACTGCCTCGTGAGTTTGGCTCGGAGGTGCCAATACTTTTCAAATGCGGCTGTACGTACATGTATGTATATTGGGGGTTAAATATCACTAGCGCTAAATTACCCGAGCCTGGATTTGAATGGACGGGGTGGTTGTTTTGGCCGAGATATCCGCTCATATAGTTTCCAAAGCGGTTAGTCGAACTAGCTCGATTGAGCTCACTAATTCATCCAGAGAGAAAGCTATGAATTCTCTAAATGCAGTCAAATGGTAATAGTGGGCGACTTCCCGTGAAAATTTGGAAGGCGTTTAGGAAATAGATTTTTGAATCTGGATGCGAATGCCTTCCCATGGCGAACAATATTTTCTAGATTTTTAAGTACTGCTTTGGTTTAGTGCGTAGCATCAGGACCCACCTAGAACCTTAACCAATCATATTTCGCCCGTTCAAATTTTAAAGATTTAGGAATTTGAACGTACCCCCCTCCCCCCATTCAGATTCTGAATCTGGAACGTTGCCATCCAAATTTTATCTCCAAACCGCCTCTAAACGTCCACGGGAAGTCGTCCAATAAGAGTAGTACTATTTCAAATTTCGAATTCCGAATTTCTCACACAACTCGACTAGATTAGTATATAACGAGTTGCAGGCTATTTTCGTAAACTAAAAATTGCGTTAATATTGAGGGTACATGTAGTTAAAAACACGTATGGGCATTGCACTTTGCTTATCAGCGTGCAACCAAGAAAGGGGTGATAAATACTACGTATTCAACCGACTGAAGTACCTGCACACGTTGCAATTAGTACATGTACAGCGGTGGGTAATAAGTCATCGGACGACCTAGCCACAATTTTGCCTGCAAACGCGTATTTTGATGGCGTTCCGTCTGATGACTTATTACCCACCGCTGTACATGTAGTTAACATACCTACTTGCCGGATTTTTTTCTGTGTCCAGCGAACCTATTCTTCCTGATACGGAAGAGTCGCAACGACTTTATCTCACCAAATATCTATCAAATTCACGAAGTTTTAGGGCCGTTGCTTCGTAGCACTCCCATATTTCCGGATGAGGAAGAAACAGCTGGACACAGAAAAAAATCTGGCAAGTACATATAATCCAGCGAGTGATATTCCATGCTTCAAAGTCTCGGTCTATTTTTTTTTTTTTTTTTTTTGTTTAATTCATTAATTGCATGCAACTTTACAAAGTCTCGGTCTAGATAACATGGTAGGCCTTAATTATCACCCCGTATCCGTAACAATCTATGTATCTAGAATTTAATGAATTAGAAGATACGTATTTCTCTGTTCGTGGCACCAAATACTTCGTCATAGATCACATGGGCCCTGAATTTGGCCTCAACTTGTCAACTAGATCGGACGGATCGGGCACTTGCCTTTTACAGTTACAGCTATAATGAGCAGAAATTCCCAGGTCTAGATATCGATAAGATCCGGACCGCTAAATGAGACCGACCCCCTCTCTGTTTTACACCACGTTCTGCGGCGCCCGAATATCGTGATGTTGAGAAAATGTGCGACTGTTGGTAAAGCGCATATATTTACTAAGTGCCATTTCTCACAATTGAAATTGGTAGTCCCCCTCCACAGCCAGTTAGTCACAGAATTAAGGAAGGTGTGATTGGAATAGCTCTGGAGTTCAAACAATTTCTCATGTTACCTGTGATATATGATGACGGGGTATGAAAAGTTCAAGCTGCAACAATAGGATGATGACTACTATGGTGTCCGGTAACTGTATTTGGTATCCTTTTGACGTGCCTAGAAAGCAACCCACCCAAAGTTGGCACTTGTGGATGCCGCTTTAAGCTTTGGAGGGTGGCCAAGTGTCCACCATTAGAATTGACGATTAGTAAGTGGGCTCTAACCTCGCAATATTCATATCTCAATTTTGCAGAATGGAGAGTTAGTAAACTCTCTTTTTCGAAAAACCCTCTGAGTAACTATAATTTCGTTGGCGTACTGGTAGGATAGATTGAGGGCATGGGGCTATAGCTATCTTTAGCCTAGTTGATATCGATCGGGAACGTTCAACCATGTAGTCATTGCATCGTTTCTCCGCATTCGCCTTCGTCAATATTGGAGAAGTTATTAGAGAATCATATTATATATTTCAACCATTTCCATATGTGCTGGGGGTTAGTGCGTACGTAGCGTTCCAATGCTCCTTCCCTTGATTACTGCATAATGAATCAGAGACTGATCAATGATGCAGGTATGGTTAAAGCAACTCTAAAAGCCTAACTAGTGTGGTCCATGAGGCTGCTTGAGGCAAGTAGAGGCAAGTGACTCGTAATATGGTCCATATCTTTACTTGCTCGTGCAAAGAGGGGCGATGCCTCGAGGTATTCGAGTTGGCTCGAGGCAGGTAATTAAATTACTATATTTAGATCTGTCAGAATTGCATTTTATTGTACTGGTTTCCAGCAGGCTGGCTAGGCCCCGAATGTTTCTACTCTTCTTTGAAGTCTAAGTATGTACCTTGCGACTACTTGAATTATAATTATGGATTATAGATATATATTAACTTTTTCTGCAATAATTGCGGGGTACCCGATATTGGGGTGCCTTCGGCACCCGTACCCCCATCCTCCCTCCGGGATCCCCTTCGCTCTCGAGATCTCCTAGTAAAAGGGACTGACTTCGAGATTTATATGTGCCAAGGAATGCCCGCTAGAGACCACGCCGTAAAATGCTCCTAGGCTGTGATGGATTTGATTGATCTCAGAGTGAACTAAACTTAGATAGGCAACTTTGTACCATTCCACCCGCAACCCCCTCTGTCTCCGATATTCGGGGCAATACTGGCATGCAATGTAGCTATCCCTTACACGGTCAGTCCGGATCGAAATGATAAAATTAACCGCATAAGGCAGTTGTGCTGTGCTGAACGCCGTGAACATTTATTCTCCCATTGAGTTGATTGTCACACGCTAAAAGGATGTACTAAGTCTATGACTGAAATGAACAGTGCCGGAGTTTAGCAGAGCATACTTAACAATTGAGGTTAATTTTGTCATTTTGATTTGGACTGACCGTGTAATGGCTATCATAGGGAATATTTCCAATGTTCCTATAGCTATCGAAAATGCAAACCTACTGATGATTACCTAAGCCTCGAGCAGTTCAAGAGGGTTTGCCTCGTCGACCCCCATGCCTTAAGCTCTCTCAAGGCCTCGAGCGTCAATGCGTCGTTGACCACAATAACCCTAACTTTCCGCAGTGAGATGTTAATAACATCTTATCGTGTATCGTACAGATTTCTTTGTTCCTTTATCCTTGATGTTCTATGTAGTTTAACAATTAGATATCTATCTGCCATGGCCTGAAGTCTAGGGAGAGATATTATGGCGGGTGTTGTTACGTCTACGTCGCTCAGAGGAGTTAGTCATGCCCACGCGTATACGAAAGATAAGATAGATGTTTCTTAGTATTTCTACTCGTTTCTGTGACACCACCGCGACGAGTTTAATTTATGATTGATAACATTTGTTTTTCGCATGAATTTGGACCCACTTTGTAGTCGTAATCGACATCGAGAGCCTCAGGGTCCCTAAAATTTGACTAGACACCCTCTGTGTCGTAAAACTGGCGAGAAAACGGCATAATGCCGCGCAAAGCCAGCTAGTCGCTGTTTCTCTTGCAATTGATAGTGAGCAATAAAATTGTTTCTGTAATGTAAAGAAAAGGTTTTCTAAACCTTCGTGCTACACCGCACTGCCTCAAAGTTGATTGATATGTCAAGCGTAGAGATCAGGCTCTTAATACCTAAGGCGATGACAACGAGCTAAGTATTATATCATGATCAAGGTATTTTACGTCTCCTTCTCTGGGAATTAGTAATTGAGGGCTTAAGCCATGCATATGAAATCCCATGATACTGATAATGATTACAATAAAAAGGATATCAGCAGAGCACGGCTGTATAAGATGTTACACAATAGTTTGTCCTTTCGGTTTCTCTACAGGAATATGTATTTAGCGAAATTGTAGCCTAGTATTGTAACTTTCCTCGTGATTAAGGCATACGTAGATTTCAAGAAGCTGACTGAGAATCATTGATGAAAATTTTGCTTCTGATAACAATCTTAGATCGGCGAGGCGGTATATACCAATTAGGTCCCAATAAGGCACCAAAATCGCCAGGGCTGAAGTGGCTGACGCAACTGGAACTACAATGAAACATTGAATAAGGGAGTCAAGTGTGGTGTGTGATATTTTGTTGCATTGGTGATCATTGACATCAACAAGATGAATGTGCCTTCTGGTTAAGCGCCCTTTTGATTAGGGAAATTGACTGGGGGCCCTAATATTGGTATGGATTTGGGGACATCATAATATTTGGGGAGCATAATCTGGGGTATACTTTAATAATTACGCAGAATTCCTAACCTGTAACACTCAAATTAGGCCACGGGTAAATACATGCAGTATCATGTGGTACATACATACATCTAAGTTTTGTGCCCAGCACTCTACCGAATTTCAGCCGCGCCTTGATACGCCACAAGCAGCGGCGCGTGTTTCGAAACAAAACCCCTTGCCTTATAACCTAATAAAACAAGTCATATTTGTCCGTGGAGACCCTCGCTGCAGCCATTAAAACCCCCATTTTAGGAAAATTAGGGACCACATCTGTAACCTAATTTAGAGCAGGGGTTAAGGTTCCAAGTCGTTATGCCCCAATCAGAAAATACTTCTACGCGTTTAAAGGCGTGTATGATATATTACGGTTAAGATAGTGTTTATACTTTATTGGTGTCTAATTGTAGAGCGCTAGTATACCTGTACTAACGCGCGATGAGGTCTGGGACTGCTTGAATGGAGTTATTAGTAGGCACTAATCAGTATTTCATTTGTATGCCGATATTTTTCGTGCCAATTTTAGAAGTATTAGTCATAAACATTCACCGAGCGGAATTTCCGGGGTATCTTGAGCTGAACTTTAATTCGTGGTAAAGCCAAGGCGCAGGGTTCTTTCACCTTTTTCGGTAGCTCCTGCTCGGCCGCTTGTGCTTCTAGAAAATGGCGCCATCCAAATAGAACAATAAAACAAGATATTTGGGCTTTCGGGCTTTCGTGTGTGTAGGAGAAGGAAAATAATTAGCAAATTCCAGTTCGGTATATGTTTTCAAAGCCGGTGGGTGGTACGTACACGTAAGTGCATCCATCCTACACTGGCTGAGCATGAGCCAGAGCGAAGGAGAGGTCATTATTCCTTATTGTGCTTTTGCTCTAGACCGTCAATATTAACTCAATTATAGACGGAGAGTAACGGGACATATGTGCATCCAAGCTGAACGAAGAAAAGAAAGAAAGCTCGTGGCTCACCATGTATGTACTGTATTGACGGGCACTGGGTGTTGAACAAACCAAAAAAGAGACAGCCAAGCCAAGTTTCGCCTGCAATCCGTCAACACCCAGTGTCCGCCAATACCTCGTGAACGACAGTACAGCGGTGGGTAATAAGTCATCGGACGACCTAGCCACAATTTTGCCTGCAAACGCGTATTTTGGTGGCGTTCCGTCTGATGACTTATTACCCACCGCTGTACTGTAATCGTATAATCGTCATTGATCCATGACAATATCGTAGTGTCTAAGTGTCATACGTCAAATTAAACTTTGACTGCGCGAATAGGCGCAAGCCTCCTCACTCAATCCTCTGCCATTCTCTATACCGCATATTCATCCTGGCGTGTATCTAGTTCTGCCGACGCAGGTACATACAGCGCCGGACAGTCAAAATCAACCCTCATGTTCTTTTCAAGCCAGAAACTAGTCCTAATCGGGTAATATGATCATCTAATTATCCCAATATGGTAAGAATTATCCCAAATTAATGTGGCCGCCTTGGCATAAAGCTATTAAAGTTATTATTTCACACCTATGTTTTTTTCGGGCAGATTGCACCAAATGTTTGAGAGGTCATAGTGCAGCCAGTTCTTAATTATTTTAAATCCCCTTTTATGGGGATGTTTACAACCATGATTAGACCCATTTTACAAAAGAACATTATTTCTGGACAAGTGTTGCGTTGTTGAAAGTCGATGGGGTGAAGGGGAGTCGGTGGTTGCTCTGGCCGGCTGGTTTTGGCTGTCCGACACCGTACATCCAGGGGATGAGAGTCTGAAGGGGCTGACGAGCCATATCCAATCGTCATACCAAGCTTCGTACGTGTTACACTAGCCCTTACCTGGACTAAGCCTCTTCCACCTGATCTACGAGCCACGTTCGGCAGGGTCGCAGGGGCAAAAAAGACTGTTCCTTCCTCTCTTTGAACTATTTAGCACAGCCTCATGCTCCCTGACCTCGCATTATCCAGCCAGTCAATGTGCTTCAACAGTCATAGCCATGATCCATTCTCCAAGCGAGACCTGTCGGGATCCGTGGAGCAGCAACTCCTGCATGCAATATCCTGGGGAAAAACCGAATTCCTCGTGCATCTTGGATTTGTGCAGATGAGGACGGTCCCAGGAAACGGGATAAGATATTGTACCTACATCCACACTACATGTAGAGTAGGACAGAGCGAAACAGAAAGCCTAGCCTCTTCTTGGTTGCATGGAGATCTGACACCGGGTGCAGGTGTTAATGCATCATCTTTTGATCAGGGTACTTGCGACTCAGTGACTCAAAACGTCTGTCTTGCTAATCCACGAGACCTGCATACCCCTTCACGCGGTGACATTGTGCGAAAAGTTCGCAATATCCAGCTGGCCTCAGAATTGGCCTTATGAGCCCCTAATTATGGTGATGGCGAATCGTGTTTGCTGAAACAGACGTATTCCCCTGTTTTGACGGTTTATGCGGTTGGTTACCTGATTTTCAGTTGTCGTGGGGTTGCAAGCATCGATTTGATTGTGGCAGGACGGCGCGCATAGCCTGCCAGGGTGTAGCGCGCAACGCCAACTACACCACCGATACTACAGGGTACAATTATCTATAAAGACAGATCTTCGTACATGATGATCACCCGTCATTCAAAATTCAAAATACCAGCATACGTACCTACAATTACATATATCAGAGTCTGACTCCTTCGAAACTTCTACAACCAAGTCTTCCCAATCACAAGACCATCACTCGCACCTAGCCGCCTTGAGAACCACAAGACTTCTATCAAGACCACCATCTATCTACCTAGCCCAGACATCGATATATATATAAGGCCTTTGGATCTCCCACTTATTCTTCTTGTCAACAATCTCCACTCATTCAGTTCGCTCATCCAATCCACACGTCTTAATCACAACTAAATTCACAATGCCGTCGCTCGCTATGCGCGAATCTTTGACCATTGAGGACAGAAGCAATATGATTACAGTCCGTGAGAGACGCCGTTACTCTACTTCTGCTGCTTATACTACAGCCAAAGTCCATATTAATGTCCTACCCCCTCCTCCTCCACCAAAGGAGATTCGCTGGGTTCAACCCTATATGCCTCCAGTGGTGATCCAATGTCCTCCGGTGGTCCAACCTACCCCTGCTCCTCTCTACAACATCGAAGCTACTTCTGAGGAGATTGCAGACCGTATTTACGCTGAGAACACCGAGAGGAACAAGCGTATCTCCCTTGAGGCCCGTCTTGAGGATGAGAAAACTCGTCGCCTCGAACTGGAACAGGAAGTGGAGATAGAGAAGGCAAGGCGAGATGTGGAGGAGGCAAAGCGAGGTGTGGAGGAGGCAAAACGGAAGGTAGAAGAGGCACATAGAGAGACAGAAAAGATCTATCTCCGTGAGAGAGAAGAAAGGGCCCGTCGCCGGGTCGCCGACGAGTACACTTATCAGTCTAAGTCTCTTGGAAGTAGCCCTAGGACCAGCGGTGAGAGCTTGTGGTCGGCGGTTGCTGTTACTTCCACTTCGTCTCATGGGGGACTAGTTGTTCACGATCACCGTCATGGCCATGGCCATCACCACCACCACCATCACGGCCACCGCAGTCACTCCGAATCAAGAGACCATAGGTGTACCAGGTGCGGGGACACAGACCATAGATCTCGGGACTGCCGAGTCGATACCATATACATACCCCAGAACAGGGTACGACACATTACTTATCGTTCATAGATGTGTCCCGGGGCCCGGGGGAGGAATTGAGATTGGCAGAGGGAGGAATGGAGAAAACAAACCGAGTCAACCATACGCGTAACGCCATACCAGCCGACCAGCTTCACCAATAATTACAGATAAGCACGTTTTTTGGGATATTCCCTTGCATCAGATCTATCCTTGGTGTAGACCAACGACAACTCGGGTGGAGTCAGAAATAGGCTTGCTTCTCTTGAGGGGAAGTTGACTCATGAGCCAAACCCTGTCAAAGCACCGATTGTTCGACAACGAACCCAGGTTCACTACTCAAATCTTAGACATGTTGTAGCTTTTAATTTCGTTTTCGTTTTATCTTTTATTAATTTGGTATCTCTTGGTTGTGGCTTATTATTTGGGGTTCTCGATGCGGCGACGTTTGTGGCAGATGTTTTGTGGCTTTTTGTTTTATTGTCGGTTTTGTTTTATTTTCTTTTTATATTTTATATTTTATAATTCTCTGTTCTTTTTATTTGGACTTTTGATGGTTGGGATTTTATTTTTGCCTCTTTTTGCGGTGTTAGTTTTATCGTGATTGATGCGTGCATTTTGGGTTTATTCTTATTGTTCTCATGATTACATGTATGTTCGAGTTGAAAGCAGAAGATTTTCTGGTTTATTTCTTTCTCTCTATTTCTAGGGTTATTGGGTTTATTGCATGCATGATTTGTATTTAGATGATGTTGGATGCATGTATTTAGTACATGTACATATGAACGCCTAAGGCGATCTTTTGCGGCTCTTCGATCACTGTAGCACCTGTTTCGCGTTTTATGTACTCGTGATGCGCTTGTGGTAGCTCACCATCCGCTTACGCCAGGCTGCACGGTCATCCATCCCAAAGAGGGTCATTATCTCTCCGTCTGTACCCATGATAAGGTCCCGAGTGCCCCTTTCGGGATTAATATGGGATGTTGATAGAAAATATCACCGCACATGTTTGTCGCAAGAGTCACCTCTACTCCTGCCCTAAAAAGGGAAGCGGGACAACCAGAATGTAGGCTTAGGCAGCCACAGCCCTAATCGCAATATTCTATTACAACTCTTTACCCGACTGGGTTTAGGGCTTGCCAAGATTTACGAGTGATAAGTCGTGACCTCAGCGGAAACTTTCACCGGAGGTGACGGCAGAGACCTGGGGTGGTGGCGCGGGTGTTGAAGGTATACGTAGACAAATGCTACTGAAAATTAGGGAAAGGAGGGGTGATTCTGATATCATCTGATGGTATTTTTTTTTTAAAAAAAAAATCTTTTTCGTGCACGAGGCCCCGAAGTTTGAGTATGGTGGTGGTGGTGGTGGTGGTGGTGGTGTATGGGTCATATGCGCGTCCTGCAGTGGTCAGAACCATAAATTGGCTTAAGTAAACTAAGTTAGAATGATATGAAGAAGACGTATATAGCCACTATAGATTACTGTGGACCCTTTTTACCAGTTACCAAATAGGACGTCGGAACGGCGACTAGACGAAACCCGGTCGTGTATAATATCTCAGGCCTGTACGACCAATATGGCTGCTTTCGAATCGATACAAGTGGGGCGGCGGCCAAGACTTGTGGGTACTAGAAGTTACTACCGGCCGGAACCAAAGGTCAGATCACTTGTGGAAAGGCGGCGGTGTTGGTGATGAGTAGATGATGTTATTTTTCCTCTTGTAGGAATCTGAGCTGGAATTAAGGGAGTGCGTACTGACCGGCAAAAAGGGATGTAGCTAGAGGCATAAAATATGAATGAAAAAGCTCAAGGTGTTAGGCCTGGGCTGCTGCAACCCTTGGCCGACGCGACCAAATGATGTAGTAGACGTGTAGGTACGTACAGTGAGATTCGGCTCAACCGACGGGGTAAGAGATGTGCGCATCGGGATGGGACTTAGGGCAATGTAGATTATTCTAGAGTGTTTGCGGCCGGATTCTAAAAGCTATACGTACTACCGCATGTGGCTAGAGCTATATCGATTACTGTCGGAATGCCTTGCCCAGGTGTTTGTGATGTGAGATACGGCTACAGGACACCGAATACACTATCCAGGCCAGCAAATTCGGTATCAGCTAACCAGTAAATCCCACAGCCCAAAATCTAGTGGCAAAATAATAGTATGACCTACATCGAACTGTATTCAAACAACTCTCTGGCACCCAGGAATCAGGTATGACGTGCTCACTTGGATATTTTTTGATGAATTCGAGGGCTAAGATTATTACTGTGCGTCTAGATCTATAGTCAGCGGAGAATACTCTTTAAGTTCAGAAGAGGCGAAGCTTCGAAATGGGCTGACGTTCTATTCAGTACTTTACGCCTCTAAAGAACACTGCTATCGTGAGTCACAAAGGGTAAACCCCTATTAGGACTTATGGTGATAATTAATATGGTGTCAAGTACTCGGTTATGAACTCATGCACTTCGAACTGATGAAAAATCGTAACTGTCACCTATAACACCCGAACTGAGCTAATGATATTAGTCTTCGAAGCTTCTTTAGTCTAATATGTATTGTAAAAGCTCCATAGCGAAACCGTTTGCGCTTACCCGGCTTGCTACTCCATACTTGCATGGCAACGGGTCCACCCCACAAAATATGTACTTGAATGGTTTAACAGCATTATAGAGAGGGAGGTGGAGGGGGCCGAAGGCCCCATAAGTGCAGAGAGAGAGGGAAAAAAATGGTGGCCCGAAGAGTACCCAGTTACATAAAACCAGCGGGGTTTAAAGACCTCATGAAGTTGAACTACAAAATAATAATACGGGAGCTGGCGGGAGTGAAACTGGCAGATCTAGAGGAACGTTCGAACTGGCAGCCAACTGGGGATATCAAAAGTAACAACTCGCGGTCGCGAGGTGGATGGACCCCCTAGTAATGGGTACTAGAAACTGACTCTAAGAGCTATATTGTCTGTGCTGGGAGTCTATGCAGAATTATCTGGCTTACGCATGTATTTCTGGGTACTTCATACACGTGTACATATACTACCACAAGGCTGATATACATGACCATATGGTTCTTAAGAGGAATTCGAAGCCTTTTCAGGCATGCATAAGTACCAGCGCTCAAACTGTGGGAAATACACAAGATGTACTTTGATGGGGGCCCGGTATATGGACGCCTAAACCCACTTCTGATAAAGCAGCTGAATAATCATGCGCAAGTTCAGGATCACAGGCGAGGTGGGACATAATTGTCTTGGCATACGCCGACGCGGTATGGCAACAAGCCTAGAAGCTTCACAGCTTTGGATGTTTGAATAATCTGTAAAATAAACCCAGTTATGAATGTTAGCTGAGATCACGTAATTCCTTCCGAGTAGTATGATTCGGTAATGGCTTATGATCATAGGTTATCACTCGCCGGGCATTCCATCCCATGCATCTGAACCAGCATGTACGGGTTAGCATCGGAGATTTGGGGGGGGAAGATGAGGCTCGACCAGATGGGTGCATAGCTAGCTAGATTACCGAAAAATCTAGAAGGTATATTCTGACGTAGATTCCAGAGATGCGTCGCTAGTGGGGGGGCAGTCGAGTCCCTGCGCACATACTTGTTTCAAAGTTCCCTGCCCCTGGCCGTGCGAAAAAAACCGGGGGGGGGTGAAACGATAAGGCATATCTGCCTATCGAGACAGATTTGCATTCGCATAAAGATTAGGTCTCTTCTCGCGGGTAGGCATAAGGGTTAATACCAATCACTGCAGGTGATTGGATGGGTGCAGGTTTAGTACAATGCGAACCGGACTGGTGCGCCTTATTCAAGAAATTCTGGGCTGGTCAATCTTTTCGGTAGCCGTTCAATCAACGGGGCGCCCTCCGATTTAAACCTTCATCTTGTTCGCTGGTGGAAGGTCTTCGTGCTGCGCACCAACGCCGTTTTCGGGGTAATCGTTGTAAGGATGTCTCCACATAGCAGACACTTTACTCTTTGGGAAGTGAAGAATATGCACAAATTAGATGTTAACATTGTCCATGTAGGCCCGGGGGGGGAAGGGTTCCATTAGGTCATATCTATCCAATCAAACATGATATAAAGTGAGAGTTAGACTCAGTGTTCGAAGCTTGACCCTGATTGGCTGAATGGACAAGGATTAGGGCAAAGTAGATTGGTAGGAAACAGAAACAGTATATTTTACGGTCACATGATATCTCGAAATGGTCCATTCGTGACATCAGAAGGTGATATTGGTGATTCAAAATGAGCAGAAGAGTTTCCAGTTTGGTTAAGAATGTTCGCCAGACGGAAACGGTCAGAATGTCGGAGCGCACTCGCTAGCGGACAGGATATCCTGGAAACAAGTAGTAGAGCATCCTTAGACAGGATGAATTGAAATGTGCTGCAGCTAGTTGCGCGTGCCCCAAACAATGTCGCAAATGTATAAAAGTACATGTAGTTGATTGTATGGTATGTAGGTATGGCTGAGATGACCTAGATACCACTATATGTACATAAGTAGTACTAGTTCTGACTCGGGCTCGATGTACCAATGACTTTTGTGACCGTTGAAAAAATGTGAGCGTCTTTGGGCTTGAGAGAATGTAACAGCGGTCTCACTTATTAGCCCATTTACGTTACGCTTATCTAACAGCAACTTAGTGGCTGGGAGATCTTGCTCGCTAAGTCATGACAGCTGTACAGATGTACATACAGTCGATCCTAAGAACTGACCACAAGTGTATATTTGCCCTAATGTGGAATAAGTAAGTTTGATGTCTAGAGATTACACATTAGCCCATCCGTAAGTATTTACCATTTATAATTTATTTTCCACCTCGATCTTTCCATCCACCTATTTACCCTATTTGATGTTATATCTAAATTCATAGTACGAGTACTGAACTTTACTTCGATTCATACCAGCAACGTAAATATATTCACAAGCGCTACCTGGCAATTGACTCAAGTTGGTTTCATCCCAGTTATAATTATGTCAAAGCAACTGCGCTAATCTCCATCACCAATTTCCTCTTGATTACTGAGTCTGGTTTATTATAGATGAGGTGCGGACTCCAAACCTTTCCGAATGAACCTAAGGTTGTTAAACGTCGACCAGATCCGATAAACCAACCATCTCGTATACAAGAGTGGGCACTTGGGAGTTGTATCAAGACAAATTTTAAAGATGCAGACGAGTTCAAAGGTGAACACATATGTTCGAAGTCGGGCACCGCCAAGGGTTATTCAATGCCTGTACGCTGGGATAAAGCCCCAAGACTTGATTCACGGAGAAGTAAATTCGAAGATTATGCTTTTTGTAACCTGGAGATACTCAGGTCGAAAGTGCGACACCTGTCTGATTTGGATTAGGAATGCTTCTATTGTGTGGCCTTGGCTTGGATGATGGTTTTCTTATAACAAGCCTGGAAAATGAAAGACTTAGAGGAAAGAACTTAGTTGTGAGGCCAAAGATAAAGAGTTTATCCCCCTGGGAGAAGGGGAGTTAGAAAGATGTTCAAGAATCTAAGAGCTTGTACGAAGTGGCTGATTGGAGTTGGAAGGACATCTAAATTCTACGCTGGATCGATGTACCTACACTGACAGGGGGCACGTGACAGTTAATATAGCTTTAAACACAGTATGTAGTTGGTGACATTCAACCTAGTCTCGTACTCAGAAGTAGACGGGTTGGGGATGAGCCTACATTCAACCTAAAACAGACGTCACTGTGCTTCGGGCCGTTCCATCACTAGTTACCTAGTTACTGCTGTAAACCACGAAATCAGAACTTAATTGAAGCTCGACCCTGCCCCGCAAGTAGCTCAGATAGGCACAATCGAGATAGAAAACCTCGTCTCTAAATTACGAGTAACATATATAGCATAAGTATCAATAAAGAAATTCAGCTAACTGGGGCATGCGTGATATACCTTGTGCTCTTGGGTTCATTCATAAAAGGGGTTTCCCGAATAACATAAGCTATATAGAGCTATTTATGTCACCCTAAAAGAGAGAAAATTAGTCTACGTAGTAGTTTGGTGTAATACGTGACTTCGGGATAGCTTCCAGATAGGATCGAGTGAGTTTCCATGCGCCAAGCCAGGCTCATTAACTATGTCTATATAGGCAGCAGCGGTGAGGATAAATTTCATAGGATTGGTAGAGTCCATGTAGCAAGAGAATTATCCTGAGCTTGCTTAACTCGCTCGAAAATAGTTATCGAAAGAATTTGGTTCATGGTCGCAGATCTTGCGCCAAGTAATGAAGAAACGTGTGATCAAAAATATTGATAGGTTTACGCAACCACAAAGATCCCTTTGTTCCTTTACCCGTACGAGTACCAAGTGAAACTGTTACTCTGAAGATAAACTAATCTCAAGTTTCAATGGACGGATTTACCCTACGCTGCAATAACCTTCGCTGTCGAGCACAACTCGACGTCAGAGCAGCGGTTACAACATGCAGGTATGTCTATCTGAACACGGTTCACACCTTATTACCTACTAATACCGAGTCTCTGTTCTCAGTCATATTTTCTGCATATCCTGTGCATCATCCCTCCAACTCACCGAGCCACCACTTAACGACCAGCGAGTGTGCCCCGCATGTGAGACAACCCTTTCTCAGCCCGACGATGCAGTCATTACAGCGTTAAATCCAAGTGATGACTACAAAACGAGTGTTCTGAGTGGTTTAAGTCCAACTATTATCATGGAGGTTTGCTCGAAAGGATTAGGATTTTGGACGTACCAGGTTACCCAGGAAGTGTTAGTTGTAGTGACTTGAATCTATATATCCTACTACTGTGATTTAGAGACTAAATTTTAGATACTACAGTGTTTACCAGGAATATCTAGCGAAATCCTTGACTGAAAGAAGTAATACACTGAGTGGGCAATTAGACAAGATAATCAGAGATGCAAACTCAGAGATAGCGAGTCTAAGGGATAAAATTGCTGCTATGACAATCGCCGAGGAGGAGCTCAGGAGGAAGAACCACGAATTGATGGAAGGCTGGCGTGAGAAAGGACGGAAATTGGCGCAAACTCAAGTACTGCTCTACTTTAATTTTTTTCATTTTTTTGGTGTGAAAACTCACAAAATGACTCTAATGTTCGCAGGAGCTATATGATAAGCTAAAACGACGGACTCTCATATCACAAGTTCGAAATGCCGCATCTGAAAATGTCAACCAGGCCATCCTCATGTCCGCCCAACAAAGCGCGTCCACACACCATCCACCTCATTTGCAGGACCTGGCAGCCGCGCACCATACCCAACAAAGACCGCAGAATAGAAGACAACGTCATGACGGGCAACCGGACTTCATTATGACTGGCGCTCGCATTGGAAATGTCAGTGGAGGCATGCAGCCGAGAAGTGCAGAAAGTAGTGTTTGCAGTGACCAAGGTGGTGGAATCAGTATGGCGCCACCCCTGCGGCAGACCCAAAGATATAAGGCTAGCAGAAGAAATGAGGGCGGGGGTTTCAATGGTAGGTCCCCACCTCTATAATCAAGGAAATTAATGGATTGACCGCCTCGCTCTTCTCCAGAGCCGGAAGGTACTCCAATGAGGAGTCAGGAGCATCGCCAACGTCTAATGCCGACCTTAGGCATGAGCAGTCAGGTAGTAAATGGCTATCAAGGCGACAATCTCTCAACTGCGCTAAGAAGATCGAAACGACCCCCTCTCGATGGAATCAGTGGAAACATGCGTGCAGGAGGAGATCTTCGCTTTGGGAGTAATCTTGGTTTAAAGGGTGCTTATCTTCGAATTCGTTCCATCTTTTTGGTGATTTGGCTAATATTCAGGAAAGGCAATCTGCAGGTGAGGGGGGAATATTAACTATTGGTCTCTCGAAAAATGTTGAAAATAAGGTTATTCATCGAATGTAACTTGCTTGTAAAGAGGGGGGGGGGGGGGGGGAACGTGGAGCTGTTACTCCAAATTCATAAAATGCTTAAAATATGATGTACACCCAGAACTACACCCTAGATAATTTTGCATTATCATACGATGTAATGTTCAACTCGCATCCACGTCAAAGTAGGCCCAAATGCTAGACACGGACCTTCCGTCTTCTAGCCGTGCGTGGGGTTGGTTACCCTTGATCTATCACATCTAACATGAGCTATAACTGGTATTTTATGATAGAGAAGGCTGGATCGATGATAATTTTCAGATATGCTAACTAACGGATAAATACTCATGTACATATATATATGTAATTATACTATAGCATGTATATCACAAGAATTGAGTTCAATAAATATTCATATAACTACGTAACATCTAGATGCAACCGTTGCAACCGCAACACTGCTTGTTATTTGTTAACTCGTTAATTTTATGCAATAGCTAACATGTTTCATCCCCAGAACTCCCCTCCAATCACAGTCAACACTCTCAAACATAAGAAACAAACAAATGTGAACTGTTCCAATACAATCCATGTATTCTATCTGGCCCGCATCGCGTGTAAAGCTGGGGTCAGATACTTTGTAGCATGTACATTTAGTGGAAGCCTTCCCGTGGATATTTTTGAAGGTTTGTAGGCGTTCAAATGTGGTCTGTAGATCCCCCCAGGGGATGTCTACAGAGTTGTTGTGAGCCGTTTCTATGCAAGATCTGTAATTTATCTTCAAGGCTTCAAGTTTGAACACCTTCAGAATATCTACGGGAAGGCTTCCAGTCTCCATATGCACATTGCGATGGATGCACTATATGAGGGCTACCTTAGTAGGAATAATGCATGTCACGAGTGGTTTAGGTTACGGTTATGAGGATAACAAACATAAAAGCCACAAAAGAGAATAATTTATTCAGCTATTAAAGATTGTATTTATGAAACTACATAGATGATTACGTCTCTTGCCAAGCTATGTATATGCTCCACAAATCAACTCCAAGTCTTCCGAAATTGAAAAATCGAGAGAAAAAAAAGAGAAACGCATGTAATTAAAGGAAGGAGACCCATGTAGATTGAAAATACAAAGGAAACTTTTTGAAATGGAAACTATTGACCATTTCATGATCAGGCATGGCAGCCGGTCTTAGATTTGGGCAGCGGCTATTAATTTCTTGTTCATGCTAGAGAAAAAGAGGAGTTAGAATTTATTGAATTGAAGGGGTAAAATTTCAGAGTAATAGGAGGCCCACAAATTAAAGAAAGAAAATTGGTTCGAGTTGGCTCCATATTCATAGATGAAACGGCTAGCTAAGTAGCTTCCAAAGATAGCCTTCGTGTAGTTGACAGGAACTCTCTTCAAGAGCACCTCGAGACCGACAGTATTGATCAAGCAGGCCGGCAAGGCCTCCTTGATAACACTGCGTCTTAGAGAAAGGTTCTTCCAAAGATCAGTCTCCCGGATCTCTTCGTCCAACTTGATGATAGCCATCGAGAGCTCATCGGAGAGAACGGAAAATTTCTTTCCAGTAACCCTTTTCTCATGCCAGAGAGCCTCAAATTCCAGTCTTGCATTCTCGCGGATAGTATCCTGAACAGCCTTCACATATGATGTATAAAACGACGGGGTGATGCCGTCGATGACACACATATTGGTGGTGAACTCCGCATCGGTGAAAGCAAGGGAGGCGAGGACCTAAATTTATAGATGTGAGTATTTTTCAAGCAAATAGTAATGGGAACTTATAATTAACATACCTCCATGGAAGAGCTAGTGACGCCGCCTTTATTGGCACTGGCATCTTTAATAAGGATTGCTCCCGCCTCTTCTAATCTCAACTTTGCATCTTGTGAGATAAACAAGTTTGCCCCCTCGACAATATATGGAATAGTACATTCTCCGTCACCAATAAGCTTCCCCACATTGGAGAGATTGATTGATTCGGGCCTTCCGCCACATGGAACAAAGATATCAAACAGGAGCTTTGACCGAAGATGAAACGTATTACGGAAAATGGTCCCGTTAGGGACGATTTCACCGTCCGGAAGCCTTAGATTAACATCGTCAAGAAGAACCCGATATCCTACCTCAGAAAGCAGAGTAACATCGAAATTGGAAACCATGAGACGTTTAGTGGCAAGGCGTTCAAGTTCGTCGCGATTCAAACCTTTTGGATCAACGATGACACCAGATCCATCAACTAGGGCAAGAATATTAGCAAATGAATTTTGAGGATGGGAATTTAGGAGACAGGAAGGCGAACCGATAGCACCATACTTCTCACTACTTAGGAGAATTTCGTTGGATCCAAGGTCGCCATCAGGACCGCCAGTCTGTAGTTTCAACATTTTCCGTTGGTCGATGCCGAGCTTATTATAAATTCCAAGAACATATTCACGGACGCCCAAAGAGGTCATCCCATAGATATCATGAGGCATTCCACCCAAACTAGCACTTTTTCCAGTAAAGAAAGACTTCCAGAATGGTGCCTTTCTCCTCTTTGCATGGGTGGTGGCCCAATCAACTAAACCAGCTGTGTTTTCGTCTGGGCCCATGAACAGTGTCTCGGGTTTCTTATAATAATCCACAAGAGGTTCCTTAATACCAGGTACATCGCCTACTACCACAAGGTCAAGAATTGCGTCGATATATTTCTCAAATGCGTAAACCTCCTTGTCCTGATGGTTGGCGTCCAGGAGGATCACCCCTTTTGCACCACCTTCGGGAATGTCTTTGTTTTTGCGGTTTTGTGTATTTGCCAAATTATAGTTTTCGTCAAAAACAGAGCGAGAGTTCAAAGTATAGACCTCTTCATTGCGACTCTTCACGATCCTGATACCGCCGCGGGCAATATCACGGAACCTCTGTTGTACTGTTAGTGAGAGCCCCAAAAGAAACTGATACTGGCAATGGACGAACCAAATGGAACCCTCTAAACTCCGATCCAAGAACCATGAACATCCCAAACAAAGGCTGAGGATAATCCTTCGCCGGTAAAAAGCTCGGACAAATTCGAAAGCTGAGAGCAACCTTTGTTGGCGTATAAAAGTTCGTTTTCCTACCTCAAACCATTAGTCAAGGGAAATGCATGATACTTAGGGGTATTTCACTGACAAAACATGTTTGTTGAAGGTGATAAAGAATTTCATAACCCGCTCCTGATCTTCATTTCTGACGGAAGTCGTAATTTTAGCATTCAGTTCTTCTTCAGTCAAGACTGGATCACCCTTCAACAGTTGGGAACTGGTGAAGGACTGTTTCAGGATACTGGCTCCCTTGCGGCGTGGTTGAATATAGTGTTTGCTTGCAAAAGACAAGTAAAGCGCATGAATAAGAGCCGGATGCTCCTTGACGCACTTGAAGATATAATCTGCATTAAAAGTTTCATGAGAAAATCGACGCTTGAGATTACTCATAAGCTCGGCATGTGCGGTATTAGCGGGGTCGAGGAAGGTTGACAAAATCCCAAGCTCGCTACCTATTCGAAGGTTAGTATCCAACTTTCACCGATTTGAAGTAAGGGTTACCTACCAAATCTGTTCAAAAAGTGGCCCACAAAGTGACACACGCAATGAGCATAGATAGACTCCTGCAAGCTCAGCTTTCCACTCATGAAATGAGCCTGGAAGAGATTTTGTGGAATGCAGTTGAGTAAACTGACTTCCCTTACAATCTGTTCAATGCACACCTCGATAGGTGGGAAATTGAACTTGCATTCGGGATCAGGGGTAGACGCCAAATAAATGCAGATGATAGTCACTCCGTTTGAGAAATGCTCTATGATATAGTTAGTAAAAAATAAGTTTCCAAGTTTTTTTTCTTTCCATATTCATTATATATTGAGTGAGTTCATACCAACGTATTTCCTAAGTGAGGTACACCCGTGGTGGTGATAAAGATCACTAAGGGCAGAGAATAGACCCATTGTAGTGCCCTGTTTGAAACCAATAACGAGACGCATCTCCCTTTTGATTGGAACCATTTTAATCACAGGACCGGTGACCCTCACAACACTATTGATGATCTCCTGGTAGATTCTTCTTGTATTTGGCGTAACCTTTTCCAAGAAAGTCTTATCGGAGATCACGTCAAGGTCAGTCTCGCCTTCCAGGGGAGTTGGATTGGCAAATTCACAGAGATACAAGAAGTAGCATCTCAGTTTGTAAACACGTGACCTAAAGGACTCAAGACGCCATGACCTTTTGGGGGTTGACCCATCGAGGTATTTGGTATCCATAAGTTGTTCATAACGAGCTCCCGAAAGGACAGATACACCGGGCTCGGTGGAGTCAAAGAATACTGCGTGATCTATAAAGGAAAGTTAGACACTAGCTTTTAAGTTCAGGAAAAAGGATTAAATACTTTGGGATTCCGTTGCAAAACAGATATCGAGCACCTTCTTCCTAGAAAATGAATGCACCTTCGCAGCATACAGCGACAAAATATTGTTTGCTACATTTTCCTAAAACAAGTTAGCTAACATCCCTCCCTGGGTTAATTGAAGCAGAATCAGATATACTTACGACTGTCTCAGTCTTGAAATACGAATCTACAAACAAATTAGCTCCAGTAGCAATCGAACAGAATGTTTCAGGATACAAACCATCAATGCCGAGAGACTTATAAAATGACTCAGTCTCACGCTCAATAAATTCATCTGGGATGTACGATACTCCTTCAAGGTAATTCATGACTGGTGCAACCGTTAGTCACGGATAACTAGAGAATTAAAAAAAAAAGCTGACTAGTCAACACTTACCGATGAACATCTGTTCGTCTTTGCCAGGGAACTGGCCTGGGAAGTAGCCATCATTGTGGTTTTCTGGTAGAGGAACTTCATCCTTCAAGATGCGGCATTCCGGTGCAGCGGGGATGGGGGGCCACGGATTGGCACCGTTGCCCCTGGGGGGCATGACAGTGAAATTGGCTGCCATGAGTTGATGATGAGTGTGTAGAAAATTAATTTTTTTTTGAAAAGTCAACTGATGATAAGTTAGTAAATGTAATTCAACTTGAGCAGTCTTTGATAAATTGAGCAGCAGAATAATACTTAAGCAAATGATGGTTGCTGAACGATGGGCGGGAATTGGGATAACTTACAAGAGGATGGTTGAATATTTTACTGAACGTGCTCAGTCTAAACAGATGGTATTATCACGATGAATTGAGTTGGTGGGGATGAGTTGTGGAGTAAAGAAGAGAAGAAGAGGTTGAGTGGGAATTTAGAGGAAAGGTGGGATGGGGAAGTGTAGCTTTTAATTTATCAATCTGCCGGTCAAAAGGGTCTTTTTGGTGCATGCATGCTCCGATTTAAAGTTTCCCAGTGTCTCTGAGCATGTCACGTCAGTCTGCCAGGCCCCTTAACTACATGTATACCATGTAAAACATACGCCCCGACGGTCGGGCGACTGCTCGGCAGTACATGTCAAGCCTTTCGTACCTACTGTGCTCTAGTTTTCTACCAGCATGGTCGTCGACTTGAGTGAGCTCGAGGCTACAAATGGTTACCACCGGCGGAACGGCTAACAAGACTGGCAAGTACAGAGAATGGAATTGGTATCCAAGCCCTGTAATTCTAACTATTTTAATCCTTTTAAGAACGAACACGATATAACAGAACACAAAATACCATCTATCACAGATCTTGAGTACATGTATGTCTTTATCTTCGCAATGAATCAATTAATTAACCAATTAGATCTTTATTATCTTCATGGTTGATCACTCGAATCGGGTGCGACTTGTTTAAGGACAGAATAATAATAACAATCTCATACTCGTATGCAACCGTGCGGTTATGGCGACATTCAATGGATTATATTACTGCTGCCCTTATTTGGCTTGTTCAAGGATGATATCAAGGGGACGGGAGACAGAAGTCTGCTTATTAACAGAATAGAACAGGTATTGAGTTAGGTATGTGCATGTGGTCAAGTAAAGAAGTCTATATGGCATTCCTACTACGGCCTCTTCTGAAAAGCCATGTATCTAACAACTAGTAGAAGGTTAATTACATGTAAAGTGTGTGGATATGGGCGATTTTCTGCTTGTACTTGCGTGGAAGGCTTCCCGCCGTAACCCTAGACTACCGGTCGCGGCATCGGCCCACACAGCTTCGCAAAGCTTAAATTGAACCCGGTACCTTTCACACAGCCGAGCACACACCTCTCTACACTACCGTAGCGCCTCGTGCGAAGAGACTTATAAGAAGCAACTCCCTTGTATCGTCAACACTACACCAAATGAAGGAGGTTTATGCCTCTGGGCCTGCCGTGGCTGACTTAGCAAAGCAAGCCTTCCCCAGCGAGCAGTTTCGGCCGTTTGTGGCGGGTCGTTGCGGTTGGTGCTGGCGATTACGTTATTGTCAACGTTTCGGTATTGAGTTCGGGCGTGGCTCCAAACTACATGTAAATGTACATACTCTTGTACTTATGTCTTGGAGCCATCTTGTCCTCTAAACTGTACCTATAAAGAGTGAGTCTTCTCCCCTCTTCCCTGGTTTTGATCATCAGTTCATGCATACAATAGATTTCAACTCATCGATTGTCTACTCTAAAGGCCATCTTTGAAAACAGCAGCCGTGTAGGTAATTCTCTGAATTAATCAGTACCTGCATGCAAAGCAAGCACGGTACTAAGTGTGTCGAGCTTAATCAATGCCTAGCTCAACCAGGGCTGTGTGCAACACCAGTGGTCACTCGTCTCTTGGCATTTCCTCAACCGAGGGTTCGTGATGTCGCTAGTTGTACATGTCTTCTTCTGTCCCTGTGTTTATCGACGTTAAGCTAGCTGATCACATTACAAACGAGTGTCGACTCTTGGGGGAGTATATGTAGGTGTATTCAATTGATGGGCCAACACTTCCATACTCTCCGCCGTACAAACACCGCCCTTAAACCTTCTCTCTAACGGATTTTGGCCCGATTTGATCTCTCGGGACATTACTGCGACCCTTAAAGCTTGACTGAACCAGCTCATTCCCGCCGGTCCCCCACAACAACGACGTCACCTTTCTGTATCCGCTTTCCCCACAATATCCACTCACGCCGAATCACTATCTTTAATTTCTCTAACTTACTTTAGGGTACTTGGAGTACTTCAGTAACCTAAAGTACTTACTCTACATGGCGGTCATGACCGTCCAGTGACGTCCTAACCCCGTACCCCCTGCCAGGGGTTCAGGGATCCTGGATCAGGGCAATGCGTCCGGATGTAGCCGCCTGCGTCATACCGCCGAGAAACCCTTGCATTTGCATGCCTTACTTTCCCTGTTCCACGTGCCTGCATGCAGCTCTCGATAAATTTCGATGCCCTTTAATATTCGACTCTCTCGCCTCCTTCTCTCTCATGCTATTTTATTAGACAGATTTTTTTTATTTTGTTTGGCAGTTCTTTTTTGGAACCACTGAGTATATACCACGAATTAACGGATCTACGAACTGAACTCCTACCAGCTTCTACCATATACTAGCTATTTCTATTGCTATTTCCATCTAAGACTGTTTCTGCGACATAGCTACATACATCGCCAGCTGCTGTTATTCCACGTCTCGGTGTTTTAGCGGAAAGATTCTTTTGAGCGAGTTGGAGACCGACACGCGCGCGAGGCATTGATCTTGGTTCAGCTCATCGCTTTGCATTCATCTACAATCTACATACTTAGCCAGCCATCCAGGCGTCCAGTCATCCCGGCGTCCAGCAAGTTAGGCGGCCAGCAGAAGAAAAAGAAAAATCGAGATAAGAGGTATGGAGACATGTAGATTGCCTGTGGGAGATGATACGTCGGTGCTGATTTACCTATTATTATTAAAGAGGACGGTCTCGAGACGCTGTAACTAGTATATAAGACTACTGCTGTACACACAGACGCATCGAATTCCCACCAGCTCTGCCTACATCTACAATATCTACGACCGAGGCGGTCTACCATTACTACTCACTTGACCCATTTCACCTACTTTACACAAACACAGACACAAACACGCAAACACACAAACACAATGTCCTCAAAACCCACAAGCACAAGTCGGTCCTCCCGCCACGCCAGCTCCCCCCTCATGGCCTCCATCTTCTCCCTCTTCAGCCTCAATCTCTTTACCTACATCCTCTCCTACCTCAGCTGGGCTTCGCGGGTGCTCGCGCTGCGGTGGCGGCGCCTCAAGGATGCGCTATTTTACGAGATGATGCTGCTGCTGCTGCAGCCGAATCCGGTGGTGCTGCTACTCATGTGGCCCGGATGGATTGCAGTTGCGGGGGTGTGGTGGTGGTGGGGTAGGGATGGGGGTGTGGCGCCGGTGGGAGTGTAAATAGAGAGAGCGTGAGGGGTGTATGTATGTATGTGCAGATAGAGAGCGGGGGGGGGGGGATGAGATGGAGATGGAGTTTTGGGGGGGGGATTTCTTTGGGTTGGGAGTTGGGATTGGGATTCGATTGGAATTGGAATTGGGTTGTATATACCCGCACGACTATATTTTTTTTCTTTTCTTTTGTGTAGATTTATTTTTTCCGTTCTTTTCTTTTGTAGATGATATTTCTGTTTTTCTCCTTTGTGAATTGTCAGAGGGTATTATTTTTCTGTATATTGTCATTATCTCACCCGGCCGGGGTGCAGTTGTATATTTGGAAAGCGTTGTTTATATGAAGGAGGCAGATAATGCATATATTTGGATGCGATACGGCACGGTTAAGGCACAGACAAACACACAAAAACAAACAAAAAAACACTCAGTGCGCAGTGCAAGCAATCAAAAAAACATGCGCCTGAACCGGACGTCACGCAGCCCAGCCAATCCCGTGTCTCGCTTCCCACAAACAAATCATCGATAAACAACTTAAGCCCGACCACGCCCGGCGCTGCATGATAAGGAAATAAACTCTTCTGTCCGACTACATCGATCTTCTTCTTCTTCTTCTTCTTCTTCTTCTTCTTCTTCTTCTTCTTCCTCTTCATGCGTGACAATTTATCCATCTGCACGTTACTTACCCGTCGGCGCCACACCCGCACACCCGTCGTCATCGTGCCCGCGCCCGCGCCCGCTGCAACAAACAAATTAACAAACAACAGCTATGTAGCTGCAAGCAACTACTCCGCCCTACTGGCCCTCCAAGCCCTCTGTCGCAATCGCCCAGAATCCAACCTCCAACACGATCGCCCTCTCGACCGCCGCCCTCGCCTCGTCCTCCCTCCACCCTTCCCCGCCCCTCACCGCCGCCGCCTCCGCCTCCAACACGCCAACATACTCCGAAAACTCCTTACTTGACCACCACTCCACAAAGCCCCTCACATTCTCGTCCAGCGCCCCGCTCTTAAATGCCTCGCTCTCGCGCACCGTTATCATCGCGTCTAGATACACCTTCTCGCATATCGATAGCACCGCCAGCAGTGTCATCCAGTGCGCCCCGCCTTCCACACACAGCTCCATCAGGAAGCGCATATACACCACGCACCCCTCGGCGGCGGTTGGCGTGAGCTCTGCCAGAACCTCCATGGGGTCGCGGGCGGCCTCGACGCCGGGGTCTGGGTGTGGTGCGGGCAGGGCTGGGAGGGCCACGCCGCGCGCGGCCGCTTTGGACCGGAAGAGGGAGAGCTCGCTGAGGAGGGTGATGTAGCCGGCGATGAGGAGCGGGTGCAGCTTTGTGGTTGGCGGGAGCGAGCAGATTAGGTGCGCGAGGAAGTGCGTGCCCGCGTGCACGTAGATGTAGTCATTGCGGAGCCAGGTGTTGAAGTTGGCCGCGGGGAGGCAGGCGGAGGAGAGGAGGGTTATGAAGGGGGCGGAGGTGGTGGCGGGCGTAAGGTCGAGGGACCAGGCTTCTGTTAGGCTGGAGGCGGACATCGTGAGTATATATGGATTTGAGGCTGGCCAGCTGGGTGTTGATATCTCTGGGTCCGGTTGCTTCACGATCGCCGGAGCGGAGTGGGGTTAAGTAGTTGCAAGGCTGCATGCGGTTAGCTAAGCCTAATAATTGCTTTTCCTTAATAGTCACGAAAAGATGCGTTCCGATCATTGGTACTAAATGCTAACTGTCAGATGTCAATGATCAAGGGTCCGTCATCTTCTGGTTGTTAGCGAAGAGATGAGGGACATGCCGGGTGTGGTTTAACATGAACAGTATCCGAAGTACTATAAGCTGTTTGGGTGTGCGATTCGTTCATGGGATATACCCCTAGATAGAGGTGATTGATTGTGGAGGATTTACCCTTGCCTCTGCTAATAAAAATATAATATAGTTAATGATGACAATGGGGTGGGGACCAGACAAGGTTCAGTACTCACAGTATTGCGAAACTCCCAACTACATATAATTTCACCAGATGTTGAGTTTATGGGCTCTTTGCACAGTGTATGTATAGTAGGGCTACTGTCTGTGCAATTTTCAGCAAACCGTGACATTTTCTAATAAAGAAGGCTTTCTAGGCTACTAACGCAAATATATCAGCGGAGAAACATTAAACACCAATCTCCACTGGGCATAAATATGTACCTAGTACCTGCACATCAGGAGATCTGGTGATTCCAAAGCAAAAGTTTGACGATGGGACAAAACGTTTCAAAACTCCGGTGTTGCGGGGTTTTTCTATGTGATGCTTTAAACGAATCGAAAGAGGATGGATGAGGTTCACCGACATCAAGCGCGCTACTTATTGACCTGTTAATGGATACGTTTCAAGACGAGATTATACTTACCTACGTGACATCAACAAACCCTGAGTGAGGACATGTACGTGTCCTAACACATAATCCACAACGCCTCTTCGTCGATAATCTCATATTCTGCCTTACTCTTACTAAAAGAAAGCAGAAGATTGAACGAAAATATTTAGGTATAAACCGTAGATAACAGATGAGTCTCCCCCCAGAAGAGACAATTCGCACCTTTCCGACTCTGGTAATAAAGCGTAAAAATCCCGCCCGAACAGCTCAAAGCCTGCCAGGATACCAGTAATCAACAGTTATAACTACACAATATTTACTACATTTAATTTATTGCAATTAACACTTCCCGCTCTCCCCTACTTATCCCCGTAAGCAGCAAAAAAAAAAAGAGAGGGAGGGAAAGAGAGGGGGAGAAGAAAAAGAAAAATTAGAAAAGAAAAGAAAAGAAAGAAAAGAAAGATTTCTAAGCAGAAATACAACAGCCCTCGGGGGACCATCTCCTCTGGTAAGCGTCCTACTGATATCATGATACCCGATCGGACGCATTATTCAACTATGCTACCGAACCTATTGCTTATACAGTGGCTGCTGGGGCGGGTTTTAAAGATTTAGTGAGATAAAGAGATCTATGAGCCAAGTAACTCCGTCTCGGCGTCTACTTTAGGGTGGCGGCATTTTTTTTCTTTTTTATTTATCCTGCTCATGTGATTGATACACTCAGCCCTAGTACATGCAGGTATCCGGGCCCTTATGTAGGCCCTGATTGGTAACCAGACAAGGCGGGGCCCCGGGGTATTATTGGCATAAACTCTCACTCTACTCGCGACTAGCAACAAGAACCCGAATATGCAGCTGCAAGTCTTTGGTGTATTTTTGACTTCTACTCCAATGGAAATTGCAGATTAGGACGTGCATTTTCGGGTTCTTGTTGCTGGTCGCGAGTAGATAACAACCGATCCAGAATTAACAGTTTTCCAATTCCTGAGCTAGCGAACTATTCATTATGCACAAGTAGCTTTTTCATTCACTGGCTATCACTCGATAAGTTACAATGTTAAGCGTTCATCTGACAGGGATTTGGATCACCGTCCATCACTCGGTCTCTTATCGATGTTAATATTTGAACTCAACACACCTAATCCTATTAAATTCGGAACGTAAATAAAAAATTTGAGCTCCCCTCCACCCCGTTCGATCTTGGATTGTTCGTATCACCTCATTTTGTCCCTTTCTAACTTATCTAACCCACACTGGACGCAATCTCACGCACTTTTGTATGTATATCACGTGTAAAGTCCCTAATCTTGCTAGCTACTACCTGTAGTATTGTACCGTATACCACATGTCCTATATATAGATAATTTGACTGCATTTAATTTAGTATTCTCGCTTGAACCCCTTGCCGATATAATCTAGGCACGCCCGGGAGACCTGGCCTTTGTTTTGTTTTTCTGGCTGCATCTACTCCATCCAAACACATCCGCCTATTCCCCACTATATTAATCCCAATCATCAAAGATCCTTTTTAAATATCTCAAAACATCTCTTGTACGGCTATTGTACTGTCTTACTCCTACCTACCATATTGGACCTTTCTTCTCTCGCCGACAATACCTCTCTCATCTGAGCAATCAAGCACTCATCGGGTGCGGCACCTTAGGTTTCTACCTACAGCATTCTTGCAGGGTGCCTGTACTGCTTCCTCCACAATAACTACCTTATTCCCACCCAATTGATAGTCCCGCGGGGTCCCCCACAGAGAGTACGCCTTGCAAATTAAACAAATTTCCCTTTGATGCTCCTGTAGGGTGTCTGTACTGCTACCATCTTGAGCAAAAGATGGTGGGGATAGGATTTCAATATCCGTTACCTCCTCCTCAGAAGTAGTTGGGTCAACCTTCAACTCGAACATTGGGCCAAGCTTGATATGAGAAGGTATGTATCTTATCTGCCCTGATATCACATGTATATCTGTCCGTATCTAATATATTTCAACAGCACTGAGCCCGCTTCCCCGGGCCAAAATTTAATCTCCAGTCCAACCCTCCCTCTACACAGAGACCAGCAAGCTCTCGACATGGCTGGCGGCTGCCATTAGACCCCACAAAACCAGTCCTCTCGACCGGTTTTCAATATTGGGTCGCTGCCGGGAGGGTAAGGACTTCCACCCATGTACCGCGAACGTCAGAAACGGCTTTTGGAGACAGTCGGGTCAACTGGACAATAGCCTTATAATCCTAGACGAGGCCCATATTATCGAGGTGGGTTCGTCTTTTTCTTTCTTTATAAAAGAGCGTTGGTAATTAACAACATCTTTTATCAACATAGTCTTCTATAATATTCCGTTACGATTGATACCTGGCCTCGATGCATGGAGGCGGGCGCTGCCAGTTCGTTCTTCGCACTCGTGCTGCTCTCGAGGTTCCAAAATACCAAGTTACCGTGAAGGTTCAAAACAACCTAATTTGAGGTACGTACTGAAGAGTTGCCAATTTGAATAATGAGTTTCTGTGGCTAACTTACAAAAAAAGGACTCAACAAAACCAAACGGATATGAACCTTGATTTCCTTGAGAGGTATATTCCTTCTGTGTGGCTGGTGCCTCATATTGCGTGTTTTATATAGAAGCTCTACATCCACCAGTGTAATTACTCCTACTCCATCCAATGATATATATATTCCTATTGATTTGAAGGCCATCAACCGCTAACTTCACGTTTTCAGAGCCTGTTTTTTCTTTCTTTTTGCCTGTACACCTCTGGGGGCGAATAGAGGCTAGAATGTCGAAACAGAGAGGGCGATTGCCTCCCTCCAGGGCGGGGGTGCCGAACGGGGGGGGGGGAGGTTGTCTCCTCATGGCTTCTCGGTCTGAGATCTCAGCCATATCGAGCACACCGCCGGAGGCCGTTAAAGGCATCCTCTCCCTACCAACTCCGCTATAGCCATCCTTAGGGCTGGCGTGCTTATTTTCGTGGATTTCTCTGCGGGTTTATCAGTGTTAGCTCTGGTATCTCTATCCAGGTTTGGTGGTTCGCACCATGGCTACCCCAATTGATACCTGTCCTACCTGTTTCGAGCCACTACCACCAGCACGGCCACCAAGCTATTCCAAGAGGGTCTAGTAAAATGCCAGAGGCCTACACATATTATGAAATGTGGAGAATGATCTCTGCCCAAACTACTCCTATTAGCTATCATTTAGAGCTTTGTCCTAGACTGTATAGGAATAGTAGGGTGTTTATCCAGAACATCCTCCCTTAGGTTCGGTTAGGTAATGATTTGGAGTTCTGGGGAAAGGTATTGGGCACCTTTGGAAGAAGGGGAAAGATGAATACTTAATTCAGAGTTCAGTCGAGCATTTCGCAATACGCCCCATAAGGTTAAAAAAGCAAAATATAAGCATGGCAATCAGAAGGATTACGCCATAACCGACACCGACCCCCGGTACGGCACCTTACCAAGCCCCTACGATATTTCTGACGACGAAGATGCACCCGCTCCTGCCGTATCACGTACTGCCGTCGATGTCCCTGTTGCGCCTGTAGCACCGATTAATGGGGGTGGATGTAAAGATGTAGATGTCGATTCTGGCGCCAATTCAGATGCCAATTCAGGTGCCGAAGAGGCATCTGACGACGACGGGGAGGAGGAGGAGGATTAATTGCGTAATACCAGAATAGATTAGATATTAGATTTGCTGTAATATCGTTGCTTTTTACTATAGTACACCTAATCAACCCCAAATCGCGCAATTTGACGTCAAGAACCTGAATACGTATTATACCACGTGATTCCCAAATTAACCTTATTTACACCAAAAAGCAATATCTAAAGTTTCTCAGCCTCCAAACCTGACGAAATTCCTTAATTTTGATGTACTTTGAGATGTAAGTAATGCTAATAGACAAAGGCCTTATTACAGGCTCCTTACGGCTTAGACCAAATCGGTCTTGTAATTTATAGAGAAAGGGCGGTGAAGTACTTCATGAGAGATTTCGGGGGACTATGGGGCCTTTGGGTTTAAATTTCGTAAGAACCGTATCCCCACATCGTCAACGGTTGTTCCGGCATTAAAAGAACTAATAAGAGTTGGACGTATGGATTGGTTTTGAGGGCGATGTATGGTTTCATCTTCTTATCCTCGATGCTATAGCACTCTTCTAACAAAATTATAAATATGATTTTTACATCTCGATCTCACAAATTCGCTCGAAGATGTCGCTCCTTTAGAACTCCCAATAGCGACGAGTGACTACCTATGATCCATATATTCCTTAATTCCGGTAAATATACAGGGCGGTCGGGCGATGATGCAAGCTGGTGTTTGTGATAAACATGAAACTTTGTGTTTTGTTAAACTGTATCCTGATAGGGTGAGGAAGCTGCTGCCTCCTAGCGTCGGGGCTACCGATATTTCTGGGATATACGCCCATGGGCTTAAAGCAAAGTACTGGTAGAAAAGTGCTTGCTGATTGGCTTAAGTCACGGGAATATGCATACACCACTAGTTTTCCTCCCACTACTTTGCTTTAAGCCCATGGGCGTATATCCCAGAAATATCGGTACTCTTTATGTTTACTCCGGAGCCTCTAGCTCTCCATCGCGGCCAGATATATTCCTTGGCATTCTTCGGATGCTTCTAAACTACATCATGTATAACCCCACATTCTGCTGCTGGGACAGCCAAAAGGCCCCAAGAGTCGAGAAAAGACCGTCGAGACCCGAATAAAAAGAGTCCTCGCTAATCTCGCCTCGGGCGAGGTTTTTCAACAATATCGCAATCTCAACTCCCTCATTGTTGTATGGAAGTTAAGTTGTCGGGAGAAAGATGCAAGGTGCAAAGTCCTCGATCTTCTCCTCAGAAAGTTCACTAATACCAACAATCACGGTCAGCTCGAAGGTATCTTATAGGGGATAAATCTCCCAGTCCCTCTAGTAAGTCTCATGCGATGAGAATTGATAATCGTGGCTCACGTTAATATAATAGTGGCAGCGATCCGTTATATTTGAGCTTTTCGACGGCTACTACTCTTGTAGGCCCTCCCCCTCTAGGGTCTAGTTTCATCCTGTCTAAGCGTGCATACATCTCGATTGTCTTGGCCTTAGGTCTGTTGTTCTTCGATTCAGTTGGTTGCAGTTGGTGCAAACACTAAATTCTCAAATCACTTCCAGGACCTTCTAAACACACATGTACAGCCTTATATCAAAAGTACAGGGCATGGCGAGAACGTCCTTAATTTCTCGAGCTAGCCTGAACGAGTGCGAAGCTAAATCATCGACCATAGTTCCGGATGATAGTTGGGTTTACTGGCTAGCGGACTCTACCTACTGCCTACATGGCTGAATTCTCGCTCTCAAATCAAGATCTGCAGAAGCCCATGAAATCGAACCCTTAGACTATTCGATAACTAAAAACTACCCGAGAGGCCTAAAACCACCCTAATGAGCGGAGCTTAGATCACGGTCTACCTATATCTCTAATCCCCCTTACCTGTCTCTACCTCAGGCCCAAACTCGATGGTGGGTAATTATTTCCAGCTAATACGCAAGTAAAAAACTACTAACAACTACCAAACAATGGGCCAACCACTTACCGAGTCCGTACTTGATAGTTGTTCTCAACACATAAATTTGGGCTCTGAAGAGAAAGGTTAGGCTACTGCTAGAACACACATTGGGCGGAGAACATAGACGAACAGGAAGAGCCTTATTCATCAATCCTCAATTGATCAAGGCTGCAATTTCCTCTCTGTAGGGAGGATATGAATACCCTCAAGATATCGTTTCTGGTATCTGGATTTCTTCACTTTTGACGCGATACTGTGGTTTTTGTCATGGCGGGGGTGGTTAGGATGAGTGATTCCTTGTGATTCTATTTAATCCATGAGCTGTATATGACAATGGTCATAGAGCCCAGTCACCAAAGTGTGTGCCTCGTGCGCAGCATGCAGGCCTAGAATAAATAAGGTTAGATCAGCGGTGCACCTTGCTAACACTCGTAGGTACAATTGTTTATATAATCACCCAATATATGTACCTAGGCATTCTTCATCCTCCTACCTCGAGCGCCTAGCTGACTTGTACAACTAGAGGCGCGATCTACAAGCAATCGATCAACTATAACCTTACTCTTGATGAATACTGCTTTGAACTATATTCACTATGAATCATAATTTGTCAGAGCTATAGGCAAATTATTCAGACAACCAAGTTGCTAATTTATATTAATTTCGACACGTTGATTGCTCGAAGGGCCGGTGTCTTATGGCATGGACATCACGTAACTGAAACTGGAGCGGGTAGGACTCCGGGGTAACCATACACTAACACGGGTACTTCCGCTTCACTGGAAAGTCCCGCTGGATTTCTGGATGTTATAGTTTGATATGTGCAATTGGTAAAATCATCCCCCACCCATCTAATTTACAGTATAATTCCTAGGTATATTAAAGAAAGAAAAAACGAAAACGCTTGCCGCAGTGTTTGGAGAGAATATAATGAAATTATGAGAAGGAAAACAGACCGTACGCGCCATCCCAAGAAACACACGAAAATTACTTCAGGAACTATCGCTTTCCAGCGCCTTTCCCAAACGACAAGCTATATCCTCCTGTCTTTTCATCCTTCACCATTCCGAAATTATCCGTGCTCAGTCCAAATGGTCTCAGCAATCCATTACCCAGCTGTGGCCGCAGATTAGCAGGTGCGCTCCTGGATCTCCTTCACACAGGGAAACTCACGTCCTTCAACTTCCCCAAAACCTCACATGTATCCTTCTCTCTTGCCTCCTCAATCCTTCTTGGCAACCACTTCACTTTCTCCTCCAAGTCCCTCTTCTCTCTCTCGGTTAACCCCTCACCGTTTTTCTCCAGCAAAGCCATGTAGTCCTCATGTGCACCCTGTAAACTTGACCAGCCACCAATAGCCTCCCTGCCCTTTGCGCGGCGATACAGAGCCTTCGACCATCCAGGCCGGCCTTCTAACGCCTTTGTAGCGCTCTTGACAGCCTCTGCGGGATTCTGAAGCTTCAAATGGACCGCAGAGATATTATTGTGAATTGTGGCGGCCTCATAGGTCAGATACACGGGGCAATATTCCAGTGCAAGGTTGTAGGCGTCCAAGGCAGCCATGAACAGAGAGGATGTAAAGAGTGTGTTGCCAGATAACCGGTATGAGTTGGATTCGGCCAATAAGCGCTATGGTAGCCTAAAGTCAGCGACACCCTTCCACAGTACAGTCACGTTGCGCCAACAGTCGCGCCAGGAGCTTACCTTTTCCTCCTCTTCTGGAAAGCGCTCTCCAAACCCAAGCTCATGTTCAGTGGCAGTAGCACTGGAGCTTGTTGTCATAGTCATATCCTCATCGACGTCCACCTTGACACTCGGGAACGCACTAGCGCCTAGCGGGTCCGCGGGCTGCGAGCATCGCTCGAGGCTCCTGATGTAGTCCTGCTGTTCGTCAAACATCTCCGTGTCTTCTGCTGTGGCCGAAGAAGAGGCGGCGGTGGTAGCTTGTGGGAGCGACATAATTTATATGTATAAATCGGGTCGGAGTCGGGGGTGTGTTTGCTAGGAGGCGGGGCGATTATTTCCGGAGTGATAAGCTTGAAGTAGGTAAGTGATGCAAGGGAGAGCGGTAAGCACGTGATGCGAGATCTACGGTGCAGTTTGAGATGAGAGGCTGTCAGTGGGCAGTGGGGGCACCGGGTTCCAGGGCCTCCGTGAACTCCGAGCTGTGAGACATCATTCCCGTGGGGTGACACTCGGGAAACTCTAAATCAGTCACGCTGGGAGTAATTCCCATCACTAATACAATATTCTGGAGTCATTATTACCACTAAATTCTAGTACACTCTGGGGTACTTCCTGCTACTATTTAACGAAAATAGTGAAGTATCTCAACTTCTCTCAGGAATCACTTCGTGAGAGGCAAATACTAACCCTACTGCCGTGCCGTACTCCGCAGTAGCCGAGTTTTGGGTCCAAATATGGCATCTAGAAGCAAAGCGGGGGAATTACATCCCCGATCGCGAGACAGCCAATTTTAAGGGGTTAGACCGTGTGCACCTGTGTCGAGCATGTACCTGTGCCGAGCACCTTATAATAAAGGCAGCATTTTAGCCACCATTTGGAGCGGATCCCTAGAGATCAGATAAGATGCTCGGCACAGGTACATTCTCGGCACAGGTGCACACGGTCTACGTTCTGTGCATTTTTTTTTCTTTCGAGGATCCAAGATTTTATACCTCGGCTAGATTAAGAATTAGTCTTGGCATTTTGGTAAATGATAACATTTACTGGATCCATCAAGCGAAATCGCAACCCAGGCGTTCGGGGTGATTGTTCGTCCGCCCGAAAAATTTCTTTTTCATACCTGGGAAGCTTGTCTCACACAACAATTAATACAATAATTAAATTTATGCACGGGTAATAGAGTGGCCTTAGTACAACGAATAACCCAATAGGGATGAGAATATATCAATTCGCGTCGGGTGATCTTTCATGACGGAGTCTTGAACCAGGCCCTAGAGGGCCTCCAAATAATGTGAAGGAGTAAAAAAAAAAAAGGCGATTCATGAGATTCAAAATTTGTGTAAGCACTGGTATTCAATAGAAACACAATACGGCCACGGGGTATCTCAAATACCGCTTCTTGCAAATATTCACCCGACTCCGATCTTCATCAACCAATCGCCACACCCACTTATCTAATTATTCAACAAGATTCCATATCTTGCATAATCAAAATTCTCCAGCGTGTCCCTCAACTCTCCACCTCCATCACCAATCTCCCCGGGCGTCCCCTTATCCAAAACCAACCCGTGTCCATCATCTCTATTCGCCTCACCCATCCTTCCCGCCAATACCAAATCCTCCTTTCCTTTGTACTCTTTCAACAGCCCCGGATGCGGTACCCACACGACTTTCATTCCCGCCCTTCTCCCCGACTCCGCTCCCGGAACCGAGTCTTCAAACACCAGACATTCTTCGGGGCGAATCTCACCCTTTCCCTCACTCGCTCTCCGTTCATTAATTAATCTCAAGGCTAGCAAATAGATATCTGGCGCCGGCTTTCCTCTCCCCTGAGGTACTCGTGGGTCATCGCCGACAATTCTCTGAGATTCGGGAAAGTGCTTAAAAAGATGCTTCATATGAGCTGTCTTCAACTCAACATTGACACCCACCGACGAGGTTGCCAACGCCATCTCCATCTTCTCGTGGGGCACCGAAGCGGAAGAGGACGCTGCTAGCGTGTCCAACATATCTAGGACACCGGGGAGAGGCCCGCAGGTAGGGAAGTATTCGCGGTGCAGCTCCGCCAGGCGCACTTTATACTGGTCATAAGGAATCGGGAGTTGCGCCCAGTCCATGAAGATTTTGGTTGCCTAAAGTTTGTTTGGATTGTTAATGAGGTCTCTGTGACCGGGGCTGAGGGGGGAAGAGCATGACGTACAGCAGGCCCGGGGCGGCCTTGGAGCTGCGCTTTGATACTCCATGGCATTTCGGGGCGGCCGTTCTCGCGCAGGATTATGTTGATTGCCTTGGTGTAGATATCTTCGGAGTCGATGAGAAGGCCATCCATATCAAAGATACAGGCTCGGATTGGGGTGAAGCTGTCCGTACCGCCCAGCCTGTCAGCGCCGGGAGGTTAACCATTAAGGCGAGCAAGTAGACATACTTGTTTGGAATAAGCATCTTGAATCCTTTGGAGACTTCCGGGGTCTATTGACTCTAGCTATGTGAGATTGTGAGTGTTGTTGGGGTCGGGTTCAATAGCTTTTTCTGAATTTTGTGGGGTTAGCGGGGTATCGATCTTGCTATCTCTTGCCACGTTTGAGATCAGTACCCTAACCGAATATGGAGAGAAACTAGGCCAATGAGGGGGATTCTGTCGAGCAGCCGTGCCAGAACTTACAACTCTGAGGTTGTCTCTATCACGACTGCTACACACAGTTAAGCATGCAGTTTTGATCTGGACCGGGCTGCTCAGGGATAATATTTGATAACGAGTGTGGCGCCCGAGTGAGATGTGGTGCTTGAAAAGAAATCTTTGTGGGGAGTGGTTTGTTGAGGCACGTTACATATCAAATGAATCAAATATGACTTTTATTGCCGATTCTAAGCTTCAGACAGTACATGTAGTGTAGAAGTCCAGTAGTGAGATACTTACTAGCCCGGCCGAAAAACATCTCATTCGCTAACACCTGCATGCTGTTCAACAATAATCTGAGTCCTATGCATCCCTAAAAAGAAAATCCTCTTACCCTACCTGTGATAATATGTCCTAGCCCCCCACCCCAATGCCTTCAATTATATCTTCCCCTTCTATGCACCTGCTCCTCAAACGTTCCCCTCTGCGCCATCTAATCACCTTTGAGACTTTCACAATTCCGCGAACAAGTGTGATTGCATAGGTAGTGGCACCGGCCTACTGACCAGAAACCCAAACCACCTGCAGAAACGACTGCGATCCTCAGCCTGATTTGAAAAAAAAAGTGGACGGCTACGAAACAAAACGTTCCAAGAAATCATCAGTATCGACGCAGTACTACGCGTGGGCAACAGAACGGTTCGGTCCAGTGAACGAAAGAGTTTCTCACGGCTCGACGCCATGAAAATGTACTTCTAGACGGAGGCTTTCTCCACATCCTCATCAATCAACCACATAATTCATCAAGCCCTATGCTCCTCTCCAACCCGCTTACCGGAGGTGCTGACGCACCGCCTCTCAAACCTTTGGGACCTAGGGAAAGCTGGTTGACCTGCACCAGGGTGCCGCGGGAACCTGACGCTCCAGATCACTGTACGGTACTGTGGAAATCACGTCAACTGGGACAAAAAAACGGTATCGAAAATCAACCGCGGGGTGTTCTGTACCAAGATACAGCTAGCTGAGCATTGGGTTATTACCCATCTTTACGCCTTTGAATGGCCAGCAACAAACGCCAACGCACTGGCGGACGGGTTCTAGTCAAACTACGGCCGTACCGTAGTTCCTCATAGGCAGCCGTGGATAGCAACATCTCAACAAACGCACAGCATAGCACACACTCCAACGTTCATTTGTCACCGCCAACGTTCCAGCCTCCTTATGCTCCCACTATAGACCTACCCAAACCTACAGTGATTGATCGGGGGTTGCCTAATTACCCATCTAGGTGGAGTGTTTGCCGCATCTCACTGCTGTGTTTGGATCGCATCCCGGAACACGGACATTCAAAGCCAGCCAGACTTCGAGCTGGATGGCTACATGTTGGGCACGTTTGTGCCTAGAACACAGAGGGCTTCTACGAGGGCGAGCGTCCTTGGGTCCTTGCCTCGAGGACATGTCCTCGATGACACGCAATTACAGTGATCCAAAAGGACAAAGAACCTCGAGGACAATATCTGACCTTGTCTCGAGGACTTTCAAGGACAATTCTTGGCTATATTAAACACTTAATATACCCTAATTTGATGAGATCATGAATAAAAATAGCTTTCATTTTGAGGAATATCAATTTTTTTTTTTTTTCCTTTTTCGGTTTACCGGGTCATTCCTTTATCGTCCTCGAGGACAGCAGTGCCGGACTTCGAGGACAGCAGTGCCGGACTTCGAGGACAGACAAGAACAGAGATCGACGAGGAAAAGGTATCTCGAGGACACATCCAAACCTCGCCTCGAGTGTCCTCGTGGGCCACACACTGACAGAAGCTCGTCGGCTTGGCGCAGAGTGATAATTAATGATCGCAAAGCACGCAACACCCCATCTTGAGATTATAATCTTCTGAGGAGCCATTAGACCAGTCCATGTATGGACTCATCTCCAACCTTGTCTACCTATGTTATATTTTTAGGCTTGCAGATCTCTCCCTCTAAACTAACCTAGATTGGCATAACTGAAGCCCAAAGCCTTCAAACTATATCATCAACTATAGCGCGAGAAAGTCAAGTATGAAGAAAAAAGACTATGAGACAACCTCAATCTCTATTTGGGCGCTCTCCTTGAAGTGAAGAAAGCCGGCGGTATACTAAGAAGCTAGTGGTATTTTACTCAATATACGTACATAGTTATATCTTATCCCATGTACAGATTCGGGTTGGAAAAACAACAATGATACAATACATATCCCACGATCTTGCTATATTTTTTGTTCCAATCGGTCATTTTCCAGGAGGAAAGGCGGGCATGCTCCAACACGCAAGAAACCTCTTTTCAAGGCATAACTAGAGAAATGTCGTTAGTATGCACCACACGTATGGTGTGTGGCCCAAGTTGCATTGACATATGCACTCAGATACAATGCTCAGTTTATGCTTATTCTTTCAGATGTGCTATCACATATCCAGGCAGCTTCTTGTGACGTGAATCCCAACGGAAATTAAATTCCGCCTTGGCTCGTGTACTGCAACGCACTTTGCCTATTCTCCCTTGCGCAAGTGTATCCAATAATCGCCAGTATCCTCACGTGGTCGTTTTTAAAGTAATTTGAAGGTTCTTTGCGGTCTGCTTTAAGTGTTTAGGTATACTGTAGGCACGAGAGTGGCACAGATACTGTAGCCCGACAGTTATCAAATACCAGCCCATAATGAGCTCACGAACGAGACAGACCACCCGCGTTCAACGAAGGGGGCGGTTTACTATAAAATCACTACTCTTAGTTAGATCTCGGGGCTATATAGTACTAAACACCGAGATGACCGTTTAAGAGTCAGCTCTTGCCTTGTCTAAAGTGCGAATAGATCTCAAAATCTACCCAGACATGCACCCCAGAATTTGCTTCCGGGGAGCCGCGAACACATCCGCGACTAGGATCCTAGCGAACCCTTCCTAATAGTCTAATGATCAACAAACGTAAACGGGGAATGGAACGACAATTCGATCATTCTCAACCACCGCTCCACGAGATGGATTCGCGAGAAAGCAAGAACCCGGAACGAGCTGGCTAAATAGAGACGCTTTATATTATTTTTTCGCCTCAACTATATTCGCCTAAACGCAATTCTTAAAAAATGCGGGGGAATTCCCCACAAAGGTCGAGATATCCGGATAAACCCCTGTAATCAACGGAATAGAGGGGCGGGGCATGGGGAGCTGCTTACTTGCATGGGGGAAATCTTTAAAAAAAAAAAGTGTTAAACCTGAAATCTAGATGAACTAGTTGTGAATAGAAATAGAGGACGCTGTCCTTTTCCCGGTTTTACTTTGTGGGTTCTGTAGTTCAATCCCAGGTTCAGCAATAATCAAACGCGATGTCTCCACCTGCTACCGTGAACGCAAAATTCATTGATCTTGTTAAAAATGATCATACGCCATGGTACAAAAAACCGAATCTTCGAAGCCTATACATGTTTCTAGTTCCTGCGGCTATGGGGGTCGAATGGACGTCAGGCTTTGATGGATCTATCATGAATGGATTGCAGGCTGTTAATACCTGGGATGCCTGTATGCAAACCTGATTCAGTATGCCTATATATATTTGGAGAATAGCTACTAAACATACCATAAGACTTCAATCACCCCCGAGGGGCTATTCTTGGGATCATGAACTCAATATACTCGCTTGGAGCCTTGTCAATGATGCCTATTGTCCCCTGGGTCAACGACAGGTATGGACGTAGGATTTCTATCATTGTTGGAAGCATCATCATGGTAGTTGGCGCGATATTACAAACGTGCTCAGTACACTGTAAGTTTTCCTGCGGTTAGAACCTCTTAAACACAGCTTTAATATAAAAGAATAGTGGGGATGTTTCTTGCCTCCCGCTTTGTGCTTGGAATGGGAATCCCATTTGCGTTATCAGGTAAGGCACGAACCCTCAACTACGTCGATAAATACTGAAAACAGCTTTGCTTGTGTTGTAGGAGGTTCTCAGCTTATTGGGGAACTGGCATACCATAAGGAACGCGCGGTGTTGACTTCAGCATTCAACGTAAGTTGGTGAGTATCTCTAAGTTGAGACTAAAAGCTTTTAATTGGTTAATGGTTGTTGATGATGTTAGGTATATCGGGGGCATTATTGCAGCTGGTGTAACTTTGGGCACTTTCCAAATCCCCACTGGTACGTAGGCAAGAAAATTCCTTCCTAAAAAGATGCTCACGCGGACCCCCTTTAGATTGGGCCTGGCGTATCCCTTCAGTCCTTCAACTCGTGCCATCCGCATTCCAGCTTTGTTTTATCTGGTAAGCTCCCCCAAACCCTCAACCAGCTACTTTGAAACTAAACCTTTACCTAGGGGTGTTCCCGAGAGCCCCAGATGGCTGGTTTCCAAGGACCGCGCAAAAGAGGCGTATGACATCCTCGTGAAATACCACGGCGAAGGCGACCCAAACAATGAATTCGTCAAAGCCGAATACGCCGAGATGATAGCCACCATTCAAATGGACATGGAGCAAAAAAATCATACCTGGGGCGAACTCATCTCCACCAAGGCAAACATCAAACGATGTGCTCTTGTCGCCTTCATTGGAACCTTTAGTCAGTGGAGTGGCAACGGCCTGGTTTCGTATTATCTTGCCCGTGTCCTAGAGACCGTAGGGATCACATCAAAGAGAACCCAGAACAAGGTTAATCTAGGATTGAATTGCTGGAATTTGGTAACAGGATTTTTGGCCAGTTATCTTGTCAGTCTGACACCGAGAAGGGTTATGTATCTGACCAGTGTGACTGGGATGTTTATTACCTTTGCGGCGTGGACTGGAGCGAGTGCGAGTTTTGCGGACACTCACGATACGAGGGCCGCTTCTGCAGTTGTTGCTATGATTTTCCTTTACTGTGAGCTTGCCTTAACATTGATTCCCCTGCGGTGACGGTATCTAACATCCACATCCAGATCCATTCTACAATGGTGCCCCACTAACGTAAGTATCTACATTCTTCAAATAGCTCATGTCAACGTCTACTAACAACTCAAAGATACACTTACACCATCGAACTCTTCCCCTTCAGCATGAGAGCAAAGGGCACAGTTGTCGTCCAAACATTCTCCCGATTCGCTTCTTTCTTCAACCAATTCGTCAACCCTATCGGTCTTTCCGCAATCGGTTGGAAATACTACATTGTGTATACCGTCTGGCTCTTCATTGAAGGACTTGGTAAGCAATCTACCCCTCTTTCAACATCAGAATCAATGCTAATCTAGAAAAGTTATCTTTTTTACTTTCCCAGAAACAAAAGATAAAAGTTTGGAAGATCTTGCTTTCAGTAGGCCCACACTCACTTTTGAGATTCCTGGTCCGAGGATCTGCTAACGATGAGTAGTTTTCGAGGGTGCTGAAAAATCAGTAGAACAGACGAAAAGGTCGAACATCCAGAAGGACCAGATCGAAAGTACGACGGTCGAGTTTCCGGAGAAGGTATGAAAAATCGCACTGTTTTTATCCCAAGGACGATTACTCAAGTTTTCACGGAGGGGAGGGGAGAGAAATCCGGGTCTCTTTTATGTAAAATACATAGTACACCTGAACACATGCCAAGATACATTCGCACACTACATAAGACTCTAGTAAAACGTAATCATCTGCCATGAAGAACTCTTAGCCCATGTATTCACCATCTATCAAGAGCACCAAATCTATTGAAATAATGCTCTGTTTTTAAGTGTCATTGGTGCACTTATATTCCCACGCGCTTTATCCGTAAAGCCCTTGATTTCTGTGGCTACACACGAGTGATAATCTATGATCTCTCAATAGGGCAAGAAGACTCTGTAGCAGTAAAATACATACATTTCATGCCACAACGAGTGGTGCGATGGAATTCCGATATTTCGCAATTCCATCACAACCTAATACGTCAGGCTACTTTTTGAAGATCTAGCTAATCTACATATGTATATACGATACGAGATATGTGGCTGCGTTTTCTTCCTTCTCCTTACCCTCTACTGTATGAGTTTGAAAGGTTCCCAAATAAAAGCAATGCTATAAAAAAAAATGCTTCAAAAAAAAACAGCAACAGAAGTACCAGCAAAAAAATGCAAAAGAGGAAAAATAAGAGACCACTAAAGACAAAGCATATCCAACACCCCAAATCCGTTAGCAACTTATGTATTATACACAACGAACCAAGTCCAGTCAATGCGTGGTCAAGGAATATAGATCCTGCTAAAGCCCTCCAAGGGGCTTCTACAGGTAACACAATTCGCGAAATTATTCAACGCCAAGCACACCCTACAATCCTCACACAATGCTAAACACCTGCACGGCCAAACCAGAATTGTCCGTGGGGCGCTTTGACACACCACACATTGCGGACCTCCTGTTCCTTCATCATCCTCTTCGTCATGATCATGCGCATGAGTCTCACGGCGACGATGTAGCAGTACTGACTCTAGTGTTGTCTCTTCATTTTGTCCCGGATGTAGCAGCGCGCGATCTGCCTCGAGTGAGAGCTCGTACCCACTACGGGTGAGTATTTGAGACGATGTCAGATGGCGAGCCATAACACGGGCCTGATCTCGTTGTTCCGGGGTTTGGGGGTCGAGGAGAGTAGCGAGCTCATGAGGGGTACTAAAAATCTCACCGAACGTAGGAGGATGGTTGTGGTGGTTTTGGCGGCGGTGTGGAGAGCGTTGGGTAGGTGTGGTTTGACCGGAGGCACATTCTGATTCGGACTCCCATTCAGAATCAGTCAACATTATGGTGCTGCGGTCATCCTCATCGTCAGAATAGCCACTAGTAGTTGAGGCGTCATCACCAACGTTGCTCCCAGGGGTGTAGTCTCCTGATTCGTCGGTTTCGCCCCAAAGGCCGCCTCGAAGAAAGCGGTTGTACAACGAACTGCTCTCTTCTGATTCCGGTTCATTCTCAGACAGCTCCTCACCACCTACCAGTTCTATCCCTACCGCTGGTTCCCTGCGCTGCCTCCCAAGGGCACGGTATACCCAACTCGTAGTAAACCTAACTAATACGACCCCGGCACCTCTTACCATCTCACCCGCACCACTCCATTTTCCACCGTTTGCGGTCTTCTGAGAACCGATAAGGCCTTTGACATCCTTTCTCTCTCTTGCGTAAGGTCCTTCCCCTCTTCCGGTTTCTATCATTCCTACACTCCCGGAACCTCGGACACCTGCGACCCCCATTCGGCGCTGACTATCCAACATTTTTGCTTTCTGGGATTCAAGCCAGGTCCAGGCGGGGAGCTGAACACCGCGGCCCTCATTGAGATAGGTTGCCTCCGACGCAGCAGTCAAGCACATGAACCCTAGCTTCAAAAGTGTTGTATAAAAGTCATCCGCCATGTTGATACTGACCGATCTAAGGGTCAGATTCGCTCGGAGATTATCGAAGCCTAACTTGAAACTTGGACGTGCCGGAGACGGGGGTGGTGGGAACAGGGAGGATAGGGTTAGGGCAAAGGTATATATGACTGCACAGAAGGCGATTCCGGTAAAAATAAGAAGGTGAGGGATAAACCCAACGACACAGACTGTTGGGAAGTCAAGGACTCCACTGGAGCCGCCGCGGTGAAGCGCATATGCGAAACCAACGAGAAAAGCAATTCCGAATACTCCGGTAGAGAGAAGGCGATAACGGGATTGAAGGTTGAATATTCCGAGAACATGGGAAGTGAGATGGCCAAGCGCTGAGATGAGGGCAATGTAAAGAACCTCTAGAGCGACATTTTTCCCGCTATAAATTTTGATGCGCTGTTCTTCTTCTTGCTTTGATTCTGATTTCTCCTCTTCGGATTTTGTAACCTTCGGGATTGTCCAACCTTCCATCGCTTCCTCCCCTTCGGTGATAAGTGGTCGAATCACGAAAAGTCTCATCTTTGCCTGGGCTTCCGCCTCTGCAAACGCTAGCGAATGTTCCAACAGCGTCATCCCTGTCTCGGCCGCCGGGACCCGTCCAGTTACCGCGCATGCAAATATCTCCACAAACTGGCTCAAACACAACGTCTCATACAATGGCCATAGCATATGCAAACTGCCCAAGGGAGGAGACAGCTCTTCCAAGTCCGATCCGGCGTCCTCTGGCGGCGAAAGCCCGCGCCAAGCTGCAACCGTGCTAATCCACTCGTCATCAGGGAGCATCTTTACCGCCTGGCAAGCTTGCGAGTCGGACATCCACCAGGTTCCAGCATGGCCGACATGCCATAGAAGTCCACCGCTCGGGTTCCCGTTTCTGTAGATGCTGCTAGACTGACAACGCATCGCGAGGAGAAGATTGTAGGTGTGGTGAAGACACAGGAGGATTGGTATGATGCGCATCAGGAATCTTACCCTCAATGGGAGACGGAGGGGACGACGGAGTGAAGCATAAATCATTGTTCGGTTCAGCAATACTGCCTAGATGTGACACTATTAGCTCCGGAGGCCCGTCGCAAAGGCTCGAGAAAGCAAATTCCATCTTGTATAGAACAATCCGAAGCTTGAAAGCAGAGATGAAAGCAGCATGGGAACACACCATAAATAAACAAACCACGGCCCACGGGCTGGTAATATATGTAAACACATTACCAACCCCCTTCGAACTCTCTGCCGCAGCCAGTATATCATCCTTCACCTTTACAGCTGCTTCACTCGCAGCTCCAATATTTGTTGTGTGTTGTGAATCCTGCGCGAAAACGCCCGCGTCGTCATCGAGATAGCCGAAACTCATCAAGTTGAGAAACTCGCGCTGGAAAGACTGAACAGATTTCCAAAAGGTCGAAGTAACTTGAGCCTGTGGAATCGACTCCGTCGTAGCCGCCATGATCTAAATGACTGATTTCCGGACTAACTTACTATCAAGTTGTTGACCGAGCGACCAGCAAGAGTAGAAGAGAAGGAGAGAATATTTGAAATCGGGGGGGGGGGGGGGGGTGGAGCCAAGGGCCTGGTGGGAGGGTGCATGGCATGGCATGGCATGGATAGGTAGGGAAGGTACCAAGGTGTTGTGCGTCCGTTGGCTTGGGTTAGTGCGGCTAAACCACTCCAGACAAGTTTACTGTTTACTAACGCGGGGAAACTGGGAGCGAGGAATCCAGAATCTAACTATAATATTGAACTACACTGCCCGAGGATTCAATCTCACTGTGGTAAGTACATACATGTACATAGTTATAATCCAGTATATAATAGACACTACCTGGGGTTAAGAGCCACAATTAGGGAATTTTGTGGTGGAAGAGCTTGTTCTATGAAACTATCCTGGTGGATCTGCCACATGTGTCTCACGGCTTGATCTTGATCTCACGATAATACGAACAATTAAATATCGCTTACTCTGTTTATCTTCGCTGATTGCTTGTATTTTGACAGGCTAGGCATGTATGTAGATAATTGAGCTGTTCAGTAGAGTAGGCACTACGTGTAGCTAGAAGATGCTTTGTGTATGTATGTATCAAACTAATAATCGTAAATCAACTATCATAGGATTTGTATTCACTCGCGCTGAGAACGTTTTTTTAAAGCTATGAATTAGACCGGCGGTACCACAGGTAGAATGTCCTAGCTCATACCTAGATATGAGCCTAGACAGTAGAATGTTCGGTTGATAGATTGGGATCGGACTTAACACAAGGAAAACTTACGAAACGCCACTCATTATTATTTTTGATTCGAAACCTATTAAAATAGATCTGTGCTACGAGTGTAACCTACATTCTCGATGTACGCCAAAAACACAGGTTAACCCCCATCAATGTTTACACGGATCATTTTCATCCCCTCAGCAACATTGCCAGATGAGAGGCCCCGAACTTTAGGAATCCGCGTTTTGTTACCCTCGTTTATGCCCATGAATAATCCGGTCACAACTTCATCCCCGATAACCATCAGCCATGTACGTATACCGAAATGAATATTCGTATCAAAATCCGATAGCCCTACAGCTAGCCCTACAGCGTACCAACAGCTCCTTCTTCGTCCGGGTCGCTCTCCTCCCCCGAGTTGTAACCAAGATATCTCTCCAACTCTGCTACCTTCGCAATAGCCTTGTCCAGCTTCAAATCCGTATCAATCTCCATTTGGCTAAGTTCTACCGAGGTTTTGCGTCTTTTTGGCAGCCTGTTCTCTGCCTCTAGCTGTAAGACATCCGCTTTCTTTCTCCTTATCTCCTTGAGATCTGCATAGATCTTCAACATGGCTTTTTTGGCCTTTTTCCTCTTTCGTCGCCTGTTATCGTCCGAGTCTTCGGGGACTTCCTTGTGCGCATTCTTTCCAGACTCCTTCTTTGCACTCCTTTCTTTCTTTGTGTCGGTGCTTTCCCCTTGTGTCATGAGCTTTTCCTGTTCTCGAATCTCAACCTCCTCATTCCGACGGAACATTGGCTCTACGGCATTGCAGTAATTGGAAATAATACGATGTTGTTCACGACGTTTGGGGTCCGAGAGGTCGAATGACTCAAGTAGAAGATCTCTTGCAATTATGAATTCACTGTGTGTGTTTGGACGCTTAAAGTTCTCAACTTCTTCTAGGGAGTACTCGTTTAGCGGGCGACGATGAGGTGCTTGGGGAGGTGGTATTTCGGTTTCAGATGATGAGTTTCGGGGGGGTTCGAGCCGGTTCATGGCACTTGTTGTTTTCTGGATAAGGTGGTAAGAAGGCTATGTCTTTCTCTAAGAACAAACACTGTCATAGCAGTCAGCTATCCTAGCTCGCTTTATGAGAGAAACAGCAGGGATTGGGAACAAACAGAGCTAGAGGCTTTTTAAAGATATAAGGGAGCTGACACCAGTGTTTGCCTTTCTGAAGAAAGAAAAAACGAACGATCAGTATCTTTTCGTAGTGCGAGTCTGGGCTCTGGAAAGTACGCGTAGCATGTCGTAAGGTTAGGTGTGGGGTTGCAAGATCGAAGCTTGCCGAAGCTCTAAGCGGCGCGTGTACCTAATATCCCGCACGCGTTTCTCACAGGACGATGCTCCCAAGACAACGTTGCCAAGCTATATGGTTTGATACTGTTCAGCTTCAACTCAATTCTATCACTAGCGCTTTCAGTACCCGTGATATCAGTACATACATATATATCTACACGGAAACATTGAACGAAAGGGTGACATGGCCGATTTCTTTTCTTGTGCTCGTCGACACTACCACTACCTTAGTAATGAAATCAGATAACCGAGTGACATATCGTGTCGCTAGCTCGTTGACTCTATCGCCAAGATGGTGCCAAGGAGGAATGTGGTCGACTTTATGTTGCTTTTGGGCAATCGTGCTCGTATATATCTGTCACTTGTGCATTTAGGATTTTTACTACGCACGACGTCGCTAGATCTGCGGGTGTCAAATACACTACTCTAAATACCCCTGCGTCACGATTATATATTGGGTTAGCTGATGATTGGTATCTACTATTTGAAATACCCATCCGGGTGCTCCTATGACCGTGTTATCACCATACGTGTTTCCTCCTTAATTCCTTCCGTATTCCTCATATTCCTTGGCGCATGGCCTGCAGAAGATTGCGCGATCGTGCTCATCTTCCGGGCCATAAGAACACTTAATATATACATGTAAGCACTTATCAAATAATTTGGAATTTATGCTAGATGATACGGCTTACTCAGTGACTAAACCTATCACATCTCGGCTTGGCCTGCGCACTGCAGCACCTGCGGGGATAGGAATGGTTAGTAATCAGCCATAAGTAATTCGCTGGTCCATACCGCGTTTTCGTTATATAGCGGGCGAGTTTTCATAGCTTAGTTTGACATAAATTCCAAATAAAAGTTTACCAATGCGCAAGGTTGCAATTGTCATCGATCACAATTAGTTAACAAATGATAGGTTTTTTCTACATCTAGATGTATACATAAGTATATGTAGCTGGTTGAGCACTGAATTAACTACATACTCTACATCAAATGAGATATTTTACCGTTCTATCAGTAATTAAAAATCCTTATTGATATCTCAGTATCAAGAAGGGAATACGCTTGCGTGCGGCATTGGCCATGGAAGGTCTAGACTTCATTAGGCGATATTGGAACTCGATTATTCGAAAATCGTACAGTACAACAATTGCAAAACAGTATCGGTTGTCGATAAACATAGAAATTCCATCCTTATATTGATATATACTACACGTAGGTACATAGTCGATCACAATGATAGGCTGCATGTTAGGCCGTGCAGCGGATCGTTTCGGAAGTTACCTGAGTACATGCAGATACATGCATCCCTTATATGCATTCAGGTAAACCTATAGACACTACTACATGTTGGTATACCATAAAGGCGGCGTGAACTTTCTTTGGCGAAATATTACGGCGCGGTATATTTTTTTCACCGCCCCAGCCCGAAGCAGCGAAGAAGGAGGCACGCCTTAATGAAGACCTCCTAAAGTTAACGAATTATATCAAGAGTTACAGAGACATTTTAACACAATGGTTAAGCATGATTAGAACTAACAGAATACATATATAGCCAGTGGGTTGCCGTTGTACCGTGATGACCGGGGGGATTGCACGATTTACTGATCAATCAGATATTGTAGTTTCCCGGTTACAGACCCCATCATACATGTACATGTATTACTAACTGCTATATGTAGTTGAAGAATATCTATGATTTGAAAGTAGGCCCTTGCAGCTTATGCCCGCAGAAGGAATCAATAGGGTTTAGCTCTCTGTAAAGTCATCTTTTTATTAGAATATTCAAATTTAACCAGGTTTCCGGGCACTATTTGACATTATCTGGGCAAAATAGAGTTTTCTTCGGTCACATTATTGACCGCAGCAGCTGGTGAGTATGGAATGAGTCGGGTATCAATGCTTAGCCCCCCATAAAGATAACGAACTGGATATTCCAGGGCTCTTGGCACTATTGTATTATTTGGAAGAGATCTAAGGTATAAAAGCCCTCCTCCCAGCAGTTGATTCACCTCTTCACCTCCCCACTTCCTCAATCATCTCATTCTACCTCAAGCCATTGACTTTCGCCATGGTTCATTCAAGCTCTATATTCTTGGCTCTTGCCTCCTCTGCCCTTGTTACTGCACGTATTTGCATCGATACCGACGTCTGCCTCAAGGTCACCACTCAAAATGCGCAGTTTTCGTTTCCTACGCTCAAGACAAACGAGCAGGCTGCTGATCTTCAATTCCAATTCGCACTTCGTGATCAGGAAGCTGTGCAACCGACTGGCTATGAAACAGTCACTGGAAATTACACCATAAATGCCCGTTTCTGTACTCCCGATACTCCCGGTGCCAATTCCAAGACTATCCAAATCCTTACCCATGGGATCGGTTTTGACAAGAAGTATTAACCCCATTACTCCTCGTTATTCTATCATCCATCTCTTCGCCCTTTTCCTTTTTATCACTCCAATTTTTTCTAGATCTATTGCTCACATATTCTAGTTACTGGGACCCAGAAGTCTCTAGGAGCAACTATTCTTATGTCGACACTGCTCTCGCGGCTGGATATTCCACCTTCTTTTACGACCGTCTGGGAAATGGCAAATCATCCAAGCCAAACCCCAACACCCACGTCCAGTCTTTTGTCGAACTGGAAATCCTGACACAACTCACCACCTTTATCCGTGAGGACGCTATCGGCCTCGGAATCACCCCGGAGAAAGTTATCCATGTGGGCCACTCGTATGGCTCTATCTTGTCCAACCGCTTGGCAGTCGACACCCCTGAATTGTCTGACGGACTCATTCTCACCGGGTACGGGCATAACTTCAAGTGGATGCAGGCCTCCCTCGTTGCATGGGGCTTCGAGATCGCAAGGCTGCAGGACCCTGTGAGATTTGCAGACTTTGCAAGTGAGTACATCACCTGGGCAACCAAATGGTCGAACCAATTCTTCTTCTTGAAGTACCCCTTCTTCTCGACCGAGGCTTTGGACTACGCGGAGGAGGAGAAGGGACCCGTTGGACTCGGAACGCTATGGACTATCGGCATGGGTGATTTTGTGGCCTCTGGTTTTGAGAAGCCGGTTTTGGTATGTTCCAACCGCCTTACCTCTTACTTGTGCGTGTGAAATATCTGATGCTAACTCAATTGTCTCGTAGATCATCACCGGTCAATACGATCTTCCCTTCTGTGGTGGGAACTGCACTGGGGTCTTGGAATCTAGTGAACCGTACTTCCCAAACTCGACGTTGAGTATTGTGACGCACCCAGATGCTGGGCATGGTATCAATTTGCAATTCAATGCGCAGGATGCATATAAAACTATTCTTGACTTCTTGGAGGAAAACTTGTAGTCTGTTAATAGCATTATTGTATCTTGCAGAGTAGTCTAATATCCCTAGTTAGAAACCGTCGAATAGAAATTTTTTATAGCTATACTTGGTAGAGCAGAGTGGGACAAGAATCATTAGACACACAGGTAGGTTATAAATTAAAGAGCAGAGTAGGGATAGATTGATACGTCTTTCGTACCGCTAGATTTCAGTGAGAGTTGGCCATATAAGTGAGTCTCAAAGGAAGTTGCCAAGGTTTGTACTGCCAGTCATTCCCCTAACTCATTCAACAAATACCTGACCCTATTGCCAAGTTGAAAAACTTGCTTTAGGAGCTCGGATTCCCTATAGATGAGAGGTGTTTAGCAAGGTGTTTATTTAAGTAATATAATAATATTGCGACGAGGATCTAGAAGTTATCACGCGGTAATGGCTTTTCTAAAGACATCATTCATCAAAATAAAACGAAAGCTCTTATAATAGCCCTCATTCCCTGCGCGCTGTCAAGTTAGATCCGGGCTGATAATCTTTTCCTAAACCACACGGTGTCAATAAAGTTAATAGGCTGAGCGACCCACACCTTGAAACATATCTAAGATAGAAAAGCGCCGGTGACTTTCTACAAAGTACATGTACATGTAGTTACGTATTCAGCCCCATACGTTAGTTTGAATGATTAGATTATGTAGTCTCCATGATTACTTTAATTTAGGGCCCGTTTGGCAGTTTCGTGGTTATGAAACTCCGTTATGCAACGACTCCATTAGACGAGTGCAGATGGAGATTTTTGAAAACGGAGTTTGGGCTTCCCAAACAGCAGTGTAGTTTGGTGGGTTTTGAGCGTTGCAACGAAAATGGAGCTGAAAAGTAGGTAATACCTACTTTTCAAAAACTCCGTTTCAAAGCCCTAACGGAGGTTCAAAATTGGCATGCCAAACACAAATATTTCTTGCAAAACGGAGTTATGAAATAAACGAAACGGAGTTTTCCCGTTGCCATACAAATTTGCCGTTTGGACCTGTTCCCAAACGGGTCCTTAGTCTAAGCTTTTCCTCAGCTCGCTTGGCGATATCTCTTTGAATCTAGGGTAACGGTCGGGACTAGAGATTTAATTTAATCCTAGCTAGGCTTCCGCTTTCAACAGCAGGGTATATATCGATTCTACATTGGGGTGACATCCGCTATGTCGGTCTAGTGGGGTATCCCGCAGGTTTACTCTGCGTATTTATAGCTGGGGTTACCTTGTGCTTGTAGATACATGTACTTGTAGAGACTACATGCATGTGCAGTAGTATAGTGGAAGAGCGGCCAAACCAAAATTTTATTTGTGGGAAGCTCGGGTACTTCTGTTTGTGGTTTGGTGAAAGGCTTGTCCGTCTTGCAACTTATGCCTTTGAGCCAGCCAGCACACAGCCATCGTAAGATTTTTATTTCTTAAAATCTCCCTCGGTATAATCAATCTCACGGCTACTTAGGTAGTTTATAGTAGCCCCACCTACGAGGGATCTGCCAGTCACAGTGCATCACTCGATTTCCTTGGCATTAAGTCCTTGGAATACCAACCGTTTAAAACGCTCCCATCCTTTCCTATAATATAACATCGCCCACCGTCTATGCGTGGTATATGTTGAAGTGTTGGCCATTAACGTAGCTAGGGGTGAGAAGGCCTGTAGGCGCTAGTGCAAAGGCTCTCGGGGACTCACATGGGCCGGCGGTCAAGTCTGACATCTCCTCTCCCCTGTCCACCATCCATCTTCTCTATTTCCATCTTTTATTTCCTAGCTTAATACCTGCCTTCCTCTGGTTCTCAAGCTGTCACTGTCATCATCATCTCCGCCTGACCTGAAGCCGAACTCACATCCATACACACGCAGTCAGGGCCACTTAAATGTGTCCATAGACACTTATAGATGCGTCTACTAACGTTAGTAGTGCTTAATCGCTCCCGTTTATCTAGCCTTGCGAAGATAGCAGGTTTTTCGGGCGTGGAATGGTAGAGCTAGGAGGAGAAACCCAAAATAAGTTCGAATGTAGAGGTAAACGTCATATACTCACACTAGTCCCTCAAACCCTACTAACTGATACATGGTAGGTTAATCTAAGTTCTCCGACCTTCTGTCCGCCCATTTTGCAACTGGAGGTAGCAGAAATGTCCCAGCATCACCATGCCGTGGCCTGTATGGCTACTCACACGTATCATAGGAAAGCTTCTCCGACGGTAGTGCGAAGTACATTATTCGGCAATTTCGAGAGGATGCAGAATGTGTTCCGACACTGAGGAGGACCTCTTTAGCATCAGGACCGGGCTTGAGTGGCTACTGGTTAGCTAGCCATATGGCAAGTAGGCAAGCCTGATATCACGGACGCATGAATGAGGATTGGCGCTTTAAGTCTCATGTGAGAGATATCTTTAGTCGGCAGCGCCAGTTTGAATCAGTCCAAGCGGGTACAACTTTTCTGAAAGACAGATCCTATATAATGAGTGATCTCCTATAATCTCACTCGGACGGGGAGTGGGGTTTGTAACTTGAGTCAAGGGTGTTTTTCCTCCTGCTGCATCACAATATAATTTTGCGCATAAATGGATTCCTGGGGTGGTTGGTATAGTTCTAGGCCATAAGTCATGGGAAGGCACCCATTTTACACCAAAAATGCCACTTTTCAACATAGCCCTCGACCACCAATTATCATGAATTATTTCTGAGAATTGGAGGACTATATATTTTGCATATGAATAATCGTTCTATAAACTGAAAATTATAATATTACACTTCTAGCATGAGTTGTGTTGGTTTTGTTACGTTGAGTTGCAAAGAAACGCATATTTGTATGGGATGCAACTGAGTCTCCAAGTTGCTCTACTCCTAGCTCATGTGAGACAGCTCCAGAGGTTCCCCTCATGCTCGGGACTGTAATAGCCAGCAACACAAGGAAACAGTGGAACTACACTGAGACTAGGATCTGGAACCAATACGATATACATTGTACTCTTGTTAAGTAGAATCTCTGCAAGACTACATGTAACTTGTAGTGTAGCCGACTATTGCAGAGCTAGATAACTACGGTACACCAAGCTACACATATACTGCTGCGTAATATATTGCTGCTGCCTGCATGTACTTCTTTAGTACCGAAACGGCTATCAAGTAAGAAATGTGTGGCTATGCACGGGCACGGGCACGGGCCAATTCAGCCTTTCGTAAAAGGCACAACGAATAAGCCTACAAACGCCTCCAAAAAAACAACTCGGGCCCAAAGAGAAGAAGAAGCAAAATGAAAGCTTCTGTGAAGCCCCACGCGGGGGTCGAACCCGCAACCTTGAGATTCCGCTTAAGAGTCTCACGCTCTACCGATTGAGCTAGCGAGGCGTGCATGCAAATCTCTTCCCGTCTTTTTAGTCCGTACTAACGGGCCAGTCCACTACTACTTGTACTACTTACTTCGTACAAGTACTGGTACAGTCACTCACGGGGTGAAGGCGGATCCTGTCTGATGGCGGTCAGGCATTTGAGGCCAATAAAAGAGTTAGGTTTTGGACACCAAGGGCAAATTACTGCAAACCATCAAACAGGATCCGCCGTCAGTAGGTGAGCGACTGTGCTGTTTGTACTTTTACTTTCACTCAGAAATTATTGGCAGCAGCAGTGGGGCTTAATAGCGCCCGTCAAGGGTTAAGGAAAGTGATTTCCCGTTTAGCTTGAATTTAAGGTTTAGTAAATGTTGAACCCAGCAATACTTTATGCAGTCCGTTTAAGCACCCGCACGAACCTCCTCTGATACTGAATCTAGACCCGCATACTACACAGTATGATACTCTACATCTCAGAGTAAAGAACTAAACGATCTAAACACAACACTTTGGGAGTCGCTGATAACTAACGCGTAGCTCTAGTATGGTGAGTGATAGCTCACGATCATGTCTTATGTAAATAGTTCCCATATACCAACTAATAATAAGGCTGTGGACTAGGTCGAGACGGCGTACTATTTCATCACTCGCTGACGTTAGTTTGAATGACAACATGTCACGTCCCAATCGCCAGAGCCGCGATTGCGGGGCTGAACAACAACACCTCATGCGTGACCAGGCGCCCTCCTGCTCATCGCATCTTTTACGCATTTCACATTGTTCACAGCGTCAAGTTTCAGTGCCATCCATAGAGCCCAGAGGAGGTACTTATCCTTCTATATGATGCTACTCTACAAGGCCCTATAGATGCGATAGAACTGACGTCTCTGAGTACTGTTCAAGGATCTCAGCTCTTACATAGCACGACCGAACAAATGCCTCTTTTCAAGCTCCCCAACGAACTGTTGATCTCTATCGCCGAGCATCTAGACATATCCGGCATAAATAATTTCTCTCGAGCAAATCGTCGCCTATGCATTCTCTTAACATCATTATTACATGATAGAATGGACCACGACTATGTTCTCTTATGGGCAGCAAAGCACCAGCGAAAAGCACTACTGGAGATTGCTCTTGAAAAGGGCGCAGACATCGAGGCTGCAGACGATTCGGGTCGGAATGCTCTCAGCTGGGCAGCAGCTTCCGGTTACAGCGATATTATATTTTATCTACTTGATGGGGGGGCCGATATTGAGAGCAAGGATTTTTTAACAATGACCGCTCTTCACAGAGCGGCAATTCATGGCACTGAACGGACGGTTACGATTCTCCTAGAACGAGGCGCTAATGTTGCTGCGTGCACCAGTGTTGATGACACTGCGCTGCATTGGGCGTCGTTCCACGGCCATCTAGGAGTAGCGAAGATTCTTCTTGATGCAGGAGCTCCTGTTGATGCGAAGGGAGGCCAGCTCAAATACACACCCTTGATCAGCGCAGCATACACCGGCTGGGACGAAGTGGTGAAGCTTCTGCTAGACTATAAAGCTGAAATTTCTGCGCACACAAACCAAAACGATACGGCTCTACATTATGCGGTAGCTGCGAATTCAACTTCCATTGCAAACATACTACTAGATCGAGGAGCTTCTATCGAGAGTCCGGGTTCAAATCAGATTACCCCCCTTGGTGTAGCTGCCCATAGAGGGCATCTTGAGGTTGCGAAAATGCTTCGACAAAGAGGAGGCAATGTTCTGGCCCGAAATGTTGAAGGGCAGACGCCATTGCATCTGGCTACAAGAGATGGACATGTTGATATGGTTCGGCAGTTACTGGATGATGGTGCCGATATTGCTGCACGGGATAAACTAGGTAAAACGGCACTGCACACTGCAGCAGTTTATGCCCACGAGCAGACAATGATGATGCTTGTGTCTAGAGGGGCGAGTCTTCTTATAAAAGATGAAGAGGAACAGATGCCGTACGATATAGCGGTTACGTGCGGCTGGAAAGACATAGCGGATGCTCTCCTCGATCCAAAGATGGGATCATTACTTAGCCCCAGACGCCGTAAGTGGCGCCGGCGAGCGGGGGATTGGATGAAATCTCTTGAATCCTCTATTCATCGGAAAAAAGGGAAATCAGTACCCTGAGCCTATCTATAGCCTATTACACCGCCCTGATTTTTTCCGTATGCCTCAATTGATATTTATGGTCGGGAGTTCGCAGAAGCTGAACGATGAGCTGTGGACAATATGGAGGAGGAAAGCCTTAAAATCTCTTACGATAATATTTTTCTACCATTTTTCTTTTTCCTGGTGGATGTGTATTTTTTTATCACCCTGGTGGCCCTTAATTCTTTTGTCGGGTTTAAAAAACTTTAACTCGCTCTCTTCAGCCCGTTTTGTCTAGTGGTTAGTATTTATAATACACAGGCAAATCCAACATAGCAAGGCTTTCTTATGTTTTTTTTCCTTCTTTTTTTTTTCCTTTTTTTTTCCTTCTTTTTTTTCCTTTTTTTTTTATTCCTACCTGCCTACAGCAACAGAGTGCACTCTAGGGTTGCAAGTATAAGTAGGATCGTAGTTGACACCTCCCCCGTGTATACTGAATACAATATAAGCATGCATTAGGCACAGGAAATATCCGCTTTACGCATACCCCCTCAGCGCGGTTTATAGAAGCGGAAAAACGAGTTGGGATACACCTGCACAGGCAAAACTACATACTTGGAAGGTAAATACGGATATAGGCTCGCCGGATACATCATTAGTAGAAGAAATCTGAGGAAGCCCCCAAAGCTTAAAAGTAGATTGAGTGACAAAAGTGTTTGTGGTATTGTCCTCGATATGGAGATTCTGAAATGCTACCAATACCAGTTGAGAAAGCCAACCTTCAAGCTACCAGAGAATCCCAAACTACTTGAAAGATCACTATCTAGAGCCCCACGCGGGGGTCGAACCCGCAACCTTGAGATACCGCTTAAGAGTCTCACGCTCTACCGATTGAGCTAGCGAGGCATGATTTTTAGTTTGCTGGGCCGTAATTTAGCTATGTTCAGTTTTCAGGTATAAAATTTAACCCCTGCAACACCTAGCGCAACAATGCGGATTCCGGGTATAGCCTATACAACAGAAATTTACAACAATTACAAACACAAACTTGGCAAACATAAAGGTTTCCAATCCACAGATGAAAAGAAAATAAAGGAAAGAAACCCCATTTATAGTACAAGCACACGCTACTCCAATTAACAATACAGAAAAACGACTGGCTAAAAAGAAATCTAGTTCCGCTAAAGTTACGGGCTTTCCCGTTCACCCCTCCACTAGATACTCAGATCGTTGAGTTGAGCGACCATTTGAGTCATGACTGCTCGGGAACGGGCGGTGAGGGGTTGATCATGGTTGATAGGAGTGTATTCGCGTCGGAAGTTGATGTAGAATCCACGACTGGTTTTTCACCAGACATCGGTGCCTGGATCTTTTGGACATTGCTAGAAACCTCTGAAATTTTCGTTAACTCATCACTCGGACTCGCGTGAATGGTGATGATCTCGAGGTCCTGTGTTTGCCCTCGTTTTCTCCTGTCCTGATTCCCAGTAGACTCAACTTCTTTCACTTCCTGAGTTGGTACAGTGCTCTTTGCGACAGGCTTGGTACCTTTTAACTTGGATTTTTGAGTGTTCCGTATGTACTCCCCAATGAATTTCTGGAAATTAACCACTGGCTCTTTGTCTATCCTCCCAGTGATCAACTCTTCAAAAAAGCCTTCAAGTTGAGATTCCACCAAAGACTTTTCGTAGAAGCTCTGAATTGCGCGACCGATATCAGCATGCCCGTTCTTAAGGCTTCGTTCAAGGCACCCCTTGACAACCTTGGAAACGAACTCCTTATCACTGTTGATAACTTCACTAAAAATAGACTTTTTTGGGGGAAATGTTCTTATAACCCCCTCCACCCGCTTGGCCCCCCTCCCTCCTTCGTTTCCCCCCTCCTCAGCAATGTTTCCATTCCTCCCCTCCCGTTCCTCTCCATTCCTACCTCCTCCTTGGGCCGACTCAATTTCTCCTTCTCTGCGCACTCTCTTGAGCCTCTTGGGAGCTCTGAAGTCAGACATCGCATCACTCGGATGTCCGAGAGTCCGTCCCATATCCTGCGAATTTGACGGAGTGTTCTCGATATCGATCTGATCCTGTTTTAAGAGCATAAGCCTTTCTCTCTTTTTGCCATCGGCTCCTGTACTCGCGACAACTTTCGAAGGGCCTACTATTGTGTCGGATCCAGTTTTTGGCTCGGCTATAGGTTGGCGCTCTGGAAGATCCATATCAGATTTCATTGCCGCCTTATCTACCGAGTTTTTCCTCAAATTTCTCTTCCGATAGCCATCGATCATACCTGGTTCCATCAAACTTGTAGTCTCCCCCATATCCTGAACCTTAGATGATTCCGAACTAAGCTGCGCTGCGCCTCCGGGCGTCCCCTCTGCCACCAAAGTATTCCCTCCAACCGTAGTGTATGAGCTATTTTGCTGTTGATGAGGCGCCGAACCAACCGGAGTCTGTGGAGCCATGCTTGGGGCCTTCATTTCCGTCTGAAGATTCCTCATGAGCTTCTGGAATTGAGCATACTGCTCCGGAGTTGCCTTTCGAGCAAGCACTTTGTCCATCAACTCTGAAATTGTGGTGTCTTTTTTCGATAGTTCGTACATCTCTCGGATGGCCCGAACCTGATCTGGGTGGTTGTGTCTTGTGGCGACCTCAATCGCCACGTTGACTATATGCTGCAAGCGTTCCCTTCCATCAGCGGTCTTACTATTCGGAGGAGTTGGAAGTCCGCTCGGAGGAGGTGGCGGAAGTCTTGGCATAGGGAGTTTTGTCTTTTCTATCGTGTTTCCGTCTGACATCGTCGGCATGCTGAGATTGTGATGAGAAAAGTGGTTGTGGAGAGATGGATTTGGGGGGGGGGGGTGGGCGAGGAAGAAGTTATGTAGTGGTTGGGTCCAAGATAAATGCGGACTAGGTGGCAGGGCTAAATAGCGACCCTAGCCCTCAGAGCCTCGGATCATTCACGCATTTACACAGAAGGCTGGGCGCTGTATCTGAGATTCAGGGGTCAATTAGCAATTGTTCAAAACTGAATGTGGCAATGACATGTGAGAGTCATCTGAGAGCATATAATAATTGCTATTCTATGCATAAAGATACAAAGTCCAGCGGAACTCGATTCATGACTCGCTCCAAAGAAAATGCGCGTGTGGAATGTCCTTTGTTCTTACGTGTTGTTTTTTTTGAAATCATAAACTATCACTCGATGACGTAATATCACACTAGTTATCTTTGAGGGTTCGCGCAGCGTTGATTGGTGACCACGTCGCTTTTTACATTTTTAGCAACGCCTGACAGATATCATCCACTACATTGCGGTATGCGCATACTTTATGCTGCGAGCATTACGGTGAAATATTCGGCCACTGTTGCGCTTGATACGCCTCTCCAACCTTTATCGAAGCAATAATATATCATTACCGAGCGCTGAGTGATCCTTCATGATCCAGTTTCTTCTCTCCGGTCCCGTTCTCCATAACTCTTCAGCGACTCTGTTGTTAGTCTACTATCTTCCTAATGTACTTTGAAGAGGAAACGGGTGCAAATTAGTCGATAAAGGTTTCTCCTGGTAGCAGAAACCTGATGTCTCCATATATTCGGATGGAACAAAGAAACACAGGCTAGGGTCATAATGCCCAATCAAAATTTTCATCAAATGTTCAATTTAGTACGACTAAACTCACAGGAGGATGAAAGCTAGAGCCAACATAGAGTAAGTATTTACCGAATCCTAAATGGGTTATTTTCCTTCGTCTCATGGTTTCAAAAACAGCATTCTCTGGTGTGCTAGATCTTATCCATCTTGAAACATCAAGCAGCACATGTACAGCGGTGGGTAATAAGTGATCAGACAGAACGCCACCAAAATACGCGTTTGCAGGCAAAATTGTGGCTAGGCCGTCCGATGACTTAATACCCACCGCTGTACAGAAAAAATTCAGATCAACTCAACTTGAAAAAAAATCCTTCTACAAAAGGGCTCTATGCAAACTAGAACCGACTGCGTATACCAGAAAATTCTCAATTCATTCCTAAAGAACACAAAACAAACTTCCCCCCAGACTCGAATCACGACTAATGGATACACACAGCACCTTACCACCTCCCGTTTCTACGTCTCTCCGAGTAACTTTTATCGAAACCCGGATATGTCCTCAATGCCTTGAAGCTCGCGCCTTTCGACGTTCAAAGCGCAATCACTTAGCACATGGTATTTCCAGGCCCAGTCTCATGTATGTAGCTAGCTACATGTATACATTTTTAATAGGGCCTTTCATAAAATCCGCCGCGGTATCCACGCACACACTTTCTTATACTTCTTTGTGGGAACAAGCAACAACTTTAATACTTACTACACATAGCTAATTATATATTCTTTCTTCCTACAATAACCAATCAATTCCCCGGCCTATTTCGTGCCCTTATCTCGTATCCTACCAAAAAGAAAGAATATCTCCACCATCAAACTCATCTTCTTCCTCATTTTTTTTGGTCTTCATAGTTGCAACACGCTTCGCCAATTCGTTCGCGTCGTTCAAGCTAATCAACTTTCTCTTCCCCGGGTATTTCTCAAGGTAGGAGACACCAAGCTCATATGTTTTCACGAGGTCTGTTGTATCCACTTTCCAGGTCACGCCATCTTTTGGCTCCTCTTCCTCATCCATTTGATTAATATCCATAGACTTCGGGCTCTCCGACGTCGAGGAGTCTTGTTTTGTTGGGGGGTAAAATTCGTATATTTGCCTATCAACGGCAGTCCAGCGCAACTGCCAGCTGTATGGCAGCCCTTCCGGCGGATTGCAATAGACATCGGACAAAAACAAAGAAGTCGCGATTTCCATTGGAGTACGTCCATTGGCGTTTTCATAACGGGTGTATTGCGGTGCCATTTCTGTAAAAATGGACAGAACGCCAGGCAAGCCGCATTGATACGCCTATTTCCACGATTGTCAGTCTATCCCGAGATAAAGGCTTAAGAGTGTGAGTGGTAGCAAACCCAGTGAAGCGGTAGATTTCCTTCAACATCCGCAATTCCCAAGTCCCGGCCCTTACTATATTTCAAAATAAGCCTGAGAGTGTCCAATTTTTGACCTCCAGTCCTCTTAAGCCATGTAGCTAATGGTGTCTGACTCTGTCCCAATGACCTTTGTGTCCATCCGACCTCATGAACTTCTTTAGGTATCATTTGAAGGACCTTCTTCATATTCTTGATCTCGTCAGCTGAAAGTGCATAATGTAAAACATTACATCCCTTGCCGTCACGCGCGAAAAAATCAGCATCGTATTCAGGCTTCAAAAGCTCTTCGAGGACAGGAACAAGATCCGTCCGTCTAGCCGTTAACGAAACAGCGTATAATGCGAGGTTAAGAGAGTTGTTTGTTCTTGCCTCTATCGCGCCAGGTCTAGAAAGAAGGAATCGGAATGTTTCCATTGGATATTTCTCGAACCAGCCTTTAACCGCCAAGAAGGGTAGAAGCGACGTTTCAACACCAAGTCCTTTTTGCAACATAAACCCAAGACCATCTCCTTGCTTCTTTAGGATCTTGGCGCGGATATGGTTGGGGTTCGCTACCATAAATTCTTTGAGGCATTCATATGGTCTTTCTGACAAGAGCCACTTTATCGAAGCCAAGTTCCCACACGAAACTGCGACGTGCGCCGGTTTGTGTTTCTTGTCACTTTCAGTGCCATATGCTGGATAGGAGCTCGATGCCCAATCCTTTCTCTTGGTACCATATACTGTTAAGCCTTGATAGAATTGCGGTTTCTGCTGCTGCAATTCCTCATCAGACTCCTCAAGTTCTTCGAAAGGTATGCCGAAGGGTATTGTCTTCATAATTTCTTCGAGCATCGTGATTCGACCAAGCGTTAGGGCCAGGCGAGTATGGCCGCGGCGAGTACCATACGGATTCACTGAGAAGTCTGCAGAATGATCCATGAATTTGTTGGCACCGTTCTCCTCGCAATCATCCGCAAGCTTGAGGAGAAACCTGAAAAGCTCCATATCATCCTTGTAAATTGCCCAGGAGAGTAAGGTCCATTTCCAAGGGGCCCCGTTGAGGGCACCTGTGCCTGCCAGCTTATCATGATCTTCGCGATCAATAAACCTGCTTTGGAACATATTATCTGCGGTGAGATATCCCTGGAAGCCTCGTATTAGCCATTGATACCCCTAATGTACGAAGAGCTACTCACAAAAGGCGAAATATCACACTTCGTCAACCCCTTTCTAACCCCGATATTCTCAATCGTAAATTCGTTGTCTCCTTCGGTTGATCTAATTTCATCTTCATCTCCATCCTCATCTGAGCCTAGAACATAGCGTTTTCCAGCTGATTCCCCTTCCGGAATCTCGTATTGCTCCTGGATAATTGCCATGATCAACTTTGCCATTTCCCAATTTCGATTTCGCAGAGCCACAAAGAGGGTGGAATGACCAAAAGTGTCAACTACTGCCATTCTGAGCGCCGGCAATTTATTTTCTCCCTCTCCGGAAGGGCCAAGGGTAAGTTCCTTGACAATCGCTGCGTCTTCTGGGGTTCCACGCCAAATGGCTTCAAACAATCGTCGGTAGCCAGCTTGCACATCGCCCTCACCAAGATAGGGAGCTTCGACCTGGTTCAGTGGCATGAAAATACAATCTTTCTTATACTCTTCCTCTTCCCTCCCCAAACGCTCTATCTCCCAAGTATCGGGCGAGTTTGAACCGAATATCCCCCTATTCTCACGATTCCTGTTCGCTTCTTCTTTCATTGCAAGATCCTTCTTCTCGGGGAGCAACTCATGATAAGTCTTTGCTCCCAAGGAGAGAAGAAGACTCTCTGTCTTCTCGTAAGACTGCAGAAGCTCCTCGACAGCGGCTTTGTGGGCCTGGCTCGCATATATTTGTTTATCATCCTGTTTACCAGGACCCTTTTCGTTGTGTGCTTTACGGGCTTCGTTGGTCTCCACGAGGTGTATCTCCGCAAGGTATCGTCTATAGGTCCCCGGTTCAATATCATCGAGGACTTCGGGACCAAAAATGATGCGTTCTCTCCATCTCGTTTGTTTCGGGTCCCTGTAGTTCTCCAGGAACTTCTTGCATTGTTCAATTTTATCTCTCAGATACTCTAGAACAGTTTTACCAAAGACCGGCAGGGTGCCACTCCACCTGTGCTCTGTGTAGGTTTGTTTAATAATCTGACTGACATCTGCACCGGCAGAAACGAGTTTAGTTATCACATCGTAAGCGCCAAGATGGACAGCAATTTCGATAGGCTGCATCACATCACCACCGAAGGTGAGCTGCTGGCGCGTACTGTCTTGCTTTTTGTCCTCTGCGTGAAGATGGTAAACGTATGATTCTAAATCAACCCTTCCCTTGGCACCGTGATCAAGAAGGTAATGAGCCATTTTCTTGAACTCCTCCTTTTCGTAATTGATAAGCCTGGACATTTATTCCTATAATTAGTCACCACATTCTTCGGAATATAAGTAAGATGTGAGAACTTACGCAGAGATCAATGGTGTTTGTGATGGTGTCATATGACGACCGTGCCGTTTACCTGCAATATTATCTATAACACTCATAACCCCCGGCTTATCCAGCTCAAACATTTGGTCTAAAACATCTAAATCTGTTGCCAGCACGGCATAATGAAAGGCACTCGTATTATTGAAACTGTTTGCTTGCGCAGAGCTTGCACCTAGTTTAAGTAGGCATGCGGTCATGCTAGCTCTCTTTTCGACATCCCTTATCTTGAGCGGGAGTGCCAGGGTCAGAATTGCATCAGAGGCCTTCTTGCCTTCACTTTGGTTATGCGTATACTTCTTCATTGGCAATAGGCAATCTGCTCCATATTGAGAGACTAGAGCTTCAACAACATGTTCATGACCGGAGACAATAGCATGGTGGAGAGGAGACATCCCGTGGCTACTTTGATATTAGCATATTTGAAATATAAGTGGGGGACTTTTAGAGTTACTCACTCCCAATCGACAACGTTTATATCATAGATATCATCGTCTTCCTCGTCTTCGTCATCAAATGCGTCAGGCTCCTCGGGAGGCTGGACCTTGACAAAGCCCTGAGTTGTGGTTGTCTTTTTATCCCCAGATTCTGCATCGGACATCTGATCATAGCTGCCTTCTTCCTCGTCATCATTCTCATCTTCATCCTCATCCCCACCCCTACCCTCGTCCACACCCTCATGGCCAGGTCCACCAACCCCTCCCATTACTAAATCAGTACCATCTGACTGGGTAGATGGAGCGTTTTGAGGATCCTCTCCTTTTACAGTCTTCTCTACCTCAGCCCTTCTTTCATCTCTCTCGTCCTTCTCTTCTTGGTTCTTCAGACTCCTAGCCAATAAAATCTTCACAATATCCAGCCTACCACTAGCAGCCGCCAAATGTAACGCGGTCCGTCCATCTTGCAATCTTGCCACTAGTCTTGCTCCAGCATCAACAAGAACCTGTATGACCTCCACTACAGTGCCCGCGCTGATACATGCAAGATGCAGTGGAGTCCTTCCACAGAAGTCACGGCAGTTGACATCCACTCCTTCCTGTGAAACCCAGTTCTTCACATATTCAACATCGCCCTCCACGATCGCCTGGCACAACAACTCGGTCGAGCCGACATACGCCATATCCATGTAATCTTCAGGGCCCAGCGGATAGAAAGAGCCAATCTCCTGTCTTCCTGGATCATCATGCAAAAACGTGATCGGGCCACTGACATAGATTTGGCTTTCCTCTTCGTATATCTTTCTCTCCTCATCATCCGCAGGCTCTGGGCAAAATCCACAGCAGTCGACCACAATATCCTTCATATTTCCAAAGAACACTGGATGGCGATGCAGCGCAACCTCGCGATGGGGCGGCTTGTTCATGGGATTCCATTCCGCGTTGAGCAAGAGATCCTTCTTGTAGAAGAGCTTCTCGATCCTCTTTGCGTTGTACTTTTCGCCGTATGGGATGCTGAATTTTTGGTAACTACTGATATCCTCAAAATCCCACTCTGCGACTTCGTCATTGACACGTTGTTTTAAGTCCTTTTCGTCCTTGGGGGTGCCGGTCGTGTACTCCTTCTGTGGGCGCCCCATCTCTTGCCTTCGCTGAATAACATAGGATTCTCTATCCTCGGGGCTTGGCAGCGCTTCCAGGACGAGCAAACGGGCCAGCCCAACAGTCTTCTGGAATGAGCGCTCGAATATAGTAGGGTCAATTCTTGAGCGGTCGAGAAAGTCACAGTAGACTTCGAATCCCCTGTGGGAGTACTTGGAGAGACGGTTCTCGTAGGACGGCGAACGACGGGTAAGGTCAATATCATTACATTGGGTCATGCAGGCCCCGAGAGCACGTGGGTTCGCAAGGACATTGGTGCCGTCGTAGGCGAAGCACGAGCAATTGACGTCAAAGCCTGTGAGGATCTGGGAGGGTGATTTATAGAGACGGAGTACGATCTGAACATGACGATTCGGGTATTGGGAAACGATAGTGATGGTGTTTCGGGTACGGAGTGTACTATCTATGGTAAGTTTTAATACTATAATCATTATAAAGATGCAAAACTAACGTTGTCTCCCAGAGAATATTGTCTTTAATGGTTCTTTCAATCTGCTCCATCTTCTTGATCGCCTCTTCGGGCTCCTCAATACCGTGTATGAACAAGTCGATATCAGAAGCCGGGGCAAGCTTTTGATGATAATACTCGCGAAGGCTTCTCTTGCTCTCTGCATACTCCTCAGGAACTTTGAGTAAGGGAGTCAAGACGGCCGAACCAGCAACAACTACATTACTCCAGTCTGCGCTCTTTTAGTACCACAATCATGTATGGGAAATGATCAATATCTGTGATTACATACCCATATTCAACAAAGACCCTTCACTAAAAACGTTGAGGTTGTCTCTAAACTCTTTCAAGCTCTCAACCAGGAAATGCTCTCCAGAGGCCTTCCTATCCTCGTCCTTCAAAGCCATAATATATCTACAAAAAAACGTTAGTTCAATTCCCTTACTAGATCAATTCCATTGGAAAATAATACTTCTCTCTTTCCTCCTTCGTCTCCTGCGCCAAATTTCTCGCCCTGATTTTTGCCAACCTGGCATTATCACCCTTGAAGAGCGATATCAAATTGACATTTCCCTGCACAAACTCATGCTCCGGCTTCTGCGCAAAGTACGCCCTCAATGCCGTCTCATATTCCAGATACGGCGCCAGCAGCTCCCTTATCGGCACCCCCGGGTTCTCCTCGACATGTTTCAAAAAGTCGCGGACTGGCACCGGGATTTCGGGGAGGACGGTGGGGAGCTCGACTTCCTCTGCCAGAGACTGCTTCCTGAGCTGGCTGGCAGAGGACCTCTTCGTCTTGGGCCTGGGAGTGACCGCGGGCGCGGGCGTGGGAGCAGAGGAGGGGGAGACTATAGACATGGGGTCGGGGGACATGGTAGTCGACATGGTGTTTAGATGTGGGTATTTGGTAACTCAATTGGCCGTCAGAAGACTGGGGGAAAGTGATACACAGCGATTAAATGCAGAGCAGAGTACTGAGGATTTTACATCTAGAGTCGGGGGAAGACGCGTCTCTTTTATGAAGAGCGCGCTCGCTGACCTGGGGGGGTTAATTGAAGGATTGAAAGCGCGTTCCTAATTTACGCGTAGGTCTGTGCAGATTCATGGTGGGGTCGACTAGCTCTCTTTCCAAACCCTCCAAAGAGTCATAATGATGAATTATGGGCTGTGCCGAAGTTCCTTGTTGCAAAAGAAACTGTGCCGGGATACTGCTTCTGCATGATGATCGTGATGTTAACATTCCTCAGACCTTTAAATCTCAACCACTCCCAACCCGCCGCCGTGCAAATCCTCTGCGTGATGTGCGGATATGCGACTCGGGAAACTTGTTTGCCATTTCGTATTCTCCAATTCAATTGATCCAACCCATCATCGCGCTCTCGCATCGCATTGTGCGGGGTAGTTAGACAGGCAAGCAATCGCGAGGCCAACTGCACCGATCAATGCAGTGGCCATGGCGGGGTCACGCACGGATTGCTGCTTCAAATACATGCACTTAACGCGTTATTTCACGCGTGATCATGTGCCTTGCCCTACCCGCCATCCCCAATCCCTGCGGGGTGCATGAGTCATAAGCTGTGAATGAGTCTTTCTTTGTCCGTGCCCGAATTCCAGTAAAGTACGGAGCCGGCGCATAAATCTTCGTGATAATCTTATTCTCACGATTCGTTGATGTGGAAGGTGCTACAGAGAGAGGGAGAGGGAGAGGAGATCTTGGACAGTTTACTCTAGACCGGCTGTTGGATAATACAACAGAACAGAATATGCCGGACATCCAGCGGAGTGAAAGCGTCAAAGTCAATTAATCCATCGTCCTTAGAATACTGCTGATATCGAGTCTTGATGTTCTTGCTGGACGGCCTAGAGAGCGCATAAACCCACAGTATCCAGACGGCAATATGAATCGCGATGTACCTGCATACAAATTTGAAAAGAAATTTTGGTTGTGATTGTACTGGATCAAATACGTTATTCGGTCCCAAATTTCCAAATCGCAGACCAAAAAAAAAAAAAAAAAAAAAAAAACCTAAGCCAAATCCACAAAAAATTAAACAGACCAGCTAAAGTAATAAGCAAAAAGAAAGAAAAAATTAACATGAGAGAACCCCACGCGGGGGTCGAACCCGCAACCTTCAGATGTATTCTAGAGGACCGAAGTCCGGTAGAAGTCTGACGCGCTACCATTGCGCCAGCAGGGCTGGATGCTTCTGCGTCGGCCTCATAACTCCTATGACTGTGTTTTTGTTGCCGGGTTTCCGTTTCCTCGCTTGGCGGTTGCCAAGAAGAAGAGCCGTTAGAGGGGTAGCTTAGGGCTAGGTTTCAGAGGAACCGTTTTAGAGCAGAAGAGATACGGCCGAAATAATTAGCGAGGGCTCTAGGATTCGCTTAGGTCCCGGATGAAATATTGATAATAGCTTGTCTGATTCCCCGATCCCGAAAGGAACTTGTTCCACATACATTCCATCAATCGTAAGTCTCACCGGTGGAATTTGCTAAGACCTTAATTGAAGTATTCTTCCTGACCGGAAGACTTAAGGAGATATGTTACACGAATCTGATCCAGAGCGATCAGTACAGCAGTCTATCTCCGTACCATCTAGAACTGCTCCACCAGTACCAAATCCCTAGACCGACAGTTCGTTACCGAGTGATACTCCGTGACGAAGACGCCAAGACGCCGTTATCACATCTTGGCACGCCATCCAGCAGGGACCCTCCTCGGCACCACCCCCCAAGCTTCACTTTGCGAAAGGCCCGCACCCCTCCCTCACCTATGTAAGCACTGTCACAAGCACCCCCTCCGCTTCAGCCTCAGGCACAAAGCGCTCTTCCCCCTCTCCCTCCCAGAACTACATGTATTGCGCAATCATGCTGAAACAACTCGCTCAGTCTCAGCGCAAAACAAGCGCAATCCCACTCACTGTACAGTCTGTCTCGGAATAGTATTAGCATATGTAGTCTAGGCAGATGATTTCAAAGCCATAGTAAAGCAGACATAGCTGGCAGAGTAGATGATGTAGACAGCTGTAGAAATATATATATAAAGCCACCGTGATCTTCTCAGAGGCGGGAGGGGGAGCTATATAACCGCATCATCTCATCTCCATCTCCATCTTCCATCTACCCCTCCAGCTTCCAGAAACCGCCGCGCCCCGCAGCAACACAAATAACTGTCTACACACAACCTAACACACTATAAACAAACATGTCTGACCACAAATACGAATTCCAGGTCGCCATGTCCTGCGGCGGCTGCTCCGGCGCCGTCACCCGCGTGCTTAACAAACTCGAGGGTAACCTCCCCCCCCCCCCATCCTCCCTTCTCCCCGCATCCTCTCCCCGCTAACTAACACCGCCAACAACAGGAGTCAAGGAATTCGACGTATCGCTCGAGACAAAGATCGTCAAGGTTACCACCGAGCCCAGCGTCGACTACGACACCGTGCTCAACAAGATTGGCAAGACGGGCAAGAAGATTGAGAGCGGGGCCGAGATTATAGACGGGCAGAAGGTGGAGAAGAGCGTTGCTTTGCAGACGGAGGCTTAGTTAGAGCTTGGTGGGGGGGAGGGGTTTTTTCTTTTATGTTTGAGCTTTCTTTTTTCTTTTGTTCTGTAGAGTGTTTGAATGAGAGCTGTTTTACTGGCTGTGAAGTTGGGTGTGGTGATGCTGTTAGTGGTGATGTGATGATGTCTTTGGCTGCGAACTATTAACTACAGGCCCTATTCTTCAACTAGAGACATCCTGGTGATTTTCATAGCTAATGCAGCGGCAGTGGTATTAATATAAATTTGCTATAATAAACTATTAAATGCATTATTGTCCCACAAAAAAAGTCCCAGCAAGTCCATAGCTACATGTATTATCCCAATATAAAAAAAAGAGAGCCAACCCAAACGCCAGTCCCATTCCACACCACTACTCCCCCTCCCCCTCCCTCCTCTTCATCCACTCCCCAAAGCTCTTCTTAAACCCCCTTCCCCCCTCGCCCATCTCCACCTTCTCCACCTTCTCCACCTCCTCACCCCCCACCCCCAAATCCACCAACGGCACCATACACGGCCGCCCATGCGCACACATAAACGGAAACCGACACCCCGCCAGCCCCCTCACCAGACTAACACACTCCTCCATCTCCAACACATCACCAAACATCACCGCCCCCCGGCACGCCCGACTATTCACCATCTCCACCAACCCACCCGGACACCCCGCCAGCCTCTTCACCCAGTCCCCTCCCCCCGCTCCCCCACCACCACCGCTAGGTGCAGCAGCAGACCAACCCTTGTCCTCAGAGAGCGCATAAACATGCCGCCGCACCATCGCCAGCGCCAGCGCCGGCTCAGCGCTGCAGCGGTCTGCAACCGCGGATGGAAGCGCTGTGATATGCAGTGTCTGCCCTTGCCCTCCCTGCCCCTCGGAGACATGGTAGCAAACCCCCCACTCCCGCAACACCCCCGCATACCGCACCAACAGCCCCGCATCGCGCTCATTCAGCACATACAGCAGCGGCGTCAGCAGCGTTTGCGGCGGAGTCGTTGTGAGCGATGCGAAGAGCGCCTCGACGCGGATGCGCTCTGAGGCGGCGTGTTGGTCGAGGAGGACCAGCAACTCCGGCTCCGCTGTGGAAGGGGAGAGGCCGCGCATCTTGAGGAGTATGTACTTCCGGTCCAGCTGTGCTATGACTGTTGCTGTTGCGAGGCCGGGTTTCGTTAGTTTTCCGAGTGTTGTTGTTGTTGTTGTTGGTGCGGTGGGGGAGGTGGTGGTGGTGGAGGTGGAGGAGGTGGGGCCGCAGTGGTGCGTGCAGTTTTTGGTAATGTGGATTGGTGCCTCTGTGGGTGCGAATACGGGGTTTTTCCAGTTCTGTGAGGCGCGGGGAGGGAGGGTTGGTTAGTGGGTGGTGTCAATGATTGCTGCGCTGGTTGTAGCGAGGGAGGGAGCGGGGAAAAAGGGGAGGGGGGGGGGTACCTTGAGGAGCGCATCTATGAATGGTCCTTTATCTTTGTCTTTGTCTTTGCCCCCGCCTCCCGGTTCTTCGGTCCGCGGTTTCTTGGCCGCGCTGCCGGAGCACGAGGACGAGAGGGCCCGTTTCCGCGCTACAGCGGCGGCGGCGGAGGAGGTGGCAGAGGTGTTGCCAGTGCGGGCGTTAACGCGGAAGGAGTGGCGCGAGAGTGGATTGCGCCAGTGGATGTGTGTATCTTTTGTGCTGTTTCCGGGTTCGTTTTCTTTAGAGCTGTCGTTTCCGTCTGGGCTGTCTGTGTCTATGTCTATCTCTATATCCAGCGAAGCTGTGTCCATGTCTGTCTGCTCTGTGGGCGTGGTTGTTCCTGTAGAGGGTATAGGTGAAGGTGAAGGAGCGGCGAACGCAGAGAAGCCAGCGCCTTTTCGGCCCTCCTCCTCGCGGGCGTCCTGTTTTGCAGCCTTAACCCGGCTCCGGAGCGCGAGTGCGCGCGTGTCGCCATGTGTTTCCCGCGCGCTGCCGTTCGTGATGGTACCCAGCGGCGTGCCCGCTCTCTCTCTCGCCGTCCCTTTCCCCTCCGCGGGGGAGAAATGATGCGCCCTCAAAAACTCACCCACAAGCCTCCCCAGCAGCGCCACCACCGCACCCAACAACCCGCCCTCCAGCCCTCCTTTCCCCTCCGTGCCCCCCTCCCCGCCAAGCACGTCCGCGCCCGCAGCACACTCCACATCCAGCACAAACATGGGCCACTTTTCCACGCCCTTCCGCCTTGTCCCCCCACCCCCCTCATCCTCGGCGCCGAATGAAGACGCGGCAAACACCCTGTTCACCTCCGCGTGCAGCGCCGTGGCACCGACCAGCGGGTGTCCGTTGACGGCCACAAACTGTAGCTCACGGCTGCCGGCCCCCTTGGACGCGCTGATGTGCCCGCGGATCTTGGTGGCCCCTTGGACGGCGCGCACGCGCTCCCAGTCCGGGCCTATGGTGTCGCGGCCGTAGATCTGGCGCAGCACGGCCATGCGCCAGTGTGTTGCCCCACCACCGCCACCGCTACCACCACCACCGCGTACTGAAATTCTGCGCTTTCCGTTCTCGTCGCGGGCGACGAAGGAGACGCCGGTAGCGGCGGGGGAGAGGAGGAGGTGTGCGGCGCGGTTTGTGATGGTTGACCATTCAGAGTCCGGGTTTGTGGCGGCGAGGCGGGCGTGGAAGCGGACGGGGAGGTCGGCGTGGAGGGCGTCGATGCGGACTGTTGTTCCGTGGTGGGGGAGGCGGAGGTGCGGTGGGGAAGGGCCGGTGGTGAGCGGGGTGGAGTAGGAGATGCGGGTGGTGTGGGTGGTGGGGGAGGTTGTGTGGCGGGTGGTGAGCGTGAAGAGGGAGTGCGTGCTGAGGGAGCTGAGGGCGAGGCCGCGGGAGCCGAATGTGTGTGTGGTGGGGGAGGAGGGGGTGTATTTGGAGGTTGCTGTAGGTAGTAGAGATTGTTAGCTATCTCGCCATTACACCATAGTACCCACAGCTAGCTCCAGTATCTAGATGACCACAGTAGAAACCGCATGCAAACGCACCATACATCCTCCCCACCATGCCCACATCGCCCGGCAGGATGCCCACGCCATCATCCTCCACCACGCAGCTGTTGCGCGCAACGTTCACCTGCACGGCGACGCTGCGCGCGCCGGCGTCCAGCGAGTTCTGCACCAGCTCCGACACGGCGTCGGACAGCGAGGTGATTGCGAGCGTGGAGCGGAGCCGCACGGTGGCGGAGGCGGGCAGCGGTTTGATCTGCGGCGCTGTGGTGGGAGGCATTGTTTGTTATGCTGGTTGTGGTGGTTGTGGGGCATTGGCTGGTGGTGTGTGGTGTGGAGGGGAAGTGAAGTGAAGTGAAGTGTGGGAGAGAAAGAGAGAGGATGAGATGTGCCAAGGCTGTAGCTCTCTGCGAGTGATTTGCCGTGCTGCGTTCTGCGTCCCTCAGTCTGGTTTGTGCGGGCGGAGCGAATGAGAGGAGATCTGCCCTGGACACATCGTAGGGCTGCTCTCTGTATGTACCATAACTCAAGAAGAGCAGAGAAGGCTACATCCATTCATTCATCTCAGCTCTGTCTCGCGGCCCAATCATGAAGCCCATCTCGGTGCTTGTAGAAGCTGCTGACACGGCGGCCCAGAGTAATGAATCTCCGCCTTCTTTGTATGTAGGGTATATGGCTCTTTCTCTGCCTCGTCTCGATCTCGTACAGTAATAATCTCATGGCATGCAATGCGGCAAGTTTTGCTCCTCTTATAGGGTTCGCGGGGTATCTACCACTCAGTGACATTTCAACCCTGAGGTGAAATATCCTTATAGACAACGATATCGTAGTATTATTCACAGCTTACCAGAGATGCGGTAAAGTACTCTATTAGCGGCTGAAGAAGAAGAAGAAGAAGAAGAAGAAGGCCGCCCGCCCCAGCTACCTACCCAGCCAACCAGGCCTTAACAAAAATTCTAATCACCAGATAAGCGTGCGGGGGAAATGGGCGATCCCCATCCCATCCATCATCGGATCATCAGCCGTGGTTGCTCTGGTTGTGGTTGTGGGCAGGTAGGCAAGTAAGCTTATGTCGACACCTAGCCTAGGCTTACCGGATGAAGCTTGCTGGACTGGTAGTGGTGGAGTAGGTTTTTGTTCACATTTGAATTTGGAGGAAGGTAAAAAAAAACAAAAAAACAAGGTGTTTGTTGTATGAGAGAAAAAACGGACCGACCGACCGAGCGATAAATACAAACTGGCACACACACACAGAGCATAAGCGCGAAGCGGGGAGAAGAAGAAAGTTAAACACGCAACAGGAAGTCTAGCTAGCTGACGGACTGGGAAAGAAAAAAGCAGACAAACAGACAGATAAATAAACAATTGGAGAATAAGGAAGAAGGAGGAGAGGGAGAAGAAGAAAAAGAAAAAATAAGAGGAAGAAGAAGAAAATAAAGGGCTAAATAAAAAAAGACATGGTCCGAAAAACGATTGACTCCAACCCAACCTTTTACCATAAACGAAAGATAGGAAGAAAAGAAGAACTCAAGAACAAGATGATAAAACAAAAAGCAGATAAATGGAGACAGAAGGGATATCAAGAAACGCACCACCCCGTCCAAAGAAAAGAAGAGAGAAGAGCCAAAAATCAAAATTCCAAAATTGTTACAACGAATGTGGCAGAAAGAAAAATAAACGAAAATCAAAAAAAAGAACCCAAAAAACCAATCCTTATCCTAGTGCTACTTTCACGATATCATCATGATGTTACCTCCTATATCCATCACCGGTATCACTGGCCCATTCCTCGTTACCACTCCAGTCACCACGACTACCATCGTAGCTATTCCTATGACTTCCCATGGCGGAGCCACCGCTCACACCCCCTTCGTCCCACTCGCTACCGCTATTTTCAAAACTACTTCTATGGCCATCATCCATACCACTTCCAGTGTCTGCTAAATCATCATTATCTTGCTCTCCTGGCTGCAGCGCTCCCCACTCCATATTCGCCAGCGCAGGGTACTGCTCAATAAGCGCAGTGGGGAACATCATAGTATGATCCATCCCCATGCCCATCCCGTGCGCATCGTGCGACATGGGGCCCATAGTCGGGTCCATCATCTGCCCCTGCGCCATCATCTGGTTGCGCGCCCTCTCGGCGCTCTCCTCCTCTAGTAGCGGCCGTATACAAACCCTGCCCGCCTCACTGCGGAAGTGGCGTCCCAGCGCATCGGCACGTGCAAACCTTCTTCCACACCCCCACACGCCGCCAGGCTTAAGGTTACCGCGACACACAAACTTCTTCTCGCCCGAGTGGAGGCCCTCGTGACGTTTTCGGTCGTGCTGGCGCGCAAAGGCCTTCCCGCACACCGTGCATACAAACGGTCGCTCATCTGTATGCGTACGCAGATGCGAGCGCAGATTGTAGGCTCGCGTGAAGCGCTTCGGACATAGGTTACACTGGAAGGTGGCGGGGTGCTTTTGGACTCGTTTATCGCTTGCGTTTGTACCTGGCCGCCCGGGCATGGCGAGGCCTAGGAAATAGTCCCTGTTGGGCGGTACCGAGTTTGTGGAGGACCTGCGAGAGAGCTTCGAGGACGCATTGGAAGTGACGCTACCTGGGCTACCGACAGGCGCTATGACGGCATCTGAAGGACTGAGTGAGTTTCCTCTAGAGCGCCCGCCTACAGGGCTAGCAGCGCCCGGGGAGATGGGCCTGGTAATGGGGATAGCAGCACTAAGAGATGAGGTGCCCGTGTATGGGTCGGACTTGGCTCTTTTTCTTGTCGCATCTTTCAAGCTATTAGTATTGAGCTAGTTTCATATTCAAGGAACGGAAAAACTCACTTTTAGGTGGAGGTCTTAGAGCACTATCATCATGGGTGGCTCCTGGTTTACCAGGGAAAGTGGGCTGTCTCTGTGGGGGAGCGAAGATAACATTAATCTGTGGGGCAAAGCCATCCTCGGTTGCTCTATCAAGTCCGAGCCCATTCAAACGAGGTGATTCTTGGAAGCTGTTCATATCTTGTGATAAGCCCATTGGCGGAACAAAACCCAAAAGCTGGTTATTCTGAGGTAGCATGTAAGGACTATTGGCACTGCTATGGTGGCCCGGGGCAGGGCTGATTCTGGGGGATACATGTGGCGAGACGTCACGTTCAGACAGTGTAAACTGCTCTAATCCAAAGGCATCTCCGGGGCTAGCTCCAGAATTTAGGAATTCCTGCATAGATCCTTGAGGGATGTGGGTTCCCTGGAGAAGTGGTGAAGGGTGCTCTGAGAATTCATGGTTCCTCATGTATGGGCTGTTGGCAGCTGAAGAAATGTCCGAGTATTCACTTGGGGCCTTACGATGGCTCCAAGAGGACTCCTCGTTGTGAGCATAGACATTTTCCCACTGGTTGAAACCAGTTGATGCGGATAGTATACCAGCAGAATCGGGCTGGGACGTTTGCTGGTTGAGAAGGAGCGGGGGAGTGTTATGCTGCGAGTGGGGGTGTTGAGAATTCATCAATTCGGCTGGGTTAATGCTTCCCGAAACGGCCTCTTTGTTATCGTAATCGCCGTACAAGTTGTTATCCTGGGCTGGGAATAAAGCAAAGTCTCCAAAGCTTTGAACAGTGCTCTGATCTCTCCAGTTCTCGTTAAGTGGAAGCGTAGAGGTATGGAACTGGGGTGAGGCGCTTTGTCTAAGGTTCTCAAGCTGTTGCTGCTGCTGATGGTCTGGGCTTTGGTAGCGAAAATCGGGCGCGGATCTGTAACCTTGCCCACCCTGGTTTGGATTGAACAATTCGTCGTCCGTAGAGGCGAAGTGGGTGAGATTTAAGCCATTCGGCTGGTGACGTTGGGCACCTCCAGAGGAAGACATTGCAATTGTTCGATGATAGTAATGTGGCGAGGCTGAGGTTGTGGAGTAAGAGGTATGTGATGGATGATGAAGATGATGCACACGGTGAGGCTCAGTAAATGTTTTTTAATCCAATTCAAGAATAGCCTAGAACTGAATTCGACAAAAATTGTAGATCTAGTGGCTTGGAACTATTGGAACTCCAACAGAGTAGCGAAGGCGTAGGATATATGTATGTACGTGCGTTAAACGTGTACGAGGTAGTAGGCACCAGTAATAGTAGTAGCTTTCAAATAGGGAAAGTAGCTTATTTGTGACGTTCTAGAAAAAAGTCTGACCCCAGGCTGCCATGCAATCCAGACAAGAGGGCGGGAAGGTTAGTTATGGGATACCTTCTTATGCCTCGCGAGGTGAATCCCCGGTGAAAAAAGGATTCAGATAATAATGGGCCGTAACAAATGGAGAGAGAGGGAGACAACGATGGCAACGACAGAGAAAAAAAGGGATCAGTGGTACCTTACATACAAAAGTAATATATTCCCAAAGTTTCAGTTAGTTTGGATCCTAAAACGATGATGTATTTCTGGTAAGGCCTAGCGCCCAGATGTTACGATGAAAGGTAATTGCTGAATGCTTGGTTCGGGCGGTTGATCGGCAGGAACACAGCCGCCTTGTAGGGGCACTACGTACAAGTTGGGAATGTGACGGAGGAGGAGGAGGAGGGGACAGTATCAGAATAGGTGATTCCTCACAGTGTGGAAGAGGGGGTGGGGGAAGAGACGGGGTGGTTGAATGGGTACTGAGGCGGAGTGGAAGAGTTCTGCGAGCTTTGGACTTGTGCGGGGGGGGGAGAGAGGGGAAGAGGGGGGGGAATGGGCGGTGGACTGTCGGATGGGGATTACGGAGAGGATGGTTGGCTGATATTAAACGCCTGCAGCAGTCGCGATGTCAACTTAGTCCTAATCGCTTCGATCGCTTGTACCAAGAAAGAGGTAGTAAGTGCCGCGCTCGTGGGATTCAAAGGGCGTATGTACGCTACTTGGATTAAGCTGTTGGGCTGTAGCTTACTGAGTTTAATTTGACTGATGGCATGGCGGGGTTCTCGTTATCATGGGTTGCCGAGACGACTACCTTGGTTTAGGCCTATGGCAATTACTCAAGCTATGGACCCGTTATTTACCGTATTGGGGCCTCCAATACCCTTCTCGGATCCATTACTGACGCTTAACATACCGTGTTGGTAATAGTTTAAGGTCTTGGCAGAAACTTTCAATCTCATGCTATTCTTGTCATTCTCGTTAATACTTACTCGCTTTTCATGGGCTGTGCCTTCCTCCTTCATTTCGCCTTTCTCGATCAACAGATGATGAACAAGCAGTTAGTGGTTGGAGATAGAAAACTGTTGTCAAAGCCTACAAAAGAATTCTTCCGGATTGCACTTATCCTGAGGGCGTCCTTTGAGTGTAACAATTACATACTTGTAAGGCTTGGGCCAAACATCGAAGTCTGACTGAGCTCTCCATCTCTTCCTCTCTCTCTGCATGCTTACAAACTAATAGAGTACCAGTCCCTGGCGAGCCTAGCATTTGAAAAGGCCCTAAACTCGGAACGATTCCACTTTAATTCATGGTACGTTGTCAGTCAGGCGTTCTCCAAGGCGCTCTTTTTGCGAACCCAACCGTGAGCTTGGGTGGTTCCTGGGACTAACGCTTCTAGATCGATTTTATGCAAGTTGCGAACACACACACACGCACGCACAGGAACAGGAACACAGGAACGCAGCACTGCCCCAGTCGCTTGTGGCTGGCTTTGGGAAGCTTAATTAAGTGATATTCGAGAAGGCTGTCATTCTAGAAGGCTCTTTCAGCTGTGAATTTCTCGATGCTCTTAAGTGACTGATTTTGATATATTGTGATACCTAAATACTGACTGGAATCATGCAAATATATGTACCTGGTCTTAATAAGGCTGCCAGAAAGAAGCTCAAAAGAAGTATCTACATGTAAGCATACCTAAATGTACCCACTCTATCGCATCTTACCTGAAACATAACGTTTCTACCTAGCTGTATATCCAACTCCAATTCACCAAACAGGAAGTACCTATATCCATCTTCCAACAAAGTATCCCGAGTTCCTCCCCCCTCCCCCAATACTTCCCCGGTGAGACCGGGTTCACTCTCGCCGCGCCAAGACACCCAAAAATAACACCATGATAGAACCCTGCTCCAATTTCCTTTGCAAGATGAAACCACTCCCGCAACGCTACCAACACAAAGAGGCAGCCCTACAAGTGGAGAATAGATTACAAACCCGGACCATGCCAAACCTTGTGATTCGTGGCTTCAGATAGATTCAACGTTCATTCAGGATGGCATTCCAAGATCTGTTTTTCTTCTTTTGATATCGGTATTGCTTATGCGATGATAACGTGTTTTCTCGTGGGGCCCTTACTAGAGCCAAAGTATCCGTATTTAATTAAAGATACTGTGACTATCTCGATAAGGTAGGACTAGAATTTCCCCTCCCGCTCCTCTATCCAGGGAGCCGCGGGCCTGTCTACGAAGCGGGGTAGTACCTTCGGAGGCCCGCCGAGTGGGTTGAACAGGTTTTTGGCTACTCTGCTAATTAAATAACCGCCTCGACAAAAATAATGATTGAAGTTTTTCCGAAAAGTTGATATGCTTGCATTTTATTTGTGGAGGAAGATCTCCAGTATTGACGTAGCTGACCTGAAAATAGATACATATGCGTCGACTCAACCATGTCTGCCAACCTTTCATCCCCATGCATCCATTTTGAGTCGCAGAAGATCTTCACAAATCCTGTATCCGGGAAACTACTGATCTATATCTAGATCTTAATCTTCCGGCTTTATCGGATCATGCTTGTGATAAACTTGAAACAGAACAAAAGCTTCTTCAGATCTGTAAACGAACCACGTATCCCTAGGATCCTGAAACATAGGTTTGCTCGGGATATCCTGTGGACAACTAAAAATATTGACTGCGTACGTACGTAGTTATGTAGCTGTCGGAACAACTATATTGCACGTATTATATCGCCGATATAGATATTTCAAGAGCTCCTTTCTTTAATAGGACTCTCTAATTGTACATGGGTCATTCAGGGAAAGATTTAAGTGATTTGTAGAATTAAGGCATTACTTCATGATCACCGTAATACGATTGAATGATATCAGAAGTAATCCTCTTGTGATATTATTTGAGGTTTCAAACAGGCTCTTAGCTAGCCCTAATGATTTGTTCTCATGAAATATAACTCATGGTATAGGGCCCTTTTATCAACCAAAGGTATCAGAGGGCAATATTCATGCGGTGAGGCGCGCATGCGGCTAAAATTTGCAATTGATTACGTAGAAATCATCACTCGGGTCCTGATAAGAAGCTAGGGACATAGCAAGTGTGAAAATAAACATTCGCAGCACATAGAGGCATACGTATATACAAATCATTCATTGGCAAGAGAGCTCATCTATCAACAAAGACACGATCTATCTTGAGTCTTTTATCAGTCAGTGTTTAATATGAAGTAAGACGACGATCAAATTGCGCTACAAAATAGGCCCGCCATTAAGAGGCTGGAATTAACAGTAGTAAGGCACATGGCTAGCTAGTGAGGGTGCATCACATTATACCATTGGTTAAGGAATCGGAGAGCTTAGGGCCTCGAACGATCTATGGTGCAACATACATACATAATTCTAATCATGAAAGTGAAGCCATCTGAGACCTAAACCAGGTGTGGTGTGATGTAGGTGCATTTCATTCTCGGATGCTAACCCATAACCCTAACCCACACAGACTCTGAGCGTTCATAAATTATCACTCGCGATAATCATCTAACCCTAACCCCCTGTCCCGTCGAATCTCACCCGTTTTAACTTCACTCTTCTCGTGACTTTCTTCCTACTTTCTTCGTCCCCCTTTTCTTCTGCTTATCCATCCTTATCATCCCTGATGTTACAACTCACCGGTATTGACAACAGCCCCTTCTCTTTTGCAAATCGGAGAGATGTTCCTCCAACACATCACGTTCTATGACAGGACATGCACAGAGACGAATACTAACTGTATGCCCCCGTCTAGACACATACACCATCAAACCCCTCTCTATCGAGTCGCTAACCGATAAAACTACAATGCCAGCATATATCAAGCAATAACCTCTTACTCGCGCCCCAAGAAGAGTAAACCTCTACTACCGAGTGACAATCCATGAAGGAAGCAGTATTTGCAATTATGGATCTAGAGGAGGCGGTCAGAATCTGTCTCGTAGGGTGGCCCTAGACGTGATGTAAGAACCTTGATAAGTTATTGGGTGGAAGGAACAAGCCTAGCAATAGACCGATTCGGGGTAAATCTATTCCTGCAAACCCGATCTAATCAAGGCCAACTTAGCCTGGATTGCCGGATAGGATTCATAATGCTTTCAAACCCGAACGAAAAAAGTTGTCTATGCCGTGGGGTTTAAATAATTAGTTAAACTGTGGGATATACCATCACCAACCGCTCAAACCGGGATTGTTTAGGCTCAAACTGCTGGCATACTCAACACAACGAAGCCATGATACCAGTGGTAGGAAGAAAAAAATATCAACTTTTATAATATCCTAATGTTCATAATAATAATAACCACCTCTAGGACGCTATAAAAAGAAGAAAAAAAGAACAGAAGAAAAAGACACCCATGATAACCCAAAACTAAAAGGAGAAGAAGAGGACTAACTAAAAGGGAATTTAATAGTAGTAGAACACGATGGAAATAGGAAAGACAAATCAGTACGGTATATTACAAAACAGGCTGATTGATATGCAGGTTAAATCCAAGCCTACACACCACCGTTCCGCACCGTACTCGAGTCAAGCGGCTTCGCATTAGGCGCAATGGTGCTCATCGCATCTACCGGTCCTGCTACAACATAAACACAGTCAGTATATCCCGAAAACCCCAGATACCAGAAATGAATTCAAACTAACCATGTCTCGAAAATGCCTTCTCCTCCTCACCCCATTTCCCTACTACTCCGTTCTCTACCTCCTTCCTTGTGACACCAACCCTCTTCTCCGGCAGTCCCATGCTGACCAAAAACGCCACCGTCTCATTCCACTCCTTCTCCCGTCGGACCTTGTCCCACTTCAACTCCTCGCCCATGATATCAATCACCTTCGGCAGTGCCTCCAGTGCCGCTTGCACATTCAGGAACGCCAATCTCGTTCTGCGTGCTAGTACGTCAACCGCCGTCTGCGCATACTCATGCTTTACTGCATATCGCACCTCTCCGTCAATAAATGGATACAGCACTGAGAGACGTTTCCCACGCACTGGGAAGCGTTTCTCCGTGGGTGCCGATAGCGCCGCAACAGTCCACGCACGGTCGCCATAAGCACCTGCAAGATGCTGCGCAACCTCACTCTCAACACCAAAGTGCTGGATTAGGTTGATGAAGAGGGTCTTGCTGAACCCGTGGGCACCAATAAGTTTCACCCACTCGGTCTTGCAGGTGCCATCAATGGCAACCATGCCCTCAGAACGTGCAGATAGATCTGAAGTCCCTGGCTTGAGATCGAACTGTTTGATCGCTTCATCGACGGCTTCCTCGGCCATCTGTCGGTATGTGGTCCATTTGCCACCGGCAATGGTAATGAGGCCGCTCTGAGAAACGTTGATCAAGTGGTTGCGGACAAGGGATTCTGTATTTTTGGCGTCGGGGTCTTTCACGAGGGGGCGAATACCGGACCAGGCGGCGAGGACATCGCCACGGCGCACGTTGATGTCGGGTGCGAGGTAGCGGCGGACCTCGTTGAGGATCCAATTGATCTCTTCCTCACGTGGAAGCGGGTGTGGGGTGATTTGGGTTGGGGCATCGGTAGTACCCGCAATGGTGTTTCCTTGCCAGGGGAGGAAGAAGATCACACGGCCGTCAGAGGTGTTCGGGTCAATTAGACCCATGCGGGCGGGGGAGTAGTAGCCTGGGAGAACAATGTGGACACCGCTACTTGGTGCGACGATCTCCGGGGTTTGCTCGCCAGTGTCGAGCTTGCGGATACTGTCTGTGAAGGGACCTGTAGCGTTGATAACACCCTGTGCAGCTATTGTTAGATATTTCGGCCAAACATGGAGTATCACTCGGGGTTGTTAACCTTTGCTTCCACGAGAACCTCGTCGTGACCAATGTCTTCGCCAAAGCCGAGTCTACCGCCACGTTTCTCGTGTAGAAGATCTTTGACCTTGACACCCGTTATCTTACCAGTTGCGGGGTCTTTGACCAGGTCCTGGACCTCCATGTGGTTGATGACTGTCGCCCCGTAGAGCGCCGCAGTAAGTGCTAATCCGACATTCATTCTCGAGTCATTGTGCGATCCATCTAACGCTAGTCAACCATCCGATCTTCTCAAAAAGCACGAGGAGACACCTACCATAGTAAACCAATGCACCCGCAAGCCCGTCCCCTTTCAACATAGGAAACGCCTCAAGCGCCTTCCCTCTCGTCAAGAAGTAGGAGCTCTCCAGATTCTCTTTCCCCGCCAAAAAATCATACACTTTTGTCCCAACCCAGAAGTATGGCGCTTTCCACCATTCATATACTGGCAGCATAATCGGCAGACTCATACTCAGATGGGGAGCCGTTGTGAGGAACACCGCACGTTCCTTCAGTGCCTCCTTCACAAGCTGATACTGACTGTAATCGAGCTCCTTGAACGCTTTCTCCAGATACCTTACACCACCATGTACTAGCTTCGTACTTTTACTGCTGGTTCCGGACGAAAAGTCATCCCTCTCAATGACCGCCACCTTGAGACCACGACTGGCAGCATCCAGCGCGATACCACTACCGGTGGCACCTCCGCCAATAACAATGAGATCATAAGCACCTTCGCCCCGACCGGCGCGTAGCTTTTCAATCTGCTCGGCTCTGGTGGGGAGTGGCGGGAATTTCGGGGGTGTACCGGCGGGGTTGGCGCGGCCAAAGCTACCCTCGACGCCGGCGGCGTTGTTAATTGAGTAGGTGTGGGCCGCCGGGCGCGAGTTGAGGGATTTGTAGAGAAGGGTGCCTCCGACTCCAACGGCGGAGGCAATTGCAAAAGGCTTGAGGAGTGAGCGTGCTTGAGAGCGAGCGGCAGCCATGTTGGGTGTTTGATAGTGAGTGAATGAGGTGGTGATTGAGCGAGGAGAAGGATGAGCTGGCGGATTATGTAGCTGTTTCTTGGGCCCCCGAGGATGACAAGCTCTATGACGCTAACTGACTAACCACACCCCGTAGCTTGAGCTGCAAATTGTTCGCGATATGTTTCCCTCGAACCGCAAACAAGCGATGAGAAGAAGCAGAGGATGAAGGGGCTTTAATTTAATTAACAAAGAGCCAGTGAAGGAGAGAAAGACGGGAGGCCTCAGAAGAGGGGGGGAGTAAAAGTTGTTTCTCTCAGACCCGTGGGTCTGTATTTATGAGCATAGACAGTAAGGATCTTCCTCCCCACCAAGCACATAACACCCCGCAATTGACGCCCGGCAAACAATTCTCCAGAACTAAAAAAAAGCGGCTAATAAACCCCAACACCCGGGCCTTCTGCACTCAATTCAGCCCACCCGCCCCCTCCCCCACGTTCGGGCTTTTGCCCGGAGAAAACCCGAGCTCTCGGTCTTTTGTGTAGAAAGTTCCTCCGCAGGGTCGACTCATGTTCCCGAGAAATTCGCGCTTTAGAGCTCTAGAGCCTAGGTACTGTCCAGATGATCACCTTTTTTCCCTCTAGCAATCCCGGGTCGGTACATACATATATACGTCACTCATTCACTACGATGGAAAAAAAATGTTCAGCTGCGCAAAACTCCAGATGCGAACCCTGCAGGACAACAGAACAGACAAGAAGCTGGCTCGCCCGTGCGAAAGAAATCATCTGCCGGTGTTTGGAACCAATCGGGTATATATCCCTTCATCAGTATTCAGGACTTGTGGCGATCTGTGGCTCACCACACAAAATTCATAGACTACTGTAGCTATGTAGAAGCGGGGCTGTCGGCGGTGCAGAATTGTCTCCACTCGTCATTCAATCGAGTAGTGCTTTAAACAATCGCCGTTAGATTTTGGTTTATCACGACGCCGTTTCCACGCTAGCAATTTGTGGTTCGCAGGAACAGACGAAAGGATCACGTCCACGATGGGAGCACTCAACGACTTTTTCCATGTTGTGCCAAACCCACTACCCACGGCATCCGAGTACAAAGCTCACATTCGTCGCGTACGGAATTCCTTACTCACCTCCAATCCTCAGCTCGATGAAAGATACTGCTCACTTATCAATCCTTACACCTTTCACACACCTCCAGCTCGTATCACTGAGTTGAAACAGCTCCAGTCGGCCCTCCATGCTGCACTCTTAGCCATCATCAATAATTGGTGGACTATCCCCAGATATCAAGAAGCAATTCCTGTAACGCCAAAAGTAGAACGTGTCCTCAGAGCTCTAGATATCCGTCGGCCATACACCGGTGTTGGATGTTATCGTCCTGATATCCTCATTCCTCGGGAGCATGATGGGCCACTGCAGATTTGCGAAATTAATAGTAGATTTATGTTTAATAGTTATCTAATCCTATTGTTTACTGGCGAATATTTTGATTACAACGCCAGCGAGGAGGACCTAAGGCGCTTCAAGAAACAGAATACAGTACAAGATGTGAGTCATCCTGGATCCGAGTATAAACATGACTGGATTTCAGTCGGACCAAGTGCTGAGAATCAACTATTAGGTCAAATCAGCATTTTCTCAACTGTTCGATCCGACAAAGCCGGTAGTTCTACTAAAAGCGCGAGAACGCGGATGGGATGCCCATTTCTTGCCGTATATATGCAATACATCTCGCACGGTTGATCCCAAAAGCTTGAGACTTGTTCCATGTAGTAGTTCACCATCAGGCTACACTTTAGCGGATGATATCGGCATAATTGAGCAGGTAGCCCTGGAGTTGCATCAAGATGAGCTCGATGCTCTAGATGAACAGATTCTTCTTGAGCTCGGAGCTATATGCTATAACGACCTCCGCACTGTGTTCCTCGTTCACGACAAACGTATGTTGGGCCTAATTTTCCAGGAACTCGATAATCTAGTTGCATCAGGGGCCTTGTCAGGAGAGCAAGCAGCTGTTCTCCGTCGTGGAATCGCAGAAACGCATATTCCGGGTACAGAATCGTTTCAAAAAATCGCTAACGAGCCATATAATAAGGATATGTGGTTGATAAAGCCGTGTCTATCGGGGGGAGGTGACGGGATTGTTCTTGGTAAAAATGTCGACCAAGAGACATGGAAAACATTAGTCAATTCGAAACTCGATGATCACCACAACCTTTCCATATACCAGTCTAAAGCCTCCTCCCAATCACACTTTATCATCCAAAGATACCTCCACCAGCGAAGACTTACGTTCTTAACCAAGCCAGAAAATGCAGAGGATCCGCCTCAGATCGTCAATTGGTTAACAGTTGGGGGCATGATGTGTTTAAACGACATCTTTTTGAAGCCAGGATGGAGGACTTCGCCATCGGAGATAACTAACACTTCCTCTCGTGGCGAGCTGCTATATAGTGTAACAATTAACGAAGAGCCTTAGCTCGTGGTGATGACCATAGGATTTAGTCAAAGGTGTAAATCACCGGAGCCCTCCTTGCCATATGGCAGATTTTTGGTATCGTAAAGAGATCAAGGTGTTGAAAGATGAAGGAACAAGGGCTGTTGGTAGTTGGATTTTTCTTTATACTGTTATCCTAAGGAAGAGTGGGGTTGTCAAAGGTCACACAAGGTGTTCGGTGCTAGTTTCGTAAAAGATACAGGGGTTATTTGTATCGATTATACCAAGTAGATATCTACACGTTTGAAGTGAACCAAAGGATTCAAATCGCTTTTATTGAGGAAATAATCTCACCTCGCTTTTGGGGGGGGGGGGGGGGGGACAAGTTTGTAGTAGTTCTCCACAGAACATGGCCCATAAATGTCTCGAGGAGAGACAAACGTTCGTTTATTCCCTCCTCCCTCTTCATTCTTAGCCACGGCCTTTTTCAATCCTGCCAAATAGATATCTTCGTTAGATATATATATCCAGATCCAGACCTAATAGCGGGTTAGGCCCGGTAATCAATCATCAAATATCACTCGGTATATAATTTCCCTGCTCAGTTTTTTTTTTTTGGTTCAATTCATTTTCCCTACTCTATTGAGGGGGACGAGACAAAATGAGGACGAGAAAGGACGAGGAGGAGACGCTTAAGTGACTTGACTCTGATCTCGACAAAGAAACTAACTCGCTATATAGTCACGGATCGGACAGCCGTCTTCGACATGACAAGGGCAGGTCTCGACATGATAGATCACCCGTACCCGTTCGACATCATTTGAGGGGCCGAACACCCGGAATACCCTAAGCGGAGACACATACCATACCTTTCCTTTCAGCTAGCTTCCGTCTCTCCTCGATTCTAGTTGCGGTGGTTAGCTAGTAGGAGGCCAGAATACTCTACTCCTGCCCGTCATGCTTGCTGCTATATATCGGGAATGTTGCGACTTCATATAAAAAAAAAACTTTGATTGGGTGTCTCGAACGGCATTACCATTGTCAGCTATGAGCGAGTGTCCCTGTGGATTCGCAAGCGCCTTGGATATACTATCGTATCATACTGGGGGGGGTTTTCTGATCAATGATAGCTCAGATATAATGAGAGTGCTAGCTAGCTTAACGGAAAACACTTGATCGCTGAAGATCTTTAATCCCATAGGCTACAGACCTGGGATGATATAATGCTTGTGCCTATTACTGGACTCTTTATCTAATCCAGCGGTGCACAGCCCGGGGAAGGCTATCAGCTGCAGATATGAAAGGCAAAAAGAGCCTAATTAGAGTAAGCATATAGCTAAGTCTTGTTACATACGTACCTGTATTGAGTCTTTGCCTTCCCCTGAGTAGTTTATGCGTCTGTTCTTTGAAGCTTTAAGGACTACAGTTCAGGGGCCGTAATAGCCACATAGGCTAATGCGGACGTTTTTAATAATGGCGGGCAACTGGACGTATGTACGGCCTGCAGTACTTGGTTCAAAGTTTTTGTTTTCAAAGTCTTGCTTATCAATTGATGCTTTATCTTTCTCGTATCTCAAGAGAGTTGGCAGAATTATTGTTCTTGTCCTAGACAACTCCCTAAATTTCGATTGATGGCCCCAGTCAGAACCATTCCTAAACGGCGGAGGAGAGCCAAAACTACCAAACACCGGAAAATCCCCAGCACCAATAACGGAGCTTTTCTCCCCGCACCGCATCTCCATCCAATCAATTCCCCGACCTCTCCGAAATGCTTAGGGTTAGGGTTACCACCACCGCCTCAAGTACTATGTGCACTGCATGGTGACACCCAACGTCACCAACCCCCCATACCACAAAAAAACCCCATATACCCAACCTGCAAAAAAAAATGTCGTCCACGCCGCCCACCACCACCACCACCACCACCACCGCCGCCGCCGCCGCCGCCAACTCGCGCTTCACGCCCAACACCGAGACGCTCGAGGACGCGCTCAAGACGCAGACCGTCGGTCTCGTGCACCTCTCCGACTTCAAGAAGCGTCGCGTCGAGCTCGCCGAGCAGCGCGAGCGCGAGGCGGCCGAAAAGCTCCAAGCCTACCGCGGGACCTCGTCGCGCGAGGGCAGCGAAACACCGGGTGCTGCGCCCGCCGCACGGAAGAAGAAGAGGAAGACGGTGGTGAAGGGGAAGCTGTCGTTTGGTGGCGATGAGGAGGGGGAAACACCGGAGCCGGAGTCGGAGGAGAGGAAGAACAAGAGCGGTGATGAAGCAGGAGGAGAGGTAGCGGCGGCGGGAGAGGTCAAGAAGCGAAAAGTAAACCCGAAGCTGCGCGCGCCGCCGCCAAAGGTGCTGACCAAGAACACGCTTCTGCGCGAGGCGCAGGAGCGCGAGACGCTGCGGAGGGAGTTTCTGGCGCTGCAGGAGAAGATCAAGAATGAGGAGATTAGCATCCCGTTTGTGTTTTACGATGGTTTGCCCTTCCCCCCTCTTCCCCCACAAACTTGGAGTAGAATGGGTCGATTGACAGCCAGGAATGTGACAATACAGGCACGAACGTCGCACCCCCGGACGGCTCGGGCGTGCAGGTCAAGAAGGGCGAGATGGTCTGGCTGTTCCTCGAGCGCGCGCGGCGCATGAGTGGGCGGCGCGAGTGGCTGCGAGTGTCGGTGGACGACCTGCTGCTTGTGCGCGGGGAGGTGATCATCCCACACGTATGTCCCCTCTTCCTCCCCCGCTCCCCATCCCCCCCCCCCCCCACACCACAACTAACACCCCACACCCCACACCCCACAGCACTACGAATTCTACTACTTCATCGTAAACCGCACCCAAGGCCCCAACGGCACCCTCTTCGACTACCCCTCGCCCCTCGACCCGCCCAACCCCAACGGCGAGCCCACCACCACAACGCAGGGCGGCAAAGAGGACCCCACAATGACAAAGGTCGTCGACCGCAGGTGGTACGAGCGCAATAAGCACATCTTCCCCGCCAGCGTGTGGACGGAGTTTGACCCAAACACCGACTATCGGAATATGGTGAGGAGGGACCAGGGCGGGAATGCGTTCTTCTTTGGGTAGCGAAAAACTGGGGAAGACGGGTATGAGGAGGCTGTAGTGTTTAGGGACTACATAGACTTTTTTTTTTTTTTTTTAACTCTCTTCAAATGTATTTGTATATGGTGTTTCTCTCTTTTGGCTCGGCTGGTAGTTTTTCGTCGTTTTAGCATTCATTGGCAACGCATACATACATCAAGTCAGAGGAGGCAGTCTGCCTCAACTCGTTGGTCAAAGAAATAACCTCTACCAACTACTCTAAAACGCTCTCTTATATTCTCACTCGGCACCAAGAGCTCGCAACGTTGAAGTCGCGCAAAGAGAGGATGCACAGCAATCTGTGTTCGAAGACAACCAAGCAACCAACCAATGAGAAAAAAGCAACGAAAAGAAAAAAATAATGATCAGCAACGACAACGGCAGGGTTTGAACCTACGCTCCCGAAGGAATCAGATAACCGAATGAGAGATTCAAGTCTGACGCCTTAACCACTCGGCCACGTTGTCTTGTCACTCCGAGACTTAAGTAGCCTAATATTCCACATTTCCGCGCTCTCACTCCACAGCCACACACTCGGACTCGGACTCCGACTCCGACTCATGCGAAATCACTCGGATAAAGTTCTTTACAACCTTTTTTTTTTTTTGCCTTGTTTAAGCATGGCATAAGACTTGGAATAAGGCTGCGATAATGAAAGGGCTTTCAAAGAATTGCGCCCGAGCAACTAGAAAAATATACAAATAATTATTTACTAGTAGTGTTTACGACGCCGTTGAGGGCGGACGCTTCCTCGCTGTCAATGACATTGAACTCATCAGTGCCATTGCCTGGAGCGGGTTGCGCGACTGAAGCTCAACACTCAGCTCCTACCACCACAAAATAATACATGTGCCCTACAACCACAACAACAAAGTGTACTAGTAGTTTGAACCCGATTAAAAACCCGCGCGCAGCCAAGGCAAACACAATCCCTTCGGGTGCGATACTGTGGCGGGCGGGGGAGGTACCAATACCGACAATGGACCAAAACTTTTTAAAACGCTAAAAGCATTTTCAGAACGTAAGACAACGTGGCCGAGTGGTTAAGGCGTCAGACTTGAATCTGTTTTGGTTATCTGATTCCTTCGGGAGCGTAGGTTCAAACCCTGCCGTTGTCGGTAAACTTTTTTCTTTTTTGTTCGGGCTAGATAAATGCAGTTAGTATATATCCTCCGGCCCTTCCCTTTCTTCCGTGAGACAGGGGGTTTCTCTTTTTTTCTCGGGGAAAGGAGAAGTGATTTGTTGTGTATCGTATTCATCGTATTCGCTTTTTTATAGTACCCTGAGGCCAAGAACTCATAAAGGAGCAACTTATTGTGGTATAAAACGCTGTGGACATTTGTACCTATGCTAAGGCTGTTAACGCTCACCGGAACCGAATGTTTCCTGTGGGGGCCGAAAAACAGACCACAATTTATAAAGCGGTAGTCGTACCGAGGACCTCTCCTGCTTCAGGTTTCAATGCAGGTATATAATACAGTTTGTATGCAGTCTCATTTTTTTTATCACAACCTCCGTGTTCCGGGGGGAAATTTTCGAGTGATGGCCTGTGAAAACTATCCATTGTGAAAATTAAAAATAGCAAGTTGACCAAGGCTAGATGAACTTATCTGCCTCTGGGACTGTATGATCGCACTAGGCTTAATCACCAACATCGGTTCAACGCCCCTTTAACTCCAGATACCGCAAAGAAAAGAGAAGAAAGAAAAAAATATGACTCCTGGTCATTTGCCAAGACCCCTTAGTCAGTCACCCAAACCTTGCCAAGCCTCATACCTCCTTTTAGATGCTGTCTAAGACGGGTGTCCTCGAGCGTTGTTTCGCTGGCAAGCCTTCCTCAGACTTCACTCCCCATATTATCAAACTATCGCCGTTCCTCAACCCAATCTTTTCAATTAGTTAGTACCGTTTCACCTGGAATGTCTGAGGAGGCTGGGGAGGCATACGTCACTAGGAACCTTTCCGTCAAGATTAGCAACCATTAAGGTTGATTGATCTGGCTCAAGCAGCACCATGCCCTCTCTCCAGGACGACGGCCCCAGCCCTATCTCTTCAAAATGTATGTCCGGACTCCACTTTGTCTCTTCAAGGACCTTCTTACCAATTGTTTCCAACGAGAGTGGGAGGTTTCGGAAGACCTCAATCGTGCAGTCGTGGTGTACATAGTTGTACTGATATCCTTCCATCCCCGAATTGACAGCCCTTAGGCTCAGTTTGAGTTTCTCTTGGGGTGGTTCTAAGTTATTTAGATTATCAAACGACATGAGTCGGGGGAGCGGCCGCATTGGTGGAGAGGAGGGAGTCGGATCATCAGTTGCCGAATAATATCCCAGATTCTCGAGCGACATGAGGCGCGAGGGCGAGCGTATCGACGGCGAAGGGATCGCATCATCGATTACTGTACCCGGCGTAGTTGGTGGCTCGGGTGTCATTGGTGGTTCAGGTGTAGCTGGCGGTTCAGGTGTACCCGGCGATTCAAGCGCGGGACTTTCACGATATTCCTCTTTAACTGCTGCCGCTAGCACCAATGATGACTTGCGGGCGCGGTTTTCTGTCAATGGCACAGTGGAAGTTGTTACATTGGTGAAGGATTCCGTATCACCAAAGCCCAACATTGGTCTTCGGACTGACACCTCCGTAGTAATTGTGGTGACTGTTCCGGGTAGAAGAAGTAGGGGATCTGTTGTGTTGTTTTCGGGCAGGTATGATCGATCAACCGGGTCCGGGAATTGCGCTTTCCGAGTTTTGAACTCGGTTTTCGTAGTTGTTGTCCCATCATTCGCTATTTTGATCGTAACTATCATGATGTTTGTCATGACTGAGTCTGGTGGTAGAGCTTGGCGGGTTCGCTTGAAAGGGTTCATGGCTGCTCAATTCAGTAGTAATCGTAGCGAGAAGTCAATTGACCAGAGGTGCTTCACTGGGCTGCACTTATATCGCTGGGTGAGTTGTGCCGCGTTGAAAAATGAAGTCTCCTGAAGACCCAAGTAACGGTAGGGCACACCGGTTGCCGCCTGTACCTAGGCTTTGTTTTTCGGCGTGTAATAATGGGATACCCGGGGCTTTTCTGTGCCTTGAAGCTCTTGATTCATCCTATTCCTGCATACACGTATCCCCCAAAGCTCTCCTATCCCGCTTTTGATCGCCATCGGGACCATCAAAGTTTGTTTGGTTTGGTATCCGCCTGTCCAGCACCGCGGTTGAGGTCTGTGGGTCGCTTCGGTTGCGCAATTGCTAGTTTGGAGTGTTTGTATGTAACAAGTATTTCCGCCAGCCGTTGTACTGGTCCACATCATAATTGGGGCTGGATTCAGAATGTTCGTTTGTGAAAAGTATTACTCAACCTCTGACCCAAAGCCTGTCCCGAACAGTTCAGACTGAACACTACTTGAGGACAGATAAGGGAAAGTCAGTTCATGAAAGGCCAGGGTCCCTGGGGTGATAATCAATATGAGGATATTTCTTTTCTTCTTCCGGAGTATACCTACAGGTAGCTAATTAATTAATAGCGCTCCCCCCCCCCCCTATATGATGCCGACAAACTTTGGCAATTATGATGGCCCACTAGGCTATTTGAGTCTTGGATGGACCTTTTAGCCGCCGCAGCGCGTCTACACCGCTTCACCGCCCTTAGGATGTTCCTCATTGAAGCCTTCAAGAAGCTGGAATTCCATGGGAGGGAATGCATCTATATAGACTATAGCTAATTATCACATTGACATCTTAATGTTAGTGATTGCTGGCGGATTTGTATGTGTAAAGAGCGAGAAAGTTGCTATGGGGAGACGTAACGTACCTGATTGTCAAGAACTTCTGCGTAACATGGTACTTGTGAAGATCACACTCTCAGACTTCTGACTGTTACTTGGATGAGTGAGGTGAGGTGAAATTAAAGTTAGGTTACGCACCTTACATAGGATACTTCGGATGCCAAGACGTGATTTCCAGGTGCAAACCCCGTTTACGTTTCCAGGAGTTCAAGTTGCCGCACAAGTGCATATCATTTGGAAGGCAAGGGAGGAGAGTTGTGTACGTTTAGTGGTAAGCAAGAAACTACAGTTGGGTGGGGTTGCAACCTGATATATATCTGATACAATACATTCGAGTGATAACATGTGACCGTCAGCTATAGAAAGCGAAACATACCAGTAAACCGGATAGACGCTTAGTTGTGGTCTTATAAGAATATCCTGTATCAGAATTGCAGGGGAAATACTGGGCGCCCACAAAGCACTCTACATGTTGCAGTCCATTGACAAATCCAAACACTGGCCGTTATATTCACTGCGTATTAGTTCTGAGTTACGAGGAGGACAACTAAGGAGGAGAGTGAGTGGCGGGTTATACTCATTATGGTCGTGGTCAACGGCTTCTTTCCTTAATTTCCTTTTTCCCTACTACCTGTACCTAAGAACGAGTGTATCGACCATCAAAACCTATCATAATTTCAACTCCGTTCGATATCGATCATGTACGGAGCTGCGTATATGAGATGCACAGGCATAAATATACCTACGTACACAGTATTCGGTTTCCATAGGATTATTTCGGTGTTTAGGCGGCTATATGTATGTAATAACCATTCATAAATTACCTACATGTAGTGAGTTGTTTATCCTCGAGCTCATAGAGAAGGTACAATAGATGTATATAGCCCAGGAAACTGGAAAATGTTTATGTTTTCATCAAGAGACCACACGTATGTGTTTCTTTTTGGCGCTAGTATTCGAGGTGACGTAACACAGAACGTGTCCAACCCAATTTCAAGAGTTGTTTCTCGTCATCTTTTCGGTGTTCCTAGATACATGTATATTTTAGGTTCTTGCTCTTCCCAACCATCCATTACACCCCATAACTCGTTTCTCGACATTTTATCTGGAATCGATCAATCTTTTCACCTATCGAAATTTTAATGGACCAAGTTATCGAATATACCTGAAGGAGCTGTTATACACCCAAAATGTCAGAGTACGCAGAAGAGGTCGTGGTCAACAAAAATATTGAAGTCAGTACGAGTATGTTTTGGCTTCCACCATTGCCATATTACCAGGACATACAGGATGACTATATATACGTTCAAGATGTGGGGAATATAAAGGTTCCTGATATACACGAAAAGTTCTCCGCAATCCTCACTAATTCTGTGCACTTGGTGTCACCAATCATACTTTTCGTAGAAGATGATATGTCTTCGGCTGTTGGAAATCATACGCATAGTATTGTTGAATTTGAGGGTTCTTCTATACGATACAGCCTACAGCTATATAAAGGGATCTCAACATGGTTTTATAAAAAGCAACAACTCGAAACAGAAGCGACAGGGCCACCTCATGACCCTCCGATGATAAAGAATGAGATTCTCGAGAAGAACCTGATTTTTGTTGGAAAGAATACTTTTAATTTTCTCGAAACAATCTCGAATAAATCATGGCTTGCAACGCATAAAAATTGCAGTGAGGGTCACTTTCGAGTTAATGTTCACCTTATCGAGAGAGGTCCTATTTACTATAATGTCAACGGATGTTTCGTTACCCATAAAGTCTGTGGGGGTGCTCTTTTGAGCGATCTCTTCCGGGTTCTCCTTGGGAAACAAAAGGGATACTTCACCCGCGAAGACCCAGAAGACGATGAAGGGTGGGGAGAGGCTCAATGGGAGAAAGTGGAATTTACGGAAGAGTGGTTAATCGAGACAGTGATGAGAAATTGTTATTACTTTAAGTGTGCGAGAGAGAATCGAATCACCATCAAGCAGACAGGATGGTTTGAGAAGAAGGATTATGTGTGGCTTTTGCCAATAGCGCTCGATTCGAGAAGAATGAGGCCAGGTGAAGGCATTAATGGGGCTTTGAGTCCGCCGGGTTAACTGCATTTGGTTGGCTTTCTTATTCTGGTTCATTCAATGCTCTAAAATCCATAACCTACCATGTTTTGGCTGCTACTTGTATTTTTATCTTGTACGCCAGTTCGCAGATTCAAATGTAAAATTAAGCTGTACGAGTAAGAAATATATTGATAGTCCTCACGTCAGGGTTTGAGGTACTATATCATGTACATCGTTACAACTGCAATGACTAGACCTCAACTACCTCGATTACTTAGATACTGGTAATGACACAAGTTTCGTATTTTACAGAAAGAATACAGAGCTAGGGTTTGGAGTGAATCAGTATTAATTCAAAAGGAAGAAGAAATCGATCTACAGTTCTAATATTAAAGTTCAATCGGATTTTTCTTTGTGATTATTAGGTATATGTACTTCGCCCATATAGAGTAAACGTAGGCCGTGGTACGTACGGCCTTATACATGTAATTGTCGCTTGCTTTATATTACATGTACTAATATTTAGTGTTATGAGGACGGCAAGGGACTATTAAGATGACCTAATGACACGAATGCGTTTTTAAGATATATACTGCATGTAGCCTGAGACTCCACACACTACTACTACTCATCACCCATCCTCACATCGGAGGAAATTGTCAATCAGTCAAAGAATTGAGTAAAGTCCCCAAAACTGCTTCAGCTCGTCAACCATGACGATTATAGCACCAAATGGTCCTGGTTTAGCCAGAGGCATCGGATCTATCCTTATTGTGCTGCATACGACCTTTTTGTGCTATAACCTTGCACTCCTGAGCAACAACTTTCTACCTCTGTCTCGATCAAGGTTATCACGTACTCGTAAGTTTCATTTAGGAAATAGCCAGTCAAGAATCTCCACTGGATAACTAACCATAGTATATGCTACTAGTATCTGTTCTTATCAACTTCCTCGCAATCGTCTTCACTTTCACAATGGGACCACTGGTTCTTGATGATAGCAAAAAAGTATCTGAATCAATGTGTGACGCGGCATATATTGTGTGCACCATATTCTGGCCAGTTATTAAATCACTGGTACACATTTATTTCAATGAAAAGGTTAATAGAAATCCTCTGATCTGCATCTAGGCATATCATGAAGCTCACGAGATTTTATTTAGCTACACTCTCCCCGTAAACGTCACTGTGACAACAGGAAAAAAATATCTTACTATATCGACCCGGTTGTTGTTTTCATTTGCTCCATACTAACAGCTTACTTATTGATCTCAAAGTACGTAATTCTACCCTCTGATAACATTTAGAACGGCATAATGCTAATCCATATCTCTTGTAGCCATGAGTACAAAATGGGGCAAGGGAAATGCAGTATTCGATTTATGTCCAGCTTCGCAATCACCTACGTCCTTGTCTCGACGTTCTGTCTCAGTACATATCTTCCACTTGCATTTTATCGCCTGCCACCACCGTCGTTTGAGGACATGCCCCAGATCAACTCTTCAGTCAGGTATAAGTGGTGTAGTATCATTGTCAACATCATCCCGATGTGCTATTACACGATCTTACTTTTACCAATCGGAGTTCAAAAGTCAATAATCCTTTTTGTGGCGGCTCCAGTCGATATGGGGATCACTGTTGCTGTCCTCGCTATGCTTGAGCGTAGAGAGATAAATGCGGAGAAAGAGAAGGAGTTGGAAAAGGCGAAGCGCCGGCGGCAGGGTATCTGCCGAGACTGTATTTCCCTAGGCATGGGGCATATTGGGCAAGGAGGCCGGGAGTAGTTGGAGTTTTGAACTGTTCGTGCAGATCACTACGATAACTAATAATATAAATAATCGGGGCGGGTGATAGTTGATGATATTGATATAAAGAAAGAAATCCACAAAATATACCTGAGAGGTATTTACTTCTTTAAATACGTGCTCCTACTTGATATAGTTATGTGCTCATATGGGCCGCTTAAGGTAATCAGCAGTTGCGTATTCTGAAATATGTACTATGAGGAATAATCAGCATCATCAACTTATCTTGTCTAAAGTATAGACTATAATGTATGCATGGCAATCGATTAATTGACTATTTAGTACACCAAGCACAGATATTAAATTAATATAGTAATAGATTTGCTCCTACAATACTAATATATCCAAGTTTCTGAAGAGTTCAGTGCTATATAAGCGGCATTGTATTAATGCAGCGTTATGAAGGGGAATGTTCCTAAAAGTGAACTAAGTACCCATCTAGCATGTACATGTGCCTAGAGTATTGAAACGATTGCCGGATTTTTAATATGTAGTAGGACTAGTTTTGGTCGATTCAAAAATCTGGCAAGTATGGATACGTGTAGTGCTACTCGCTTCTAGTAGCCAGAACAACCGATAAGTCAGCAATACATGACGTACTTTTGAAAGCCTAAATACACTTCGATACCCTTAGATTGAAAAAAAAATCACTGGCATTAGTGACAGTCAGCAGCCCTGCTGGCGCAATGGTAGCGCGTCAGACTTCTATTGGATTATATCTTATTTGAGATCTGAAGGTTGCGGGTTCGACCCCCGCGTGGGGTTACTAAAATCAACAAATTTTTTTTTTGCTTGTCTCCATAAAACTGGGAGTGGACGACTTTTGAAAGCGTTGATCATTTTAATTTCGGGCATGGGTTTCGCTGAACGAAAGACAGATAAGGCTCTTCAGCTGGGATGGTATGTTGACAACCCCGGCTCCCATATATGTAAAATTGGGTTAGCAGTAGCCTCCCAGATCTGCTATTTTTGGCTTGAAAGATATATCGAAATCATGAGCTAGCGGCTTACCCATAAAGCCGTAGAAACAACGCCGGTATACTAAATAACTCTCATATCTCATGGTCGTCGAACATGAATTGTTTCACATCTTCATCCCGCCTACAAACCATTCTAACTCATGATAATTAAATTTGCCAATTCATCGCCATAGGTATTGTCCTATTTACCCAGCCTGTGAGCTATTAGGTCAAGTCTATCGCCATAGCTCAATAATTCCATATTTGTAAACATTTATCAGGATTACCATTGATAGAAATGGGGATGGGTTAGAAACGCGCGACGGTAAACCCTACCGGTTAACCTAATTAAAAAGATAGAGATATTTAAAAATGCCTTAAGCCTCGGATAAGACGGATCCGTTGTTTTGATAGAGATAGGTGTCTCCTTAGGAACCCCGTTTCAAATTAACTGGCATGCCCCGCGACGTCGGACTCGGCTTCGGAATGGAAATAGAATGATCACACTAGGCCCGATGGATTGCGTGATAATAGCCTATTCACGATATGCATAACTAAACCACTCCGAGGGAAAGCTCGGGAATCGCAACGGGCTGACAGGCACATACATAAGCTGGGTGTGTGCATCATCCCACCGGAGATTTGACATCGGGGAAGGATGGTAGATATCGGGAACTTCACCGCAGTATCAGATCAGATCATTGACGCCGCGCCAACTGTCGAAACAAGCTTTTTTCGGACGGTTTGGATCGTCCCTGTTTGCAGTTAGGGCTGACTCGAGTGACCAGATGTGTTCAAGCCAGATGCCACGTACTTAATATGCCGCCGCCATTCTTCAGGATCCTGGGTTCAATTGCAGGGGGTTGTGTGGTTTGAGTCAATATCGTCCCTCTGGGGATTGATATTGGATTGTTTGGGTCTAATGTAACGTCGCCTAGAGAACAACTCGGAAACGGAGGCCCCCTTAAGAAGAAGAGTTATTAAATATTTCTGGCTTAGTTAGATCTATAGAGGGAAGGGGAGGACTTTGAGCTGAGATCGTACGATTGCACTAGAATGTGTAGACACGCAAGCAGTGGTTTTCTCTGTAGACAAGTAGTCCATTAGAGTTGTGCGTATTCTTGAGGGATGCCGAGTTCCGAATAATGACTTGTTCCTTTGGCGTTTGTTACCTCTGTTGATGATCATTGCATACCTGATCGAAGCGCTTGTTGTAGACTTGGGATATCCCAGAATCTTGTGCTCGCAGGGGAACTTCCTTATCAACACGTGACAGGCCGGTATAACCCCGTCGAGAACCTAGCTAGGCGAGTCGATATATTGGAGTTTGATGGACGGGACCTCTCGATGGCAAAGATATGTGACTTGTTCGTATCTAGCAGAAGAAGGGCGGAAAGTACGTTCATGAAAGGCTATAATTGATGCTAGGAGATCTAGAGCATGTCTGTAATTAATTGCCTGTACATTTAACCACTATATTGCAATTTGCGTCCTCTAGCTACATTAAATGTGCAGGTAAATGCAGTCGACATTCAAATGTAGCTGCATCTAAATTAGAGAAGTCATATAAATCGATTTACACATACTTAGATGTATAACTTGTTCACGACCAGCGGTATAGTGCTTTATCTGACCCCGGGGAGGTGTTGGTAAAAAAAAAAAAAAAAACTGGAATGTATGTATGTAGTCCGGATATCAGCAATTTGCAGGCCACAGAGGCCTAATCTTCTCTACTAATCAAGTTGAACTTTCATCCCCTCTCGGTCTTGTGGTCGAGCCAATTTACTTAGATGTCAGGAGGAATCTACAGGCACAGTCTCGAGCCTTCGTAGAACTCAGTCTCATTATCAAATCTGAGACACTTCTAGAAAGAACTTTGTCGTCTGACGTCTTTTCGAAATTGTCTACTGTCTCCTGCAAAGCCAAAGCACATCAATCTTCTGAGGAACAGACAGGCCCTCAGGTCAGAGAGTGACGAATTGCAGAAACAAGCCACTAGCGGATCTACAGGATTTCCGGGATGTAACCCCCGGGTCCGGGATTGTGTCAGTTCTGGAACCCTTCTTAGATCCCCGTAGGCACGGGGATAACCTCAATAATGTGTGTGATGCCAAGGTATAAGACGCACCTTTGACGGGCTGTCAACAATCCTCCACCCGGTTTCTAATCTTGATCTCAGGTTCATATCCCGGCTACATATACCTATACTCTTTTGTGCGCAATTCCGCTTCCCCCTGCAGAATATGATCGCTTACAAGCCCTAGACATTTGCCCAATTTTCGCATCAAGCATAAATTCCAGACCTCGATAAAGAGGTTCGACGTTCCAGGTAGACAAGGATATAGTGTAGAGTCTGAGAGTAACGGTCCGATCTTCGGTGCTGTTTTCTCCGAGGTCTATGCTGATGCCCTCCGAAGATGGTTCTGCTCCGACTCGGACCGTCTCTTTGCAAGCAATCCCCAGGCTTTGTAAGGCAAGGGTACGTATTCTACCGTATGTGTTATATACAAGTACGTACATATATACATGTAGTATTTTGGTATAGAAAAATTTATACTTTACCACTAGTACCTCATCGAGAGTCTCAATAACACATTTACACTTTATAAAAGTCTTGCCTCGTCCCCACTTCCCCTTCCTCTCACCTGTCTTCTCTCTTCGTCCTCTTCTAAAAAAGTAAGTCTTTCTCGTCGTCATCAGCTAGGTTTCATCTCAAGATGGCTACAACTATGCAAGAAAAGAACGACTTAGCCACCGATCCTGAGCGTGATGCAAATACACTTGTTTCAGCTTCTCGTTCTGAGTACACTGAAACTACAAAGTTTAAAGATCCTTATGATCCCCTTCAGGTATGAACTGATTCGAATCTTTCATCTATTACCTTTTCAGAATCAATTGACAATTTCCCTCTTTAGTGGTCTTGGAAGAGAAAACATCTTATTCTTGTGGCAATTTGCTACATGACCTTCATGACTGATTTTCTCGCTGGTTATGGTGTACCCATGATCATCCCGCAAGGTAAAGAATGGGGCATTAGTTCTGTTGATGCTTCCCGTTCTCTATCTGGAAATACTTTTATGCAAGGCTTTGGAAGCTTGGTAGCTGTTCCCTTTGCCCAGCGTTATGGGACGTGAGTTAATTGCATTTCCGAGATGAGTGAAAATAAGACTGACAGTAATTCATTAAGTTTACCGGTCATGTTCTGGAGCACACTGATGACATGCTTTATGACAATTGCGTGTGCTACTTGCCCTACCTGGATTGGTTTTATTGCCGTTCGAGTGCTTCAAGGCTTTTTTGCAGCCTCCGCTCAGGTGCTCGGTTTGACCGTTATTCAGGACATGTATGTTTTTCCCCTTTATTTTCAATACACTCATCTTTCCTGCTGTTCTCATCTAACATTGATTAGTTTTTACTTCGAAGAACATGCACGCAAAATCGGGATTTGGGGATGGTCGATTCTCATTGGCCCATACTTTGGCCCATTTCTCTCCTCCATGATTCTTCACAACCTTCATTGGCGTGAAAGCTTTTGGATTGTTGTTGGGATTGTAGGGTTTGGTTTACTCTTGGTGATCTTCCTCATGGAGGAAACAACATATGACCGTGTTGTCCCCGAGAATAATCCACCTCAGCCAGAGGGATGCTTTAAACGGAAGTTGTTTGCGCTTGTAGGCATTACCGGACATCGTATGAAGGGGAGACCTAGTCTGTGTCAAGGAACATGGGAGTTGATAATGGTACTCGTGAAACCTCAGTTTTACATGCTATGTAAGTTCCAGAAAGACACACTTATTTATACTCATCGGTTGTGGTGCAATTGAGCTAACATTTTCTAGTCATCTACCATGGAATCACCTTTATGTGGAGTGTTGGAATCAATGGTACTCTCATTCTTTTTCTTGTACCCGCTGCACCGAAGGGTTATGGATTTGGTTCTATCGCATTGGGCTTGATTTATTTCGCACCTATGACTGCCGTCGTTATTGGAGAACTCTGGGGCCATTTTGTAGGTTTTTCCTTTTCTATTGATTCCCTTAATTATGAAGATCTATTCCTAACAGATATATAGTTTAACGATGCTCTCCAATTACGCTCCATTAAGAGAAATAAGGGAATCTTCGAACCGGAATCACGCCTGTGGGCATTGTACTTCTCAGTTGGCATTATGTGCATGGGCTTGGTTCTCCTCGGCGTGGGACTTGATCGTCTATGGCACTGGGGACTTATAGCCTTTTTCTGGGGACTTTTCATATTTGCTATTATGACATCTACTGTCACCATTTCCGGTAACTAGGATCCCTCTTTTTTACTAGTCGAGAATCTCACTAACTTTCTCAGCTTATGTGCTTGATTGCTTCCCACAGCAATCAGCCGCTGCATCAGCGCTCCTGAACTTCACTCGAGTGCTCTTCGGCTTCACTGTGGTCCTATTCCAAACAAAGTGGGCCACAAAAGTGGGCGCTGATTGGTCTTTTGGCACACAGGCGATCATCTGTGCCGCTGTATTTGGCATCGTACCAATCGTCCAGAAATACGGCAAGGGCTGGAGGATGGGTACCGATATGAGCCCCGATGCGATCAATGTGGGGGCTGAAAAGTAGAACGAATATCATGAAGACATGATCAGGAATAATGGGTCTCATTTCTTTTGTCATTTCTCGGAGTTTAGGCACGGCTTTTCGGGGGGGTTTCAAAACCGGGAACGAATAGATAGCTACATAGATCATATTAAGAATAAAACGGGTGCTGGTACCCTTGAGCTGCAAATCACTTAGAGTTCCACTTTGGATCGTATTCCGATGCTTGCACTCGGAGAATATTCTAGCTGCATGTGAATGATCATGATAAGTAGCTACACATGTATTTCAAGGATACTTATCTACATGTATCTATGATGGTTCGGTTATGCACCTGAATGCGGGGCGGCGGGTTATAAATATTAATCAAAATCATGTATTCATTTAACGGGCATGGAGAAGCTAAAGCATGTTCGGACCGTGAAAAAACGGTTTCATCAGCTCAGTTTGGAATTCGCATATCGTCTTCACATGTATCCACCTCCTGAGTCCTGAGCACTCCAACCATTTACACAGAGACAAATAGTCACTTTTGTCTCTCCATGAATACTATCAATCAAACATCCCTCACCGCCAACCTGCATGTCAATCCAATCGATTCCAATAACATCTCTCTTCTTACGCCCAACTAACTGGAGGTGCTCACTGCGCGGTGACGAAGCCGCCTTCAAAAAAACAGCGTAGTGTAACGTCTTAGTAACTTTACCGGGATGACATTGCGCAATTAAATTAATTAGGCGTGCCCATCTTGGTAAGTACACACAAAAGGCTGATTGACAGGGAACCCGCTATCACACCATCACGATAACTGGGGGTGATGGGGTGATGAGAGACGCTAGCTAGCTATAGCTAGAAAATGTGAAAGAAACTGGAGAGTAGGTACATATTGTACCTACATTTATCCGTTTAGAGTGAGCTCTTTTTCTCTCTCTATTTTTTTTCTTGGTCTCGCGGGCCGAGATCGAGGCCCGGCTATGGTATATGCGAAACGCGGAAAACAGGGGTTGGAAGTGGTGAGTGATGGGTGGTGATTGTGCCTCCGTTGCAATGCATATATGGTTAAGCCAAGCGGGTGGATGGATAGATGGATAATGATCGTGAAAGTAAGGGGAATGATAGAAACATACAGTTATCCCGTCTGATTTACTACATACAAGTAATCAATAGGTTTTCTTGCTTTCTGGTTTTTCCAAGCGCCCGCGGAGCAGGCACAGAAACTGAAGATAACACCACCACCACCACCACCACCACCACCACCACCATCGTGCCCATTTGACTGATTATGGCCACAGCCAGTGGAACCTTGTGCAAAAACCAGTATCAATGGGCTTAAAATTGATCCAAGACAAGACAGAGCAAAGTAAAAAACATCGGCGCTCAGCTGAAGTACCTCAAGTTGCAACTGGACTTTCGTACTCCGGGCTCCATGCGCCCTCAAAAGTAACAACTTTATCAGAGGGCCCAAGAACAAAGACAGTCTCAGGGTCCCAAACCCGTTACCAGTAAACCCAACTCCAGGTTTTTCCTTCCTTCCCGGGCACCGGGAACGGTGTCTCGGGTGCGCGCCTCCGTAGTTAACTACCGCCAGGGAACAGGCGAATCAGGGGGCACATAGATCAGCTCAGGCTATGTCTCATATAATCAGGCGAGTTTTTCTTTTTTTTTTTTTACCATAACCACAGCGCTGGGTCTTACTGATTTGGTGTCTCGCAAATTTTCCAGAAGGCGGAATGCCGCTTTCTACTCGGCCGTAGTAGTTATGCTCTACGGGACTCTGAATCAACATGAGCGTGCGTTGGTAACGTTGTCTGCATGTTTCTGATGGTTATGTTTCAGATTCATGGTCCATCACTCGACATCCTAGGTACCATCTCAAGACGGGAGATAGCCGCGGAACATTATGGTAATGTTTCATCGTCCCGTCTAGATGGAGGTAGATTCTGTAAGAGTTCGATAGATTGTGTGCAATGAAAGGAGCGGCCATAAAGTTTGAACGCTTACGCCAGCTTGCCTATAATCCAACAACGCCACGAACATGAACAAGCGATAACAGTTGAGAGGTATGAAACTAGACATATGCATGGAAACTGACTGCTTATCTGAAAAATACTTATGCGAAGCACTGTCCCTCAATCCGTAAACGTTAACCCTTTTCCATAGGGGTCGAAAAGCCACAGTAAATGTAGGCCAACATTGACGAGATTGAGATTGATTCAGATTCAATATTGTGTTTGGTTTATCATAAATTGTGTATAACCTGAAGGTAGTGACGGTATTCAGATTTAATATCAATTGATAACAGAATCCGGGAATTCCTAAATAGCAAAGCCACAACCTTTGGCCCCCACGAAAAATAGTGAGCAGACGAGGCTAGGGAAAGATTTCGAACTGAACCCATAATTACTCTCAGAATTGTCTTGTCTCAGATTTCACAGATCTCAATATGCCAAGACCCTGAAGCAGTTAATCTATATGGAATTTTCACATGGGCCTTATTGGCTAGTCATTAAGTGAGTCGCGGTGAGCCAGCTTCAAGTTCATAGGTAGAGGAAGGCCTGATAAAGCTAGCCGGTGTTGTAGTTGAGGCATTGAAATCATTAAACCACCTTTAAAAGGGTGGTATAGGCTCCAAACAAGGCTTATTAGCTTTCTAGTTTGAGAAACAAACTGTGTACTCCAGCAGTGAGAGGTAAAGGGTGGATATATACCTACATATCTTAAAAACATCTTTTGTCTATCGTGAATTGCGAGTTTACCCTTGTCCCGATAGTGCTTCTCATATATCCGTAGTGCCGTCCCGCCGAGAAATGCTTTTACCTGAACATAGGGGTAAAAGAAATATAAAGCGAGGAGCCCAGGGCACCCACATTAATCTCAAAACACATGCAATTAGGGAGAGATCTAGAGCGCAGTATGCGGTTAAAAGTATTGTATCGAACAACCCACCGATGTAACATGAGAAGAAGAAGGGACATAGGCCTTTCATAAAGAACACGTATCATGAGAACAACGCACTTCTCATGTCAAAGAAGACAAATAGGAGAAAATGCAAAATACCCAGAATTAACAAAAACACATAGCTCCCGTATACACTAGTAGACTCCCCAGTCTCTGCTTTGGGAATCTAGAATGAGCTTATTGAAAATATCCCCTTGCTTCCCCTTGCCTAAGAGGTAATTGTAAATAAATATATTGGATTTCTTGGATTTTTAAACACACCCAGAGGTTCTATGAGCTAGAACCAGTAGCTGGAAACGAAAAGATACTTATCTGCGAGAACTTACGAGAGGAAAGATTTGTATCAGATCATAGCCCACAAAGGTACAACATATATAATGCTGATACCGTGGGATGAGACTGCGTTAGTAGGAATAGGAAGCTACATGTAGTGCTAAACAGGAGGTATATGTATGGTATCGTCTAGCTGAAGTTTATGTATCAATTGTAAATAACATGTACCTCACGATCACCGTCCATAGAGCACAGTTTCCGGGCAGCTAATAGTACTGACTTCACACCACCCATTCAACCATTGCCTTCTCCCTCACCCCCGCCCCAATCTAAAATAGAATAATGATCTAATCAGACCCAACTGCTCCCATTCCTCATGCTGAACCCGTGTTTACTATTGCAGCGCCCGAACTTGAAATCTCCAACTAATGCTCGCGAAGAGGTTCGAACCACTAAAAAGCTCGATTTTTAACTCTTAAATTTGACGTAAAATACTCCCCGTCACCATTTATGCGGCTTCCTGTTACCAGACTACGCAGGGTTACACCAACTTGTAATACAGTACGGGTCGCTCCCAGAAGCGAATAACGGTTTTAAGCATAAGGTATCACTCGTCTCACCATCTCACGTGACTTAGGCCCACCACGAAAAAAAATCTGCCGGTAACCAAGAACACCCACAAAAAGCAAAAAAAAGAATGGTTTGCTTTCATATGAAAGCCCCACGCGGGGGTCGAACCCGCAACCTTGAGATTCCACTTAAGAGTCTCACGCTCTACCGATTGAGCTAGCGAGGCATGTATTCCCGCCCCACTTTTGTCGTCACAATGGGAAAATCATTTGTATCTAGACTACAACTTAAATTGTAAACAGCAACCAATGCTCATCATGTATGATCCTGTCCAACGCTAACGTACACTACAGTGGAGCACAAACGTACATAACAATAAACAAACACCCAGTGGAATATGATACAGGCAAAAAGTGATAACCAAATAAACAAACGCCACACACAAAAATGTCAACTCCCCTAAATGACGAGAAACGGAAAAGAGAACCAAAAGGGTGAAGGGAGAAAGAAAAACTCAAAACAAACCCTACACCGAGTGTACCCTACATTGCTCTGGTATAAGTGTAAAATTGCTTCATCAAGCAACTCCGCCAAGTCTAAGGAAATATGCTTATTTCCATCCTCTCTTCTTCCTCACGCACATTCCCCTCACGCATCCGCTTCTCCCCCCCTTTCTTCCGGCCTCCACAACGCAAAAGCGAATAAAGTCTCTACTCTCCCAGTACGAACTATGAGCGCCTAACATATTCAGATATTGATTCTCCAAGGCCCCCGAGCTTTGCAAAAAGTAGTCAATCTGCCCGTTGTCGTTCAATAAATACAACCTCTTTTCAGCGAGCTCTTCGCGCGAAAAGTCGTGTGTTTCGAGCTCTATAGTTGATGGTAGACGCGAGAATGGAGTATTTGGTACGTTTGCTGACGATGATGGATAAACAGTTCGGATGAGAGTATCGAGGAATGTTGTTGCAGTGCTAGGAACGTATGCAGTGCGCAAAGAGGCTGCATACGATGCGTCGACAGTAGGGTTGAGACGGTACGCAATGGGGTCTGAGTAATGAAGGACGTTATAGATGTTGTCGGCGGCCATACAACCGTAGGTTCCCGCCAAACCGGTGACATGTGGATCAGTGTCCGATGAGTCGCATTCCGTCTTGTCCCTTCCACGCCGGGGCAGCAAGGTTCGCTTGTTGAGAAGTAAGAAAAATGCAGCCGGAGATCCAACAAAAAAGACGTTTTTAGTATCAAAGTCAAACTGGGTATCTCTTGTTTCCCTCTTCATATCTTGGGGCACATGGGTAGGCTGGTTAGAGAGGATATCCATTGCAATTGCCGTTCCAAGTGAGTGTGCGATAATGTGAACTCGACCGCCGTTCTTTTCAAAGTCTGGGTTATTCTGGCGCCATAGACCATACACTCGGTTTGCCTCCTTCACAACCGCGCCAATCATTTTTTGTTTGTGGTGGGAGAGGTAGTAAGGGATGTCGAGCATGACATCACCAATCAAGTTACGCACAGCTGGGATTGACGGGGGAGTAATATCTTCAAGAGAGAAGTCGTTTTCGCTGTTGTTGGAATGTCCGTTGGAGAGACCTTCTTCATCGAATGAGAGATTGTGACGCCAGTTTATCTGTGCACCTTTAGTGTGAAGACAGCAACAGGGTAGTCAGTTGAGCTTACAGGTAGCACCATCATCCCGACTTTTCCGCCATCCCGAAGAAGTGGTCTCACAGCTGGATCTCTAAGTTCCACATTTATATGTCGTCTAAAAGAATTTATCGCATGTGTAAAATGGAAACTCTCGACCCTTTCACTCAGTTTCTGTCCAATCCCATGAATCACCAAAAATAGATCTGTGACTTCTATCCTTTCCTCATCATCGGGTCCTAGGCCCTCTGATGGCGATGTCTCAAAATCTTCCTTCGGTACCTCCGCACTACCGGTTGTGCTTCGTCTTTTTTCTCTTTCCCGTGCTTCGGTGGGCGTACTAACACCGGAGGTAGATGTTGACCTCGCCTTTCTAGCTGCAGTGCCAGACGCTGCAACCTTCTTTTTCTTGCTGGATGGGTTAAGGCGTTCCCACACATCTTGCTGAAATCCTCGGACTACATGTGTTCCGACAACTTTCCCCTTTCTTATATTTGCCAGTGGTCTTTTATTCCCGAAACTCAACATAGTATCACGACAGATATACGCATCAACTGCATTAGCAAATAAGACCCAATCGGCTTCATTCACCGTCGTTTGCCCTGGTGTTACGCTACCGGCCACACCTGACTTCAGACTTGCAGAGCTGATCGGATGCTCTGTCTCGAAACTGCTCATCCCCCCTTCTTGGTTCCCGTCACCGAGTGAAGTTCCCGGGCGTGTTGGCGGGGCAGAAGCAGTACTCTTGTCAAACAATTGCCACCTTACTTTCTCCTCGCCCTCGCGGCCAACCTCAACGGCACTTGAGAGCTCCATTTCCCATTCTTCCGTCCATGCCCTAACTTCCTCCCACCCAGCCTCAAGCCGGTTTGCAATATTAGCTTCAACCGGAAGCATTGTATCTTTATAGAACCAAGTTCCCCGCATAACCGAAGCCACATCCTGTAACGGGCTCCAATATATCGGTGTCATAATAAAGCTCGGGAGTAAGACCTGATGGAGTCTTTGTAGTCCAACCGGTATCTCCGTCTGTATTGGCGGTGTCGGTGGCGGTGAGGCCTTCTTCACACTAGATCTCCGCGACGTCGAGGAAGACCTGCTCGTTGTGTTTGGCATAGTCATTGCCCTTGACTGCGTTAACGAGCGAATAAACGGCGTTCTCGTGGTACCGCTCCTAGTATTCGGGGAAGTACCAAGCCCACCATAACCGGGGCTTGTACCCAACCCTGTACTCACCGGCGAGCTAGAGCTCGGCGACCCAGAATACAAATGCCGTAGGGAGGACGGCGACCCCTTGCGCAACGATTTCTCCTCCCAACTATTCCCACGACCAGTGCCCATCTCGTCTGTAATCTCAATAGCTACCTCGCTAGACCCCCCCTCCTTGAACTGCAAATGTCCCTCCTTCGCGACTTCCCGTATCGTAGCTGTGCTAGTGCTTGTCTCATTGGATGCCCTTCTCCCAATAGCTTTCGGCGAGGTTCCACGGAAGATTGACGACAGTGCTGCTGCAGCCCTGCCGCGCTCTGCTTCTCGGGCGCGTTGCGTCTGGAGATGGTCCTGGTACGCGGCTTCGAGGGCGAGGGAGTCGTATCGTGAAAAGGGACGTGGTGGGTATTTCGTCTGAGCTGTGGCGGCGGTGGGAATCGGAAACGGCGCAAGGGATCATCGAGGGGGAACGGGGATGAGTAGAACCAGTACGAATTGATTGGCGGGGGCGGAGAGGGTGAGTCGCCGCGAGTAGTCATGTTTCTAGATGCTTGAGCTCTGTATGAAGCGAGTTGAAGCTTTCTAGCTAGGGGGGAGGCTGCTCGAGCCTTACTTAACGTGAAGCTTTACCAGAGAGCTATTTGTGCTTGAGGTGTTAATTCTGTGCTGGATAAGTGGATCGAAGGGGGGGAGAGAAGAACAGGATAATTAAGAATTAGCAGCTAGCTAGAGGAAATGCAAGGCTATAATTCAAAGGACACTTCTGGAAAGACGGAGGAGGACGAGGAAGTGGTGGAAGAAGAGAGAGAGGAGGCGGCACAATAATAATAATAATATCAAAGGGGGTGACGTAGCCAGTTGTTGAGAGAGCCGCAACAATCTCAACACTTTTCCGCACAGATTCACGTCCAAAAGACCTATCAAAACAGCTTCTATCCTTAATACATACAGTACATATATTCTATCACATCCCACAAAAACACCTTCCTCCACCTTCCTCCACCGGCCTTCTCTTCTCTCCTCTTCCCCGTAATTAGATACGTGTAGTTGACACCGTGTTCACTCTCCCCTCAAGTGACTCTTTCGCTCTCTCCTCAGCTGCTACCTAGAAACACCCAAAACGCCTAATGACTATGTTTCTGCACTTGCCCTTCCCTGCTCAGAGTTCCCCATGATAACAAGGTAGATAAGCGCTATGGGCTAGGGTTCATGTAGCACTCCATCACACGCGCACTGCATCCTCATCCACGTCAAGATCTCGGGACTTGTGGAAGAAGGGAGGGGAAAACAGGTTTCTTCTCCGCCGGTAGTCTGGTTGCCCGGGTTCGATTGGTACCCGCATAGACTACCTGCTCATAAGGGCGCTGCGCTGGACGGCCCCGAATGGAGGATCCGGGACGGTATTTTAAGTGTTTTAAGGGCGTGGGGGTCTGTTATGCTAGCCGTTTGGGTAACTGGGCCACTCAACACCACACATCATGCTCTACCGTTTATCGTGTGATACAACCATCTCTCTGCCCGGAGGAGAGAAGCACAGAACATGTGGAGCTCTCCTATCTGGCCCTTGGAAGCTTCATCTTCAATACAGGCGAGTAGCCGGAGCAGATTGCCAGCCGATATCGCTTGAGAAGTGTTCTATTACAGTGAAGGGCGTCTTGGCACTTGGGTTAGGGTTATAGACAATTGGTGTCTCTCCAAATAAAAAACCTCATACTGGACCAGAGTTAAAAGAGTACTGATGTAGGCACATACAACCAAGAGATCCTATCACAAACTGGCTGGTTGGCACCAACTATCCTACATTACATTCAGCTTGCACAATATAACTCGAACCAATTTGCAATAGGTATGGACATGAGGAGTATTATGAGTTGTAATATTATTTTGGCTACTAGTCTAGTACTAGGATCGGATACATCTTACAAACTACCTAAAGTACCAGGGGGAAGGAACCCCAGCAGATAGCAGAATTCCCAGCCTTTCATTCTAAACGCTAAAAAATATAGCTATAGCTCCACCGATCTCGTTGCCATCAACGACTTCCACAAATATGTTAATGATAGTCCAAGGGCCGCAAAGATAGTTCTGAGGGCACTAGAAAATCGGTACCGATCTAGTTAGCAACTGGAAGTCAGCGCATGAAAGCTCAACCATGCAAACGGCGCTCTGGGAAGGATTGATAATGGTAAACCCTGGCGATTGCTTCTTTGTCGGAAAGGTTTTTTTTTTTCGTTTTCAAGCTTTGTTTTCTGGTCTCGAAAATCCGGGAAAACAAAGTTGTACAGATGGTGGCCGACAATATCTCTGTCCGGTATTAGTACATCTGCCCTACAAGAACAAGCACCATGTCTTTCGACATGCCCATCCCTTTGTGTGTTTTCGCGTCGGCTGGCGATGCAAGATTGACCCACTTGCCGCGCAAAATTGCTCTAAAAGGTAGTGGAGTATACTGTTTCTCCCTAAAACCCCGTCTATCGCGGTGGAACTAAGGAGAATATGAGGAATTGTTGGTTGTCTAGGAGCTGGAATTGGTACTTTGTCTGGTGGCAATAGAGTGAATTGTTTTCTGAATTTCCCAACAATGTCTGCTTTTGATTTTGAACCACCATGTCGTTGTTTGACATGGCCATAAGGTGACATTGGATCAACAGCAAATTGGCAGATCACACAAATAATAATTTTGTATTTCGGGTTGTAGAGCAAGCTCACTCGGCTTTCATAAGGGAACAAAACTATTTAGTCTTATTAGTTTCGGGAACAAAACTAAATTTAATATTTGAAAATTGTATATTAATACCTGTACTGGGTGATGTCATGGCGCTACTAGGGGGAGGTGTGAGGGGTGCATGTGACTCGGGGAGTACTCCTTCTATTATTTAACAATATTGGGCCACGTTCTGTTGCAACGAAATATCATGATATTCAGCCAGCTTGGCGCAATATGTGATATTTTTTCTGTTGGCACTGTTCGAGTAACCACTTTATGTGATATTTGTCATCCTATTAGAGCCCCAATATCACAATCTAAAATATTCTACTCAGACCAAAATATTCAAGCTTGTATTGCACAGTCCTCACCACGATAACCATCACCAAATGCAATACCAAGTCATCAAGAAGTTCATTGCCATTTTTGTGGTTCTCAATCACTGTTAGGCTTGTGTGACATATATAGAGTATTCTAATTCCTTCATCAAAGCTGTTTATTGAAGTTTAGCGATGGATTCCAGAAATCTACAGGGGGTTGTGGTAACACTGGCAACAGAACGCATCTCCTCCATTTTATTTCTGCCAGATTGTGTTTATTCTATTTTCCTGTTGCTACCTTACCAGATCGCAACATCACAATATTTTACATAGCGGTTGTCAGAACGCGGCCTTAATGAAATTAGTTACTAGATTACCTAACCCGACGATTGTAGGAATAGAACTACCATTATCCAAGATTTCCTGTTGGTGTTTGTTAGGGTTTATTTCTGAAGGTGCTATCCATTTGTATATTTGTCAATATAACCTACACTCACATTTTATTGTAGAAGTAAAATTTCACCCACCCAAATCCGCGGCCCATACAAATCCGCAAATGGCAACTTTCATCGGGCACAAAGAGGACTGGCAGCGACCTTGACACATCAGCTTCGGCTTTCAAAACCACTATCAATTTACATACAGTATCTTTGGTCTAGAATTGAAGAAAACTACATACTTGGGATATCCCTTCGTTCGTGCCCGCGATTCACATAAAATAGCCGAGTCGATATTCAAAATCCTAACTGTTACAGGGGGTGGATACCCTCTAGGAGTAGAAAGGTCTGTTGAAAAGGAGGTCACAAACTGTGACTTCGAGCCTAAAGAGGTTCGCGGAGTGTGGGTTAGGTGTGCTAGAGATAAAAGTCGCTGGAACAAGTTAAACACCCCCAATAGCGTTTATGGTCAAAACGAACGAAGGGATGTAAGTGGTTTCCCCTTTACTCCTGTTAAAAGAGTGGATTGAACCCAGGACCATATTTCTATGTTGTTTGTGACGAACGTGTTGGGGCCAAGGTATGCTCAGAGAAGAATAATGGAAAAGTCCCGATAGTTACACAATCTGGTTGGCCTTATTGAACCCGGGACCATAATTATATCTCTTGAGCGAATGAGGTATTAAGCGCCGAGTGCATCCCGAAAACGACATATCCAGGGTAAGTCGCTCGCATCTGGTTAGGAGCGAATCGAACACTGGACCATATTTCAAGTATATAGAGCCTGGAAATGTCGTATTAGCATGCTACATGGGTTTATACGCAGAGAAATACATACGCAAGTATCATAAGGATACAGCAGGAGGATCCCTGGCGCAATCGGCTTTACTCGACAGACTCTGCCTCTATTCCAAGGCTCCTGTGGTAGATAACCATCCTTGGGGGTCTCTTATTGGGCCTTTACTGGGACTCGCCCCACAGCACCCATGATCTGGGAGGCGAGTATAGCTTCTTGAGCCACAGTTAAGTAGATCTATGTATTGATCCTCTTAGTAAATCCTGAATCAGAATGACAAGTAATTAGGGAGCTTACCAAACGATCTGCAAATTCAAAGACCAAGCTGCCCCAGAAAATATACCTTCCAGGTCCTCCGAACAGTTTTCTGGAGACGAGATATCATATTAACCGATAACTAGGTACTTATTTAAGTTTCCATAGAGCGCATACCTCATGTGCTCCGCCAAATTCCGGGGGCGAAGATAACTGAATTCCTCGCTGTTCCAGCAACAAAAGGAAAACAGCAAGCCATGTCCATCACCATAAGGTTCAAATCAAGCCGTCAGCGAGCTAAATCCATCGAGCTCACACTCCGAATTCCTAAGGTATGGGAGGAGCAGGGAGAGGAGGCCCCACTAATATTGAAGGTTGGCAGACTGCTCTCAAAAGCCTCGGAGGATAAAGAGCAGGGACTGCGATCCTCTACAATCAGACAACGTCTTGATGCTCGCTCGAAGAAGGCGGTAAATATGATGCCTTATTAGTAGACTGGAGAACTAGGAGAACCTAGGTTTTATCCTAATGTAACTCTTACTGTGGTGTCTCCGGTAGAACGAGTATGATGATCCTAGAGATAGCTCGAAGAAAACGAGGAAGAAGTAATACGTATCCCCAGTCCCATGGAAAGTGGTCTAGCAATAGAGTGATATGTTATGTACGACGCGTCACGTGGAAGTAAAAGAAGGCATCGCCTACATTAAGGATCGGCTACAAGGTTGTTTCTATTGTGCCATTCTAGTATGTACTATGCGATACCATTAACAAAGTTGCGTCTGTACTACCATGAGACGGGAATGCAGGTTCACAGATTCACAAAGCGGCAGAATTTAGCTATAGGGCGCTCCTGGTACTCCTGGGACCTATCTTACCTGCATGGTAGCTACGACTAAGCATCCCAACATACATATGACACTTAAAATTTAATGTGCTACTAGAGTCTGGGGTCATCAATTCTCACCCGTGTCCGTTGATTCGACGTTGTTACGGTCACACCCGGCAGTCCTTCTAATGTTTCAGCAAACATTCCAATTGCCAAGAGCGGAGATTTGAAACAGTTCATCTAGTGAACAATGATTTATTGGTTGAACTATCATTGACCCTTCACTTGGGCGTTTTTATCAACCATGGATCGAACCATGGAGGTTACTACAAGAATCAATTATAGTAATAATGTAGTCTCAACCAGCTACCCGTATAACAATCAGTCTTATAATTCCGCCCAGAGTAGAGTTGAATGCATAAGAGGGGTGTTATGCGCAATTAATCCAATACAGCATCGATCGTCAGCCACCAAGACCCGCGGACCACGCCACCGCTTCTACTACTAAAACAGCTAACCCCACTATTGCCCGCACCTGCGCTCTCAATCTCCAACAACTTAGACCAAACCCTTTACATCAGCAGAACCTCACAACAACGCCAGTGCACAGCTCGAATTCCCCAACTCCCCCCAATTCGCACAATGGAGCCTCTAATCCTCATCATCGCAACAGAAAACGCCTACTTCAACACCACGCCATTTGATCAAGAAGGCTACACCGTCACGCACATCCCCCGCGCCACCCAGCGCGACCTCGAAGACGCAACCGATAACATCGAGCCTCACCTTAAGTATGCCATCATTGCCTTTGGCACGGCTGCAACACACGCACTCTCGCTGGCCACCTCCAGCATTCACTCCCTCGCCTGCGTAGTTGCCTACTACCCACCTATTCTCCCCCCCTCCTTCAAAGTACACTCCACCATCCAAGCCCTCATCCACCTCCCGAAGGACACGCCCTTCTCCCCCGCCAGCAAACCCCCGCACATCCTCATCAAATCCTACCAATCCCCCTCCGGATTCGCCGAGTCATCATCCCCCACCTACGACGCCATCGCCTCCAGCATCGCCTACACCCGCACGCTTGAGCTCCTCCGCCGCACCGTTGGCCCCATTGTCGACCATGACGATGTCTGGGAGCGTCATCTAATCGCTGAGTTTGTCGAACGGGACGCTGACAAGACGCTGACCACAATGATTGACGAGCCATACGTGAATCACGTCCCGACGGGTGCGGGAGGGATTGGGTACAAGGAGTTGCACGCCTTCTACACCGAGCACTTCATACCGCGGAACCCGCCGAGCCTACGCATGAAGCCTGTGTCGAGGACAGTGGGTGCTGAGAGGGTGGTTGATGAGCTGGTTGTGACTTTTAGGCATGATCAGGTCGTGGACTGGATGTTGCCGGGGGTGCCACCGACGGGGAGGGAGGTGGAGGTGGCGTTGGTCGTAGTTGCCCGGCTGCGCGGGGGGAAGCTTGTGAGTGAGCATATCTACTGGTGAGGCCGTCATATTCCTCTTACTACATAATGGGAGCTGATTTGGAATAGGGATCAAGCTACAGTGCTTGTACAGATCGGCCTGCTCGATCCAAAGCTGCTGCCAGTTATGGGAGCGGAGTCAGCAAGGAAGGTGCTGGATAAAGACTCGCTCAAGAATAATCTCTTAATTCCTGAGTGGAAGGCGCCGAAATAAGATTTCCATATCATTTATTTTGTTCTTCGGGAGATGATGTTATGATACCAAATGAATCAATAAGTTTTTAGCAGAGTACTAATCAGAATAGCATAGGCTCTTTTAGTTGATAGTGATAAAATTGAAATAACAGGCTAGTTTGTTATATCACCCTCGATCAAAGCACAATTCCGGAAATCTAAGTACTGCACGTATAAGGTTTTAGTGTACCATAAAACAAATTAATAGCAAAAAATCGCTACAATAGCATTACAAAGACCCCAAAAGCAAGAACAACACACCATACACTACGCAACAAAATTTCAAAACAACCACTTCCCAGAGGAAAGTGAGAATTTTAATTTGAGCCCGATGCGGGGGTCGAACCCGCGACATTGAGGTGCCGATAAAAGCCACACGCTCTACCACTGAGCTAACCGGGCGATGTCTTCGATTCTGCACACGGAGCAAATAAGCTTATTTCATCGAGTTTAGTGAGAGGCAACCGGAGACCGGGATCGTACAGGTCTAATAATCTTTGCCAAGGCTTTAATGTTTCAGACAGGGATTACTTGAAGATCGTCGAGATGTCGAGCTTTTGGGGGTGATTGAGACATTACATGAGTACTTGCTTGGATGTGGTCTGATGGCACTCTGATTATACACGTTGATATATCTCTAAGACCAGATCTCGTAAATCAGCAGTAAAGGAATAGAACTGTAGTACTACGTTACGTACTGTATTTTGACATTGATACTGATCTCCTTGGCAGTGGTTGTTTTCCAAGGATCGACTTCTTTGATTATACTAGCTCCCACCGCTCCTAAACACCCCGGGGACTTATACTATGAGTGTAGGAACATGCATCCCGGAAATACTCTACTAAAATGTCAATAAATATCCAGAGGTTCCGGCAGGCCTGAGGTTATATGGGCCGGCCCGGGTTTCGGCCTGCGCTGCCAGGCCGGGCTTGGGCAAGGGTATCCGAGGTTGGGCCATGGTCAGACCTAGTTCCAAGACAGTTGAGGCCCGGACTTTATGGATAGTTTATATGGGCCGAAATAGGTGTGTGTTTTGACGCATCCATCAGATTCGATGTCGCATTTGACACTAAAAAAACATCTTGGAATAAGAAGAGATTTTAGCATTGATAAATAATCTTTTTTTATATCATATAAATTGTTTCTAGGTTCAATTACTGCATGCAGTCATAGACTATGGCATAAAGACCCAGCATTGATAAATAGTCACCTATACTTTACATATAAGTTAGCGAAAAAGCCTGGGCTGAGGCCCATTTATATGTGCCAAGCCGGACCGGGCTTGGGCCAGTCCTATGAAAACTCTGCACAGTGATCAACTAGAAGGATTCTGGGCACAGGACAGCGTTTATAAGGGCTCGAGTGTATGTGTATGTGAAATTTACAAAAAGTGGTCGCACGCCTTGGGTATTCGCAAGCTAGATGTTTACACTAAACTTAGAGGCAACTTGATCATGCTATTAGGAAGTTCCTTCAAAGAAACCACGAGAATTCCCAGTATATGTAGTATTCTTATAAATTCAAACCAACAAGGATTGCCACTTTAGTTACAGTATTTGGCTTCGCTCGGCCTTGGCATTCCTATACGTCTGATCCCTTCAAACACTACATATTTGTCTCTGCCCCCCATGTTTCTTTCTTTCCTTCTTTTTTAAGTCAATAGCTATTGTTTTCTTTTTGTATCCCAGCCAGGGGCCTTCCTCATCCACAACTCGCCCATCTAGGTGATGGTGCCATTGTTCATAGGAACTTCGCCAATTTTGATCATGCACCATTCGTCGCTGCTGTACCCGCTGTCATCGGTTTTTTCGCTCCTTTCAAGAACCTCTGGATAAAACGGGAACCCCAATAGATCTTCGAATTGCCAAAATCCGTCATAGGACGTGAGCTCGTCCTTTGGTGCACACGGCCATAACCACACCTCCTCGCCCCATCCCAAATCGTTGACTATGATCCCATTATCAATGGCGTTTTGATACGAAACTGGGCTTCCCTTTACGAGGACCCCGTCAACCCAATTGATAGGCATCAAACAGAATCTCTCAGCCGCCGCCTTGACCCCACAAATCTTCCTGAACACGTCTTTGATAGTCGCATTATCGCATACCTTCAAAGACGTATATTCTCTCGCCTCTGACGAGTCAGAGTGAATGTTAAATTTCAACCACAAATTGACTACGCAGTGCCCATGGTTTTGGCAGGGGAAGTAATGACAACCCAGAGGAGGAGCATTTATTGCCGCAAATGCTTCGATCATTCGTAAAGTCTTGTCGGTGATAGGCGCGAGCTGTCCCCCGCCAGTGAAGTGGTGTGAGTGAAGTTGAATTCCAGGAGGGTTCCCAGGATGGTCGCTAATCCAAACCCACTGTGCAATTCCATTATCTACGTATAAAGCATAACGGTAGCCGCGGTCGGGCCATTCGACGATGACACGGGGGAGAGCTGCATCCTTAACTCTCATGATAAAAAGTGACCTCGAGAGGGTTTCGTCGAGAATTTTTGCTTGCTGTTCTCGCCAGATCTTTTCTAAAGCTGGATTCCAATCCTCGTAGCCGAAAGGACCGATGACCATAGTAAGCATTGGACACAGGGTGTCGGGATGGAGACGGACGCGGACATGCATGATCTTTATTCGAGGTTGAGGGTTCTGCTTTGATGAAAAGTTATCGGATGTTCTAAGAAAATAGAAGTATGCTAAGAGAGATTGACGAGGGAGTTGAGAAAAATTGTATTTTTTCTTTCGCGGTATTTATATGTTTTGCTTAGTATGGTAAACCTTCTATATGACGCGTGACGTCCTAGCAGTTCGTGGCCGAGGACAGCACACATCTAGTGGCAGCTATAGATAGAATCCTCAGTGCCTGCCAGTGTCCTAAACTACATGTAGGGTAAAGCCCCCAAGAATAGTTTTTTATTTCTATTGAACTTACGTTTTCTATTGTAGGTTCTGTTAATTTTTTGCGTTTGTATGTATTCTATCTCCGGTTATCGCGCTAAAGATTCTATGCGCAATATTGGATGAAAAATATAGTATTTCACCGTCATCTCTCATGTCAATAAATAGACATATATGCGTCGTCTTATAGCTAGCAATGAATACTGCAATAATCGTTGTGCACAAACCAATCCCAAGGATACACAATACTACCAATTGCAAACTTCTTTTCAACATCAATATCAAAAGCTATTTCATCTAAAATGGATACTCACACCAACATCGCAAAGCACGAAGCATGTGCTCCTCCCATTGAACCACCTTCAATTACATCACTCGCAAGACCAAACAAAATATGGACCCTCAAAGCGGTTGCCCTGACCCTCGAACGATACGAACCAGCACACAGCAATGCCCTCATCTCCCTCCTGACATCTATGCTCAAAGGCCTACAAGAAATACAAAGTGTATCCCCGCGCTTCGCAATACAAATTTGCTCGGCCGTACCAATAAATCCATGGGCACCGGTGTCTTTACCCGACTGTCGTATCACAATCAGCCTCGGTGAAGAACTCCCCGCACCTATTATCGAAGCCGACGAGACCAACCAAGCCGCGAGGGAAAGGATGTACCAGATACTGGTGGGCGATCGGTTGAATAATCCCAAAGATTCGACGACGATAAACGAGTTCAAAGCGCTGGGAACAAGAGGCCTGCACCGGAAGAGGATTTTAATGAGGAGGCTACGGTGGTTAAGGGTCTACGAACAAAGGATGGGCTACACGGAAAGGGAGGATCAACTCGAATGGCCTTTATTAAAGGCGTTAGAGGAAGGATTGCAAAAGGAACTTGACAGCATCGACGCTTTGCTCGCAAAAGTTGCTGATGCGACGGGAGTGGGGAAATGGGTTTATTGGTTGCGCTCAGATCAGTAAAGGTTTTGCTTGGTGCTCCTTCTGAACAGACTTTGAATTTGTGCATTTGGGAATTCAACATAACATCCCTTATTTCACTTATTTTGCTTTTTCTTTTCTCTCTTACGAGCCTGCGGACATAGTGAGTCCTTTTATGAGCAGCAAATGTACTTTATGTCATGGTACCTAGATATCATCTCGCTTCTAATTGACTTAAGAGGAAATAATAAAAGATTTCTTCTCTGTTGGTGTACGCGTATTGGTACTTATTCGGAAGTCTGAATTCTAGTATGCTTTCATCCAACCACAAACTCGCGCTCCCAGGGGAATACCAATGCAATCTACAATACGGAAACCTCTCAAATGTATCATGTAGCAACAGTACAAGAAAGGTATATAGGATCAATTTTTCTCTCAATTGTTCATTTAAATCTGATATTTCCGGTTAAGCTTCACCCAAATACTAGATATTTAAGTTCAATAATCAGAGCCTCAAATTAAATGTCCAGAATATCACGGTTCAGATCACATGTGCGTTAGTGCATATGTGTACTTTAACTTGTGCCGCGGGAGTACCCTTCATGACGTACCTCAAGGTAAGTTAAACTCAGTGATTACTAGCGCGCTCAATGAAGTTACGTCGTACAGTATTGCCGTATAATTCTCTTCCATAACCTTACTCGATCCATCTTCTCCTGTTTACTGTTTCCACCGTCTAGAGACGTACGTACTCAGTATCCATTTTATAAGATCAAGTTATCCTGCATCTCTTTACACCTCAGAAACTGGGTATATTCGACGAAACTAAAATGGTTCACTAGCTCTACTAAGAGATACTAGCTCTGGACGCGGTGCTCTATTGGTATCATCATTTCTTCGTCACTTATAGTGAGAATTTTCGGCCGAATATACCCGGCTTTGCGGTGCGCATGTGCTTAGTACTTTTTGTTATTTGCTTAAAGGATACGTATCAACTCTCAATCTCGGAAGGAACTGTATCGTCTACATCGACAAAACCTGTTCATAGGCATCATAACTAATCACCAAGCTGGCTTACATGCACTTGCTTCATGCCACAACTCTTGTCCGGATACGAGACTGGGGTTACAGCGAGGTTTCCAAGGCGTGCTCTCACGGTAGGGGAAGTAATATTTTGCAGAGTTTTTGTATTCTAACTCGACCTTGAGAATATAGGATTTCTCGTTACAATCGACTCTCGTCGTAAGGAGACTGTGTACATCGATACCCCCGTTATAAGTTATAAGGATAGCAATTGGTGGCCCCAAAATACTGTACTGCCTGTCCTTGCCTCTTACGTATCCTTATATCGAGTCAACTGTACCTACACAAAAGTATCCAGATGATTTTATCTCGAGCTAGCCACTTAATATCTCTATAGATGAGTAAGTCCTCTCCTGAGCGTTTAAACATAAATATATATATCTAATATTCGCAGCAGTAGTCTAAGAGAGACTAGGGTTGTCTTAAACGTCCGTCATGCTGGAGAATTGCCTTATATGATCAGTGCCCTTGAAGAGAGCAGGTATGAATTATTGCCCTCCAAAATTTTCATCTATTAATTTTCAAGGTTTATCATTGCATAGAACTGGTATTATTAACGCCTAGCTACCGAGCCCTAGCCGCATACGGGGGCGTAATAACCCTCAAATCCACACTTTGGCACTATTGGTATCTAATCCGTAGAGGGTCTCCACAAGAAAAACCCAAGAGGTAGATGGAATAACATATCCTCCAGCGATATCGATATATCGATAATATCCACATATTTACCAAGGGAATCTATCCAGGAGGGGTGGAACGACTGTATCAGCTATAGAGAGGCTTGTGCTACTCTATATCAAGCTCCACAAAGGCGTTTTCTTTTTCTCGCGACAGGATCTGGGATATCTATTATTGTAAACCCCCCCCCCCCAAAACTCTCTCACCTATATACATTAAAGACCAGCTTTCCCACACTCTGAACTTACTATCGGGCCTCACCACACTTCAGCTAGCACTTCTGACTTCAATGCTCCTAAGGGTTTAAAAACATATGTTTTTCAATATAGTATTCATGCATTAATTAAATACTAAGAATTCTTGACCGCAACAGCTTGCCAGAATTTCTGATGATTTAGTTAATGAGCAAGTACTTGTGCCCTTATAGTTTCCCGAAAAGACATTCCGCCACCATCGTGCTGATACATCGCAGAATACCAATCCCGCTGAGCACACACACTGAAGTGCTGGGTACACACTGAAGTGAGAGTACAACGGTGGGTAATAAGTCATCGGACGACCTAGCCACAATTTTGCCTGCAAACGCGTATTTTGGTGGCGTTCCGTCTGATGACTTATTACCCACCGCTGTACAGCGAAAGCTTGCTATAACGGTACTTTCTATAAGGGTAATCTCTCTATAACGGTAGCACTTCTCGGTCCTTTTTGCCTGCCTTTCAGCACCAGCACCTCATATATAAGGGTAATCTCTCTATAACGCTACCAAATTCCGGTCCCGAGCGTACCGTTATAGCAAGCTTTCGCTGTATACTATTGCCAAGCCATTCGAGTGATATACCATGATCCACGGACCACACCAAACGGAACAAGCTACTGCGGTACTGGCGATGACGCAGAGTTGAGTTATTACAAGCAGGCCAAATGACGCAAACCCTCCTCGAGTCAGTTCCACACATATGAAACATTAATGACTAGCTTTTATTGTAGTGAGCATAGCCACCATCACGGGCATTGCGGTTTGTACAGTTATAGCTAGCTAACTGTGACCCGGCACTGCGCACAGGACCTAGGTTGGTCTGACCTAGCCCAGCCGGCCCATACATGTGTTCATGATTGGAGCTGTTAGCTTGAGTGTTGGGACTGCCATGTTCGTGAATTCATTGCTCAGCCGGCGCGGCGGGGGGGGGGGGGGGGGCGTGGATTAAGCCGGAAATGTGAGCGGATCGGCGGAAAAGTGCGAAGCGGAGCTTTTTATCCCTATACTATGCCACGCCGGCCGGGCGGTGCTTCTGATAGACGGGCAAGGGATTTTATGATAGAGTCAATGATTGTTGATTCTAGTAATGTAGGCTGTTTGTACACGAATGGGAGAATAGCTATCGATCATGAGAATCCGATGTAGGTATATATGTATCCCTTGCTCCGAAGAAGAAAAAACAGTTATGCCAGACACTAAGAAAAACAGCTATGCCGAAGAGAAAGAAAGGGAGAGAAAAGAGAGAGGAAGAGAGAGAAAAGCCAGCTATACACCGCCCCCATCACAAAAAGAAAACCCCAAAGCGGAAACCAAAGCACAATAATAACAAAAGAAGAAACCCAAACCCACACCCCTCTTCTACACCCCCACCATAGCGACCTGAAGCTCTTCTGTCAGTTTCGCCCAACTGCCACCTTCCTTCTCGATCTTCTTCCGCTTCCAGCCGCGGAACTGGCTCAGATTCAGCTCCTCAACCTTTTCAGCCTCCTCCTGGATACACTCGATGAGCTGCTTCATAGGGTTGCACGTGCTGCTGTGCTCGTGCCGGATGTGGCCCATCTTTGGTTTGGGCTCTTCTGCGGGCGGGGGTGTAGGGGTCTCGGCGTCTGGCACGGGGTCGGCGGGCGGGACAGGGACTTCGGCTTCTTCGGCTTCTTCTTGCGTGGCGGCTGCGGCGATGGCGATGTCGTTGGCTACGGCATCGGCATCGGGGTTTGCGTCGGCGTTTGCATTGGCTACGGCATCGGCATCAAGGTTTGCGTCGGCGTTAGCATTAGCATCCGCGTTGTTTGCATCAGCGTTGACGTTTACGTCGACATTGACCTCCGCATCCGCATTTGCATTTTCAGCATTTTCAGCCACAACCGCATCTGCGTTGGCAGTGTTATTTGCATTGGCATCGCCATTTGCTTCAGCATTAACGTCGGCGTTGGCATCGGTATTTGGCTCAGCATTTGCAACTGGTTCAGTGTCTGCAACTGGTTCAGCATCTGCAACTGGCTCAACATTCGCAACTGGCACCGCAGCATCTCCGTTTACTTCAGCATTGCGATTGGCATCCACAACGACATCAGCGGTGACTTCTACGACTGCATCTACCGCAACATCTGTGTTGGCATTTGCGTCGGTGTTTGGTTCAGCATTTGAATTTGCATCCACGACGGCAGCATTAGGATCGGTGTTTGGCAGCTCAGCGTTATCATTGACCACTGTGTCTGCCGCTACAACAGCATCCGCATTGACCGTATTTGCATCAGCATTTGGTTCGGCATTCACATCTCCAACTGCATCTGCAGCTACAACAGCATCTGTAGCTACAACAGCATTGACATCGTTAGGCTCGGCATTAGCATTATCAGCATTAGCATCAGCCGCCACATCCGCGTTCACGCTGGCGTCGGCGTTAGCCTCCGCATTCGCATCCGCCGCCGGATCTGCGTTCACATTAGCGTCGGCATTAGCGTTGGCATTAGCTTCCGCATTAGCGTCCGCTCCCGCATCTGCCACCACATCCGCCACCACATCCGCGCCCGCGTCTACTACTGGTGGCGGAGGCGGCGGCGGCTGCTCAATATCATCCAACGGAGGAGGAATATTTTCACCGTTGTCCTCCTCCTCCGCCACTGTTATCTCACCCCACCCGTCATAATCCAGGTGCTTGATGCGGATTCCCCTCACCGCATCCACCAGCTCCTCGATCGAGTAGGTGTCCACCGTCTTCATGTCGAAGCCCAACATCCCAACGCCCGCAAAAGCCTTATACAGCGCGCCCAGAAGGTATGTGTCGCACCGGGGGTCTTTGGGTGTGTGTTTGCACAGCGGGATTGCTCCGGATGCGTACTTTGTGAATGTGGACGAGCACAGCGTTACAATCTCCTTCACGATGGTGTTCCGCTGCTTCAACAGCGCATCTACATAGTTATACTTCATCAGCCGTACTCCCACCAGGAAATCCCCACTGCCAAACACCAGAAAGTAAACAGCTAGGAATCAACCTACTCAGAATCACCTCCGGCACATACGAATCAAACTGCCTCAACCTGTCCCTACCCCGCCCTTTGTGCGCCGCCCAGCTCACCACCCTCCTACCCGTCTCATCCTCGTCCACCACAACCCTCGGCACAAGACTTTTGCTGACCCGCTCAAAGAACTTGCGACTACTAAACACCCATGCGATGAACAGCCAGTCCTCGTACCCCACCGTCGTCACGTCGCCCCGAAACGGCTGCATCCACGTCTCCGCCCACAGTCGCACCGCCCCCACACAATCGTACTTGTCACACACCACCGCCAGCTGCTTCAGTTGTGGAAACGTCACCGTGCGCGGCACCTTGTGCGTCTGTAGGTGCAACGCATACAGAATCACGGCGAGCGCCGTGCCATTGTCGTCATAGAGCGGCTGCACATGCTGTACGAGAGGCGCCGACGGCTTGATTGGTGAGGTGGCCGGCGCCCTCGCCGCTGTACGCAACGAAACGGCTTCCGCGAAACTGCTGTTGGGGCCGAGCATGGCATTGAAGACCGGAGATGCAGCGCACAGCACCGACGACGACACACGAAAGCGCAACGGCTTGGGTTTTGTGGTAGTGCCGGCATCGCTAGCGGGTGCAGGTGCAGGTGCAGGTGCAGCTTTGGAGTCTGTGGGCGGTTTTGCGGGTGCGGCGGCCTCGGGTGTGAGGGATATGATGATGTCGCCCGTAGGACAGATCTCCAGCGCGGGTATGTCTTTCAGCGCTTCAGCGGGAGAGTCTGGCGTCACGAGCGTGAGCGGGGAAAAGATACTGTCTCCTCCTCCGCTCGTGGTAATAGTAGTAGTTGTTGTCGACATTTGTAGCTAGCTAGCTTGCCAGGCGCTGATCAAGACTCGCAAAGAACGCAGCTAGAAGGCAGAACTCCGCAGAAAGGAAGGGAAAAACGGGGAAATCTCTCTCTCTACGAGTTTTGCGCGCTATGTTAGTACTTATAAGATTATGGTAGCCTTTTTTTTTATTCCCCCACCACCAACGGGTAGAGTAAAAAAAAAAAAACTGGCATTGGAGTATGACTCTACTCCAGCATCTGCAGCGGGTGTAACTACAAGTATGTACGCGGGCACCACTCAGAAGCACCCAGGCCTTGCATTGATTGGACGTGCATACAAGGCTGCCATCTCAAAGTCCGGTAGTGCACACTTGGCTGCTGTACCCCACCCGCAACCTAACCTTCCTGCACCACTATTGGAGATTGGGGCCTGTTATCTTTGAAGCTTTCTTCAGGCAGCAATGATGCTAGCTGGGCTGAATAAGGTAGACTCGAGGAGCCGCAGTCTTGGCGGTGGTGGTGACTGCACTCGCTCCCGGAGCTGCAGAAGATATAGAATTAGCCGCTTGGAATGAGAACTTCTTGCACAGCCACCGCCCGCTGGTGCCTTCGAGAGCAAGACTGCCTTGAGCGAGAGCTGTTCATAAGTACGGCGTTACACTCAGTGGCAATTACACAGCCGAGTGATCGACTGTGCATATAGCCAACACAACCAGCTACAGTGAAACAAACAGCTCAGCCTCTTATCATAAGAAATATGGAATTCAATTACAGATACCCTTCGTTCCGATGACGTGAACAGTCTGTTGAACATACTATATAACCAATACAAACGATACAGACCCTCCAGGAAAGAAATAAAGAAAGGGAAAAAACATTACTTTAAATACTCATACTTCAAATACTCATACGTATATACATTAAACCAAACTCCGACAGGAAACCCAAACACCGTTTCATTTTTTTTTATAAATGCGCTTTACTAAATTTATCAAGGAAAAGGGCGAAGAAAGAGAAAAGAAATTAACCACGCCGAACCGGAATAAGATGCGAACCATGACGAAAGGGCAAAAAATAAAAAAAGGAACAAAAAGAAGCTGAGAGCAGGGAAAGGGTAAAAAAAAAACACGACGAACCATCGATGTGTTAAGATAACAGGCGGAAAGGGAAATAAAAAAGCAAAAAAAAAAAGGAAGAGAGAACGGAAAGCCTAACAGCAGTGCCCACAGAGGCCGACACTTATTTCCCAGCCTCCTATCAGCCTGAGAGCCACAATAGGTGTAGGGCGTCCAAAAGGTCCCAGGATGATTCCGGTGTGGTGCTGTACTCATCATCATCATCGTTATATCCAGTCTTTAAACCACCTGTTTGGAAGAAGAGAAACCAAAATAACGCCAGAATATAAACTTTAGGAAAACGATTCATCCCTCTTCCTCCTAGCAAGACCTCTTCATGCGTCGCTCTCGTCACTTATTCTTCTCCCGCCGCCTTAACCGCCGCCGCCGCCGCCGCCCGTGCCCTCCTCCTCCTCCCAAGCTGCTGCGTTATTCTAGTCGGGTCGTCTGGTGGTGGAACCCCGAACCGGAATCTTCTAATGGGTATTACCTCGCCGTGAACTTTTCTCCTGTGCTGAAGAAGATTGTGCCGCTTCGAAAAAGGTTTTGTATGATTGCAGTTGGACCAATGGCACAACAAAATCTCGGGAGTCTCTGGCGCCGGATTGTTGTTATTATTGCTGACATTGACCACAGGAAGAACCTCTCTCTCTTCCTTTTTCTTTCTCTCCTGCTTCTTGCGGGGGTTGGCTGTAGGAATGGCTTTGGGCACAGGAATGGCTTCGGGCACAGGAGTGGCTTCGAGTACATGTATGGACTCATCTGAGTAGAGAAAATCCGTAAAGCTGTGGCCCGGTTGAAATCTATGATCTTCGTATGGATAAACTGCCCTTTGGTAGGAGTAAACAAGCCCAGGTTGTTGATAACCCACAGAGTCGTCACCAAAATCGTACAGCTGCCCTTGGAGGTTTTGTTGGATACCATGAGATCCATAAAATGAACCAGGAGTAGGGAAAGCAGAGGCAACAGCAGCAGCAGATGCTTGGGATGTAGCAGCAGCTAGGATCGCGTGACTAGAATTTGATACCAGTTGATCTCCACTCCACGCCCCCAGCGCAGCACAACTTGCGAGGCCTGATGCTTGACCTTGAAAACTGGCACCGTTGACACGCAGATTTTGATGTCCCAAGTGAGATAAATGAGGGGGAGGGGGGAAATCTATATCTGGGTAAAAATCGGTAGAGTTCACGCCCGGGTTGTAATGGACGCCATCCTGATCACCTTTGAGAGGAGAGGGGTGCAAGTCCCTCAGAAGATCATGTTCAATCGAAAATATCTTGTCCTCAGACGCGGACGCTTGACTGCTTCCCCAACCGGCCGGGCCGGTTCCCCTTAGGTTCGACAATGCGGCTTCGTTTTCTGTGATTCTGCCTGACGCCCTGCTCTTCATATAGATGTTGAATGATGATGAATAAATCTTAGGGCTACCGGCGAACCCGAGATAGTGATTGAGTGGGAATCGCAGTCCAGTTCAATGCAGTGCAGCGCAGTGCGTTCTTGGGCTGTAGAAGAAGAAGTTCTGAGCGTGGAGGCTTGATTTCTTATATACACTACGCTTGATTGTCGGCAGCAGCAAGTAACATTCGCCTTGTTGACCTAGTTCGCACATTATGAATCTGGTGACCGTACAGTACTTTGACATCGTGGTGTTCCTAAGCCCCCAGAACTAATGAGAATGATTCGCAATCCTGTGAGAAAAGCCCATATGTTGTGGGGGGGGGCGCAAAATGTACGACTGTAGGTCCGGACCGGAGAGAAGTGCAGTTAGGGACCCTGTAGGTACATCATGCCCTTCGCTTTATCGAGACTGCTAGTAGTCAGGGAACATCTGAGAACGTTGAAGGAAGGGACTGTCTGTGGGCCTATTCTCCAAAGGCGTTTGTTTATTGGTCGAATTAATGCAACTCCGGCCGCGAAAGAGGAAATTACCCGCTACACATGGAGGTCTCGCAGTTCCCATGGTGTTACACATGTTGACTAACAGCAGGTCACCACCAACCGCACAACTGTAGAAGGCTACTAGAAACAACGTACCGTTTGTGGAGAGGCAGTGCAGCAACAACATACAGTTCAATCTTGGTAGGGAGTACACTCGAGTTAGGCAAAGTCGATTGGATAATCCACTTCAAAGTCGATAACCAGGATGTTTATGTACCTAGCCAACCACTTCTTTCCCCTCTCCAGGATACTATAATAGGTATGAAGTGGTGCATACTGCACGCACGACATGACGCAGTTCTACGGTTTTATGTGAATCGATTCCTTCGGTTCCTTCCTGTCTAATATGCACTGTCGTTGGGTTTTCTGATTTCTCTGGAAACCCTATTAACCTACATGGCAACCACCCCATACATACAGTACCATACCAATCCCAAGCTATTTTCAACTCGCGGTCGCAAGGGGTTCCTTAGCCCGGTCACTAGACCCCTCTACTTCTTTCCCCTCGCCATACCATAATAGGTAAAATACATGTATGAAGTGGTACATACTATACTGCACGCACGACATGACGCAGTTTTATGGTGCAGTTTTATGGTTATGCGAATCGATTCCTTCGGTTCCTTCCTGATATCATGTACTCTAATGCTGAGAGTCGTACTCTACATGTAATTACAAAATTCCTTCATGCTCTTCTGTACCGGGTATCGACGAGTTGCATGCACTTTGTAGAGTATAGAGTATTCTCAACGAGACTCCCTTTTCAGCATTGATGGACGTTTAGCTATAGAAGAAAGAGGAGATGCTTATCTGCCTACCTTCGCTGCCCAGCGTGTACCCAAACTACAGTACTCATAAGTCTACGTAGTCAAAACATACATCTTGTCCAGAGCTACATGTACACACAGGGTATGTACACAGCGTAGAATACTAATCCTCGAACTTCACATACTCAACCTTATCGACTTCTCGGCTAATTAAGTAATCGAGAAAGACCAAAGTAAGCTTAACGGGCTAGATAAGCCTTCATAACCTTTCGGAATCTGAAATCCACAAGGACGGAAGCGAGTTACGACTAACTACTCACGATCACGTAAAGAGATTCAAACATGGAACAGCTTGTTAACACCGCCCGTCGATCAGCACTTTCATCATACTTCCTCTTTCTCTACAGTCGTCGTGGTGATTGGTAGCTTTCATTCGCGAAGGAGGGGAAAAGAAGAAAAGTGTTGAAAACAAAGGCCGACGGAGATAAAAACAGTAACTTACTGTCCTCAAATTTCAATGTGGTGCAGCGAGTCGACACTGACTGACATATGCCAGCGGCCTGTCCCTCGCCACAGAGAAGACCAGTGCTACATACTTTGGACTTACCATAAAGATACATAACGACATCAAACCCTCATCATTTTTATTTTAATGATATCCGACTCCCGTCTATAGTGCCGTACATGATACCCTATCAGCGGCGCATCGATCCCTATGGATCCATGCAGATATATACATAGTGGCGCTTGTACTCTACCAGTGCGCGCCCCCATATCCCCCGTAAGTGCGTAGGGCAGAGAAAACGTGAGCTCTCTCGTCGGCTTTATTCTTCGCGCTCACTTCCGGTACCATAGTTGAGCGAGGTCACAGTGTTGATGAGAAATCAATGTAATCGGCTTTTTAAATAGATCTCCGTCTACTACTTTGTTCTTACTGGCTGGACCGGACTACACGTAGCGATTCCGCAGGTTCGCTGACGATAAACCCCCGCAATAATACGGCCACATCACATTGAGGTAAGCCGAAGGCCCAACGCGCCCTAAAAAAAATAAGCAAACACCAAAAAAGTCTACATGGTATATGGTATGTATGTTGATTGGGATATCCGTGATCAACGTTATGTTGGAACAATCGCCCCCCGAGGTGGAGGTTCATTTTCAGGAAGCTGGATCACAACCCAGTTGCACGAACAGCCTAAACAATCACAACAATACACACGGCAAGAACCCATTGGATTGCCGCCAATGGTCCAGGTAATCGGGTTCTCTGAGTTGCAAGACCCTTAGTGTTCTAGGCCTCCCTGGGACTTTGGGACGCAACAGCGCTTTAAAACCCATTCAAAAAAACCTACGCAAGGGGGAGAATCCCGCAACAGGTTAAGAAGAAGACCCGGGCCACGCTAGACCGCCCCCCCTTCCAGAAGGCCACAAGGTCAGTGCGGGGGAGTCACCTAAGCAAGGCCCGAAATATTCCTAGTTAACTGGCCGTGAGTTTAATATCCATCCCACTGATCAATGGGATACCTTACTCAGTCGATGAGAACCGGCTGGTAGGGGTACGTATGTACGTATGTACGCATGTACAGAGAAATTTAAAAAAGAAGGCTTGCTCTGATCAACCTTGACATTAACCTAACCAACACAATCCTGGAAACGGCCACTAAGTCTGATGATGGTGCTGAGCGCTGGAGCCAATAATACCACATATCATGGAATGATCATATAGTATTTTTTTTATGGCGTTACTCAAACTGCTTTCCGCGGGGAGGCAAAATACTCCTATCGTATCACTCACCCTCTCTCCCTGCGTGATATTCGGATTCGATAGCTCTTCGTGGCCGCCTAGGCGGGGTTTTCTTTTCATGAGAGAGCACACAACATGAACTTTCCTCCTGATATCAACTAACTAGCGCCATTGACGTGACTCGGAAGTCCAATTGCCAATTAACGACAATGATCAAAATTTCTACCTACTACCCGTCGCAGATAACTGCGCACGCTTGACGTCCTAACTGCAGCGGGATGATCGGCTTGGGCGCATGGAGGCACCTCCATGATGGCAACTAGCACGCTTGTTTCAACCCCTCCAGTCGCGCCTGTTTCAACCCGTATCAGAATTTGATGCCCAAGGCAATAATGTCACTGCATGAGTTCTCTAGAGTACATGAGTACGCCCCTCGATCCGGACTAGCGAGCTATGTTTAATACGTTACCAAAAGTACATAGGTACATATTTTTATTCCCTCGTTATATAGTCGGCTGATGACCCACACAAGCAACCATTCCCGCGCATTCGCCACACCTTATCTCAACCCCGGAGGAAGGCGGCGAAAGTGCTGATGAGGAAATGGCAGCAGTATTCTATTCCCCCAGGGAACTCCCCCCCCCAGAGCACATGATTGGCTCGAGCGTCGCACTTCGGGTTGGCTTCTATGACAACATGTATTTTCGTACCTATCCCTGGGTGTTGTTTTTGCCACTGATCATACCTGGTCGGGACTTTTTGTCCGCGACGCCTCCTCTTGACTTTGTGAGTCTGGGACTGAGGCTTGTTTTTAACTGTCAGCCTAGTTGCAGCTAGTCTCCAGGGTGCGCGGCGATTGTGTTGACTAATTTTGAGCGCTAGGGTTAGGGTTAGATTTAGCCTTGGTCATAGTCTATCACTCGGGTCAAGTGTTTAGCTCGGTTGCGCAGCGAGAGGTTTGGCACATCTTAACGAAAACAGAGGTTTTCTCTATCCCTTATAATTAGTGAGAGTATGTACAGTACCGTACATACATACATATGTTAACGGATTTCTAGGGCATTCACATTCTGCAGCTAGCCACATGTATGCATCGATACATTTATCTTTGTCAGAGAGGAGTTACTCTCCTCGATCTCACGATGCCATTCTCCGCGTTCTTCTAAGGGTTGTCACTATATGGCAATAGCCGGAGACAATGGCCTCTTGCTTCTTTCCCCTAATTACAAAACATATTTTCCTCGAAGAAGATTTCCAAAGCTGCAAACCCAAGAATATATGACGCCCTGATGACCGATCGCTCCTGACGGTTAGAATACCCCCCGCGAAGATTTGAGAATGTGAATAGAGGGGAGATGTATAAAGGATCTCACCCCCTCGCACAAGTCTCCTCTTCCTCCAAGTATCTCTAACCGCACAATGGCCACCCCAAAACCCGTCCAGCTCCAGGAGTACCCGCCTCCAGCGTACACTGGCCAGGGGTCCTCCACCCCCGGCTACTACAGCGCTATCTCCGACCCTTTCGCCGACCCTGCACCCTCCCACCGCCCGCCCCTCTCTCGCGCGCACTCCTCCTCCCCACTCCCCGCCACTGCCCGATACCCCCCACTTGCCTCTGGATCCTTTTTCTCCCGTACCAGGGACGAAATCTATTTATTCTTCCACAGACCCTTCTTCTGGATTGCCCTAATCTGCAGCTCCCCTTTCCTCTCACTCATAATCATCGACATCGTCACCACCACCGCCTTCCCCTCCTCTGTGCTCTACCGCGAGCTCCTACGCAGTAAATTCGAATACGCAACAGTCATCATCTGCATATTCACCGCTATTAGCAACTTCGCCTTCGCCGTCATGGGCACCAGCGCGTACCGGTGGAGCAAGAAACCCTACGTGGCACCTACCATCCTCTGCACCGTCTTCACCTTTTTCTTCATTTTCGCATGTTGCTGGCGCACGATCTCTACGCGGATGCACAACGCCAACCCCGCGCAGTGGCCCACATGCGCAGCACGGGGCTTCGGCGCCACGATCACGGCAAGCATCGAGGTTGGCCACGGCGCCAGCAACATCACGATAGTGTCTGCGCACAATAAGAACGACGTGCTCGGCCTGCAGCTCACGCCGACGGTGCAGGAGAGTCGCGACTTGAACTACTTCTACGCCAGCGCGGTGCCGTGGTTATCGAGTGAGCGGGTGTGGAGCGCTATCGATGCCACGGGCGGAGGCATGAATGTAGATTTGTCGCTCGAGAAGCACCGATACGGGTTGGTCTATGCGGGTAACACCACGAATGGGCGCTTCGCCGATAATCGCAGCTTCTTTCTAGTGTTTCCCGAGCTGGGGATTAAGTCTTCTTCGACGCGGACGTGGAGCTCCAGCTCCCCTCCTGACCTTAGCCGCGTCGGTAGTGATATTCGCGATGATGAGCGGCCGGTGGTGGAACTGGTTGAAGGGAAGCGAGTGGTGTTGGCGACAGTGCCTAGTGAGGTCGAGAGGGGTCAGAACAAGGATAAAGGTAAGAATACTGAGATGGTGTGGCGGATGTGTGGGATGTGGAGCGTGGAGGAGATGTTGGCGGATAGGGAGGTAATGGAGAAGGTTTTGGCGCCGCTTACAAGGCTGGGGGTTGAGATGGAGTTGTGGGGGGCAAAGAATGCGGACTAGTGAACGGGCGATAGGAATATAAGAAGATGAATTGATTATTTACATACATAAGTATATACTTTATATTCTTCCAGAACTTGTTGATCTACTTACCTCAGCGGAAAACGGGAACTAGATTCAGATTGGGATTAGGGTTGGGTAAAACTCTCCGAATGATTATTTGAAATGTCTCTCCATTTCATTTCCCAACTCCTACCTACATATCAGGATCAAGAGCTCTAGACCTATTCTTACACCCCTTTTTTTGTTTAATATCATTCACCGGGGTGTTTGTCTTTGTGTGTCACCACCCAGTCAGTCGCTATCAATGTATTTATAGTCATAAAAACACAAAAAAATACACACATATAATTCATAAAAGCCCATCAAGAATGCATCATCAAACCTTGACACCGCCCCAACCACAACTTTTACCACACCAGCCCAAATCCCAAAAAGCGGCAAAAGTATCATTGACGGTCTTGGCGACCTTAGCACCACTAAACAGTCAGGCCGGATTGGAATCGTCAGGTTAATTCTAGATCAGGCATGATATAAAAACGCTACGATATTGTAAAACATCTCTTTGTGGCCTCCAAGAAATTCGATATGCTTGCGTATATATACAGGTACGATTTAGGTAATCTGATAATCTGGCCTAACCGCCAAAGAAATACTATATTTCCCCCAATAGATAAATACCGCGAACAGAGACATCGAATCTACATATGTGGACTCTACTGTTACCCCAACTACATGTAGAAACTATGGCTAGTGTTCTTGTTATTCGGACTTTTAGTTAAGGCTGAACTGGACAGTGCTACCGCTGGACTAATATCTATAAAAAAAAAACTCGACCAAGGGTTCACGGGGGGTAGATTAGGGTGAAGAAGTTCCTGTAGATCAATTGAGTGGATAGTCGTTCACTCTTTTTTGACGAATTCTGCCACTTGACGAGCAGGGGTTCCAATTATGGAAAGAAACAGTCAAGTAGTAGCCAAGCTGCGAGATCTCTGGTTCTGTTCGTTTATACTGGCCTAAAGCCCCTGTTCGTCAACTGGCAGTACATATCCGTCAAGCGACGATGAACGACTGCAAGGTTATGTGTTCAGAATTAGAACCAGGGAATTTCCTTGATGAGACTAGAATGCTCTTATATTCCCTCCATACCGGCATGACGCACTATTCCTTCTTCGGAGAATACTTGACCCGCCCCGTCAAATAGTAGCAATCCGATCCAAAACCTGCTTAACAAAAAAAAAAAAAAAAAACCTGGCCCGGTACCTTCAATCCTTTCGGATAGGATGGTAATCAGGTACTAGGTGATATTTCATGATTCTGGCAGGGTTCGAACCTGCGGCCTTCTGCGATTTCTGTAAAGCAGACGCGCTTCCACTACGCTACAGAATCCTGGTTATCATGAAGTTTAGCTCTTTTTTTCACGCACACGCTGGTGGCCGAGTGATGGCCTGTGATCCAGACTTTTTGGTCGGATTCAGGCACCTAGCGACTGCGTACTGATAATTTGCGCTCAATATAAAATCCGTGGTTTCGTTCATTATGCGATTGGTTATAGGGTTATATCTAGTAGACTAAAGCCGTTTTGTATCAAACGTTGGGATGGTTAGCCGGGTTAAAGTTTGACATGAACGTCCTTGGCAAGATTAAGACATGCCAAGAACCTTTGACGCCACATTTGGTTCACTCAAATACAGCGTAGACTGAGTGAAAGGACTGATTACTTGTAACAGAGCCAACAAATGGTGGTTTGCAAGTCAGATACATACAGGCGCTGATGAGATAATTGAAGAATGAGCTACATAGTACTCTTATAAATGATTTTGAACACAATTCCCAATGTTAAATATATAATCATAGATTATCACTCGGCAGTCCGAGGCAGACCGAGCCCTGGGCTTACTCTCATTAAGAACGCCGGCACGGCTCATGTCTCCGAGTCGAATACTACGATTGAAAGAAGGCTCGGGCAATTTGTCAGTAAAAACGTATCCAACTCTTATTATAGTCCGTCTGTGCTTGTATTATCTGTTGCCACTGGAATTGCTAGCTCTCGCCGTTCTGTTTCCCCCTATAACAGATCCCTGTAAATAAAAATCGCCACTCTGTACGACACAGGTAACCAAAGGGGATGTAAGCACCGTAGTTGCCTCGCGGTGAGCTGAAGATCCCATCTGCTTACTTGGCTACTCCCCCGTTTCGGAGATATATATGTAGCTAATTCCCTAGGTTAGGTTTAAGTTTAGATATTAACACAAATTTCATTCTAGGAATAAGTGCATGCTTATAATTATGGGCTGACCTTCTCGGAAATGATCTACATTTCTTGAGTTCTAGAAGATTCTGACTACTAGAGACGTCACGTTAGGGCGACCATCAACTCAGGGGTTGTTTGTTACAAATGGGTTTCATTGACCTAATGACAGATTGTCATGCCCTTTGAGACCGAGTGAGGTGGCAAATATCCACCCGATCATTGACTCAAACCTTTAGATAGCTCTCTGGTCTACTAGTACTAACCGTAGGTCTACATCTTATAATAGATCTTTCACAAATGATTGGATATAAATAATTGGATCTGAAACGCGGCCTTCTGAGGCAACTACTTCTGAAGGCCACCATGCGCAGAGTGATCGAGTGCGGACACGATTAATCTCCCAACAAAAGATAATGTTGTATTGTTCCACCCTGAAAAAGTAGCACTAAGAATACAGGTAAACATATCTCCATACATGCAACTAGCCACTAGCACTGGCACCTGAGTAAGATAGCACTCCAATAAAAAAAAATTGACTTGTTATACGGACTTCACAACTCCCTCGACACGGCCACCTCGACCAGCCTTTATTAGGGGATGGTCTATTGGTGTTTACAGAACTACCATTAAGAGCGCACGTGTTTCATGGGTCTGAAACCTTTGTTTCTCTTTTCCCGAGGAAGGGAGAGCGCATGGTGGGCCGTGCATGTATCGGACCAAGGCTGGGATTATGTGGTGGGTGGCGAAAAACAGCTTGCAGAGCCTCGTCCCCAGGGTTTAATGCTTCCAGCTTATTCGTCCCCACCTCACGGCTCACTCATTCGCTACACACTCCCTGCCGTTGCCCCTCTTCTCCGCTGCGTCTTCCTTCCCGAGTCCCCCTCCGGCGGGGTTCCCCATCTATATCTTATGATCGGAATGGGCTCCTTATGAACTAGTCTTCGGTGCTGGGTAAGGTTGTGAAACCTTTTGTCCGTTTGCATTTGGGATGGGTGCACCTGAATTTGGCACCAGTGGTTGAGCCCGCTGGCACCGGATTGTTGTTGCCCGGAAGCGCTTCTTCCTTTTTCAGTTCTTCCCCATTCCCGTTGGGTTCGGGAGGGGGTGTCATGAAGGCGATGTTGGACGGGAGCATAGGGATATCAGGAGAACTATCATCGCTGCGAAGCTCCGTATGGCTGGAATGTGAGTTATTATGTTGTCCAGTATATTTGTATGGTGATTGACGAGCTGGAAGACGAGCTGGCCCAGGCTCTGATTCAACCACAAGATCAAATCTACCGGTACGAGATGCATAAACGGAAGGGTCCGAAGATCCTTGCAGTTGCAGTTGTTGAACGTTTCGAGCTTCATGTTCGGGCAGATTTGCAGCCGTCATTGGCGTACTATAGCTAGGAAGTGGGTAACCGATCGCGAAACGAGAGCCGTCATTGGCGGCCTGTTCCACCCGGTCCCACGCTTCAACCCCCCACGGTAACAAGTTTCCAATATCAAAAGCCGGAGCCTCAAGATTCAAGAAATCTATGTCTGGGTTCAAAAAGGCGTCGTTTTGTTCTCCTCTGGGATAAGGAGCACTTAATCCGCTTAAGAGTTCATTGATTATATCGGGTTCGGAGAAATTAAAGGGTTGATCGTGTGTCAAAAGGCCTTCCATATTCGAAATGTACGGCTGTAACCAGCCAAGTTCGCCAGTGTGGTATTGATAAATTTGTGTAGCTTCGTGGTAAGGTTTGAAACTCTTGACAGATAGGTTGATACTGGCTGTCGACTTGTTTTGAAACGAAAATAACGTGGAGATGGCTGAGTATTCTTTATGCTATGTGTTATCCTTCAGAGTCGGCGTTTTAAGGGGGTCGACTTGAAGATAGGAAAGTGGCTGGCTGGCCATTTATACTATTTTATCAGTGTATCATTGACGTTATCATTTGTTGGTGTTGTTGCCTTCCCCTACATAGTCGTCTTTGGAGATGTGCGAATTTGCGCACCCACTAGTAACTATACGTACATGTCCTAATCCTCCTGCACCACTTTTTCAAAACGATTATAACTTACCCGTTCTCGGTGGGGTGAATGGGGCGAGTTGAATAATCGAAGTCGAAACATGGTGGACAGGGCATATATTGTAAATTCTACAATGTTGGCCAGTCATAAGATAGAGGTCCATCTACGTTCACTCTCAATTTTTGCCCCCAATATTAGTTTTGTATAAGGCCAATACTCAAATCATCCACTCCAATATAACAAAAAATAATTATAATCACACAAAATATACGTACTTAAATAGCGTCTTTTTTCAATCATATTATATAAGGAGCAAGGTTATTCCATTTTCGTTGTAACAAGGTCTTTACCTCCATTCGAATCTAGAATGCCGTGCTCATAGTTGCTGAAATGCATCCAGTATACAATACTTGGTTGACGCATATGCGATGTTGTCGCTTTGAAACCTTGTGTATTTGATTGGCTTCGAAAGAATGGTAAAGGGCAAAAACATTGGGGTTTAGATAAGATATTATGCACGTGCCCAACTGTCACTCTGCGGCCGGCCTCGGGATGCCTGTCAAGTTAGAGATATGTAGCCTCGGAGGTTCGATCCTAAGTCACCTATTGTTTGTACTTCTACGCTGCCTTTGGTCTGAGGCAGCTGCAAGATCTTCACTTCCCCAGATCTTGACCTGCACTTCAGGTCATATTTTCCCTTGAAAGGCAAGGTTGATTCCCTGTAGGCGTGATGGCCATAGTGATAGATCACTCTAAACAAGTTCTGCGCGCTTCGTTTCTTACCTGGTACTCAATACCAATCACAACGGCGGGGGATGCGGGAGGAGCGCCCGAGAAAGCCACACACTCTCGTGAGATGTTCTACGTATGTAAAAGAAAATAAGCCACATCAGCTAGATGAGCTACAAAGGTAAAAAGACAAAAGGATGGGCAGAGCCACACAAGCAGAATCACATACACAGGCAAAAAGGAAAGAAAAAAAGATGTACTCCAACCCCTACGTCAGTTCATTTCGTTTCTCACCTTAACCAGCTACAGTGGCAATAAAAACGTCACCATGGTACCACACACGAACCGTATCTGCATGATGAGTCATCGAATACCTACGTTACGCAGTCGGCGATTGTTTTGTAGGAGTTATTATGGTATGTAGTTTTCGACACATCACGGCCATACGCCGAGCAATTGGGGGGGTATATAAACTTTGTCCTTTATGAAGGAATTAGCCAATCAGCCTTGAGAACTGGAATACCTACTACCCCAACAATGTTAACATCCGGACCCACAGTGATTTTTCAGACATATTTAGAAGAAAGTACTAATTATGTAGCAAGTACTTTTTTCTCGGGGTGGCCAAACCCAAGTGTTTCTAAATAGTAACATCGGAAAATCTCTTGATCCATTACAAAGAACTTTGCCCCCGTTCAAAAATAACCGGGCAACCCGTAAAACTCGATAGGTGAGCCCCGGGCTCATCTATAGACTCCCCTCTCATCTATCGAATCCCCGCTCTCTGAGTGGTTTCCCCACGTTTCTCCACTGTTTAGGCCCGGGCCCACCTATCGAGTTCTTCCGGTACATGTAGACAAGGCTTATTCCTTTCAAGAAAGTGATATCAAATATTTATCCGAGCATGAGAGAGCAGAGACGCGCGAGGAATGAAGACACTGTTCAGTAATAGTCAGGTGGGGACATTTCAAGTGGGTGATTGGAGGATGGGGCAGACCTACAGAACATGTCCTGCTACAGTTATTCTTCCCCAATGATGATCGTGCATTGAGCCCTGAGTCTAAAAGGTATAAAATTTACATCCGAAGTGCTATATACCTACTAGCTAGGGTGCTTGGTGTGGGCAAAGTTGAAAACAGGGGGTGCACAGCCACTTGTACTAGTAGGTACAGTCCCGAGGTAGATACTTGCGCTTCCTTTCTGACTTCATGTGTTTAGAAAGCTAGAAAAAAACACATGCGTGGCTCAGGTCGTTTGCGTGGAGTGGAGTCATTCTCCATACGTGCATTTCTTGATGCCTCTCACCGAGGTTGATACTTAAGTGCACTTTGATACCACAAGGGTTAGTATGTATACAACTACTAGCAGAGCTTTTTTGAAAGTGTGAATAAATCGAGCATATGTTGGTGGCTACATAATTAAATGCGGAAAGTACTTACCAAAGGTTGTAGTAGTTGAAGCATATTTGAATAATTGTAATCGAGTACCATATGTACCCTATAAGGTAAGGAGACTGTGGCAGAATTACTTATATGTCGGTACTAACCGCTGTCGAAAAATAATGCACCGCCACATTCTACTCACGTCATATTCCTGTCTTCGTAGCAATACTAGCTAGTATTTTAATTTGGGGTGTGGAAAAGTCGGTTTATACAGGCGGCAGTGTAATAATCAGTGGCTTCGCGGAATATTAGATTAAAAGAAGAAATCCTTGTGCGGGGGCTGCGAAGGGTCTCTCACCTATCCTCACGGAATTCACAGCCCAACTAAACCCCAAGTACGAAGGACAGCGAGTCTAGGATTACCAATTAGCCAGATGCATATCGATCGTTTAAGTTGATAAAGTAATCACACCTACCAACTACGTAGTGGCTTTGTACAACAACCTTGTTTGCACTACACCACCGAGATTTCACATCGAAACTGCTGGTAACTGTAGTGGCAGTTGTGGAACCTCGTCGAAACTAATCGTATTAAAGTTCCAATATAAATGTAGAGCCTCATCGAAACCACTGGTACTATCTGCAAAAACAGTCGTAGAGCCTCATCTTCAACATTTCAGCTGTGAGGGACCAATGGGGGACTTCGCCGAAATGATATGAGCAGGGTCGAAAGGTCACCCCATATTTCATGTTGATCCACTTTTCCGCAGATCTATCCAGGACCAGTCAGCCCTAGGACAGACAGGGATATGCTTAATATATGATGATGTAATTTGTGTGAAGTTTGTGCACAGCACATTTCACTGGCGTGAGTAGACATCGATATGGCCCAAGATAACTACAAACATATGTCAGTTTCGGAAAAACTGAGCTGTTATAAGTATGAGAGTACGTACTTTAGCAAAATTTGACGTGACACGTCAAGGCTATTAAACCGACCCTGTATTTTGTGTGAGTTGGACAATATCTTTCAAAATTGATACAATAGCCCCCCCGATTTATCGCGGGCTAGAGATATGTGCCTAAATCGGAAATGGATTTATATTATAAGGCAAGGTTCTTGCTTGGCCCGTATCCCATAGACCGTAACTAAGCGATTCTGCATTTAAATTAACCCAACTGCTGTAACTCTAGATTGGTTCCTTTATACCCCCTGAAACCTGCAGAAGAAGATGATTGCCAGATAATAGTGGCTCTATTGCACTTGAGTTTGCATTTTTGTTGTATTTATTCATTGACTTGTACCATGGTAAATGCATAGAAATGGACATAGAATCTACAGGGTGACAAGATTTACATGGAGATAAATATTTCAGAATATGGCAACGGATCCCAAATTCACCAATTTTCGATGTCTTTTATTTTATACTGGGACCAATAAAATCGAAATAAATCCAAACAAGATAGGGATCAGTTATCAAGCGCTATCTAGTAATAACATATGTATCAGAATTCATATAGATAAAGTGGATAAGTATCTACATTCCCACTTTTTGCAGTTTTCAAGTGTAAACCTATGAGGTTTTCAATTTATTCAGTCAGAACTACAGATCAAGAAGTCATATCTAAATTAGAAAATTATTTGTATATTCCTTGAGGCTTCTAGATATGAGCATACAACTGTCTTCAATTTAACTGCGGCTCTACTTAAGGTAGAACTAATCAAAGCATACCAAATTTGCACGGAATCCCGTGCAAAACCAGTTACGGTCCATGGGATACCCCACGGGGACTTTTCATAGACATGTTTGTAGGAGTGCATGACGGTTTTTACTGGCCACACTATACATATCATGAAGCGAAACTGGGAATATAATTTGTGATACTAATATGCATGTAGGGCGCACAACTCCCTGCCCCGCGCACTTTTCTGCCTTATCAGCTACCGTAATTATCTGTATAATCTAAAAGCTAATTTACGTTATGATCAGAAGGATTTTGATAGCGGGAATCAGAACCATCATTGCATGTACTTATATACCCAATATTGTATTCGTTTCAAGTAGTTATCTGCTCTAGCTCTCATGCTCAAACATGATCCGAAATGTAGTCTTGAATTTCTCTCACAGCACACTACTCGTAGTGATAATATGACGTACTCGAGTAGAAGTATTCCAATACCCGGACACACAAGGAAAATCATTTCCTCAGGTAACGGATCTTTAAATCCATTGAGATATACCGGAGATATCGTCTCACCCTCGAAATATATCTCAGTCTATTATTTCGGTCGGGTATTAACACCGGTTCTTAGTGCTAGAGTAATTGATATTCTATCATATTCCTGAACACTCTTTGCCTTTCTACAGCCCCCACGGACCAGTGACACGATAGACTGATCTTCGGTAACTAGAGGCTTCGCGAACGCGTGTAACTGTAACGTTAGCAACCTGGTTAGGTGCTGGGTTGAGAGCTAGGAAGACTATGCATGCTTACCTTATGGCGAAGGAACAACAAGATCCCAACGTCGCCATCCGTGTGGGTCTGGGGATAGAGAGAAGATGAGATCCTGAGCTGAGCGGGGTATATTGTCCTTGCAAGTGTAGACTTCGAGCTGCCCTGAGTCCTATTCAGCCAGGGCGTGCTTCAAGTTTTTCGGAAATGCCTAAAGACAAGATGTTTGGTCGGGGCCTACACATCTGTCTTGAGCTTCTTCGGGTGAGACATGAAGGAGTTAAGATTAGCCTTGTGGGCCACGTTGCCCATGCATACATAGCTCCACTTAGTGTGATTTGGCAAAAAATATGATTTGAAAACGAGGCTAAGTCACACCTTACGGATCTTACAATAGGCCTGGACTCTCTCCAGATACTGTATCTCAACGTTTGAAGCCCATGCAGGTACGCACATCAGTCTTTACTGATGTCTAACCAGACACCTCAGGGTTAGGGCTCGGCGAATAGAATGTTGGGCCATCGGGCGATAATTCACTTTCTAAGCGGGACCATTTTCAGATCGTCCAGTGACATATGCATGCCGCGCAGAGATCTCCGAGAAGCCTTCGGGTATTTCTATGGTGAGATCTTTCACCAGCAATATAACTGGCCTCGTGTTCCTAGAGGATGCAATGTGATATCACTTTTTGCTAGAAGATGGGAAGGCAACGTTGAAGTCAACAATTGAGCGATAAAGAAAGCCTACGAACAGCGTATTCATAGCAATCAGACATGAAACTAACGAGTTTCAAGTGGAAACCCATTCCAGTCTCAATGTTACTCAAGTAACATTCATATCTGATCACTCGCTCAGTCAGCAACTCACCAGCTTAGGTAAGATGTGCCTTGGCATAAATCGTCATCGCCTCTCAACCTGCTCATTGCCCCTGTTCCTCTCAGCTCAACAGCTCTCCAACCTTCGTTCACTTGACATCACCACTATCACCATCGCTCTCAAACACGTAAACAATTTCAATAAACCGCCATGTCTTCTTCGGCTTCATCAGGCCCGCTTCTCTAGTACGCCATCTCTCGCTCTTCTTTTTTCCTCTTCTCGGCCGTAACGTGCTAATAATATCTCCAGCTCTTGCGTTGCTCACGGCACCACAATCCTTTCCGAGCACTCCCCTCCAGGGACTGCATCCACTAACGCCTCTTCTCTCGCTTCTTTGATTCTTCCAAAAATCACCCACGCTTCCGCCCAGAAGCTCACCTACACTCATGGTGCCCACAACATCCACTACATCTCGACGGCGTCGTCGTCCACTATCCCGCAGGGATTAACCTTCCTAGTGATATCGTCGGCCACATTCGGTCGGAAAGTCCCATTCGGCTTCTTACTTGAAATCCAGCGTCTCTTTACCTCGCGATACCCTGGCTCCACGATCGGCGATGCACCCCCATACGGATGTGCCGAATTCAACTCGGTGCTCAAATCGACAATGAACCAGTTTGCCCAGGGCGGAGAGAACGAGGATGTTGTGCAGAAGGCACAAAGAGAAATCGACAGCGCTAGGGGAATCATGACTGAGAACATTGAGCGGGTATTGGAGAGGGGAGAGAGGATAGATTTGTTGGTCGACAAGACTGCCGGCCTGCAGACGGGAGCTATGGAGTTCAGAGTCAGGAGTAGGGGTTTGAGGAGGCGAATGTGGTGGAAGAACACCAAGTTGATGATACTACTGGTCTTTGTGGTCATCTTCTTGATCTATCTTTTTGTTGGGATGGGATGCGGGTTGCCGAGTATGTATCTTCCCTTCGGTATTCGCTGGCCATGTTGCTAACTCTTTGTCTTCAACTAGCCTGGGGACGTTGCCGCGCTTAATCGGCGCAGCTAAAGCAAAATAAAAAAAGGTCTCGGGAGAAAATATTTGATATTACAATATGGATGATTGTCAGGCTGCGACCTTAAGTCTTGTGTACCAATTATGCGGGCTACCGAACTATCGATCCTTCCTCCCCTTACGAACGATTAGTATGCAAGTTAAATTTCCCTTTTTCCAAAACAAAAAAGAATCATGTCTCCGGGGAAGTCCTTTATTTCGCAGGTGTTTTTCTTTCTTTTTTCATATATCTTTATCCTCTAAGCATTGGATCGGAGAGTGGGGGCTGGGGAGTTGGTAATATTTGTACTGCTTATACCTGGGCTTATTTATGTCATCTCGAGCGACTACATGTACTTTTTTCCCCTTTTAGCCTTGCAGCGCCGCTTCCTTTTGTATCTGCCCCCCATTTTCTTTTCATGCTTTCTTTCTTCTTCATCTCTGTTGTCTTTTTTTTTCTCTTTCTGTACCGTGTTGGTTCTGGTTCTGGTCGGATACTGGTGTCTTGTGTTTTTTTGTTTTTGCCCTTTTTGTATTCTTGGGCTTTCCCCCCTCCCACTTTTTTCCATATATCTTCATCTGTTGAACCTGAGCCGGAGTCGAGTGGAATGGAAATAGGGGGTTGCGTACTATTGCTGTAACAATATACATACTACTACGGGTTCACCTCCCATCTTAGCTATCTACAACATGGCCCAAGTTTTCGTTCGTTGCGCGCCCCCCCCCCCCCCCCTCTCTCCGGCCTTGCGGGATATAGAAACCTGGCACTATATGTTTACACACATCACAAGTACCTATCGCTCATACACAGCTTATAATAAGAGTAATCGCAGAAAAAATTTCCAGTGTGCTTGATCTTCGGGAGGGGGTTGCGGCGGGGGAGGCTGTGTACTTGCAGGTGGGTGCCCCGGTTGGTGGTACTGGTGCTGCGCCGTGTCTTGCCTTGTGGGTAGAAGGGAGGAGGCGGGGGCTGTGCTGTATCTTTGGGTGCGGATTGTATGCGGGTGGGTTATCGATTGATTGCCAGTGACTGGATGATCATGACGTGACTCGGCGATGGTGGGTTGACTGCATGTGCTATCACTCGGTTTTTCATCCTGAGGCTCGAATGCGTCACGTCTTGTCTCATTGTTGTTCCTTTACACGCAATGTTTGCAAGGGAGGCGGATGGGAGTTACTCAGTTGTCGCTATCAAAGTAGAAAGTAAACAGTAGGTGAAGAGGCTCTGGTTCTGGTTCTGTTGTCGCTACTTTGGTCGCAAGAGTCGCCATTATGGAGCTTGTACCGCTCACTCTACGTCCATCCGGACGTCTACAACTGTAATTGGCCACCAAACTCAAGACCACCGAGGTCTCATACCCACTTCTAGGCGGTTCCCTCATGTCCATAGGCCGTCCTCTCCTTGCACCTCCCCTCAAACAAAACTCTCCAGCCAGCGACCGGCCGACCGACCGTCTGTTCGTCCCCGCAACCTGGTACCAGTACATGTACCTACGGACCTCAAAAGAAAAATCTCCCCGCTTCCACATTCAACTCTCCGAATCGACCCCGCAGCAAGCAAGCGAGAAAGAAAAAAAACCTGGGCCCGACAGAAACCCCGCATTTGCTAAAAAGCAAAGAAACAAAAAGAATCCACCTCCCCGGCGCGAAGGAAAGAAAAAAAAGCAAAACCCAACCCCCACGGGCATCACACCTCATCTCATGCCTTATCGATCACAGCTCCTCACTCGGCCACTGGTGGCAAGTGGCAACGCCGAACCTCCTGAGAGAAGAGGGGAGAAAGTGCGAGAGGAATGATCGGATATCGGCATCAATATATTAATCCGATGCAGGTACTAGTACTGTATTGCAAATACAATCTATAGTAATAGTAAATAGAGAGTATTATTCCATCCCATGGGCGCGGTGCGGCGCGTTCCATTCCATGTGCAGAGGTGCAATATAGTGGGAATATATTGCTGAGATATTGCATGAATTGACAGGCCAACGGGTTGGATAGGAGGTGGAAGGTGGTGTCTGTGCAGCCAGCTCCGACTAAGCTACAAAGTACGGTTCCTCCGCAAAATACACAAAACAAGCTCTGTAGAGCGAGCGAGCTAGAAAGAAAGAATTGACCGCCAGAAGGATGTAGATAGTGCTTCCAGAAGAGCTAGAGCTCGATACGTCATGAAGCCCGTTTCCTGTCAAAACTCGTCCGTCCGGAGATGTGCGTGGGGTTGGGCATCTTAATTCCCACCGCCCACACACACACACAGACACACTAACCTCCGACGGACCCTGCAGCTGGGGGCGGGTTTCCGATCCCCTAATATATATTGCCCATCCCCCATAACTCCAAACAATAACAAACCAAAAACACGTTACCAGCCGCGCGATAAGCTGAGGATTTCCCCGAGCTGTTTGTGTGTAATGGAAGGAAGAAGGAAGGAAAAGGCAATATGTAGCAAGCAGTCTTTGTGCTCTAGTCGCTTAGCAACCTCTACATGGAACATCAACTAGCGCGCCTCACCTTAAATCTCGCTTCGGTAATTTATGTAGATAGTCGACGACCCACGAACGAACGAGAACAGTCATTCCCGAGAAGCTTCCATGACATCGCAGAAGCAGAACCAGAAGGGCAGACGAACGGAGCGGACCCGGTTTATCGGGACTTTGCTAGAGTACATGAAGGTAACTGCACGGGTTAGTTATTCTAGATCTAGTATTAGTTGGGGAGAGTAATATTTGCTGCAGGTACTGAGTTATTAGAGCACCCTAGCGGAGGGCAGTTATGTAATATAACCCTTGACAGCTTGAGTCTTCGCCGTCAACCTTCTTTACCAGGCAACCCTTCTCTACCAGTGTCCCTTATGTACTGCAAGTACCTACATGTAGGTAGAGTACTCTAATTTATCCGACGAGCCGCGCGCACGGTACCAAATGCCCTGCATACTTACATACTGGTAGAATTTCCGTAGGCCCTAGGCGGGGTTGCGGTACTTTCTGTCCGTATTGTACAATATTTCTTGAAACCATGAAACCATGATCGTTTCACTTGGCGAGGCGGGGAGGCAAGGGGGGAAAGAGATAGAGAAAGCTTGGTATTTCCTAATATTTTTTACCGAACGAGTGAGGGGAGGGATATGTTTGTCGAGAGATACTTATCATAGTTGTAGGGTTGGTGCATTGGGCATTGGATTGATATGAATTCGAATTGCGTATTACTATCATGAGTCGGAGCTGGCAATTATTACCAGTATGCTAGGAGACCCAGTAACCAATTTCTTTGCACGCGGGAGAGAAATGGGAAATATATTAACGGAGCCCCAAAGTGGGCTACGACGTAGGGTAGCGTACCATAGCTGCAGGGATCCCGCCTGCCTTCCCCATCGGTTTGTACAAACCGTCCCCTTCTTAATTGTGATATTGAACGCGCCGCACTATACAGAAGGTACATACTCCAAGGGTACCATGTGCTAGGCACGATCCCTACTCATCATGATGGTCAGGAGAAGTACCTACATGTAGGTACTGAACAAAGGCAAAGGGACAATTAATTACACTGGACATGTTTGTATAAATCAACCCTCCTCCGCCCTTCCTCCCCGTCTTACTCTTTCTCTATCATCACCATCGGACTAGCTCCTTCACACTCTTTGTCGTTCCCTCCCGCTCTTCTGTAATTTTTGTTTTTTGTGGCTTGACGCCCAATCACGACCTTCTCTACCCCACACTCTAACAAATTCGCTGAGCGTTTCACTCTTTTGAAAACCAACCCAAATCGACAAAAATGAAGTACTCTGCTGTTCTTTCTGCTCTTTGCTCTGCCACTGTTGTGCTCGGTCACGGACTCGTTTCTCAGATTGAGATTGGGGGTACCCTTTATGACAACTACTCGCCCTATGTTGATCCTTACTTGAACCCTGCGGTGGAGCGCATTGGTTGGACTACTGAGAGCAACGGTCCCGTTGAGGTAAGGATTGACCTATATAACCTAGTCATATAACCTTTCTTTATGCTAACATACCTCTCTCATAGGATGTCTCCAGCGCCGGTATTGTTTGCAACACTGGCTCTACCGCTGGTGCCCTTAGCGCCACTACCGCCGCTGGCTCAGCTGTCAAGTTCTTCTGGACCGTCTGGGCCGAATCCCACAGGGGTCCCACCATGACCTACCTCGCAAAGTGCCCGGGCACTGACTGCACCACCGCGGACCCCACCACTCTCGATTGGTTCAAGATCGACGAGGCGGGTCTCAATAGCGACGGCACCTGGGCCTCCGACACCCTCATTGCCAACAACAACACCTGGACCGTCACCATCCCGTCAGACATTGCCTCTGGCCCGTACTTGATGCGCCATGAGCTCTTGGCCCTCCACGCGGCGGAGAACACCAACGGTGCCCAGTTCTACCCCATGTGCGCCAACCTGATCGTCACTGGTTCTGGCAGCGCTGTTCCCTCGGACACCGTCAAGTTCCCGGGTGGATACACTTCCAGCGACCCGGGTATCCTGATCAACATCTACTACCCCGTCCCAACTAGCTACACCATCCCCGGCCCGGCCGTGTATGTTCCTGGCGGAGCTAGCGCCTCCACTTCAGTTGCTGCCACCACCTCTGCTGCTGCCGCTACATCAGTTGCTGCCACCGAGATTGCTGCCACTTCTGAAGTTGCTGCCACCTCAGTTGCTGAAACCACCCCAGTCGCCGCTATCCCCACCACTGTGTTGGCCAGCTCAACCTTCATTGGCACCGGCTTCGTTGGCACCGGCCCCGCCAGCCTCCCTACCTACGTCCCATCCGTCAGACCCCCTTTCTCCAACAGCACCCGCACCATCACCCGCAGCCGTGGTCCCACTTCCAGCGCTCTTCTTGACGCTACCCACACTGTCAGCGTTCTCCCGGTTCAGGAGACTGACCCCGCCGATGTTGCCACTGAGATCGTCTACGTGACTGCACCCGCTACTACTGCCGCTCCCGCGACCACTATCACTGAGACTCAGACCTCAACCATTGAGAAGACCGTCATCTTGACTTTCACTGCGTCCGCCATCGAGACCGTTACTGTCACTGAGCACAGGCCTGAGTGCACTGCGACCGGCAGACACAGGAGGGGAACTTACTTTGTTTAAGCTAGAGGATGCGGTTATGAGTTAGTGTAATTGTACGGGATACAGTTGATGAGTTGAGCTGAGAGATGGGAGTTAGTTTTTCCTTGTATATATTCCAATAACTAGACGTGTATTGGCTGGTTGCGCTTAAAATATATTGCTTATTATTATTAGAAATGATTTTTCTTGTACTTTGTGATTGTCGTATCTTCTAGAGAGTAGCTTTTGATCGCGGCCCGGCCATACGTGATGCTCAAGAGCTGGTCCATAGTTTTTTCCAGTCGCTCTTTATAATCAAGCTGTGTTGTAGTCTCGTACTTATAATACGAGTTACACAGGTAGCCCTTTGTTCTCTCCTCTTGGTATATTAGACTGCCCAGCCTGCCTAGCTAGAAAACTTTCTGTAATCTTAGACTGTGTTTACGGTTGAGCTGGACAATCAATGGATTAAACAAAACAAAAACCAAAACGGTTGAGCTGGAGCTGTCTTGGCATGAGCGTTGACCGAGTGATATATCATGACTGCAAATAGCCAAGCAACATCAATTTTCCGAAGAGGATTATTAGTTGTGGACCCTGCTCCACTGAGTAATACCCGTCACACATACAGGCTGCTCCGCTTCTAGTGTTTTTTTCGGCGCTTGTTGGTGTGTTTCGGGCGGGGGTGCTGCCTGTTGTATGTAACTAGCTAGCGAGGTGCTCTGCAGATTTGGGCTGTTCATGATAGAGTAAGGCTGAAAGGTGCTATAAAAGCGCTAGCCAGATTCTATGAACCCTGAGCACTGAAAAATCTCTGCCATATCTGCCAGGGGCATGACTCGAGGGCGGAGCGCGGGACAATAAATATAAAACTATTGCCCGCATAGGTGGATTGTAGCTAGCCGGAGAGAATTGCAGTGACCTGCTAATATGGCGCTATATGACGCGCAGATAAACAGGAATGGTGTTGATTCTATTCAGCCCGTACTGCTGCTCTGGTGGTGCCGGCGTGAACAGTCAGACCTCGGCGCACAGCACGGGCCTTGGATATATCTGCGGCCAATGTAGCGTGAGTTCGGTGCCAGTAAAGGGAGCCGGCTAGGGCTTAAGTGTCGAGGACTGTGGTTAGCGGGGCTCAAAACGGCGGGTTTGATATTGTGCGGGTGTGTGAGTTTTGGTTGGTTAGTAGGGAGAGGTGACCTGATCTCGTCCCAAGAATACCAAGAAAATATAAAACACTTTGATTACCCGCTCTACCGGCATAGACAATTAACGTCCCCTAGGTGTTTGTCGTACGTAGGCGAGTCGACCGCCTAGTGCATGGAGGTCAAAGACAAACTGTTAATCGTGTTAAAAGATCAGCAGCCATGCTTTCCTGCCTTCGAGTTGGGTGGCCACGGGTTGGCGAGGCCGGGGACGGACTCACCTGCACAAAGCTTAACTGCACACCAACGTGTTAATGTAATTATGGGAGAGTGTGGCTCTACATGTACTCCAGGGAACAACTTATATACATACGTATTATCTGTCCCTTGGATCCTAAAGTATAGATGACGCTGGCTCAATCAGATCTCTCTTGTAGCATCATCCTCGCTGCAACCCGTGAGTGCAGGCAGCTTGGGACTATCGATAGGATACATGCAGTATACTCCTCAGAGAATGTGACTAGCGGTCCACATTACATGTAGCTAATAGGTGGCCACGACAAACAGGAGAATTAATCCGGTATGGAAGACAGTAAAGAACTTAGAAGTCTTGGCTTGCTAGGATCATATATCAGACCCGAGTAAAACATTCGAAGAATGTGGCGCGTGGTGTAGAGGCATGCGCATTTCCTCTCCCGTCGACGCAGGAATTCTGAAACTGTGCTACATCATGCATGAGATAAAACTTTTGCCAAGTACTTGTACATCTAACTTTCCACTATTATTGATCACTGAGCAAGACACAGTGAACTGATGCCATGTAGATACAATTGAAAAGAAAAAAAGGCCAACAAAGTAAAAAAAATCCTCAAGATTAGAGACGTCCGGTTAGTATAAAGAGAAAGAAAAAAAAGAGTTAAGATACATATAGTGTCATCAGCGCAATCACTGCCTCCAACTCCTACCCAAAGCACAAAAGAAAGCAAAGACCAAAAAAAATAAAAAAAAAAGGATATCTTCGTGCTCATCATACACACCTTAATTCCAGTTGGCCGATATAAGCTACTACAACACGCCCATCCCCAGCATCGCAAGAACAACACCCCCAAACAGCATGGTATACTTCACTGCAACAGACGCCGCAGCGCCAATCTCAGGGTTCCCAACAACCTGCACGCCATCAATCGTACACATTGTCTGACACTCCGGCTTGCCGGCCCGCTTGTGCAGATCCCGCGAGCTGAGGTCGTCCGGGCCCGATGTGTTGAACGCCATCTCGACCCACTCAATCTCCATGTATGCCGTGTCGCCCACCGACATATTCCCCGACCAAACGCCTCCATCGGACCACATGTTCTACACCAATGCCTCAGTCAGCCAAAAAACAATCTCTACTTCTTCTAAAACAGCCAGAATCGAAAACCCACCATCACAAAGTAACTCGCAACCGTCGGCACACCATACTCCTTATCGAGATAATGCTCCCCATCCACAAACCAACTACTCTTCCCCTCCGTCCAATCAATCCTATGCGTATGCCAGTCATCCCACTTGACATCGCCATACTTGGCCCGCTTGACCATCTTCCTCTTATCCGGCTCGTCCGTCCCATCGATCTCCGTCCCCGTCGCCATGTCCACCGACGTCGACGCACCGGCAATCTCGTTCCCTTGGTCGTCAACAACCGGCTGGTTCGAGTAGCGGATCTCGTTGTTGTTGTCCCGCGTCAGGATCTCAATGTCGGACTCGTTCTGCCCGTTCTGGTAGATGAAGAGGCCCGCTACGGCGCCCGATGCGCCGGTGACTCGGGCGCGGATCCGGATGGAGGCGTAGAGAAAGTTCCTGTGACTGTTACAAGAAAAAAAACTTATTAGAATTCTGATCAGATTGCCCCACGGGCCGCTGTGAGAGGAGACTGAGTGGACTTACAGTGACTCAACCTCCGCCGTCGACTGGAAGTTCGAAAACCTATGAGTCCTCAACACCAACTTCGACGTCGCATCCGTATCCACATCGGAGCCCGCTACACCCCCAAAGATCAGCAAACAAACAAAAAAGGTGCCAATGATCAAGAGAACAGCACACTAACAAATATAAACATTCGCCAAACTATTCTGCATGCGCATCGGGAAGTCCCCCGTCGGCAGCTTCCCCCAGTCCATGGTCGCCCAGTAGTCCGTCCAATCGTTGCTCTGGATCCACCCGGCCTGCGCATTCCCGATGCCCGGCTCGGTGGTGTAGTTATCCGGCGTGGGGTCCAGCTCCTGCGGCAGCACGGACGGCAGCGGCGGCGCACTGGCGACTGGCGTGAGTGTGCGGAAGTCGTGGAACTCGTGCTGCGTGAAGACGCTGTCGGCGTCGGTCTCGTAGCAGTCGCATGATGGCGTGGAGTCTGCTGCTGTTACTATGGCGGCGGGGAGCAGCGCACTGAGGAGGACGAGGAGTGGGAGCTCTATGAGGGCGAGCATTGTGGGTGTTGGGGGGGGGGGGGGGAGGGAGGAGGGGAGGAGGGGCAATGGGGACTAGGGATTAATTATTACTGGTATGTACTGTATATATACTGACGATGATAAAGAGAAGAAGAGGGAGAAGGGGAGAGAGAAATAGAAATGAACGGTGATATGTATATAATCTCTGAGGGCAGCCCAGTACACAAAGTAATCAGTAGTACAGCCCCTAACCTGCTTGACCCTGCCGTAAAATATAAGTACCACCCCTGCTACATAAAACTTTTTGTAAAAGAATTTATCGTTTACAGCGGGCGAGCCAAGCATTTTATTCTCAACCAGACACCTGTGTTTCTAGCACTTTAAATAGCCCAGTCCTCGCTGCCAATCACCAATCAGGGCCCCCCTTCTTCCCAGCGAAACTCAGTCCAGATCGCCAAGAAGGGGATCGCTATTGTAGCCGAGGAGGTGGATGCTGCTGTCTGTCTACCCAGGGGTGTGGTGTGTTACTGCATGGTTTCCCTAATTTGTTACTCTATTCTCTGCTCGGAGTCTACAATTGCAAGGGCACCACCCTGTAAAGGTACAATGTAGGCATGTATGTAATACTCAAGCGCGGACAGGAAGGCAACTACAAACACCTCATTAATCCCACAACTCTAGCCAACAGCTAGCATCGTATCGTATCATCAACCCCCTGACGGCTGAAAGGAATGCTTTAGGATTCGATTAAGCCACCCGGAAAAGCGGCCTTGTAACGTATGTATGTAGGTAGGCTACATGTAGTTATACGGACGGGGGGTGGGTTCATCCAACCACACATATTGTCAACAATACAAATACATGTACTTTTACATACCTTTTACATCGTTCTCTTTCTTCCCCGTGCGTATGATTACTCGTCCTTGAGCTCTGTCTGTCTGTGCTGTTCGTGTGCTTACCGTCGTTCATGGATGGATGGGGGGGTACAAACCCTCTATTGGGATCCGGGCGGGAGGAGAATCAGTAGTACGTACCTCTCCTCCCCCCATACATACAACAAAGCCATTGCCTTGCCAGAATAGCGGTTTGTATCGACATGTATGTATGTATGTGTACTCAGCCCCCCCCCCCCCGCCTCCTGTATGAACAAAAGGAAAGAGAAAGAAAAGATGAAGTTTCACCTCCCTATGGAACTTTCCCCGGAACCTCCCATCCTGTCACCACCGCAGAGCCTCCCCCCGTGGCCCCTCTCCCCGTGGCCCTGGTGCCAAAAATGCTTATAGTTATTGGAAGAGCTTGTTTGTGCCACGGAGGGATCTTGGCGGCAGGTGTAGGCCTCGTAAGCTCGCCATGCACGATCAGCGGTGCATGCAGGCACCGATTTTAACGTTAATTGTGTGGGGTTTGGTTGGTTGTCTCGAAGTAGAGGTGCTTAAACCGCTCAAATGTGCGGGTGCTTCCTTCTTCATAGAAACCGCACACAACTGCGGCGCCTTGTCTTACCTTGATTACATACATACATACATACATACATACAATTCCTACCAATTTCCTAGAGCAGAGTAGCTACAACGGCACCACCCCCGAGGGCGGGCAGTGTACATACCTTAGACAGTATATACATCTATCATCCCACTCGAATTCAAGCCAGGCGGTGATAGTATCGAATACCCCACCGCGGAGATACACAAAAGAGAAACAACGACAGAACTAGAACAAATACATCACCTACCAGCTGTGCAGTGTAGATCCTGCCTCATGTCTCAACCCCAGATCAAGAAGAGCACAAGCACGGGATGACGTGACGATGTTCGGGAATGTCTTAGACGAGCGTCAAGCATGCGGCGGGGTTTCCTGGTTCTCTTTGTTCAGTACTTGCTAGCGGCAACGGGTAGCTGTGCGTTATTTTTATCGGGGTTGTCTTTATCGGGGTTGTCTTTAAATTTAGGGCGGAGGAGATTCGAGGATCGTGAACACAGTCTATGGATTTTGTGTAAGAACTGAAATGGGATAGGGGGAGTCTCCCCTTTATAATAACCACGATTAGAGAACAACTTGTTCTCAAGACAAATTAAAGTACAGGTAGTTTAGAGCCACATTCAAACAACATAACGAAACCACAAATAACATCACCTACATCATACTGCCTTTTGCGATAGAAGCCAACCCGGCTACATGGCTTTCTAAGTCGCCGAGCCCGTACGGCCGCGATTGGTGTACATGTACATACAAGGACTGCCTGTTAGCGAGCTAGACAAGAGATTCCAAATGTTGTTGACATAATGTAGAAGCAGCCCGTGATGTGAAAATGACCATCAAAACCCGATATACCCAGCACAGCCCATGGGGCGGTCTGGACTGAACCGTCTGTGCAGGCCGGTTCAACGGATACTCTGCATACTCCAAAGACGATGCATAGAAGCTTCGGAGGATACCTCCCTAATAAGAACATACTTAAATATATGCACTCATGGCAAGCCATGGCCTATCGTATGTGCACATATCTGTAAGTACTCTACATTTAGAGATATAGCCCTACATGCGCACTACAGTGTACCCACCGCTCTACCACAACTAGAAAACCGTCCAGTCAGGCAGTACGTACCTACATGTAGTTGTGTTCGTATATACCCCAGAACAGATCGGACCCTCTGACTAGTTTTGCGCTGGGCTGCGGGATGCGAGATTTAATTTGTGCACTGCCATCGATATATCCCTCGAAACCCCGTTTCCTACAAACCCACGCACCTGGTTGGAGAAACAAGATAAAGTAACTTAACGAAGCGCCTATCCAGGTCATACAGCAACGTCAACCCAGAATAGAGATACAGATATATTGACGTGACAGCTAGCTTCTACAGCCAGCCAGTTGTAGTACTAGCGCCCCTGGGCTTGCCGATAATCCCGTGATACCGGGGCCCTGGAAGATCGGCAGTTGCGGCATTCACGGCTTCGAAGCTTGTTCTTCGGATAATTATAAATGGATGTACGTAAATGTAGGCATAAAACTCTGCCGGGTATTTGGTTGGTTGGTTGATGGTTTTAAGGTTGTGGCTCAGCTGGGCGCGGTCAATCATGGTGCATCACTCGTCGTCCATATCTGAGCGCGCCGGCACGGACAGCAGGTCAGGGGTGCCTATTAGGTACCGTTGTCTATTGTACTTTAAATCATATAATACGTGTCTATCTGCATTGTAGCTATATGTAGCTGTAGAGTATATGACGTCCATCCTTCTAATTCTTCTTCTCTCACCACTGGATTACCATCTCAACTATCAGTATTCGGGACGTACCACATCAGATGCCATGCATGGAGGTTAATTGGTGGCTTTGATGTTCTCTCTGATGTCTCTGTTTCTTCCTGTACTTTCAAGGTAAGACTACTAGCCCAGTCTAATTACTAGATCAAGATTTGGCTTGTTGCTAACACCACTCTGAGTATCACTAGTATCTCTCTGCTGTTGCACACCTAACATCGATATATCACCATCGATCATACCACGGAGGTTAACCGGATACTTTGAGACCCCTAGTCCCCCTCCGCTGCCCATACTACCTACATATATCGTTCCGGCCGGCTGGATGTGCAACGTGGCCTAGCTACCAGCAGTCCATCAAATCTGGGGCTCCCCCGTGGCCTGGCCTGTGTACATCTATTCCTCCATCCTCACCAACATGTATGTATTCAATCCATTAACAGCCACCTCATATATGTAATGACTCAAATAATTAACTCATCCAGGCCTTGAGAGATTCTTCTCCTTTCATGGAGGCTGACCGTCGGCTTTGCTACAGATCTCCCAAGATATACAGACGCGATATCTCTCATGCACCGGGGGAATCACGGACACTTTTGTAAGGTGGCCGTGAAAGGCTACGGATCGGGACTCGAGCACCAGGCAACGCCGCTGATGTAAGGCTACGTCTGCTAGCTCAGATATTATGCCATGGACGAGAGTCGAGCTCCGGGATCTCTCGGGCTTTGTACTGCTGAAATCGAACGTCCTGTGCTGCCTATATATTAGTATCAGGTACGAACAGGTTGACTAGGGCAGGAAGGGTTAGGACAAGTGATGACGGTGAAATCTTCGAGATATATAATAGAAAAGAAACTGGCCCTCTCATCAACTTAGCTGAGAGGAATCACGCCTTGAAGCTGGTTACAAGAATGCGCAATTGAGTGGGAAATAAGCATAAAACCTACTTTACGGAGAAAACCGGCAGAAAAGGGGTGTGAACAGGATCGATTTCAAGGGCGGGCCATTCATGGTTAGTATGTTTTATGTTGCTTCTCTCTTCCCGATAGTTAGACAATAACTAAATACTGTACTTCGTTCTGGATCTAGGATGGTAGCAGCGAACAACGATTCTTCGTCTATCTCTAGAAAGAGTCGACATCAATTGCTGTCGACTGAGCCTACTACAGCATACTTAGGGCCCGTTTGGCTGCAAGTCAAAACGGAGTTACAAGAGGATTTGTATGGTAACCACATAACTCCATTTCATTTTCTTCAAAATTCCATTTTGGCAAAAAGTTTTGTGTTCGGGCAGCTAATTTTGTAACTCCGTTAAGGCATTGAAACAGGGTTTTTGAAAAATAGGGGGTACCGATATTTCTGGGATATACGCCCATGGGCTTAAAGCAAAGTGGTGGGAGGATAACTGGTGGTGTATGCATATTCCCGTGACTTAAGCCAATCAGCAAGCACTTTTCTACCAGTACTTTGCTTTAAGCCCATGGGCGTATATCCCAGAAATATCGGTACCTACTTTTCAGCTCCGTTTCGCTCTTGTAGCCATTACAACCAAAAAAAAAACCAACGTTATCAATCATTAAAAATCATGTGTTTGGCAACCCAAATAAATCTAAACTCCATTTTGAAAAAGCTCCGTTTATCCTCTCCTAATGGAGCAGCCACAAAATGGAGTTTCGGCACCTCCATAACAGCCAAACGGGCCCTTAGTTTCTAGGCTCCAGCAGTCAAGGGGAACTAGCCTAGGACCCAAATCAAAATGCACATCACAGGCTCCACCCTACGCGGTATAATAGGATGCAATTGGGCGAATTCTGGGATTAGGCACCTCCAAACGCTGGCATAGCATCAAATTGAGCTACTACCACGAGCGGCCCCCGAAGATCAGGAGGAAGAGGAGTAAAGCAGGAAATCGCGAGCTAGGAGACCTGGGCGACGATATCAGATTCGGAGACCTAGAGAACGAGCTTTATGACGTAACTGATAATTCCGACAACGAAAGAAGCGCCTCCACCGCCCAAAACATCACCCCAATGGCCCCTAATATGGCGGAATCGGAGTTTACTCAGAATGATAGATTCAACGGGGAATAGATTCAATAAAAGGAGTTTCATTCAGAGTATTCATTTATTTAGAGCGGGGGGCGGCGCCATGGCAACCCCGGTCCCAAATACCGAGAGAGATGTCTCTCCCGCCTCTTCCGAGCCTGCTGGTACCGAGGGGGGGGAGGAGGAGGAGGAGGGTGACGAAGAGAAGGGTGACAAAGAGGAGGATGATGAAGATGCGATACAATCGGGTGCTGACGCCCTATTAGGCGTACTAGCCTAATAGTTCTGCATTTATACCCCTTCTGTAGCACCCGTGTTAATAATTAGCTAAATAATACCTCTTTTGCTCGACGTTGTTGGGCACATTTGTCGTCAAGGGATTTGTCACGCATTAGTCAGCACAGAATGTGTAAAAGTGGACAATCCCTTTGTAAAGGTGTCCGCAGCGGTATGACCTTATAACTAGCTTGCTATCTTCCTGTAGATCATACATCATCATCCTGTTCGTTCAATTAAAGTTTTATTCATTCTACGAATTTTCGTCTTGAATCGTCGTTGAGAAGAAAAGAAACAAGAGACTGAACACAACAGCCGGCCAACAACGTTTACCCTCTAGCCAATCAAATCGATTATAAGTGTACCCAATTTGATGGTTGTTATCGCGACAATACTTAATTTCACTGCAAGTACCTATCACTCAAAAATTAAATCCGAATAATACCTTATGATCATCGTTCTTATACCCCAAGTAGGGAATGGAATAGTATTTGGACCCAAAGCCTTTAAAGAGAACATGTAGACATTCTATCAGGGGTAGTTATATTGCGCATTGCATGTGATGAAACGGCACCGCTATTTTTATTTACAGTAAAAGACTACAATGCCACGGACTTTTGTGACATATATCTAGGATACCATGGCAACCATAAATATCAACAAAGACCTAGATTTCATGACCAAAACTGCGAACTAAAAAGAAGAAAAGAAGTTCAGCTTTGGGGTGTTATTTCTATAATTTTCTGCTCTACATTTGGGGCAGTACCCAAAGAGGAAGACATATTGGCTGTTGGTGGTGCATCCCCCAAGAAACCAGTTAAAAATCACAGAATTTTTCTAAATGATCTTCACTAACTTGAATGTAAATCAATAAATCTGAAGCTGATTTTATTTTAAATGTTTTATTGATAGTGAGTTCATAAGATCTTTGATGCATCTATTGATTACTAATAACTTTGGTTAACCCTGAGTAGTGACGTTACACGGTTCACCGTAGAGTCTATGGTGTAGTTTTCATCACTTACTCTATATAGAACACCGTAAGTTCTATGGTCTTATTTTTATTGTTTACATTACACTGTAGACCGTAGTGGCTACGGTCTACAGTTTAATACTTGTACTGTATGGAATACCATAGGCTCTAAGGTGTTATTTTTATCGCCGACAGTGTATAGTAAATTAGTTGGAGTTAGTTGGTTAGGATGAGTTAGGGTTCAAGTTTTGTTGCACACACTGGCTGCCATGCATGGCACCCTAGATATATTTGACAAAAGGCCGTGGCATTGTGGTCTTTTACCGTTTTACTTAATACTAGAATGGGGGGAGCGTTGTTTTTAATTTGATCCCCGGCCCAGCTAGTGGAGATTTTTATACTAGCTTGTGCAGGCGCATGATCTATCACTAAGATTTCACCGTTTTAATTTTAATTGACTCATGGCTATCCGGTTTAGATCTATTCTCATGTTTCCCCCACCATTCGGATCTGTCAGATCGAATTCAGGCTGAGATCTACAAATACTTAGGCCTTGTGTCTCGTGGCGAGAATATTGGGAGTAATCAGCATCTAAACTGGCACATGCGCGCACTGGCTAATAGAATGGTTGAAATATAAGGAAATAGTTTCGCTAGTGGTTCTCTAGCACTACATAACGTAGTACTACATGTACCGTTAATTCTCGAATAATCCACAATCCCCGTATTTGTATGTGGTAAGTCCAAACCAAAGCGAATTATCTTATCAAACTTCACGGATTCGTGCAAATCTACACTTTTTCTCACCCGGAATTAAGATTTAACGAAGTGGGTATAGTGGAATTCTCGAGAATTAGCGGTAGTTAAGCTGCATCACAATGACCGAAAATGATAATAGGAACTTCAGTAAATTTGAATAAAGAATTTTAGAATAGCTAAATATATATACATAACAACTAAAAGGAGAAGAACAAGTAAAAAATGTCGAAACAAGATCAAAAAGAAAGTATGGATTAAGCTAGTTCGTATCATGTATTATAGCTTGATTCAAGTGATTATCTGTGATCAATGTTCCGATGCGACAACTCTAGTCTCCGGTGTATATGTGACGTGAGGCTCTATTGAATGCGGAAGTTTTTTGCTAAAGATAGAAATCAAGTAAAGAATGTGACACCAAGTATAATTGGTTAGATAGTAAAGATTAATGTTGATCCGGAGTCAGTGAGCAATGAGGGGCCCTCTTCGTCTGAATCTGAGTCGTCTGAGTTAATATCTGGCCGTTGACCGCGCGGGCGGCGTACTAGTACTAGTGTCCGAGATCGATTACGGGCGTCCGAGCTCGTCTCTGAATTTGGATGACGTCCAAACTTCCGATCACGGACCTGTTCATGGACTTCTGGCGCATGAGCCTGGTGTACCGGTTCATGTGACGGCTCTGGGCCCTCTTGATGCTCTACTGGCTCATGAGCTTGGTGGATCGGCTGATGTGGTGGCCCTGGGGCCTCTTGATGTTCTACGTAAGGCTCATGTTCCACGAAATGCTCGTCAACATGTGCATGGTGTACAGACTGGCCTGTTGCGCTGAGTACAGAGCTAGAGTCCACCGCTACATGGCGGGCAGAGTGCCTTGTTGCACTGCGCCCAGAGCTAGAGGCTGCTTCTGCACGATGTTCCGGCTCCTCTGGCAACTGAGTATGTACACTCCCGTTTCCCCTTACCGATCCAGCTATTGACTGTTCGGCCCTTACCGACTGCTCAAACTCTTCTATCCACTCCGGTGTTCCTGGCTCAAAGCTTGATTCATAAGGTGCGAATGTATAATCTTTGAGTGTATGAGACATCCTATCAGTGTGGGCCTTCTTTGCCTTCTCTATCCTTTTGATAAGTAGCTTCTGCTTTTCCTTGTTTCCCTCGTTCTCTAACCTTTTGCCTAATCTGGCCACCTTCTCCTGCTTAGTTTCGTTGGTTCTAACGACATACGTAGGCCCTTTTTCCCCATCATTCCCAACGGCCGTGCATAGGAACGCTTTTCTAGCGTTAGGGTCCTTTTCCTTATAGAGGGGGATATGAACATGTGTGATAGGCGGTTTCTTCGCCTTCCCTGGAGGCGGATCCCGTACACTGGGGCTTCCTAGCTTCAAAACCACCCCAACAGCAAGTCTATGAAGTAATGAAGAGTCTTTGGTGTTGGGTAGCTTTAACTTCTGACTATTTCTGCGGGCCGACATGTTGAGCGTGCTGGTATTTTGTGATGTGTACTTAAGTATAGCGGTAAGATTTTGAGCTTGTTGGGTATGTTTGTTGCTTGTCGTTGTTGATGATGTGTGTCACGAATGAAGTCTCTCCTAGGGACATCACGTTCCAATTTATAGGGAAGGAAGAGGACGCTGATGACATAGTATAGTATTGTCGAGTGGGGGTTGAAGTGAGTGATTGAATCGATCTCCTCAAATGATTCTCTGTGGTCAAGAGTTGGCTAATTATGTGGATGCTGGCATGTAGTTGGGCTTATAATTGTTGGTATTGTAGGATATTAGGATTGCAACCGAATAGTCGGCTCTCATGATTCTAGACTTGGAACGAAGTTGTCCACTGAAGATTAATTGTACCAGCCCTAGACCAAGGGTACGCCGAGAAGGGAAAATTTTCAGAAACCAGTTTTATCCTAGCCCTCCGTTTAATCATAAGGCCTAATTAGTCATGAAGAATCAATATCTTGGATAGAAGATATAGATAGGAGATATAGATTGAATAGAAACCCACCCCCACAAGGTAAATGTAATCCATTGCCCCGCTCAAGTTTCTCAAGGTATACTATCACTGAGAAGTATATGAGTGTCAGGGCTTTCCAGGCCGCTCAATGCCTAGCAGGAAGTTATCGCTAAACTGAAATTTATAGAATAGTCCAGGTCCGGGACATAAAATTTATTATGTGCAGTATCTTTAGGTCCTAGAATAAAGATTAATTGCCCCCAATCATAGTTACGCGCACATTCTAAAGTCATTGCAGATTTCATAACCCCATTTGAAAGGTATTTTGATGGCGATAGAAATATACAGCTTATTATTAGTTTTATCGATAACGGCAACTGACAATAGTACCGATTCATGAGATTTCAAGCCCTGAAAGTTGTTGCGGGCTTTCGTTTTCGAGATATCCCGAGACCTAGACTGACCCGGATCAAGCAGTTCCAAGATAAAGGTTTCTTTTCTTAAATCCTCTCAGAACATTTTGCCTCGTCGCAATACAATTTTTGCGATAACAGGATCCTGATATTACCGTCGATGAGTGTTCTGGCACCCGGCGTTCGTTATACAAGTTATCCTGTTAGCAATATATCAATAATAGGGACGATTATGACTAGCACACGATTCAGTTAATTCACGGACAATTCCAGCCATGCATGGTGAGCCTTGTTTTCGAGATTGGGGAGTAAAGAGCATGCTCGTCTATTAAACCGAAAGATTTAGGGACACCGGTGTATGGATAATCCTTAGCTATAGGACCTTTTTTTATTATGGATATTTGTTGTGTGGTGCAGCTTTTCCAATACGATGGTTTTATGCATGATGTCAGTGGGGCCGTAATTGCAATACGAGTAGCTAGAATATCGTATCAGCACGGAATGATTATTTGTGGGTTTTAATATCTTACTTGACTGAAGCACCTATCGCTAATTCAAGCTATGTACTACATGTATTTTCTAGTGAGGACTAAACTGGAGTCCAGAGGGTTTATATAGGGCTGGGAGACCGTGGCTTGGTCAAGCATGATACCCAAAGTTAATATCCCGATATTGAACTATCTAGGCTATTACTTCTTTACTGAGCTTTACTACAACATCTTTCTTCTATACGTACGCACGATCATGAGAGCTAAGTAGCAAAGATTTTCTTATTCGCTCCCGACGATATTCAACCTTAGGAGGCTACGAGCACTAGAGTTCTGAAACAGAATTCAAAACAGAACTCTCTTGAGAGCTGAATAGCTGCATTTTGGCGCACCTTGATTCAAATGTGTTTTCTGCTGGGCGCGCACTAAGAGAAATATTCTAGAAGGACTAGAATATGCAGCCTAGCTTACATGCAGCTGTGCGCGTGCGCATACATATGACACAAGGCTGCGATCTCAAACGTACCCCAGGACCTTCAGCGTTGTTCCCACAATCATGACATCACTGGCGAGAATAAGACTAGGACGCCGGGGTCTGTGTCTGCTTATAATTAGTCCTTGTTTGTTTTCAAAGTTCTGGCGTCCTAGCTAGCAGGAATGATCTAAGCGATTTGTCAACTGGCTAAATCCCTAACCCTGACATTGGGTAAAATTCTAAGTAGGCTAGTAGTAATAATATTTGAATTTAATCTTTTAATTATTTAGTATTGAAATGGCTCTATACTCACCGTATCATACCCTTCGAAGGTCAATTAATCTAGCTGATATTAGCCAATCAGTCTTTCTCACAGAGCAGTTCCCATCTCATGTGCCCCTACCGACTCCCAATCTTTAAACCAACCAACGTCAATGCGGCCTTAATGAATTAATTGTTTAATATAAAGTGCATTGGATACCTTCAAGCGCTGTAAGGAGCTTGGTTGGCTAAGCTTTCTCTTAAACGGTTCTTATTTGGTGATTCCAAATCGAGCCGCTTGATTAACGGCCCAAACCGGTTTTCTATAATTCAATAATCAATAAAAAGGCCTTTAAATTTTGGTACCGAATTGGATTTTCAGTTTTCTTAAATGGTGAACGTAGCTTGGCTTCACTAATAGGCTGCTCTGCCGAGTGATGGGACATGACCAACTATCAAATTAAATAGTAACTAAACTTGAAAATTAAAGGATATATTAATCTATTATATTACAAACTATCCTAGATGCAGAAATTACGGAAATAATCTATAGAATAACCCAAGAAAAGACAAAAGAAAATAAATGCAGTGTGCAAGGTACAGAGCTTTGCCGCAGCTCCTAGTGAAATTTTGAGTCACCACGCGGGTATATATATAATCAATATATCATGAACCCTCTCTTTCTATCGGACTTGTTCTCGTTCCCAGCACCTACCCGTAGGACGCTGTACTCTATGTCAGGGCGGCTAGGTACGTCCCAACCTTGGGCTATACTCCGCCATACTCCCCCACCCCTTTTAAAGTCCCCTCCCCTCCTTTCTTCTTCCACTCCTTTTTTTTTCTGAATCTTCGTTTTCTCTCCCCTCAACGCCCTTCCCTCTCTACCCGAACAGGGATAGAAAAGACCTCCAGCCCGTACCTTTTTTTGATTCCCTGCAAACATAGTGTTTCTTCTTTCCGTTCCTCCCCTCCACAACACAGAATACAATGTTCTTGCACTTTATAGTCTTTTGTTTGTCTTGGTAGGAAGACGAGGAAGCTGATTTTAAGGATGGCGAAGAAGACATCGAAGACAACGAGGATGGTAACGAAGTAGGCTCTTTGTTCGTGGTTTTGATCCTCGCGGTTTTGACCCTCCTCACTTCTGGTTTTGGGGGGGGCTTTCTCGAGCTTCTGTCGGAGCTTAAGCTTTCTGTCTCGGAGCTTTCAGGCCTGTGATGGTTTCCATTTTGAGAACTTGTGCTTCTTGAGGCTGACATTTTATTTTAATTTTAATGTACGTGCTGTGTTTGTAAAAAGCCTGCGTAGTGGTACCTGTGATAGTGGCGGGCTGGTAGATGTGTAGATAAGACAAATACAAACTCCACTAAGAGGCTGAGCTTTATATTTGTTGGTGTTTAGATGTTTGTATTACTGGATGGTTCAAGCAGAGTCTGGGTGTACTAGTTCGTTTGAATGTTGAAACCGGTTCATACTCTTCATGTGTATCGAAGTTGGAATGCTCCGAAGAGACCAGATAGTCTTGACGGCGTACATTATATCCACGACCGCCCATAGTAACTTTTTTATCTTGACGCGTAAGAGGCGATATGTATTTTCGCACACACACCCTCTCACTCAGTATTGCGGCTGGGACTGGGCCTTGAAGCCCTGGCATCATGTTTATGATGTCGTTCTGCGCACCCCATGCACCAGGACGCAGGAACATCATCGGAGGATAATGTGGGTGAAATAATTCCGCAGCAACTAGATGCATATGCGCATGCGGCACGGACAACTGGCTAGCTGGCTAGCTTCGCACAATCGTAGCGCAGAACTGAAACAACATATCAACAGCAAATCGATATGTCGGATCGCCTTCTAAGAACTTCGGTGGAAGCTTAAGGGAATACTAAAATCCAAAAGAGGCAAGCTTCCTGCCCAAAACCTCTACTCGCGACCAGCAACAAGAACCCGAATATGCAGCTGCAAGTCTTTGGTGTATTTTTGACTTCTACTCCAATGGAAATTGCAGATTAGGACGTGCATTTTCGGGTTCTTGTTGCTGGTCGCGAGTACATGTAGTTACAAGTTACAGTCAGGGTATATGTTCGACATGCCTCCTAGACCGATCTTACTAATCAACTCAACTACTCTACCTTAGCGCTGTCTAGCCGTGTCTCAGCCGGGAACAAGGCAAACTACATACATAAACTTTAAGGTAGGATATGATCCGGGGGCCATGATCAAATTAGTAAGGACGCCTAAATTTACTACTAGTAAGTTACAACACCAGCGTCCTTTATCAAGCTGTTGAATTCGTTGGACTTAACCCTCATATCGTACATTTGGGCTATTTTTCAAACCCCCTATTGCCTCTAAATCTGCCAATTTCAATAACCTGCAACTGGGCTTAGTTTATAAAAGTTCGATCCCCGAGATTTGTAACTCGACGCAAACTGAGAGACGAATTGAAAACGTCAATCTCACTAGTAACTTGAAGCTGACCTACTTCACCACACGTATGTACGTATCGCCCAAAAAGCCCACCCCATGGTTTTATATCAAAACCATTGCTGTTATACCGTTATTCACCGCAGTGTGCCTAGTCAACCCTAGTAGTTTATAAAGACAGGAAATAAACGAATATATAAATCGAAACTAAATGGCTACTTTAGTGCCTATGAGATTGCCATGATTTCTCTGAGTTTGGCCTCACTCATCGTGCCCTTAATCCTTGGATTTCAGTGGAAATTCCTCAAGGGACCAAATAACGTAAGCTATTCTGGTTCTATTCTATGGCTATATGCATCTATGAATTATAACGTCTTTAATCTAGGATAATAACGACAACAAGGAGGTGGAACTGGGGTTACGAATGCCGCCTGTCAGTACTATCCACAATATCATATGCAATTGCGACTCTCATAGAAACTACAGCACCGCTATGTTTGACAAAAGTGTACGAACTGGGACTTGGGGCCATCCCAAAGTTTTAAATCATGTGGAGGCGGGTCCGAAATTCGATAGTGACTCTCCCGGAACGGATTTCTCTGAACAATCAGTTTTCGAATATGCCGGAGTTTCACGATCAAGATATGTACAGATATTAGTTAGCAAATTAGTTGAATATGGTCGGTCAGTATGGTCATGGACTGAAGGAGTATATATCCCAGCTACCTTTGACCGTCAGAAACTTTGGTAACTCGACCTATGCTAACATGTACACAGTATCTACATCTACTTGAATTAAGTTAGATTATTCATTAGTCCGTACCAAATCTTACCCCGACACTTCCTGGATGAATTTTTGGGTTTGGCGATGAAATAAATAGAACTGAACATTGCCAAAAGGGCCACAACAGCATAACCTTAGTTTTCTGGTTCTTTTTGGAATTGGCGTGCGTGCGAGATTGTATAACTTTATATCGTATTATATATAGCAGCTAGGCATAGTATACGCAAGGTGGCTAGCTATACGATCACGATTGTAACTGTTATTATAACTATACACTGTCAAGTGCAGTATTACGAATATTCGGGCAGATCGGAATACATACGAGACACAGTACCTGTCCCACCTAGGTCATACAAACATACATGCATGTGTCTAAGTTACTAAAACATCTTATAATTGAAGTAGTACATGCATGTAAACTACCTCCTGTGCTTGAAAAAATCGAGTTATTTTACGATTTGAGAATTTCATACAGATTATTGTACATATAGTACATAGAGAATAGATTTGAGTTTATCAAGACTTGTCGTAGGCCACTAAGGCCCTAGTGCTTGAAACCTTATGAAAGGAAACCTAGCTATATATAGTATTGGCTAATATTTCTATATATATACTGTAGCGGCCACCCAAATTCGTACAGCCACCTCTTCTATCAACAGAAAAGATCTGTATGGTACTGCTCCCTAACAAGCCCCCCAGCACCCGAGTTTGTATAGTCGTCTGGCTGGCAAAGCCCAAAGTTCGTACACTCTGGGATCGAGAACTAACAACTTAGTTAGCTATTATTATTCTTATTCTTCTATTAAAAGAATCAGGACAGGCACTGTCCGGGCAGGTAGCTGAGGATGAATAGAATGAGGTGCAATGTGTGGCAAAAATCAAAGATTCGGTAGGAATTATACCCCGGAAGCTTCGCAGTAGAGTCTGCCCTGAAGTGATATCAAAGAATTAACTTGGTTCACTCCTCCCTTTTCCTGGCATATGTTCGTAACGAACTGTTGGCGTGGGCACCTGACGTACGAACTCCAACTAGGTCCCGCTACATGAGTGGGTACATCTAGTTAAGGGTAATGAGTGACCAACCTTAGGTTTACTAGAAATAGTATATAAATACGCAAACCAAGGCTGCAGTACCTACTACATGCCGGCATATTTTGACCCTGAAAACTGTCCCGACGCTCGCCGAATTGCACCCTCCACTCCTACCACTTCCTGAAGACCTTCTCCCACCAGTTTTTCCTCTCCCCCCCTTCCTCTTGAAAAGACTATGTTCGTGATTTGAGGCCTCAGTGACTAAATCGGGATTCTGAGTATATTTGTTTAGATTTTGATTGAGAGTATATTGATACAAAGCCGTCGCGGTGGCCGAAAGGAGTATCACCGATACTAAAACAAGTACACAAATATATGCAATACGTCGCTTGAACATTCTTCGAAAGGGAAAATCCGTTGTGTGGTACTGTGGGTGTATATATATACTTAAACTACTATTCGCCCCACAATTAAGTTAGAGTGCGAACCAGGCTGCAATTAGAAGTAGAGGAACCATCCTTCAAATACAACGAAAGCTTGCTATAACGGTACGCTCGGGACCGGAATTTGGTACCGTTATAGAGAGATAACCCTTATATAGGTGCTGGTGCTGAAAGCCAGGCAAAAAGGACCGAGAAGTGCTACCGTTATAGAGAGATTACCCTTATAGAAAGTACCGTTATAGCAATTAGCTTTCGCTGTAGCAGGTAATTAAGGGTGTTGATAAACCTGCTATCGTGAGGTCGCGTGTAACCTGGGGGACTAGGCTCCTATCGACTCTGTAGCATGCATCGCACGCATTATATAACATGGTTTAGTCGAACGTTATTAACTATATACATAGCTAAAAGATTACATGTAGCTACATGTATATACCGATAGGTTGGGACGCGCACTATAATTATGCCAAGACTCTCCAGAGCTCTGCGTCCCAAATCATGAGGGGTGTGTACGTACTTGGAACGCATGAAGGCCCGCGGCCGTATGCGTATTGGGACGCCATATATTAGAAATCGGTAATACCTAACGTTTTAGACCGGGTACTGTGTCAGACATAGAAGAGTGTCAATCCCATACAAATTTGTATGGGGATTTCTGTTGCCAAAACTATCTCCACCATCTCTTGAGATATTTACTGCCAGATTTTTAACAAATGAATTCCATTTAAAAGCACACGGATTAGGATGGTTTCCAGATGGATTATCCTCTATTATGGTGTTATGGGGTCTTCTTTCTTTTTGGGGGCTTTGTGTCTGGTTTTGGTGCCGTTGCCATGCGACACACTTCTAGGTCTGACACAGTACTGGGTCGAAAACGTTACATGTACTCAAACAACCACACGAACCTGAATAGGTATAATGGTCTTACAAGAGAAGAAAGCCTTCGTCCAATATTGCAAAGCTAGGCCGGTGCATTATTAGATCTAGTTTATAAATTATAAAAATGCCGGTACTTCTTAATTTTGCCGTAAAAGGTGTGACCTAATTACTAAAATCTCTGTAGTACCTCAATTGTATGTGCAGATGCACATGTACAGCTGGAACCTACATGACGTATAGACGCATATACCTACGAAGATCGCATCGTATGTTGAACAGAGATCTATTATCTAGCACAAGCTAGATCAAATATCGGATCCAATCTATAACTTTACGGACAACTACGTCATTAAGATCTATTTGGAAAACTTTGCTCCTAGTTCTATGATCCTCATCCCTCAAATTCCCGAAAATCTTTCTTCCGCCATGCCAAGCATGATTATATTAAAAGTTTCCTTAGACGTTAACCTCTAGTTCATACATCAACCCGTTAGTGTAGTCTTAATCACTTGTATTAATTACCAAAATTCATTTGGGTATGTATCCATCCATGCTCAACCTCCAATTAACGTCACTAGTACTAGTATACTGGTTGTCTTCGAGCTTCTATAGATCCAATTTACACGTGAACGTGAGCTTAGCTAGAGGCCAGCCAAGGGAAGATATGCCCGTCAAAATTGGGAGTAAAAACATTGTAGATAAGTCTGGCTAGACCTTCCATAAAACTGCAAGTGCTGAAATTATCAATTTGGTGACTCTTTCTAGGATTTCTTGAGCTCCTAGTGCTACTATTTGGGGATTCCGCTTATCCTGCCTGTACTGCAGTCTTTTATTCTAGGATTATATCATTACAGTACTAGTGTACCTTCTATTTCTATGTATACGTATATATAGTAATATTATAACCTTATCATTGGTCGGTTTTTCAGACTAAATAGTACAGGGTTTTAATCCGTAACCTGCAAGTCCATAGAAGCGTCCAAAGGAGAAAAAGAAATACCCCGGCGACTGATAATCGGACGCAGATAGCTGATGTCGCGGTATGGAATCGTTAAGGCGGCGAAAATACACATCTTGCCAGCGTAAAAAGAATGAAAAGCAGTAAATAAAGAAAGATACAAATTGCGCAATCTTGCGGCCCCGCGCCGGGCCGTGTTAAGCAACGCCATACTCAGACTATAGTAATACAGACCCGGGCTCAATGTCGGGACGGCACTATTCTGACGGCTAATGGGTAGGTGATGACACCCGAAAAACTTTTCTGTTTGACTGGTATCAAAACCGATGAAGATATTGGATATATGTATCTCTTTTGAATTTACGGTGATCTTCACGCCACTATTGCTGATTGTTGTGCTATTGTCGGCGGGTACATCTACTGGTAGGACATCAGGTTTACCACCGTTCTCCATATCCTTTGATCGCGTCGACGTCTGCCAGCATTGATATTAGCTCAGTTATAATGAATGACTTGTTGTTTACCGAATTACATACGTCAAGATTCTCCTTCCTCCATATATACCAGCCCTTCCATAAACCAAGGATAGCTACCAGCGCACTGATTGACCCAAAGACTATATATGCGGCATTGCTTGACCCGCTGGCTTGGCCATCGCGAGGGAGTAAAGTTTTGGGCATTGTGATACTTCTAAGGGGAGAATGATATTATGGCTTGATAGGTACGAGTTGATCAAAGATGTTTTTCGGGTGTTCTCTAGCTCCGGTTCCGACTTTATGAGGCTCGTAGGATGTATAGGCTCGAGGGTGCGGTACGTGGCGAGTTATCTGTCCTTATATACATATGTAGTACCGGCACCGTTTTGATATGATATTCCAATCGACATCAATTGCAAGCTAGCCATATAATCAGGAGTTTTAAAAAAGCACTATGCATGGATTCATATGGGTTTATCACGCACATACAGGGCGCACTTTGAAACCCTGTACCTACAGGCGCGCCATTCAACTAGGCGTATTTATCTGCCAAGGTAGCATTAATATGTAAACAGCCTGGCCTTGATGGGCAGTGGTTGAGGTCCAGTCCTGAACATGTGAGGCGTGCCCACATATCTGAAATTTGGGATATATCAAGTAATGAATGATTGGATAGATAATCAGAGGAAAGAAAAGACTGAAATATAAGGAGGGCCATGCGACGATCGAGTGATATTTTGTGATCATGCATTAACGATACCGATACCACCAATACCCTAGCTACATGTACTACCTGATAGCCGATCGTCCATGTTAGGTTTAACTATACTTTATTCCTAACTACATGTATATGTAGATCTATAAAGAGTTTAGTAGTAGATAAGGTACACCAAGTTTATTAGGCGGCATCAGGGGACTAGAGATGCCGTGGATCCGTGCGTACCATGATGCAATCAGGAACTTTTGCGGTGAAAGCTCATAGCCCAATCTTTGGGGAGTAAATTTCACAATTGGAATATATTCCGAATCATAGTGAAGCATGACGGTAAATACCGCGGGAAAACTGAGATCTGGAGAGCTAGCTAATTCTCAACGTCTTGTCTAAGTGCTCGGCGCACTATACTATCTTAGTTGACGTTGGAGAGCTAGAGGTGTGAATAGTTACATAGTAACGGGTTGGGCCGCTCATGTTGTGAAGATACTATTACTGGAGCTTTCATGTAAATCTAGTTATTTTTCTTTTTCGGTAGTGCGAGCTTGAGTCCAATTCGGGGCTGTGTTTGTCGGGGTAGCAGCAGATTAAGCCGGGTTCAGTCGGAAATAATGGTAGAGGCGTTCTTTATAAATACGGGCGACCCAGCGTCTTGTGAGCCTCATGTTCTGAGTCCATATCCGCCTGCGGCCCTCTACATGTGCCAAGCCGTTATAGGGAGGGTACAGAAGCAGTATCCTCTCTTTACTTCAAAATGTGACAGGTCCCGAGTAGACACTCAACAACTACATATGAAACTTTACATCTCTTCATATTAATAATGGAGGAACAAAGAGGTTCCCGTTGACATGGTTACTTCAAGTACCTTTCGTCTTGTTCAGTTAAGAATCGGCTTGATGGTTCAAAGACTGCAGATTTATGTATAAAAAGATGAAATTGATGCTATCTATTCTAAAAACATTTTGTTCTAGCTTTTAATCCGATTATGTTACGAGTAACTCGACAGAAAGCACACAAAAGACTGTTCGCTGCAAATACACTACTCACCACTAGATGCTTACCTCCTCGTCATATGCAACCCCACAAGCTCCTCCAATCCCACCAGCCATCTCTCTGCAAAAACCTCTTCCGAGAACCGTTGCGCACTCTCCCTCGCTCTACTCCTCATCGCCAGCACCTCTCCCGCCGGGAGCTCAAGCGCCTTCCTGTATCCCTCCGCGAACTGCTCCGGCGTTTCCGCGTGCCATCCCGTGCTTCCCTCTCCGACCACGATATCCAATTTTGGCCCGCCGCTGTCATGCACAACGCTGATAAGCCCTGCAGCCTGGTACTCGACGACCCCAATACCAAAGTGCTCGTTCCACATGGCGTTAACACCAACCCATGCGCGCGCGAGCCAATCGAGAATCTCAGGCCAGGATGCGTCACACACAAAAACGACACGCTCCTTGACGCCCTTCTCGTGAGCAAGGAGGCGCAGGTCGTAGACGCGGGTTTTGTCTTCACTGTGGCGAACAGATCCGATCAGGACTAGCTTTGTTTCTTTGTCGTCTGGGCAGAGAGCGCAGTAGCGTACAAAGGAGTTAATGATCAGATCATGCTTCTTCTCTGGGCGGAACTGCGCAATACAAAGGATAACCCTTTCACGGGACATCCCAGGACCATTTTTTGAGAGCGGGATTGCGTCGGCGACCGCGGACACGGCACAGGGAGGGAATACAACGGTTATAGAGGATGCGCGGGATGGCCAGAGGTACCGGAGGTGTGTGGCAGTCCATGTGGAGTTGCACAGAATTGTATCAATACTGGTGCCACATTGGGAGTAGAGGGCGGCGAAGAGCTTCCAGTAGGCGCGTTTAGCGCTGATTCGGAGTGAGGTGGTGCTGCCTGAGGGGAGGGAGCCGAGCATATCGGTAGAAATTGTGGGGTAGTGGACGTATGCGCTAGTAGGGATACCGAACAGTAGTTTTGCGAATGGAAGCGTGAAGCCATATCCCATGGTGTCAATGAAGATGTCAGGTACCAGTAGCGTGAATGCGTCCCACGCAAGCACGAGGGATCCCAGGGACTGCCCGAGCAGAGTGAAGTGAGGCCATGTAGAGGCTGCGATCCAATGACGAGTTGTAAGATAGAGGAAGAGAACGCGGGTTGGCTCGAGGTGTATGTCAAAACGGTTCTATGAGGGGGTAAGGTTAAGGAGCTATAATAAGTTGAGAGAAGGGGGGGAGTTCGAACCTCGACTCGGGAGAGAATGGTAGCTTTATCAGCATCGTGATCGCCAGTGTAAACTACGCACATGGCATTCGGATACTTCTTCTGAGTAGCTCTAATGGCCGCCCACAGAACTCGTTCACCTCCTCCTCCAGCATTGCTATCACCATCAACCACCTCGATCAGCTAACGCTCCAGCCCACCATCACCCCCCTTCACATGTCAAGACCACATACCAAAAGGGATGAAAAAACCCAACTATAATGCCTTGATCCGTAGACCCCTCAGATAAGGTCGACAATACTATCCCCCTCTTGACCGCCGTGCGCGATCGCAGGGTCTTGCCTAGGGCACGAAACACGAGTTTGCCCAGGACGAAGTAGAACAACGCGGCTATGGAGGCCAGCCCTACCGTCGCGGTGAAAAGTAGCGAAAAGAGTGACATCGTGGCGGTTAGGGGGCGCTATTTCTTCTTGTCCCCTCGCCTCTCGTTCGTTTGTATGGTTCTTCACGGTCGTGTGATTGTTGTCTATGGCTTTGTCGAGCTTGCTGTGAGGATGATGATGATGCCACGGATCGTCGGGCGCAACGGCACCCGACCTCAGCTCGATGACATCCCATGCAACGGAATTGACCATCCGGCAGAGCAAGGGGCTTTTCTTCGCAGCATTAAAAGTCATTGGCCATTTATTGGTGTTGTGGAATTGTTCTTTTACGAACCCTAACCCTTGATTTGGAGCTATGTATGTAGCTGGTTTCCTTCACCGCCTCTCACTCAGCAGTAACACATCACTGCTTACCGCTGTTGTTTCTGTAGATCTGTTTCCCGGTAGTAGAAGACTATGGTTTAACGTTGCAGTTATTTAGAAACCAGATTTTGTCGAACTGATGAGGCCTAAACTTCTGATATTGCAGCACTTATCATTGGCTCTGCGTCCGTGCCAAGAAAAATACAGGCCGTACGCTGCGCAGGTTACACTCCCATGCACTCGTTACACGGGAGATCCTGTCGTCATATTGGACATGGCCACTGTCCAGAGGCTTGCAACGCGTAACTGGGGCTCATTGCCAAAGAAGCAGGTATCCTCAGGTGACGACATGAGAGCGTCATGTTGATGGGAACCCGTTCTCAGCATTTTCCAACCTCGGGAAGCTGAATTGCTTACCCGGAATCTGAAGGGCCAACACTATTTGAACACGCTTTTGTAGCTAGATGTTTAGATCTTGCCAGATTGCTTCGTGCTGCGCATTTCTTGATAGACGATACTACTGATCCTTCCCTTCATACTTTGTCTTCATAGATATACCAAGCTAAGTGTGTTTCCTTCCAGTAACATCCACTTAATTCTGCGCGCATCATAACCCGTGTTATTTGCTTCTTGTTTGCTTCCTTTTCCTTCAGTTCCCGTTGAAATTGTTCGTGCGGCGCCGAGGAAGACTTTGACTGGATCGCCTTCATTCGGGATCTTGTGATCCGTCTGGCCATGGTCTTTCCTGTGGCCGAATACTTGACATGTGAGGAATTTGTCGGGACAGGGCAGTATGCGGGTGTCGTACGTCTTTTATGGAATTCACCTTACTACTCATCAGTTTGCCTTCGTCCTATCAGCTTGACCCTTGTTCACCGTATTATTCTTTGATTTAGCCCAGTGCGAATAAGCAAAAGCTAACGATGGAACTCGAAAGATAGAATAGTAACCCTCCTACCTTGTGGCCCCATCAACTGAGTGTGCCAAAATCAAGTTTAAAGAATTGGGGGGATAAAATTGGTATATAATGTCTCCCCATGGTCAATCGTATATTTCAATTTGAGTACTTTCAATTGCATACTAAATACTATTTCATCGCAGACTGAATACAAAAAACGAAACCTACTACAATTATAATCATTCAACCATGGCGCCACATGCAATCGAGTGCCCGCATGGCTTCCACGCCCTTTGCGGAAGTGAGCGAAAACGTTCAATCAGCATCGCAGACGAAGCAGTGAATTGGGCCGGTATTGCATTAACCGTAAGTAACAATAACTCGGTATACTCGGAAATCTTTCTAATATCATAACAAAATTAGACACTATACGTCGGCGCAGCAGCAAAAATGATCGACGAAAACACTGTTCAAGTCGGAATCTCTATCCACGATGGCGTATATTCCGTTGACTTCTGCATACACACTCTCCATATCTCCCCTGGCGAGAGCGTCGCCGATGCCCTCAAAGCAGATGCCGTTGAGACCATTAACAAATACTCAAAAGAACACCACGCAAAATTTGTCGGATGTGGTCTTGCAGAATCTCTCATAAGCCTGTGCCGGGATATGCCTTCGTTTCTGTGGAGCGAGCTTGACATCGTCGTAATGCGGTTCAAGGTAAAAACAGAGTTCCCAAAGTTCGAATGCTCAGACGGAATACAAGGCAATTCGACGGAAACAATCCCTATCGACGTCGACGAGCAGGCGGATTCCGCAGTAAGGAAATGCATCATGAATTTCGGCCCTGGACAGAATCCCGCTTTGTCTATCGGGTTTAGAAATAGAGTTGAGCCAGATACTGGGGGGAGAGTCGAGCTTGTGACAAAGCTGGAAAGCTACCAGAAAACAGTCCATGAAGGGACCTGGAACAGCTTTTCGAAGTACGCCAATGAACTTAAGAAGAACAAGGCTAAGGTCGCTTTCTTTTCGGCGACACCACAGGGCGGAGGGGTAGCGCTCATGAGGCATGCTCTAATTAGATTTTATCGGCTTTGGGGTGTTAATGTGCAATGGTTTGTGCAAAAATCCTCATGATTCTACTTGAACCTTTCTAATATTGGTCATCTAGGTATATTCCCAAGCCAAATCCAAAGGTGTTTAGGATCACGAAAACAAATCACAACATCCTTCAAGGTGTCGCTGATCCCTTCGAAAGACTAACCAAAGAGAGACAAGAAATGATGGACGAGTGGATCTCGTATAATGCCAACCGTTATTGGCTTGGTGAGGGCGGTCCATTAGCAAAGGGTGGTGCAGATGTTGTCATCATTGACGACCCACAAATGCCTGGCCTCATCCCGCTTATCAAAGAACATAGACCGGAAGTTAAAGTCATCTACCGAAGCCATATCGAGCTCAGAAGCGATCTTATCGGAGTCGAAGGAAGCCCTCAGGCTGAGGTGTGGAAATTCCTTTGGGATAGAATCAAACTTGCGGATGTATTTATCAGTCATCCCGTGGATAAGTTTGTGCCAGCTCAGGTTCCGATGTCCATGGTCGGTATGATGCCGGCTTGTACAGATTGGTAGGTTCAGTTTCTCCTATCCTACTTAATTGAACATGTTAACGAGTGATATTAGGCTGGACGGCTTGAACAAGGACCTCAGAGACTGGGATTTAAGATATTACCATCACAGCCTGAGGAACTCATGCTCAGATATTGGAATGTGAGTGATCCATTAGACATAACCGTGTCACTTTACAGACTCTAATGATAATCTTGTTTTTCTAGGAACATGCTACACTATCCAGCCCGTGAATACATCACCCAGGTTGCCCGTTTCGATCCCAGCAAGGGAATTCCAGACGTTATTGAGTCATATAGAAAACTCCGCGAAATGCTGGAAGAAAAGGTCCCTAGAATGGTCACTCCTCAACTACTGATGTATGAAATCCCCGCGTTTCCTAGCTTCTTGAAGGAATGAAACGCTGAGAGTTTTATCCTAGCTGCGGGCATGGGGCCATTGATGATCCAGACGGATCCATCATTTACGACCAGACAATGAAGCAACTCGATGAGCCTCGCTACGACGAAATTAGGGGGGATGTCGTGGTTATGAGAATTGGGCCAAGTGATCAAAGTATAACCCTCCAGACCTTTATATATCAGTCTCCATGGAACTAACACATCGCGCGTATAGTCCTCAATGCCATCCTTTCCTGCGCCAAACTCGTCGTACAGCTTTCTACCCGCGAGGGCTTCGAAGTCAAGGTCTCTGAAGCGATCCACAAAGGCAAGCCCATAGTTGCAACTCGCGCTGGCGGAATCCCACTTCAGGTCCAGCATGGCAAAAACGGGTATCTCGTCGAAGTTGGCGACACTACCGCTGTTGCAATATATCTATATAATCTCTACACTGATAGAGGATTATATCAACGGCTAAGCGAGTTTGCAAAAGTATCTGTGAGCGACGAGGTAAGCACGGTTGGTAATGCTACTTGCTGGCTATATCTAGCAGCGAAATTAGTGAAGGGAGAGGAGATGAAACCGAATGCGAGGTGGATCACAGATATGTATCGTGAGGATGCGGAACAGCCGTATGGTAAGGGCGAACCTAGGCTTCCGAGATTAGATATTCATCTCAAAGGAGATAGTTTTGAGAATGTTGAGACAGTAGATTGATTTCCGCTTTCTCTTTATTTCTTTTTTAGATGTCTGTTTGTCTTTATTTCTTTCTTAGATGTCTGTTTGTCATAGTTACGAATTTCTTTATTTCGGCTTCTTTTCTTATTAAGATTCGAGTTTCGTCCTCAGAGAATTTAACGACGCATCCCATACGAGTAGAATGATTACAGACTGTTCAGTGCCTGTATCATATCATATATATCAAACATGTATGAGTGTAGAAAGCGTTTTTGCTTTTTACCATGGATAAGAGATTCTATAACTACTGTACCAAAAAAGCGGGTGGATCCAGTACTATCTTCGGCGAAATACCGTATTGTTACGGTATTGTTACAGTATTAATACGGTATGATAGTTAGGATTCCGATTTAATTCGGAAGTTTTGCACGATATGGAGTGGTAAATATGTCAAAAATGATTTTACCAACGGTTGATAGGTTATTTACCACCGGTGGTATAAGTACTGAATTTCAGCCCTTGTGCCAGTATAAACACTGAATTTCAATCTTTATGCTGCGCTATACTTCATTAGTAGATGTTCAATCATTAATGCCAACACTTATAAAAGTTTCCCACCAATGGTGAAATTCCCCACTGGTGGACAATAGGACTCATAAATTGGCATTATATAGCCCCTTTTGGCCAAAAGGTCTGTGCTTTTATCCATTATCCCTTGGACGGATGAAAGTTGTCAAATTCGCGACCACATTCTTTCAGCTATCACTAGCCTAATGTGGCAATCGTTGGAAATTCTTTATTGGTTCTGTTGTTGTTGCCATCCGTAAAACGCAAGACAATTCCCTTTTACAAAGTGGTGCACGGTCCAGGTCGCGAATTTGACAACTTTCATCCGTCCAAGGGATAAGGTATAAATGATGGCATTATTTTCATCACCGGTGGTAAAACGATTTACTACCGTTGGTAAAATTACTTTTGATAGAGTCGGCGTAGGTAAGGCGTACGGAGCGGTGAATTAGTTGAAACAGAGGTATGCAAGCAGGAGATTCACGATAAGAACATTAGAGAGATAAAGCGCTCGCGGTGTAGACTGGACATGTCTAGTACATTACGTTGCTTAAGCATAAGCGCCTTCCCGTAATGGTGGTTGTGGCATTCTCAATAGTAGGCAGCTAATTAGCGGCCACAAGTCGGTCGCGCGCACGTATATACGTATGTCCTTAAAGATGGCATTGTGTCCTCATGCTCAGCCCTATTTATACGTAGATCTACCTGCATTCTTTTTTCTTTCCCGTCACTTACCGAGTTATCCTTTTGAACATCGTCATAGCTTTTCTCACGATAGCTGCTCCTGTGATATCACTTCCAGCAACAGGCTTAAGGGTTATCAGTACCAGTAATCTGTACGTGTTCACTGGTCATAGGTACGTGTAATGACTCGAGCCCGCAGGAAATTATTTGGTACTGACATCCCTTTCTGTTGTTTTTTCAGAGGGAAGAGCTGTCTACCCTCCTCCCCTGACAGCTACACCTCACCCACAGGCAGCTTACTATCCGAATACTCCATTAACCCCAGCTCCTATCTACCCTCGATCTCAAGAGCGAGGTAGATCTATTAATAGCACCAACTCCAACCGTAGTATATACGTATACCCTGCCTGCCGATAGTGAATATATTCAACCCCCCTACTATTCTATCATTAACTGGTTCGGTTTTATGTACTGAAATACTACATATTGTGGTTCACTGACTTTTAACTAGTACTGCCGGTTGCTTCAACTAGTTCTTATCCGCACAATTTCTCACTCGACTGCTAAATGCTACTAATTCTTGGCGCCAAGATAAAAGAGCAGCCTCTACTATTACCTCAAAATGGATATTATCTACGCAGATCGGCTCTCTCTCAATTTGATTCGGTCGCCAGTTTGACTCTGCAGTAGACTACAGCACGTTTTTCAGTGGTATCTAGCTTTGTTAGGTCAAGGTGGCATGATCCTGCGTTAATGCGGTGCAGTACTGGAATGGGTAAGTTCTATTACGCGCGCCTGCATCTACCAATAAAGTACATCTGCAGTATGGCATAGCATAGCAGAGTAGTGCTGTAGAGTAGCTCAGTGTACCGGAGTTACTCTCTATCCGCCGGAGCTTATCCGGCCTCGGCACGATCATTACCTCTACCGAGTTTCCCCACAGTCCCCGCAGAGCAGCATAGGATTAACGCTCTTTGGACAAGGTTCGGTGTCCGGATCAAGGATATGATTCGCTAATATATAAGTAGCACAGCATCCATATCAGTGCTAAATAAACTGAATATACAGGGAAACAGCTACTAAAGATGTCACTACGCGCACTCACATGCCCGTTAGCACTCGCAATATCATTATGCATATCGAGCACAGCTGCCCTTTCTTCATCTTCCCGCTGGTATAATCTCGCCCTGCACCCAAGCCCCAACAAGCGTTTTCTCGTGGACAATACCGGCGCGCCCTTCTTTTGGCTCGCCGACACCGCCTGGGAACTTTTCCATGCCCTTAACTCCAGTGAAGTATATAACCCTTTTCATAAAAATTCTTCCTATATGACTATAATAACCTGAAACAGGTCGACACCTATCTTTCCGACCGCGCATCAAAGGGCTACACCGTTATCCAGGCCGTCGCAATCGCGGAGAATGACGGATTAGTGGTCCCGAACCGCAATGGAGATCTGCCACTGGTAGATGCGGACCCGACGAAACCCGTGGAGGCGTATTTTGACTATATAGATGAGGTTATTGATAAGGCATGGACACTGGGGATGAGAATTGCGTTGGTGCCAACCTGGGGGAGGTATGTCAGCGAGGGTGAGTACAATATAGGGGTCTAATAGGAATTGGTTCATGGGCAATAGAGTATGTGTACTGATCGGATATATAACTTTGGCGGGAGATTGAAGGATATCATGGGCCGCCGGTGATATTTGACGAGGATAATGCTAGAGTGTTTGGTGAATATATCGGGAAGCGTTATGCAGGACTGCCAAAGATATTGGGAGGAGACTCGAATCGGTATTTACCTAATTCTCTAACCCCGCACATACAAACTTCGAGTCATATATCCTAATATTGCAAACCAGCTTCTGGGGCCCCTGGCTTGAGCTGTCCTCCCACGCAAAACCAAGCCTCGATCAGGACATTTCCATGGTGGCACTGACCGACACAGGCGCCGTCTGGTCCGCGCTTGCCAACGGCATCCGCGCACACGAGGGGCCCACCGCCTTCCTAACCTACCACAGCACCGTCACCTGGCTTGCTGGAACGCCCTCCGCCCTCGCATCCTCCTTCTTTGGCCACGAGCCCTGGCTCACCATGGACGCCGTGCAGTCCGGCCACAACATCGGCCACGACACCTACGTCGTAACCACACCTCCCGCAGGCAGCTGGGTGGCCATGAAGAACTACGAGCCGGTGGAAATCATGTACTCCCGTGTTCCCACACGGCCAGTCATTGATCTGGAGAACCACTACGAGGACTGGCCGGGGATTGACGGGCAACGGTGGAACGCCAGCCTGGTTAGGAACGGCGCTTGGCATGCGGTGTTTGCGGGGGCAGCGGGACATGTGTGAGTGATTCTATTAATTCTACCTTCTTCTACATGCAGGGTTCCATGCATTTGGAAAAATGTATGGTACTGCACTGATGCAGAACCTAATATACGATACGTTACTCTATACTACTTGATTGCAATATGTGAGTAGAGTAACGCTGATTATCAATGATATATCGCCAGTTATGGATGCCATCCCATGTGGCAGTTCTACGACCCAGCACGCAATGCAAGCTATCGGGGTGCAAAGCCGACCAGAGACTGGCGGACCGCATTAAGTTTCGATGGCGCCAGACAGATGGGTCATGTACGAAGGTTCATTGAGGACCGCAGCACGTATTTAACCCGGGTTCCAGATCAGTCAATCGTTACTTCGTACGACTGGGACAGCGTCGATCGTGTCAGCGGTACAAGAGACTCTGGTGGGAAATGGCTGGCCGTCTACAGTCCCAGAGGTGTTCTGTTCATGGCGGACACGACAAAGTTGGTGGCTTCTGGGCAGTTGGCGGCGAGTTGGTATGATCCAAGGAATGGCACGTATACTGCCATTCCGGGCATAGTAGAATGGAGCATGAATATCACGTTTCGGCCACCGAGCACTGGGACTACTGATAGCGACTGGGTGTTACTTGTTGAGGCATGATATTTTGCTATGCTAAGAGATACTCTAAGATTAAACAGATAAAATAAAAAATAAAATAAAAAACTAAACCTGTAGCGCTCGAGATCAATCAATAACCAAGAAGAAAAGAAAAACCTGCTTCCAAATCTCTAAAGCATGAAAAAAAAAATGGCAACCAAAACCAAAACCAGCTCTCTCCAATCAATGAATTAAACAAAAAAAAGAAAAAAAGAAAAAAAACCAGCTCTCTCAAAATGCATCTATCAGCCCATGTAATTCTAGCTACGTCTGCGACGTCTTCCACCGCCACACCAAGCTCCTTCTCCCCTTCTTCTCCCCCAAACACCGCGGTCTATGGGTCTTAAACTTGGTAATAACCCAATCCGGCACACACCTAAACCAGATTGTATACTTCTTAAACCTCCTCGTCGCCTTCAGGCCCGCCATCGCATCCCCATAGTCCTCCGTCCACATATGGCTCTGCGTGCACCACTCAGCCACCACATACAAGAACCCCGCACCCATCGCCAGCGACGACAATATCGTCCCCGTGGTCCAATACACAGCAATGATGTGCGCCTTATAGTACGCTGAGGTGCCGAAATTGATATACCCACCGCCGCCCTAATCCCCACGAGCTCGACCAGCACGCGCACGTCTGGTACAGCCCAAACGTCTGCGCGCTAAGGATATAGATGAGCCACGCGGTATTCACCATCTCCATCACCGTAAACGCCCACCCGATGCGCTCACGGAGTTTTGACGGCCGCGGAAAGATCCACCAGACGGCCGACTCGGCGAGGAAGTGGGCGAGCGTGATGACAAAGAATATGAGGTAGCCGCCGCTGCGGCAGCCGAGGCCGACGGTGGGTGTGAAGTATGAGATGATGAAGGAGCCGAAGATGGAGCAGCCGACGAGCGCAGTGGCGCCCATGATTTGCCAGAGCTCGCGGAAGTCGAACCAGATGTTGCTGTGGCGGGTTGCGGGGGGCGCGCGGATGAGGAGCGTGCGTGCGTTGTGGTGGGCGGTCCAGTTGCGGCCGTGAGCGGCGGCGAAGGCGTCTTCGGTGCCCGTGAGGATGGCGTGGGCGATGCCGTAGTGCCAGCGTGAGCGTGCCTGGCCGCAGAAGGAGGTGAAGTAGTGGTAGTTGTCTGAGTGGGAGTAGGCGGGAAGCTGGATGCTTTTGTAGCGGGGGTTAGTGGTGTTGGCTTGGAGGCCTTGGCGGACGTGGGAGAGGAAGCGGTTGAGTTTGCGGCGGACATCGTCGGCGGAGCCCGGGCTGCGGTCGGTGATGCTGCTGAGGGTCAGAACTGGTAGCCATCCGAGTAGTAGCCCGATAGCTAGATTATGGGCGGTGGCATTGACTCCGAGGTTGCCGAAGGCTGGTTGACATACCATAGTCAGTAGAGCTCGTGGGGATATATTGTAAATAGACAGTAGATATGAAAACAGTAATGATAGATATAACCAGAAATTAACCTCACATACCTGCATGTATCGAAATCGCCAACGACAACAAAAACCACAACGTCGAAATAAAAATCGGCACCACCCCCCTTTTCCTCCCACTCCTCAGCGACGCCGCCAGCTTCTCCCTGCGATGCACCATCCCCTTACTCGGATTCGCCAGCACCAAATCATTATCAAACAGCGCCACGCGCAGAAACCGCTCCGTCGAGCTCGAGCCCGCATGTTCCAGCTCAGTGCTCAGCGCATACTGGTTCATCACGCTGAGGATATAGAACGAGTCGCGCAACTGACTAAACTCCGATCCCGGCCCCGGGAAGGCATTGTAGTCGACGGCCATATCGACCGTAATGGCACACTTGCCCGTGATCTTGATGTTCCAGAAAATGTACGACAGCGAGGCTATGGGCGCCCCGATCCACCGGCACGTTGCCAGGAACGTCTTTGCAATCTGGTTGCTCTCGAAGGGCGCCTGTAGCAGGAGGCCAATGATCGGGAGGACCCACGTCGTGATGGTGTTAGCCGCCGTCGCCCATGGGTATTTGTCCGCGCCTGTTCCGCAGAGGGTGCGGCATCCTTGCTCGCTGATGAGGTATGGCCTGCCGGGGCCGAGGGGGAGGTTGGGGGTGAGGCCGGTGTAGCTGTAGAGTTCTAGGTTTGTAGCGTTTGTTTCGAAGGCGATCTTGCAGGCGGTGAAGTTCACCATCTTGGGCGGGTAAGTGTCATTAGATACCAGCCCCTAGTATTGTTGAAGCCTGTTTTTATGAGTTGTAGCCTCCGGTCTTTTATTGGATTGAGGCTAGAATTGGTGGGGCTTGTTGTATGTATATATGGAAGATATATATGATGAGTCAAGGCAGACTGGGGAATTTCAGCGAGCGAAACCCTGATTATATATATAAAAGCGCCAGTTGATGATCGATCTTCAAAACACAGCTACTGTCCCTCTCTCCATCAAGCTAGACACGTAACTATAGTAGCTAAAGGACGCATCGCCAAATGATTCGAAAGGATCTTTCTGTCTGTCTGTGAAGCACGGGATACCCCGACAATGTATTATTCAGACACAGCCCCGTTCGAGTTATCAGCATCATATCATATCATGCAGCGCGACATGAAAGCAGCGATTGATTGGTCGAGATGATATTCCTGTTTAGATTCGATAACGTCTGTTATGGACAAATAACTTGTTCAAACAGTGTAACCTGAGATAGAACTAGGGTGTCGAAGGGTTGCATATCAGACATAACCCGTCAAGACACCAAAGCATCTGTTTCCATTGCATCCCATACTCCAATATACCCCGCATTCCAATAGGGCGGACGGCTGCTGCACTTAACATGACGAACCTAAACATCTTGGGTAGAGTAATACCTACATCGGTCAGTATATCTAGCACCATTCTAGAATCCGTAGATAGCAGATCTTACCCCTGAACGTGATGTGGGTCAGCAATATAATAATATGTATAATGCAAGGGCCCGAAACCCGCAGCCTTGCTCCATTCCTATTCTACCTATGTACATATGGCCATTTTTTTGTCAGCCTTGCTAGAGTATATATATTGCATGCATACATACGAGAGAAGAGAGAAAGCACCTCGGTATATGTTTCGATTCTCCCGGCACTTTAAGGACAGAATCAATTATCCGAATCTGTGCTTCAGTAGAGTAGCACGGTAGCGCGCGGGGCGCAGCTACATGTAGTTTGGTTTACTTGAGAGAATGCGATACCAATTGATAAGAGGTCCAAGGGGTGTTCCTGGCTTTATCTCAACTAGAAATCACATGTGGTTAGATCGCATTTGCACCATTCCCAATTGGGGATAACATGGCCCGTCACTCGCCCTTCTAGCCCTTCTAGAACCGCCAATACCCATACTTGAATCTCTGTGTATTTGGAGCGCGCTTGGCATTTCCTCCCGATTGATTACGAAACAGCTGGTGCTGAAAAACTCGGTGTCCGACGTTGTCTCTTCCAAATTCTCTCGGGTATTCTCATCAGATCGCTGTTTATGGTCGCAACCCCGAAAGATGACTTCGTATTGTAGAGTATATGTAAAGTATAATATCCGTCACCAAAGAAAGAATCCAGAGTGTCCCTCCATTTACAACCACCGACCTATCAACCTATCACCGCGCAACAGCATCATATCAGCAGCATCCATCAGCATCGGCTAAACTTTCCACTAATTGATAGAGCAGGATTTCAAAAATAGACTAGCTACCTACATACAGCGATCTAGAGTAGGTACCTACTGTAGGTATCGATGAGCCCTCGGAATTGGCACGTTGTGAGTGTGTGATACGGGACATAGCTATGTAGCGCTTTCTTTTTTCTTTTCATTTTCGTCGATTTGGCTCATCAATCGCTCTGATCATGCATGTACCGTCCCATTCGATGGCCGAAGCGGGCGCCGTTGGTGATTCCTAACGGCGGGGGCGTGTGCTGTGCTGTAGGTAGGGGAGTGTGGCCTACAAGCACTTAATTGCAATTGAGCCGCACACCAATATCAACGCATGGCCCGTGAGGAGCCGGGAATACATACCTATGTGTCAAAAGCACACCCAGAGGTGAGGTATGTAGCATAAACAGGGTCGTGGGGGGATCAAGGTCAAGGCAGACAGAGGCATCTGATATGATGTATTGGTGTGTGTGTGTGTAGTGAGCGGTTAGATGTATCCAGTACTGCATGACGATGGATGCACTGAGCTGAGCTAGCTTACTACTTTACTCTCCATAGCATCTTTGCTACTATAGCTGGTATGAAGGAGTTGAAGGGAAGACGGATGTCTGTCTGTGTGCACCCTTGCAATTGTACCCAAGCCAGGGCGAGCAAGTACTACGTCGGTGAAGAAACCCCAAGAGTGAGGAGGGAGGGAGTCAACTCGTGGGTGTATGAAAGTCGCACTGTGCTGGCTGTAATTTAAAAGATTTGATTGGTTGTGGTTTCTCTCACCGCGATTAAGATATACCTGCCATTCTGGCATATCTAGATCTGTTCTACCTAATTGCGCCATCTGAGTGTTCTAGATCTCATTGCGTGTAGCTGCAAAGACACGGCTGCTAACTATCGACAAGTAACCATCATCCGTAATTAGCTGGTTGTAATCTGCTCTTACGGTGCAAGTATATGTAGGCTGTATGATTGTATGGAAGCTGTCTTTGATCAATTGACGGTGCTAGCCAGAGTACATGTATGTCTACATCCCCCCTCCATTGATTTTAGCAACGGTCCCCCGGTCATCATCTATTCCCAGTACTAGAAGGCTTTACCACATTACATCTAGCTACCTATCTACCATTCGCTATACATGATGATAACAAGTATATGCACTCTTCAATCAGCTCAACGTCGGCGTTACGATATCAGATGCCAAAGCTACCGGTCTAGATCATATCTCCCATCACTCACCACAATTACATAAAGACATAAAGTGTACTTTCTCGTGCTCACAAAATCTAGGGCCACAATTTCAAATCTACCGCCCATGCCTCCTCCTCAGGGCCTACAACGTACACCAATCCGCTACAATATATGATGCTGCATCACAGACACTCTAACCGCAATAGGAACCCCTGTTCGAAGAATTTCTGGTCGCCTTGCAATCCAATGCTGCAAGATCCGGGAGAGATCTTTACAGGCCCCTTGAGAGCATGGTTTTCACCAGCAAGGAGCAGCTATAGTCCAAGTCGGGTACCATGGCCCAAGTGCATTTGTGATTAGTATTCTAGTACTGCCCTGGAATATATATGTACAGTTCGATTTATGATCTCGCTATGCCATGTGGCAGGGTCTGCAGGCTGGCCGTTTATTTACTCGCAAAATTAAAGAAGGCCACGGGGGGCTGCAGGACAGACCGACATCTGGGGGGGATTTACACAGGCACCTTAATGTTAACTAGCGGTCAGTATCTAACGTTGCGGGTGCCGTTGAGGTTACATTTTGCTCGCTTATATGAGTTTTCAATTGGGTGCAGAGAGGGAGGAAAAAGCTGTTGTGCATGCGTTCTGCCCTTCTCTTCCAGGATTGATATGGCCCAGGATCGATGGGAGCTGAGGAGGGACAAGGCTGCACTAAATACACTCACTCACTGAAGTCTAGCACTCACAGGAAATCACCCGGCAAATGCACACACCAGCAATCACGCAACCACACACACACACAGCAACCGCAACCACACCCCCGCCATGTCGCACGCACGCCCACCATGCCCCTCCACCGCGCGCTCATCTTCCCCCGCCTCGCCCGCCCCCGCAATACCCATGGCCACCGCGCCTTCCACGCCACCCCCTCCCGGCGCTTCCTCGAGCCCACCCTAACCGCCACACACACCCTCCTCACCACCCTCCACACCACCACCGCCCTCCCCTGGTGCACGCTCATCCCCCTCACCGCCATCCTCCTGCGCGCGCTCATCACCACCCCCACCACCATCTACTCCCGCCAGCGCGCCTTCAAGACGCTCGCCCTGCAGCCCCTCGTCTCCGCCTGGCAGCACCCTCTCGCGCGCGCCGCAAAAGCCACCACAACAACCCCGCAGCAGTGGGAAGCCGCGACGCGCAAAGCGCTGCGCGGCAAGCGCGCCGAGATCCTAAAGCGCCATGGGTGCCAGCGGTGGAAGGCGTTTGCGGCGCCGCTGATGCAGCTGCCCGTGTGGGTTGCGGCGTCGGTCACGCTGCGGGGAATGACGGGGAGGGACGGGCTGCCGGAGTGGTGGCGCGGGAAGAATGCCTCCCCCGACACTCTTGATTCCACCCCCGACGCCCTCAATTCCACCCCCGACACCCTCATCCCCGACACTACCAGCGCCCTGGACACCGTCACCGCAGCAGAGCGACTAATCCCCATCGAGCCGTCCTTCGCCACTGAAGGCGCGCTCTGGTTCCCAGACCTGCTGGACGCAGACCCGCTGTTCATCCTGCCGATGGCGTTCTCGTTCCTGATGTTTGCCAACATCGAGATGCAGAGCGCGCTGCACCCGCCAACCACGCGCACGCAGCGGGTGTTCACGAATACGCTCAGGGTGATCCCACTGGTGGCGCTGCCGTTGATATTAGATATGCCCGCGGTATGGCTCTATTTTTGCCTCTGTTTCTGGGGATAGGTGGCTAATAGGATATATGTGTATAGGCATTAACGCTCTACTGGGCCACGTCGGCCGCATACTCGCTTGTGCAAAACGTGGTACTCTCGGTGGCGATGCCGCGCCCGGAGGAGGTCAAGGCGTGTAAGCCTGTGAATCCGTATGCGGTGGGGGACGCTGTTGAGACTACAGCGGCGGCGTCAGTGGAGGTGGGGAAGGCGGTGTAGATATGTATATAGGGAATAAGAAGAATAGAAGGAGGAGAATAGAGGGTGATTGTTGTTGGGTATTTTGCTTTGGTTTTATGGATATGTATGGGCTCGCAATTGCTAGACATCCCCAGGGACCCTCCATGACCCATGGGCTTTAGATATCGCTTTCTAGTGAAGAATTGCGGACACTGATCGTTGATACACTTGGGTTTCTGTATACAAACACCTACAAACTTTCACCACCAGACACCAGTCTTGACTCGGTAAATGAATTATCATCATCATCATCATCATCATGAGCACTGACTCGACCAACCGACCGACCGAGTCAGATACTATGAAGCGTCTCTACCCATTCCACTACCAATTGCCTATAGGTACTTTCTGTGTGTTCTAATGTTTACATGTACTCTATGCGTGTGTGGACTACTACACGCATTTGCCGTGATTGCCGTTGGGATGACCCATGCGAAGTATATGTATGTATGTACCTACATAATCTGCCTTGTCCAGGGTATGTACTATGTAGGCACATGGCCATGGATGTGCTCGAGCACCAAATATCACTCACAGCCACTCACTCGCCCCCCCCCCCCCCCCCACGGGCCATTTACTTGGCGTATGGGTCCCCTCCAGAACACTTCGGTTTCCAAGTAGCTGTTTAGTTATTATATCTATCCACTATGCTACCCCATCAGGTGCGCGATTTGAAAAGAGCTAGCCAATACAGTGGAGGCTATATAAGTAGCCATTAAGCCTCATATTGCATCCTCATATATTGCATACTCTATAGTACGTGCTGTGTGGAAAGGCTCGAGATCTAAATATTATATACATGTGTTCATTTCAGACATCAAGGCATTGGGCCACAAGAAATTGATCTACTCTAGATATACATGTTTAAGCACTGATCGCTTCAGATTAATTCACAAGCCATCACTCGACCTGTACTTAACAACTACATGTATCGCACCATGTGAATTAAACGCCCACAACACACGTATCCTACCAACCACCACAAAACAAAACCGACCGCCAATCACCGCTCCGGCCAATCTCCTCCCTCCTCCTCCTCCTGACCCGGCATCAAGATCCCCAACTCCTCCTGCTCAACATCAATGCCCCTCTCCCTCAGCGCCTCCAAAACCTCCCTATCCGACGGCTGCTCCCCCGCCGCATGATCCAAATGCGGAAACAAGCTCCTCAGCAGCTCCCTAAACAACCCCGCCGCCCCCGCCGCACTGCGCCCTTCAACCGCGCCCGGCGCCGTATCCGGTATCTCCACCGAGTAACTCCTAACCTCGCCCGCCGGCGGCAGCGGATCATACCCGGGGCTCTCCCGCCTCGTAAACGCGCGCGGCAGCAGCGCCGTAACACCAGGCACATCCGCGACGAGGACATGCCGCGCAACATCCAGCGACACGCCCTCGATGACCTCCCGCCCGTCCGTCTTCTGCGGCTTCAGGAGCGACTTTTTCGGGAGGTTGTAGATTGTGCTTGCGACGTCCACCAGCAGGCGTGTTGCCTCCGGCTCCTTCCAGAGGTCGCGCGAGCGGGAGGCGTACAGCTCCGCCAGCAGCGGCTGCAGCTTGTCGCCCTCGGGCGGCAGCGCCCCCCAGAGGGCGGGTGGGAGGTCGGTCTCGATGTTCAGCTCCGCGTAGAGGCGGGTCACAACCCATGGGAACTTCGTCATTGCTTTCGCCAGGTACTCCCTTGCCGCGGTGTCCTGGTCGAGCTGCTTGTATGCCAGCGCGGTGGAGTAGGCCATGTTGGGGAGGTTAGCATACAGCTCTCTGAGCGCGGGGTGTCCAACGAGCGCAAGGAGATGCTCGGGCTGTCGGGCCTTCAGGGAGATGAAGTCGATGCACAGTCTCATCTGGTATGGGTCTCCCTCCGGGTCCAAAGCGAGGAGTAAGCGTGCGAATTCTTCGGCGGTGCGCCAGGTCCCGCGCATCTGGAGGTTCCGCAGATAGCGCCATGAGCAGAGCCAGAACTCGCGGTTTTCGGGGTAGAGAAACGAGAGACGGGCGTTTCCTTCGGATATCTTGGACTGGAATGTGGAGTGGAGAGAACGTCCGAATGTGAAGAGGGCACGCTCAAGAAGGTCGCCAGAGATTGTGTGGTCTCGCTGCTGGGCAAAAATTTCGGAGGCTTGGAGTAGAGTAGAGACATGGTAAGGATTATGTTGCATTAATTGTATCAGACGGTTCGGGTCTTGTTGGGCCTGATGTTAGAATAATTTCCAAAGTATTTTTTTTTATAAGGGAAGAACATACCCATTGATGCAACACACATCATAAACTGTTTTTGTACGTCCTGATACGCTCTAGAATGTACAAACCTGAATTCTGTAACATTGTCGCTATCTGTCGATACCGTCTCCATCCCCAAACCTCCACTGCTAGCAACGGGCCACTCCTCCTTAGCCTGAACGAAGGTATTCTTCCTCCCTGTCAGCCCTCTCGCAGAAACCGCAGCTCTCTTACGTCCACCTGTGCCATGTTCTTCAGCTCCATCCAATGCCACCCTGCCAAAAAGCCGCCGCATCTCGTTTGCAGCATCAAAATTCCTTGGATCCACCCGTAGTATCTCTGACAACCGCTTACCCTCGTCGACACGAGCATCCGGCGTCTCCACCGAGTTTTTGTGCTGAAGATTCAATATCCTGAGCGCCGCGTCGATCTCATCCTCGCCTGCTATCTGCACTAGTGCCGGTGCAGATTTGGACTTACCCTTCTTCTTCTTCTTCTTCTTCTTCTTTGATGATGATGCACCCGCCCCCCGCTCCTCCTCCTCCTCCTCCTCCTCAGGCTTCGGTATTATCGCTACTTCCTCCTCGTCGTCTTCGTTCTCCGGCTCGTCCTCTCCGCCAAGGAGGGCAAACAGGCTTGGTTTCTGTGGCGGGGGTGCGTCATATTCGTCCTGTTCTTCGTCGTCGTCTTGGGTTGTGTCCTCGGGCTTCTGGGAGAGTGCTGCGAGCTCGCGTTGGCGGAGAGCCTTGCGGAGAGCTCGGCCGGACATGGTAGGTTGCGATGGGGGGTCTGGTGTCTTGGTGTTGTAATTCGATGCGAGGTGTTGGGTGTGGACGGCTATGCTTTGTGGCTAGCTACTCTACAGGCTACCTACTCTACAGGCTAGACAACGTATTGTGGGGTGAATTAAAAGCCGGGTAACACACTATTGTACCAGCTAGCTAGTAGCGATATAATTGGGCCATAAGCTCTCACCCTTCGCATGCACCTGCGCACGCCTGCTGCAGGCAGTCACGAATAGGAGCTGGAATCTTAGAACCAGATATCATAGGATGTAGTATCACAAAGCAAAGAAAAAGCGGGGTTCCCACTACAACCATATCACTGCAAAAAAAAACACTACCGGACCGTGAGCTGAGATCGACCTAACTACAGCTATATATACCGGCTACACACATATATATATTAAAACTTTATTGACTATCCGATTTACCTAGCCCTATATAATACCTTCAGTACTCATACGCCTATTCTTCGGAACTATCCTAGTCTTGGATAACCATGTCGTCTTCCGGTGGAAAGGACCCGACTAAAAAACAGGGTATGGTCTTTCATAGCCTGGGCTGTCTAAGTGTTGAATTTAGGCGTAGCTTATATAGAGGTCAATTAGATACGTCAGGAATATCCAGATTTCTCAGAAAACCAAAAGCATTGTGGAATAGGATTAGGTCCAGGTCACCCGACCCCAAGAGGTCATCGCAAACTACGTTACAAAATGACTCCCCAGCTGTAGCAGGGCCTTCAAACGCGCGTATTACTACACCTGCGGAAAGTACTGAAACCTTCGATGATACGTATGCACAAACACCCACAGCCAGCAGCCCTCCCAGTATTGTGTTACCCATGAAGGACCCCGGCACACTCAGATCACCCCTTTCGGGTACTGGTCCAACAATCACCAAAGACGCTTCCACTCCACCTCCCGTATCTACAGCCCCTTCTAAGCCCCCGTAAGAGGCCCATAGTATTTCCCAAATACTAAGGCCGTACAAGAAACTTACAGGGAATATAGTAATAAGCCCTCGCCATGGGAAAGGGCAATCCAAAGACTGCCCGCCCAAAGTCAAAAAGAATTCGACTTTCATAATTCGGATGGTCTTCTCAAGGTCCTTGATGATGTTCTGAAAGCAACCGAGACAGCAAGAGAGACCTGTCGGGAAAAGATGTGGAAAGTTAAGTGGAAAGGGAAGTATATCGTCCTCCGGGATATCGCGGACAAGACAATTGAATGGGTCAATAAGTTCAAGACATTGGGAAATATCATTGCTCAAGGCGATCCAGTTCATGCTGCGATACCCTGGGTACCAGTTAGATATCTCATAGAGGTTTGTTCAATGATTTATACATGCACTGGCCACACTCTTTTAAAACTCTCGAGCTCAAATTTTGAACTCTTGGCAGCCGATATTAATAAAGAATCAAGATCTTCATGATTCTAATCAGATACATGTGTTATCAATCTGCCAATGACTTGAAATTTGAATTCGAGGTTTGAAAATGAGTGTGACCAATGATGCGTTCTGTTCCTCCACTACCACTACCCTCATGGTCAGACGATGGAACTAATAGCATAATAGTTTATTATCAAGGACCACCAAAAGATGGGCGAGATGTTAGTGGGGATCGAAGTAATCACCAACCTTATGGGAAGATGTGCCATATACGAGGAGTTATATCTCGGGACTGGCTTCGATACTGCCCAACGGGTAGAAGAAGCCTTGGTTGTGCTATATGCCGATATGTTGACTTATATGATCAACGCTAAACATTACTATGCCGAAAATACTATCGGTAAGATTTTTTTTGAGCCTCTTATAAAGAAATATTTAAACCCTGGCCTATATCTAAGTTACGTAATAGTCCGCATTGCATGGGGTGTTTTAGATACCGATGGACCAGCAGAAGCTTTGGCAGCGCTTCAAGCAAAAGAGTCTAAAGTCTTTGAGGAGTCACATCTCGCAGAAGCCAAAAGTAAGCTTCTTGACCTAGAAATAAGTTACTGATTGAGAATTCCATAGGAATAGGGCGCTAACAAGAGAGCATTGCTACACAGATCAGAACGCTGCAAACATGATAGCTGAAGGTTCTATATTATACTCAGGATCGAGATCGGTCTGTGGAAATCAATACCCTTACTTACTATTTTTTTAGAAAGGTACAAACAACTTCAGATGCTACTGAACGAATTCAAAATGCCTATTGTAAGATCGAAAGAAACCTAGAAACTCTCGTCGATGGGCTAGAAGGTGAATCTCGCTTTTCCAGTGATAAGCTACGGAATGTTCAACTAATTCTCCAACTCCCATACGTTATTTCCCACCAGATTCCAAACGAGAAAAGATACTCGACTGGATATCGAAAACTCCATATACAAAATATCATCGAACTGCAAAAAAAAATCGGAAGGAAGGAACTTGTGAGTGGCTTCTCGAGGGCGATAGATTCGACCAATGGCAGTCTTCAAGTGCCTCGGGTTTTCTATGGCTACGTGGTGATCGTAAGATATATCCTATGGAAATTCCTTCGATATCTGATATCTAACCCAATTCTATCGCTAGCTGGCGCAGGAAAAACAACACTCACGTAAATTCTCCGAATATAACTCCCAACTATCTATGATTCATGCTAAGATACAACTGTAGCTCAATGGTGGTAGACGCCATAGATCAAAAACAAAGTGCATCGAAGATGGATGAAGCTGTTGCCTATTTCTACTGCAAACGAGGCGAGGGTTTGTTAAATGACCCAACAGAAATCATGCGATCCATATTAAGACAATTGTCTTTCAAAGGCCCCAAAAACTCTTTACAGAAACCTGTGGTTGCAGAATATGAGAAGAGCACAGCTGGAAAAATCCTTGATGACGGACTAGGAATTGAAAAATGCGTCAGTTTGATCGTCACTCTCATCGATTCGAATCTACATACCACTATCATCATTGATGCTTTAGATGAGTGTGATATCGAGAGCCGACACGAATTATTCGACGGATTAAAAGAGATACTTGATAACACCTCTAGCTTGGTCAAAATATTCATTTCTAGTAGAAACAGCGATGACATCAAACTTCAGTTTGAAAGTGCTCCGAATATATATATAGAGGAGACGGATAACGCCATGGATATCAAACGTTACATCAATGAAGAGTTGGGTGGGTGCATTGCAGGTCGGAGGCTATTGCGAGGTAAAGTTGATGGCTCTTTAAAGGAGCTTATAATCTCCAAACTGCTTGAGAAAGCTCACGGAATGTAATCCACCCGAGAAAAACCATTTATATACCAGGTTTATATTTACTAAGCCCTGTTTATATAGGTTCCTATGGGTAGAGCTGCAGATTAAAGAACTTTGTGCTCTGAGCCTCGAGAAAGACGTGAGGGAAATGTTGAACAACTTTCCAAGCTCCCTCGAAGAAACATATAAAGATATCTATGAGCGTATACAGCGCAAGAAGGGGGACGCTCCCAAGATCGCCAAAACCGCACTCATGTGGGTTCTGTGCTCCTGTCGGCCACTCTCGCCAGAAGAATTAACAGCCATGATTTCCCTACAATCAAACATTCCCACGATTGAAATCGATGTTTTGTTGGACATGTGCCACAACTTCTTGAAATTGGATCAACAACTTAATGTCGTGCGGTTCTTTCACCTATCTGTCGAGGAATTTTTCGAAATGGAAACTTTCTTCACTGTATTTGAGGCCAATGCCATGGTTGCGGAGGTATCTCTTTCCATATTAAGCGATTTGGATAAATCTATCCAACACACAAAGGAATATCCAACATTTTACTGGATGGTTCATTTTCAACGATGCTCCAAGGGAAGTCCCGAGAATAATATTTGGGGTTTGCTGCGTGTCTTCTTCGGGTCGCTTCAGAAACCCAGTGCGGTGTATGTCTCCTGGATGGAGAGCTTTGATAATCTCACGAGTACCCTAGATTACCACTATGGTATTGAAATTCCGTCAATACATGGGAGGCAACATAGGAATAGTGCAAGGATTAGCAGGGCTTTGCCCCTCCCATCCTGCGCTGCCTCGATGTTTGGATTCGGAGAAATGATAAAGGATTGCTGGGATGATAAAGATATAGATCCTAAATTTCAAAATCCAGCTGGTGAATCACTCCTCTATTTGGCATCACAATATGGGCACGAAGCTGTTACATATATCCTACTGGAAAGAGGGGCAGATGTAAACGCTCAGGGTGGTAGATATGGCAATGCGCTATATGCAGCGGCCTTCGGGGGGCATGAGAAGATCCTGCAGATGCTGCTGGACGGAGGGGCAGATGTAAACGCTCAGGGTGGTGGATATGGCAATGCACTACAGGCAGCGGCCTCCGGGGGGCATGAGAAGATCCTGCAGATGCTGCTGGACGGAGGGGCAGATGTAAACGCTCAGGGTGGTCTCTATGGCAATGCACTACAGGCAGCGGCCTCCGAGGGGCATGAGAAGATCGTGCAGATGCTGCTGGACGGAAGGGCAGATGTAAACGCTCAGGGTGGTTACTATGGCAATGCACTACAGGCAGCGGCCTACGGGGGGCATGAGAAGATCCTGCAGATGCTGCTGGACGGAGGGGCAGATGTAAACGCTCAGGGTGGTCACTATGGCAATGCACTACAGGCAGCGGCCTACGGGGGGCATGAGAAGATCGTGCAGATGCTGCTGGACGGAGGGGCAGATGTAAACGCTCAGGGTGGTAGATATGGCAATACACTACAGGCAGCGGCCTCCGGGGGGCATGAGAAGATCCTGCAGATGCTGCTGGACGGAGGGGCAGATGTAAACGCTCAGGGTGGTGGATATGGCAATGTACTACAGGCAGCGGCCTACGGGGGGCATGAGAAGATCGTTCAGATACTGCTGGACAGAGGGGCGATATCGAATAAACGTGGTAAGATCACCCTCTTTCCCTATCCGTATAAGTAATAGATAGGTTCTTACCCAATCTTCAGAAACACCGCAAACCTCAGACGAAGAAAGCTCTTCAGAGTGATCACGCCATGTAAGTTCCCCCTTACAGAATCCACTGTAGCTCTCTCAGCCCTAATCAAGAGCTAATCGAGTATAAGTAGAGTTCACCCGGACGCTATCTGAAATGGTGGGGGTTCGTCGTCTGTTGAAGTATTTGATTTCATTTATTTTTATTTATTTTTCGTTTCTAAGATTAAAGATTATACGGGATTTATGAGAGCCAGAGAAACATGGTATTTTATTTACTTTTTTATAACTACTGTATTTCAAAAAAACACATCAAGACTGATCTCAACGCTTCAAAGCCTCTAACAAACATCGCACCGAGTGAGAAGCCATGAAGCAATGACAAGTGCACTCCAACTATATTTACCACTTCATGGAGGGTGTAGTTAGTATGAAGTTCAATTCAGTATCAATTCTCGTATAAGAATCCAGCCCAACAAGCTCACTACATTCCGAGCCCCACACGACCTTATCAAAGTATCGAGTGATAAACCATGACTTGTTGCCCAGGCAACAACAACCATCAAAGAAAGCATCTGCAACCACTACAGCGCGATCAGTATCAACCTCTATACACCAAACCATTCAACAAATGGCACTGGCCCCTCCCGAGCCCTTCCTCTATTCCGTAGCAAGAAATAATATACTCTATAATCACCCGCATATAACCACGACCCACACATTTCTAGAAGCATGTCTCTCAGACTCTCACAGCACAAAACTACATGCACAGAAGGAAAAATAAGATAACTCTTATTCGATCGATCCCAAACCCGCCAGCATCAATCAACCCACAGCCCCCTCAAGAATAATAGAAAGAAGAAAAAAGGCACCAAGCGCAGCTAATATAACCATGTATATATAACCGATTGTGGAAGGGAAGAAAAGAAGAAAAAAAGGGGGGTATGAGAACAGAATCCAAGGCGCAACTTATCGCTCACAATACCCCCCATGCACCAAGCCACCAAACATTCCCACTAGGGGGAAAAAAGGTTTGGGAAAGATAAAGGTCCACAGCTAAACTAAAAAAAGATAAAACGTGCCATTCGATCATGAAATTCAACACAGCTCGATTCCATAAACATGAAAGTAAAGCCGAAAAAGAAAAAGAAGAGAAAAAAGAGAGAAAGCAAAACCCATCCGCCGAACGCAGCCAAGAACGAAACCAAAAAAGAAAAGAAGAAAGAAAAAAAAGAGAAAAAAACAGTTAAAGCAAGCCAGGCCAGTAAAAAAAAAAAAAAAGGAAGAAGAAACCGCGCAAGAAAAGGGAATAAAGAGTTAGATAAACAGTTAAACAGTTACGATGCTTCCTGCGAAGGAGAAAAGAAAGAGAAAAGGAAAGGAACGGGGAAAAAAGATACTTGTGAGAATTCACTCCTTCTACCCAAATAATTTGGCCCTTTTAAGACCAGCACTGCCGTTACTACCACTGCTACTACCGACTTCCATCCATGGCAACCACTCAATACAGCCCCTTAGTTCTTCCCCTCATATCCCTTAGTTCTTCCCCTCCATATCCCTTCTACCTTTCTCCCGGGTATCTTCACGCTTCCCATAAACACCATGCCAGATACCCACACTACTACTACCATCCCGCATGCTCGCCCCATCCCCTCCTCTTCCTTCGCCATCATCCGCATCTCCATTTACGCTCATGCTCCTCCTTCTATTTGTTGCATCGTCATCTTCATCCTCCTCCTCCTCTTCCTCCTCACCCCTAACCCACGCACTATTTCTCCTGCTGCTCCTTCCCAAATTGACACTCTCCCTGTTTCCAATGATTGTCATTCCCGCGTGGGGGCTGCTACATAACGGGCTTGCTCCTGAGATTTCGCCCATGATGCTTCCGCTCCCGCCAGCATAATCCCTCATGCTCCCTGCATAACTCATACTCGCTGCATCTCCTCCCCTTGCAGTGGTGAACGACGTGGATCCGTAAATGCTTCCCCTGTCTCCAGCTATACTCCTCCCAGTGTCGAAGTTTCCCGATAACACCGATAGTGGGAGCGACTCACGCGACCCACCCCAGAGCGAGGATGGCGCAAGGGCACGCACCGATGCATCAGTGTCCAGAGAGTGGCGGCGCCGTCTTTTGGATGAGGAGGCCAAAGTAAGGATTGAAGCATTATCGGTCAGGAGACCACCAGCTGTGGCAGTGGAGTAGTTGAGAGGGTGAAGTGAGCCGTTGTTCATGGCCATCATTGGTCCTGGGCTTGTTGGCGGATTGCCGTTAGGGGACGAGGGAAACTGGTGCTGAAACAGCATTGGTGGAGCATTTGGATTATGGTGGTGGGATGGGTGTGGGTTGTAATGCGGGTACGGATCGAGCATGGAGCCTGGCGCGGTAGATTGGATTGTCGTGAGTGTTGTAGTGAGGGAGCGGACCGACGGCGTCGGGGAGGAAAATGCAGAGGTAGTTGCTGTCGTCGCAGTTATCGCGGATGGCGCGGGGCGGCCGCGGGACTTCTCCGATGGGGTTTGCGTGAGCGAGTGATCTCCGGATGTGTCAGAAGAGACCGAAGCCGTGCTAGACAAAGAGTGAGTAGACCCGTGATGGTTTGGGCCGAAAGAGATATGAGAGGGGGCCACTGCGGAGGCAGATGTAGAGGGGGGTCCGCTCGCAGACTTTCCGCCTTTGTAAGGATAGTTTGCAGAGAATGCCGATTGGCCAGAACAGGCAGTTGAGAGACCATTTGCGGTCCGTGATTGGGAGGAAGAGGAGGCACTGTTGGTGTGGTTCTTGAGAGAAGCGAGGCGCTTCATGAGGGAGCCGAATGGCTTGCGACCCTTGCGGCGTTCGGCATTCCCTATTAACAAGAGACAGGCATTATTAGCTACTATCGCTAGTGGGGTCTATTATAGCGAGTGAACCCTACCAGCTGCGACATTAGTCTCCGTAGCAGGAGCCGGCTGTCGAGAAACGTCAGTAGTCATGATGATGATCCTTCTTGGAGATATCGACGTATATCGATATAGGCAACGACACCGTCGAGGGAGAGACGCGGGTGGAGAGTACGGTACCAGCCAGCAATCGGTGGTGTGATAGTGTGTTTGCGACGAGCGGAGGAGCTACAACTTCCCGTAGACGGGACGGGCAGGGGCCAACGTCAACGGAAGGGCCAGTAAGGGGCGATGCAAGAGAGACTGATAGCGATAACAGCGGAGTAGTAGAATTTGTGGATGTCACACTGGCAGAGTGAGCAGCGAGGCGCGGCAAGGGAGTGCTGGAGATGGATGACAGCAGTAGTGAAAGTGTCGATGATGTGTACTAGTGTATGTATGCTGTATGTATGTGTGGTGGAGTGTGGTGTGGTGTGTGTGGTGTGTGGTGTGTGTGTGCAGTCCAGTCGTTTGAGGCGTGGCTGAGCGAGGGAGCATGAGTCTCAGTGTCGGCTGAATAATCAGCGATATCCGAGACAATCTCTTCTTGGCAATATTTCCATCACAGTCGCTCACTCGCAGTACTGGTATCGCGTGAAACTGGGAAATGGGTCATTGACATACACAATTTGGTTTTGACTAGGCCAAAGTCTGACAATACTACGTTACGGGTAACAATGATAGATGAAAAGGCTTTGTCATCGTTTATAGTTGTCCCTACTAGAATCTAATTACCCTTTCTTGTAGAGGCCGGTTTTATAGTACTGATTTACTTATCTCCAAAACGTATCCCTCGCCATGCACGACGGTCTATACACAACCACCGTGTACATAATCTTACTCTACATATAACCCACAGCCATGATGTCTCACTACATAAAGATAATCTCGTACTGGTGAGGTACGTACCGCATCCACCATTACATGGCCTGCCCACACGTGGACACCAGTCAATTACAAACTAAGACTTAAATAATTAACTACTTGTATATAGATAGTACATGTAGAGTAATACTCTACCTCCACTATACTACTCATAGCTGCCGTTTAAACAACACAAGACAATCAACACTCATACACAATGGTAACAAAAAGCACACAGGAGGAAACCGCGCCACTCTAGTTATTCCCCCTCCCACCTCCCCCGCCCCAAACCCTTGAACGCCCAGATATAAACAAATTCAACCAAACTTTGGCCAACATAACTCATTCATGACTATACTGAATTATCAGCGCATGAGAATGGCTTGCCACTCTGATCGTCGTGGATTGCCTTCCCGGAAGCGTAAAGGCCGCAGACCATCTAAACAACTTTCAGTGATGCCCTGTTAAGATCCACAGAAAAAACCACTTACGATAGTACCACCCATAAACATTATCGCCACATTGACAATAGTCAAAAATGTTTTTTTCTTGTTCAAAAATAGCTTTCCCCTATTCATATGGATCCAAAACCATCCACTTACACCATCTATCACCACTTCAGTAACCTAAGACATCGTATATAAAGGGTAATAGTCTACTCACAAGTAAACCAACTCACAAACAATGCACTCTATATACCCCATCAGTAATCTTTACGGTTCAAAGCGTAAGAGGGAGCTCACAATCAATCCTAGCAAGTTATTGAAAATTGGCACCGCGCTCGCAATAATCCACGCAACTACCCAAAGAACCGTGATAATCCCAAGCCAGACAAAAGTTGCATACCAGCTACGGCTTCCAAGATGATCGGATCCTCGAAATATCCGGACGTAAATGTATTTCTACCGTACCGCCATATCAGCACCTACAACCACAGGTCGGGGGATGAGAGGATACAAACAGCAGCAACATGTCCATTAATGACCCCAGCAATCACAATAGTGGGTATCGCAATGCCATAGGCAATCTTCTCTAGTAGCTTTGTGCTAGAGCTAAGGGCAGGGCTAGTCACATCTTCGCCAGTGTAACGGTAAATCACAACCGCAGCGGTAAGGTAAAGAATGGTATCGCTAATTTGTAGAGCGCATAATGCCTAAAGAATAGTTAGCAGAACGCAATAGGTGAAAAGGACCATGAAACCCAATACCTTTGGGTAATCGCGTGGGTCTTTCATCTCCGAGATAAAACTAAAGAATGCCAAATGTCCCGCTGTTCCCATAATCAGTTAACACTTGGTCACTCTAAACAAGCTCGACACTCTATCAGGGACGATGGTACCATATGCAAAGATGATATTGCTAACGGCTCCAAATGCCAAATAAAACGGAGTTCCATCTTCAGGTACCACAAGTAGTGTTGGCCGGTTACCTGACACCCCAACACCAATCATGGTGATAAACACGGCGCCAAGGATGCTTGCAAAGCTTCCAATCGAAAGGTAAGATACACTTTTCATAGTGCGTGGAAAAGTACATATGAGAGATATCAGGAAGCCGCAGATAGTAAATACTATAGTGCAGGCTCCGTGTCCGGTTACGACATTTAGCATGATAGAAAATGTGAGGATGTGAGAGCCCATTACAAAAACTACAAAAAACATTAGTTCGTGGTCAGAAGACGGACCTTTTTCATTAGGGGGTATATAAACCAAGAAACAAAACCTGGGCGGTTGCAAAAAGCTCGCGACCAAAACCACCCATGATGATTTCACCGGCTTCAGCAAAAGTATGAACTTGTGGCTTCAAAGACAACGACTACATTAGTTTCCTTTCTCAGAATTTGAAACACTATGGGTTACAAACATATCGCAATTTGAATTGGCCAAGAACGTAGCCAGTGTATGTCGCAATGATACCAAGCCCGATAATCAATATACACCCTCTGATAGAACACAGGGAATCTATGTCAACAAAATCGCAATTAAGTGACGAAGATATCCTCCCAGAAATACCTACGGTACGAGTCCAACTGCCTTCAAAACAGAAGGCAGACTGAGAATTCCCAAAGATATGGTTTCCGCGATCATTATCATGGCTGTCTGCCTGTTTGATGATTCCGCCCACATTAATAAACAAAAAGAAAAGAAAAGAAAAGAAAAACCACACAGCTCACAAACAATGGCATGGAATTCACAGAAAGACTTACCACCAGGTCATGGTCTTGAACTTTATGTCATTCCCCCCTTCGTTTCCAAAAGGATCACGATCTTCCGGTGTCATCCTGGCGCTGCCGGCCTGCCTTTGCCCGAGCTCAAGATAATCGTCGCCGGCGCCGACTTCAATCTTATCACTATCAACCATTGCAATTGGCGATAGATCTGTCGGTGTGTCTGATCTCGAAGGTGGCCCTTTATCTTCGTTCTGGTTATGTAGCTGTAATTCTGGATTATTTGTTGTTGTTGCTAAAATCATTTTTTTAATGGGGAAAGATTTTGTACTTGAACTTCATGTGATTCGACTGTGGGGTAGAAATAAGACTAGCCATTAGAAGGGCGGTACTATACTTGCAACGTATATATTAAATCTGGACGTTGACGTAGGTTTGGTAGCAATTTCCGCGCGGCAGAACCAGTTGCGAATTTGGTGTTCTTCTGTTCTTCTCTGGCTACGGTACTAGTGTGAACTCTTGACAAGCTAGCTAACTGCGTATGACATACATGTATTTTCCTACTAAACTCTAGCCTAATAATTACGTACTACGTGTATGCATGAACATGTACATCAGTTACTTAGGTATACATCTTAAGTACATGATTTCAGAGAGACGCAACAATTGAAGTCGATAAACCTTTTTATTCCTACATTATATACATATCTCTCTATTTGATTGTTACGAGCAACATAATCATAATCGTGAACAATAGAAAAACCAGATAAAATGGGACTAATATTTCAAGCCCCAACTTCAATATAACCCCATGGCCAATACACTGGCGCAGTCGTGGTGACCACAATAGACCAACTGTATTTGTCAAACCTTATCAGTTATATAAGTACGTATACTTTTCCCCCTCATATTTTGACGAGCATTTAAGTACTGCGGGGGTAGAGATATCTCCTATCTGCAGGTACATAGCTATAGTGCTTCTTTTTGTCATATTTTCTCGAAACTCGGAATACGATATGCGCGTGTCATTCTGCTATTATCCATGTATCCCGTGGATTTGTTCGTCTGAATTGACTGACCCCTCATTCAAAGGACACATCTCCAGATATATAATGATATTGTATTACATCATCACTGCCATATCACGGTACTACGATTGATCATTCCTACTCGCCAAACCACAAAAAACTAGTGAACCTCATATTATAGTCTTAGCTACATGTAATTAGTACGTCCGCACCCCTCTTCTCTCTTTTTTTCTCTCTTTTTTTTTCTACCTAGCACTACATGTATGTAGCTGTTGCATCCAACTTCACCAATTACAAACGCCCTAGCAGACGCTAGCGAGCTTCATCCATCCAAGCAAGGGATAGCGTTAAACCTATTGTTCTTGGACGCAAATCGATCATTGACCTCAACTAGTATACGATACCAAATCGAAAACACACAAGTATCTATATACTGCACTCATTATTTGCTAATCTTACAGTCCTGGGAGGATTAGTGAATGGTTCTTATAGCCTATAGCTACAGGGCAATTTACGAGAAGTCAGGGATTCCCATATAAGACATCCTATATATGCTATATGCGGTGCAGTCGCTATATATAAATATGAACATATATCCCTGGCATAATCCAGACCAGTAGTCCAAGTCCTTCTTAATACCTATAACTTATGATAATAATTCACATCGCCATTTCAAATACCTGCTTTGGGGGCGCTGTCGAGTGACGATTCCCCTACAGAAGTCACTACTGGCACAATATCCCTCAATAGGGCAGCAAGTTTTGCAGAGGGTTAGCCAACTATTTAATGACAAGCGACTGAGACAAAGCAATACACAATTGCTAAAACGGCAAAAAAAAATATAAAAAATATAAAGAAAAGCCATAACCACTCCCACAAAAAGAAACCCACCCCCAATCACACCTACAATTTCGCCTCCTCCTTCCTCACCTCCGCCTCCATCCACTTACTCGCAGCCCTCCTACTCCTCGCACACTCCACCTCACTCTCCGTCAACCCCTCGCCTCCACCGCCGGATTATACCCCCTCCCGCCCACCCTCTCCACCTCCCTCGTCTCCTCCACCCCCATCCTCCTACTCGCCCCACCATCCGCCCTCTTATACACCGTCACCACGACCGCTCCTCCCAGCCCCAGATTATGCTGCAACGCCGCCTCCACGCCCTCGACATTGCGCTCCCCCGCCTGGCCCCTCAGATGCCACACGAGCTCCGCGCACTGCGCCAGCCCCGTCGCGCCGAGCGGGTGTCCCTTCGAGATCAGGCCGCCCGATGGATTGATGACCACGCGGCCGCCGTAGGTGATATCGCCGCTGCGCACCATTTCGTGGGCCTTGCCGGGCGGGCAGAGGCCGAGGCCGTCGATGGTGATGAGCTCGTTGGTGGAGAAGCAGTCGTGCAGCTCGACGAGCTTGATGGAGGAGGCGGAGACGCCGGCTTCGGCGAGCGCGGTGATGCCGGCGCGCTTGGTCATGTCGTAGCCGATGAGGTCGATGGCGGACTTTGAGTAGAGGGAGGGGGCATCGCTGTTTGTGTGTGCGATCTGTTAGTGGTGCTGTTCGGACGCTACGTAGTAAGAATATGGTGGATGGGGGTGGGTTAAGCGTACGTATTCATTGACTGCCCCGCGATTAGGATCGCTCTCGCCTTCAGTTCCGGATGCGCCTCGAGCCACTTATGCGACACCAACACCGCCGCCGCCGCGCCATCCGACGTCGGGCAGCACTGCAGCTTCGTCAGCGGCGCAAAGATCTCCGGCGACTTCATGATCTGCTCATGGGTATAGACATCCTGGAATTGCGAATATGGGTTCCTCGCTGAATGCGCATGGTTGACCCTCGCGATCTCCGCAAGTCCTCACTGTCGCGCCGTATTTCTCCATGTACTCGCGGCCGGCGTTGCCAAACAGCTGCGCGGCACCGGGCTTCTTGGGCTCTATGCCGCGCGTGGCATTCATCATGATGTACGACTTGTCCATCGGCGACACGCGGTCGTTGAAGAAGCTCTGCAGCGGGCCGGGGAACATCTTCTCGAAGCCGACGACGAGGGCGACATTGGCGGCACCGTAGGCGAGGAATTGCCGGGCCATGTGCAGTCCGTGGAGCCGGTGGAGCAATTGTTGTTAACGTTATAGACGGGTATTTGTGTCATTCCTATCATTGGTATAGCGATATTAGACACCGCCGGCCTACTATGAAGCTGGGGCTTCTTCTGGGAATGCAAGGCACAAACCGAATTGGTAAAATACGCGCTGGCCGCATGTTGAGTCGCCATAGGCATAGCAGGCAATGCCCTGGTCAACGTCGTCGTAGTTGATGCCGGCATCTACCATGGCCTTGATGCCAGCCTCGAATCCGAGCTCTGGGTAGTCGACTTTTCCACGGGGCTTGATGAACTTTGTCATGCCCACACCAAGGACATAGACGGGAGCTGGACCTGAAGCCATTGTGACAGGTAAAGGGTATGTATTTACTGGTGATTGTGAGAACGCTAGCTGGTACCCTCTGATAAGGCTGATATCCAACAGCAGAGGGATATATATAGAGAGAGAGATCGATATCGATAGGTAAAATATGAGAGAGTTGGAGATTGAGAGAGTAATGAAGGGAGAGAGATGCTCAGTGTCTTGTGAAATAGCTACCTGTAGACAGTGGCGATTATAAGAGGACAGACAGCGAATAGCTATGCACATGTATTTATGCAGCAGCTGGCCATGGCTCGGTTGGCCGCATCCGAATCTGCGGGGGTGTGTGTGGAGTGGTGGAGTGGTGATGATCGATCAAAAAGACTGGGGAACGGGAAGGCTCGCTTACGGTTAGCTGAGGGTGGGGAAAGTGCGCAGGTCGAGAGAGAACGTGTGTGATCGATGGCTGCTGAGCCGAGGCTCGACGAGAGATCGCCATAAGTATGTAGCTACTTACATACAAATGTCAGGCAGCTGCATGTGTCTGTGTGTGCTCTTCTCTTCTTCACAGGCCATCACTCTGTCTTGGTTGGATGAATTAGTAGATTAGTATACATAGAGTACATACATCCTATGTAAGTAAGTACCTGTGGAGTAACACATCGATCCTACAGTCGCTCACCTACTGACGGCGGATCCTGTCTGATGGTTCTGTTTGCAGTAATTTGCCCTTGGCGTCCAAAACCTAACTCTTTTATTGGCCTCAAATCCCTGACCGCCATTAGACAGGATCCGCCTTCACCCGTGAGTGACTGTACATAAATCTCTACATGACCCCACAGATCAAACGCAGGCAAGCAGGTGGCCCCCATCCTTACACCTACATGCAGGGGTCGTTCGTTCGAGGATGGATCCGGACATATTTAGGCAGCTGGGATCATCGATGGGTGGGATCGAGGGAGCTAGGGAGGGCTAGAGTAAAAAAAAAAAAAAAGTATGTAGAAGAGTACGACGTAGAAGTCCATCATCTATAGAGAGCTATCCCATCCCATCCCCATCACCATCTCGCACAGTCTCCGCACCGCTGGTGGTCGCAGTTCTCGCAGTCAACCGTCGACATCTCTTCCTCGTTGCTACAGTTGCAGCATTTCCATATCGTAGCTGTAGTGCGCACGTACGGTCCTTCCCCGTCAACAACCACGAATAAACCCCATCGATCGAGCAAAAGGGGAGTTAGTCAATTACCAATAATCGGCAGCAGCGCCGGATACGCATCCTCGAGCGCGTGCTTGTGTTTATTTTCGAGACACATTCTTTCTTGTTGTCGACGACGTCAGCGTGCGAGATCCTCGCGGATACGGTTACTGGGGGACAAGAAGAAAGCATCAAGTCGTGGTTTTATAAACCATACACTCTGCTACTGACTAAGGGATATCCCCCCCCCCCCCCCCCCCCCCGCCAGTGTGTGGGTGACTAGATTTATGCAAGGCCCATCCACTTTGAAACAGGACCTTTCGCCTGTTCGGCCAGCATATGAGTCCAGCTGCAGCAGCCTGGCTAGAATCACGTGCTGCACTCGACTGTTCCTTTGTCTCTGGTGTCGATTGGATGGGCGCTACAGGCCAAGCTTTGAGGCTTGAGTGGGGGAGGCTCCAGGATCCAGGGCCTCATGAGGTGTTGTGAAACAGCTGCTGCGGTCTTATTGGCTGTAGGGCCTTACCTTTCACGTACAGCCTCCGATAAGATTATTGCATTGGAGAATCGCCTGTTCTCAGTGTGACCGCTGGTCCTTCTTTTCCACAATAATACTACCGGAAGCTGTATGTACTGTCATTTGCGTAGCTGAAATTTCTTGACAGTGTAGTTCAACCAAGTACTCCATGTAGAAAAAATGGCTATCTACATGTAGTAAGTAATGGATCTCTGCCTACATGAGCTGAGATCTTGATCGCGAACATTAATCAAAATATAAATCTTATTCAGGGCGTCGCGGTTTTATAAAAGACTGAAGAGAAGTACATGATTGATAATATAATTATTAACCAGAACGGAAGGAACAAGCTCATTTTATCGTGAACAAAGACGTTGTAATTAGACACGCCTTATCAAGACAACCCTTGACACAGTACTAATATTAATGACAGATAGCAAAGACTCTAAAGCAGCATTATCCGAACACGCTAGGCATCATACTTAGGGTCAGAACTGGGCGTTTAAATACTTAGCCTACAACTTTAAGAGATAGCTACCGGATCTCCATGCTGCGGTAGGTGATCACCGATACCTCTAGTCTGCCAGATCACTTATATGTCGAGTCCTATAATGACTAAACGCCGTCTAGGGACGTTGTCTATGCAGGAGCGATCGAGCGGGCATCTTGTTCCAGCAGACCTGGCCCAATGGAATCATCTCCAGGGCCCTGGCGGGTGCTTTAGCCCATCTATCATCTACCAATCAACTCGAACGGTCTGATCGATCCTTGATAGCTATCTATAAAACAGAGCTAATTATCATCCCGGCTCGGCGTTAATGAACCGCTCAGCTGTCTCTCCTCCCCAGTCGACGTACTGCCCGGAACCATGGCTCTTCAAACCCAATATGCTACACGGAATATAGTCCCATCACGCTCTACCTCTTGAGACAGCATGGACACATTCCCCGCCAGTTCGGTACACTATCCCTTGGACGGATGAAACTTGCACGCACTTAGTAAGGCAATTGTCTTTCTTTTTGCAGGTGATAATAATAATTGAGCCAATCAAAAATCAGCTATAGTTACCACATAAGGCTAGTGATAGCTGAAAGAGGGAAGTCGCGAATTTGCAGGTTTCATCCGTCCAAGGGATAACCCCATTTTCAGCCATCTGGAGCGGTAGTTGGTTTTTGCACTTGTTATACTTGATGCTAATTGCCCTGGTCATTTGGCTGTTGACAGCTACGGTCTAGATCTCGAGGCAACTTCACGCAGTGAGCGTTAGAGTGCCCCTCGTGGAAGTAGAGTTAGCCCGACAGTCCACTTTCACTTTCACCTACTTCTCAAGCCACTTTGAGACCGCGCCGCTCGTCAACCACACCCTCAGCCAGACTGGACGAGACATCATCTATTCAGTCGACAGGGAGTAGTTAACAAATTGGGCAGAACATAGATGGACAAGCCCACTCATCAACAGATAACCCGACTAGACACTAGTATCGTTGTCGCGGAATAATATAGCTGCTCGAGCAATCGTCTCCTCACATCTCCCCAGTCTCTAAGGACCACTGTTGGTGAATTCTGTTCCGGGCATTTTTGAACAGAACCAGCAGTGCGCTTTTTACAGCTCTCTGGTGCCGTTGAGATTTGGAAACTTACAGTGGCCTAGGTGGCCTATGTCATGGAATTAATGCTGGAGTTGAACCCTTGTTACCGGGGCCTATGACCAACTATGGCAGCGAAGCTGTGGATCTATGGATATATGAAACCTACCGTCCATTGGCAGTGGCAGTGCTAGAGAAGCCCAGCGGGTCTGTAAGCACAATCTGCCGGCAAGAAAAAACAGATCCATCACACTCCTAAACTCTTACACAAAGACACTGAGATAAAGCCAGTATTAACATTGGCAGGAAAGAATTGTTTGGCCCATAATTATGGATAATTATTGATATTAGGGAGATCATACTTATGATGCCCGTTCCGCTCTTCTGGACACTTCTGGAATTATGACGGACATATCTATGAATATCTCTTGGTATAAGGTTGTCCTTCCGTTACTTGGGTGAGGAAGTTCAGAAGCACCTGAATAAACACCCTACCAGTTCGGCCTTGTCTACACTTGCGCAATTTCTCCAGGAGTAATGCATGTATATCATGGTTCGAGGCATCTCAGCCTTGTGATAACGTTAATCATATACGGGAGATAAACAAAATCCGTCAGATCCTAAACCCAGATCTCAAACTAAGAGAATAAGTAAAAGGGATCGATATAAAGTGAAAAGATTCACACTTTTTTCTAGCCTGGGATTGAGAGCACCAGCGCAGAAGGATGTCCGCTGAATGGGCCGTGTCCTCAGATGGGCCAGAGCATAGCCTAGAACCGTTGTGGTCGTAGCGTTAAACATGAATTATCACTCGGTTTCGGCGTTTGGCATCCTACTTAGTATGAGGATCCAGGATCAATGTACAAGGCTGTTGACCGATTGATTTCTACGAGATCGACCGAGGGGAATTTTATTTACTTTTGATGGGGTGCTTTCCAATCTACGAACGCGACCGCTAGTTATAAAACTGGATCAATGAATGCATTGCCAGCCAGCTATGGCCACAAAATTCAAGACATTGAATATATAATCCATTTACAAAAAATATCTGAGGAAATTAAGGCATAAGGGTACGTGTATGCATCTACCAATTCTTTTAATGGTGCCTTTCTAATTAACACGCTTACAGAAAGCTTCGTTGATGCCTATTTACAGTTACTCGTAATTCGCGAGTACTTAATAGCTAGCTCATCCCGAAAATAATGCAGTTAACGATTATGGACTCTACTACCAGCCTATTGTTGCTGTCCTCAGCTAGCTAAAATCGATGAGTTGATCATGTCCGATCCTCGACTGGCTACTGATAAGCAATAAGTCAAGACTTAATATAAGACTGCAGCTAATTGGCGTGTTTTGGTATACACTGTAGGTGGTAGAAACGGCCATGACGGACATAATATTAGGTACATGTATGTTGAAGATAGAAAGTATGGCATGGGGGAAAGAATAATTTGGTAGAATGAAGGAAGTGAATTCCCATGTTGAGCGTAGGAAAGCAAGCCAGTAAACCTTAATTCATCTCTATTACGTACACGTTACCCGTTGAGGGATCTATAGGTTACGTGTAACTTAATACTAGTTCCTATCATTAACGAGCCACTCTCTTATGTTAGGAGGGATTAAAAATGAGAATATTATAATTTTAATTCTATGGGAATGTGATCAATGCAAGCAGCAATAAAAGTAAGGTTAGGAGATATTTTTACAATAGACATTCTTCTTAAATGAAATATTCGGGATTTTTTTCCTTACCCAATTGCTTTTAAGGGGGTTGATTCATCTATTTGTATTAATCACGAGTGAAGCTTGTTGTTCATTCAAAAAATAGAATTCTGTGGAAAGATGTCGAACGAACACTTGCCGATACCTTAGCTGTTACATGTACTTACACTTGTCATGTACATCTTACACTTAATCTTTTTTCTTTTAACCATTCAACTTATACCCAACACTTATTCTCACATCCTTCTTCTCCCCCTTTCCAACATCAATTTTCATCAAGTACTTCATCCACCATATCTCCCTCTGGCTCCAGTGTGAACTCACATCAATTTTAATAGTACAGAACTTGCATCAATAGTTAAATCATATCTCACTACACTACCGAAGCAGCAGAGACTGTCTTTGCTGGGTTACAATTCCCAACCCCATCCTCACCTTGGTGTCATCTAATAAACAATAAGTAAAATGATTTCGATTGATTGGATTTAACGGTATGAAGCCCCTTCACAAAGCACTATGTGTGGGTATCCTCTCGGTACCATCATAGTTTCTTTTGTGGGTAAACCATTTCAGGCACTGATATCTATAGGAAAGATAGGCGACTCCAACCTTTGGCTTGCTGGCTGCTGTCACCCCTTCTATAGTTTTTGTAAACTCACAATAACTTTCTACATTCGAGCAGCTGTTGCGATAGATTGCAATATGGGCCCTTCGAGGACAGGTATGGACAAATTATCTTTCTTCATCTTCTTTTCCTTTCATAGAAACTTATTACTTCACCAAATCACCATTTTGACTCTTATTGAAATAGAAGCCTGGGAAAAGCCACGCCCTATGACAAACAACAGTTGCAATAACAGTCACTACATCGGGCTGATTTCTGGCACGATGGATACAGGGCCAAAGATTTTAAGTAGTAGGACGTGAAAATACATGAAGTTAAGTGCGCCAATGATCCAAAACCGTTGAGGCTCTTGCATGATTTAAGTGCCGCTACTTTCACTGATTCATCTACTCCGATCCTGTAGATTCACCCACAGGCCTAACTACCACAAGCCAATCTACTCCCCAAATATATCAGATAATCTCTGCGCCGTTAATGCGGCCTTCGATTCGTTGGATAATCTGTCTTAAATATTCCATGCAGGTTTCTGAGTCGAGTGATATATCATGCACAAAACCACACAAGTACCAACGCCATCTTCCTCCTCCATGTCTTACCCGTGCCGGCGCCTGGCATCTACTAATTTTCTGAAACGGCTGGAGCGCTTGAAAGCTCAGATACTCTTGGCAAACGGGCCAGAAAAGTATGCACTCAATTACTTGTCATTTCTTGGCAAACGAGAGAGACGTATGAGTTAGACCAGAAATGGTTTAGCATGCGTGTGCCAATGATCCTGGGAGTGGATTACTGGGACCTTTGGAAATTTTGGTGCACCAAGAACATCACGGCGTTGCCGTGACGTCAATCGTGAGTATATACGGAAATAATGCCAGCGATCGTTGAACTGAGTTATATATCGCCAGTTAATTGGCAGAAACACTAGGAAAAAGCAATTGAAAGATATGTAGGTCGAAAAAGTCCAAAAATATCTGTGATAAGGGGCTAACTACTGAGCCTGTAGGTCGACATATACTTTGTGCGTTATCCCTTGCCTCTGGTGGTGGGTACGAGGGGCCTATGGATGGCCATATGTTGTAGGAATCTCACATCGATGAGCATTTCTTCCTCGGGCGAGCGGGGTGAGGAGAAGGTTTTATTATGATTATCTTAGAAATCGACCGGAGTTGAGTACCCGGTCAATGATTGAGGGACTACACTCTACGAGGCAGGCAGACAAGACAAGGTCTTAAAGAATATGCGGAAAGATTTAAAATGGACATCCTAACCGAAGAACAAATCATTAACCCGTCCAAATAGTAATTTATGTTGTCTCGAAACGTCGATAAAAACGGCAATCATCTCCCAGGATTATGACGGTGGTGTTGGGGGGTGTTTCCTTTCAACTCGGCATATCCTATCCGCCCGCTCGCAGGATCAACAATGAGCTGCGCTAGGTACAGCATCAAGGATCGCCCCGGGGGGGGGGGGGGGGGGGGGGTTGGATTGATGGCTGTTCTGTCATAAAGCAGCATTGTCTGGTTCGCTAAGGATTTCCTCTTTCTCTGTATCCGGTAATTGTTTCCTTTACTTTAATTTTCGGCCGGCGAGTTTATGTGTTGAGTTGACAGGTTATTACTCGTACGGTAACGGAGTGCCGATATTCAAACTGTAAAGTTAATCCTGGAGGCATCGGGAAGGCCACCCCAAACATGGTATGATTGTCATTACCACGCCATCCCGGCGGGTGGCTGCTTTTGATCGCCGCACCGTCACTCCACTTCGCAGAGATGGCATAGTACCAGTACTCCTGTACCCTGCCTCGAACTGGAACAACCTAACTAGGATAGGTGTCTCGGTACAAAAAAATTATCAGCACAGCAAGTTTTATTTGGTTCTGATATGTACCTCCCAAGACAACACAATTCCAGCTCCCACGTAACTGGAGTAGGAGTACATGAGTTGTGATGACATGTCAAATCCCGGGATCAGTCCAAATCCCATTTAACCAACCAACCTAATGAAGCATATTTCAAACCCTAGAGAAAAGAATGGAATTAATAGAGCCAATCTAAAGATAGGTAAATTAAAGCACACAATTTTATACTCCCGAGAGAAATTCCGCAAAGCCAAGAGATTCGAGAAGAAAGCCCAGAAATTCGAAGGTGAGAAATCTAGCCAAGTAAAACGATCAAAGCAAAAATTCAAAGCTAATCATCCCAATCATTCCTCATAACAGACAGAGACATGCAGTAAAGAATGGACTATGATTTTTTTGGAAAGAGCTGAAGGTACCTTTGTTCCTCCTTCCCCACACTTTTTCAATAACCCCATCTCTTCCTTCGACCTTCATGAAAAAGAAAACTCCACGTGAGTATATACCCCTAAATGAAAGAAAATATGACACAAGAAGGGAAAAATTAATAGTTACAGCGAATGATCATTCAAAATACAAATCCTCACAAAACCCCATACGCACCCTGCTACACCAAAGCTTCTCCTATACCCATAAGCCAGATGAAAGGTAAAAACAAACGTAATAAAAAAGAACACCCGAGACAGATGGGAAACGAAGAATTATGCACTAAGAAAGTCCAAGTAGATCCAGTCCTTGTCATGAAGAGATAAAAAATGAAAAATGCATCAACCTTCGTCATGAGAAAAAGAAATAAGACAAAATGCCACCAAACATACCCCAGTTATAACACAAGAAAAGTCCCTCCCACCTTCCCCCCAAAGCAGAAAAATAATAAATAAAAAGAAAACCCTTATAGTACCAAGATGCAAAGAATCCCAAATGCAAAGCAAAAAAAAAAAAAAAAAAAAAAAATCGAGCCCGTGAATAAGGCAAATATCGGTATATGTTAAAATCAAAGAAATGTATGTTGTCGTATCACTCGGTCACTGTCTTCTCTTTGGTCCTTCCTCGCTGACCGCTTCTCGAGCTCTTCTCTTTCACAGTGCCACTACTGCTTCGGCTTCTCCTCCTGGTAGGTGGAGGAGTTTCGGCGGGACGGTCAATGGGCTTCCGCGAAAGCTCAGCCACAGTGACACTTTCGCTACGCGGCTTGGTGGTCTTACGCGGCGGCAGCACAAAGCCCCCGTCACTCTCCTCGCCCTCGTCACCGCCATCATCCTCTTCATGAGCAGCTTCGTCTACTTCCTCATCAATGTCGAAATTTGGGTAGTTATTAAAGTTTTCGCGATAAGGGGTTCCTGGGCGCTCTCTGCGCAGGTATTCATATATGCCGTTTTCTTCCTCCATCAGACCGGCAATTGAATTTTTACGGGAGTATCGACTATAGTAATCACTGCTGATCGAGCTGGATTCAGAAAGAACACTGGGCACTGAGGGGAAACTTGTCGAGTTTGTCAAACTGGAACCTGCAGTTGTTGCGAATTGTTCCTCACTCGAGGATGACACAAGATGATCTGGATTTCCATGGTGCGGTAGCACCGATGGGGCCACATTATCATCAAAAAAGCCGCTCCGGACTTTACCATCGATTGCAATGGGTGGTGTTGGCGAATCCGTGGTTGAGAAATAGTAATTTTCCTTTGTCCATCCAGGTGCAACGTTAGAGCTCGGTTGCGAGTACCTTTCCCGTTCTTCAACGCGAAGCATCCGCTTCTGCTGGTCTCGACGCCAGATACTCTCCATAGAAACATTATCGTCAGGGCTAGGAGGACAAGGCTGATCTTCATCTACTGCTAAAGAACTGAGTTTACGTCTGACTTCCTCTGCTCGGCTCATTCTGCTTCCTCCCGGTGAAAAACGAGGCGATGAGTCTAGTGGAATTGTGGCTTCGATTTGCTCGCAAGTATATGAGTGCCGTCTATATTGGGGAATCTGCACTTGCAACGAATGATGTGCATATGCATAGAAGGAATGATCGCCACGCAAATGTCCAGCAAGTGCATCTCTAGCCCTCAACGGGCTCCCTTCCCTGCTAATAGGATCTTTCATTCTATCTCCATTCTCAGAAGATAATCCACCACTTCTCATTCTGCCCACAATCCTTTTCACATCCCTAAAGAGTCCCCACTTCCGTGCTGTGGTGATGCAACAGCTGGTGCACTCTCACCCTTGATATCACTAAACCGAGAAGTTGAACTTGTACTTGGTGAACGATGACCAGATCCCGACTCACTATGCGCATGACGTCTAGGCGTAGCGAGAAGGTTGATGGATGGTCTTCGCCGTAGCTTGCGTCCCTCATACCCGGGGCTAGTTTTCGCATTAGGGCTTGGTGTATCTTTAGAGTTGTTGTCATGACTAACCGGCGGCTGAACGGTATCAGTAGATGCAGTGCTTCCAAAAGTTGTCATCGATGGACGACGCTCCTCATTCCATGTCGGAGCGCCACCCATCCATTGCAGTTCCTTTTCGTCGTCATCCTTCCACGGATAATAACCTTGCAGGTGTTGCTGAGCATCTTCCGGGTCCCATTTACGCTCAGCCCTTTTTTCCTTGGAATCCTTGAAAGAGGTGGTTGAGGTCGTATCGGCTGTGCTGCTAGCCCTTTTACGGAGCCCCCTGTACCATGCCCCAGCTCTTTTCATGGCACTGCGAGCACGGTGAAGAACACCGGCACTGGACACGGCCTTTTCGACATCCTCAACACTGACCTCAATTCTGTTTCCATCAGAGATCCTCTCCGGATCGGTGTCATCCACCCATGCACAAGGGTCAGTGATTCCATGAAGAACCCAGGGATGTCGCTTAACCTCTTTCAAGGTAATTCGCTTTGCTGGGTCTTTGATGAGAAGACGTTTCAATAGATCCTTCAGATCCTCATCAACGAGCTCGGTCTCCATCTCGAGAAGCTCTTCAGCGGACGGTGGTGAGGATTGAGCTCCAGAGCGTTTTAATTTCTCGGGTCGAATGCGGCGATTAGGGATCATTAATTCCTCCTTGGCGATAACTTTTAACAACTGAAACTCATTGTCCGCCATAAATGGACAGCGGGCAAACAGTAGGCAGTACAAAGTGACGCCTAGAGCCCACACATCAATCGCGCTCGTGATTTGAGGGCGTGGCCCCGTTGGATCTGTAAGTAATCAAAGTTAGACTCCTTAAGAAAGGTAAAGACACTATCTGTAAAATAAGAGTCGAAAAATAACAAGACCATCCATGTAGCTATGAGATATTGAAATTAAGAGATAGCTGCCTGAAAGGAAAGAAAAGAAAAGAAAACTTGGAAACCAAGAAGAAAAAGGCTATACACACCAATATGGCACAACTCCGGAGCGAAGAATGCCGGGGTCCCAGCAGTTTTGGCAAGCTCGATATCGTTCTGTTCCAGACCTGTGGGCTCTTCATCCGCGCCGGTACTTTCGCCATCGTCATCATCCCTAATTGGTCTTCCAAGGAAGCTTACACCAAAGTCGGAAATCTTGACACGATGATCTTTAGTCCATAGAAGGTTGGCCGGTTTGATATCACGATGAATGATACCATGGTAATGTAGATACTCAAGGCCAAGTACAGTGTCGCGAAATGTACTACGAGATTGCTCGATGGTCAACGCGGGAATGTAACGCTGGTCATCTGCACAATCCCTGTCGGAGTCACTATCGGAGGAGTAGCCGGTCACAGAAGGGGGTAGTTGCTCGGTTTCCGAATCCAAAGGAGGTAAATCGGCCGAAGAGGTAGGTGGGAGTTTCGGTAGCATCGGGGGAGGGGAATGCTGTTCGGACTCCTCAGAATCCTCCGAAGGAGAAGCAAACTCCAACGACCAGAATTGCCCTGTCTTCCTTCTCCTACGCTTCTTTTTCTTGGAAATATCAATCGCTGCCATTTCACCTCTTTGGGCCAATTCCCTTGACTTCCTAGTGTCTGCGAATTCTCTACGCAACCGCCGGCGCTCCCTACTCAGAACATCCGGATCTCCTTCCTTTCTCCAAATTATCTCGCCCAGCTGAACATACTCCAAGATAAGGTAAACCTTCTTGCTTTGCGGGTCGTCGATAACTTCAAGGAGCCGAACAACATTCTCATGGCGACATTTCTTCAAGATGGCGATTTCCCTCCGGACTTTCTTCTCTGACTCTCCATCGCCACGCCGGCCAAGCCGAGGACGCCCCTGCATCCGTTCAACGATCTTGATCGCTACCAGCTCACCAGTCTCGATGTCTGTCCCAAGCTTAACCTTGCCGTGAACTCCACGACCAATCTCATCTATTATCGTGTAGTGATTAATAATTTTGCGTCCGGAGATCGGGTCGAAGTCAAGTCCCAGCACATGTGTTTCCTTGACAGCTGGTGCATACTCTGTCGCCTGCTGTCGGTATTGTGACTGGATAGGGTGTAGATGAGGGCCATTTTCATATTTCCGTGGGTTCTCCGGAGGAGGCGGTGTGTATAAACTCGGTGATGAGACAGGTGTCGGGGGGGTAGGATTCCGGCTGTGACCTGTGATGTGATTATGTAGTGACCAGATAGAAGCTGTAGAAGTATGCCTAGATGTTGCAGCGGATGTGTTATTTGAGTAGTTGTGGTTTTCCATTGTGCCATACAAGGGCGAGTTGGCTTCACCGTGACATGCCCGGGAAGCGGTTTGTGGATGATGTGTGATATTAGAAGATGATATTTGTGTTGAGTTGTTATGGCTTTGTTGTTGATGGTGATTCTGCTGCTGCTGTGGAGGCAGAGGAGGATGGTTGTTATTATGATGGGGGGTGTTAAGGTGGGAACTCATCGTGATGCCCTTTTTGTCAATGGCATCCTGGGGATGAACAGGCTACAAGAAGGGTCCTGGGGTTTCCTTTTCTTTTCTTTTTCTCTATTCTATTCCTGGGGGGCAATGGAATTCGGAGGGTGTACGGGGAGAGATCAGACGAATAGAGGTTGGGGGAAGCGAAAGAGGGGTTAGCTGGTTAGCCGTGGAGGCGGACTAGACGGGAGAGAGAGCTTTGGTGCGACCGGTGGAACAGTGGACGCAGGTGGATGTAGAGAAGTAGGTATGTAGAGTGGTGGTGATTGTAGTAGTAAGGTTTGGTTGGGGGTGGGAGGGAATATGTGTGAGTGAGGAATATGTGGTGTGTGAGAGTACGAGTATGTATGTGAGTGAGTAGTGTGTGTGTGAGTACTGTGTGTGTGTGTCTGTACAGGAAGAGCAGGAGGATGAGGAGTTCGGTAATCAGGGAAAAGAGTAGGGTAGGTAAGGTAAGGTATGTTAAAGTATGTGGGCAGACAAAGGAACGGAGTTTAAGCTGTAGGTGAGTGGGCAAATAAGCGGAGGGGAGTGGCGGGTGAGACACTCTCACGATGATTGTGGAAGCGAGTTTTTGGTCAGTCGGGCGTGAAAATGTGGAAGTGGAAGCGGAAAGCCGCCGTGCTAGTGGATGGGGTGGGCCCCTTCTCCTTCTTCCCCCGAACAAGATACAGGGAGTGGAGACGTATGTGTGCAAAGGGTAGAGGTTCTTCTTTTCTGGAGTATCTGCGGGCCAGGGTAGAAGATGAACAGGCAAGTTATGAGAGTAGACGGAGAAAAAGAGAGCCGTAGGGTGAGTACATACAGTTGAAGAAAGGCACAAACAATAACAACGGTAAACTACTCAAAGCTAACTATTGGTACTATTACAATTAAGATAGCGGCGATACCCTTAATAAGTTTATAAGTTAAGCCCTCAGCGGTGTGAGTGGGAGTGGCAACAAGAAAAGAGAGAAAAACTACGTAAGGCCTGTCTTCTTAATTCACTCTGGAAGGAAGGATCGAAGAAGGTCAAGGTAGCCGTGAAACAAGAAAGGAAAAAAAAAAGATTAGTTCAAAGGAAATATTATTATGTGCCCCGCGGGCGGCAGAGAGATATTTCACAAAAGACTGCTTTGCTTGCAGTAAGTACTTCTCCGCAGATAGCCCCTCCCAAAAATTATCGTGAGATTATGCTTTGAGGTGTTGAGCGTCTTTTCCCTTCCCCAACCGTTTTCAGCATTCGTCAGCGATGTCTCTCCTTCCTCTCAATTGTTGCGTGCGTGCTGCGTGTGTGTGTGGCATCATATCTACTGGGTGTGTGTGTCTCTATCTCTCTATCTCTCTCATCTCTTCTCCACCTCTCAATCCAACTCTCTCACTCCTTCACTCTCTCTCTTCCTTGCTGCGCGCAAAAGAGGTTCGAAACGCTGGGGGCGAAATCCCGATCAAATCGTTTGGGGCACACCACACACGCAAGCCAAGATATCTGCACATTAACAACCCCCTCCCCTGCCCACTACTGTATGCGCGAAATAACTCGTCGGAACCGCTCTAATCCTCCTTTGGCAATTGATGCCCGCCCATCATTGGTCCAACAGGCAAGTAAAAAAGCTCCCTCGCAGATCCCCTTCGTGAGCGATGGAGTTGCCAACCTACATACATACATACATGGCCGGTCTACAACCTCTACTTACTCTACCTACCACCGATGGGCAAAGGTCTGGGTAGATACATGTAAAGTAGGCAGAGTACCTGTACCTGTAGACATGATGTTGACATGTTATTACTCTACCTCCTTCTCCTAGCTATGATGGAGGCGGTAGACCCGAGTGCCGCTCATTCCACTAGGTTTTATAATTTACGGTGCTCAACGCTCCGTTTCCTCGGAATGGAAGCTTTGCTGTAGAGCTGTCTGCCGGCGTAGTTGCCGCACAGCAACAAAAACCGCTCGGTGACCGACCCGCTATAAGCGACGCCTCGGCGATTGAGGCTCGGTTTTGGCGGCTGGCATATCACTCAAGCTTGAAAGATCTACTCTAGAGTTGTAACGTTACTCTACCTACATGTACTTGTGCTTCTTCTACTTCTGCTTATGCTTCTGCTTCTTGGATAAGCAGAGCAAAAGCAAGAACAGAACAGCGGGGCGGCGGCGGGCGTTTCTAGAGGTATGTAGCTGTCTCGGTTCGGAGGCATCATCCAGAAATCCCCCCCGCCGCGAAACTCATGCCGAGAGAATTCAAGGTCTTGCTCGCCAGTTATGCGCAATTGTCTGGTTTCCCCCCTACACTTCTACTGCAGAGTAGCAGTACTCTACGGAGTACTCTACTCTCAACCAATCCCAATCCTTGCCTTGCCCTGTTTCTCATATAATAATTCCTTTTTCCTTCACTCGCTCTGCAGGGATCGGACCACTTATTGCAAGTTGCAGTGCAGCAGCAGAGTAGAAACGGACATTCTTTTTCTTATTTACTCTCTCCCTCTGCGAGTCTACTCTACTCCGCCATACTTGCTCTACGGTGGTCTACCTGTCCGAGCGCGTGTGTGTGAGTGCGAGTGGGTGTGGGCGAGGATGTGTTTTTCGCTTAGTTCCTTTCCCCCCCTCCAAAACCAAACCAAAAGAAAAGAAACCCGCCGCCTTCTTTTTTTTTTATGAACCTTTCTTTCCTTCTTTTTCACGATAACCGTTGGCGGTGAATGATCAAGGCAACAGGCAATTACGAATATCCCAGCATGGCCTCTCTCGTGCCTCCTCCCAATATCCATCCCTTCCACTTCCCTTTTCCCTTTTTCCCCAACCCCGGCGCGGCCACCCCCGAGTTGATCATGAATCAATTGAACTGTCTTTGTCTTTGTTCGGCAGTTCCACCACCAGCGCCAGCCAGCTCAATTGCTGTCCTTTCTTCGTCACGTACAGTAACGTACGGTCACGGCCGGCCGAACCACCCACCACAATACCGTGCGCTGAAACCATTTTAAAAAGTATAACGAACCATGAACATGGCATGGGGGGGACGTGGTAGGTCACGTAGCTATTTCTTCGTCGACATGTTGCCTAGAAGTACTCTATAATACGAACGCAGTAGGTAGGTACATGTAGAGTACTTCTACTCTAGACTCTAGATCACTGATCTAGAGTACGTAGAAACCCCCATGCCATGCCCTCTCTCTGGAGCAGCTCATGCGTGGCAATTCGCAGCGGGGGGGGGAAGAAGAAGGGAGGGGATATGCGAGTACAGTTTCGCGGCCCCATATTTGGTTCCATATTTGGTGGCCCATATGAGGGGGTGTGCTAGGAAAAAGCAAATCTCACGATGTTTTTTTTTTTGGTGTGTTGTTGTTGTTCGTTCGGGGATAAGGAGGGAGGGAAAAAAAAGTGATGCACACAAATTAATGTGTTGAACAATATTCACCGAGGGTGAAGTCGGGATTTGAGCATGCTCGCACAGCTAGGGGCTACGCCTACGCCCCCCCTAATTCTTTGAAATCAATCTATGCCACTCACCGCTTTTGGTTTCATACCGACAGCTGGCTGGCTGGTCTGGCTGGTTAGGCTAGAGGGAGTGAGTGGGTGAAGGAGGTATCGTGAGTTTTTGTCTAGGCGTGGGTTTTTGTGAGTGTTGTGGTTTTGTGGGTGGGCGGTGTGTTCCCCACGCACACCACACATTAACGCAATTGACCTACGGCCGGCGCCTTCTCTGTCATTGACACTCACGAAATCCCTCGACCTCCTCATCCTCCTTCTTCGTCTGTCAGTAAAAGCCTGTTTAACTATCTGACTAGCTAGCCAACCAGCCATATCGACAGTCAGATAGCGATGAAATAATGATTCCACGATCCTTACTTTGGGTGTTATTTATGGTGCCCTCTCTGTCTACTCATGATCACTCACTCACCCTCACAATTACCATCATATCTACCACATTGCAATTCGAATTCTAGATTCCACCACGCCCACCGCCGCGGACTCCTACTCTCCTACTGGCCGGTTACAATTGGGCTGTTGCAACGTGGTACACGATACCTACCATCGCCGGACCAGGCCATCATAATATATACATCAAAACCATAAATATCACAATAATCGTGAACCCTCCCTGGGCTGCGGTGAGTGGGAGAGCATGTATCAAACGCCTCCTCTTTCTCTTTCAAACTCGGCTCTTATTTCCAGCTTGGCAGCACCATATTTTAGGTTGCTTTTGATTCGCGAATCTCCGGATTCTCCGTTCACGATACCTAGTGTAGATTATGTACTCCACTACTCTATATCTACACTACCGAAAATCTGCCGTAACGTACGTACAGCGAGACTTTGCAATTTGTAGGTAGGAGTGTGAGGTGAGAGATGATGTCCTTAGGTAAAGCACCCCAAAGTATCTGGAGAAAGGGCAGAGTAGAAACAAGGCCGCCGGCGCCGGGCCGGGAGGAAGCATAGCATGGCATGGCATAGACAGGGCATTGTAATATGCATCTGTTTTACGTTGCGTTTCTGGAGTACGGCTCCAGGAAATGCAAAAAAGAACAAATGCAAAACATCTACCGGCACCAAAATATTGACATGACAATACCTTGAATTTCCATATTTGCGCTGCGCGCTGACTGCAGCTGGAAAAGAAATGCAGAAAGTGGAGTACATACACGTACTCTAGTGAGTGGTGGAAAATAAAAAAATGAACTTTATTTTCTTTCACCTCGATCTCTTTTGAGTATGTACGGGCCTTGAGCGTCTATCATCGGATATGATTGTAGGCTGATGAGATGCCCTCAGTCTGGGGAAAGCACCTACTTTTACAGTTCGGTAGAGCACCCTACCTTTACCCAACCCAGGGTCGTCGCACAAGAGTAGAGCATGTCATATCCCCAAGCAGCTAGACTACTCTGCTCGTAGCACCAAGCAAGCAGCACGAGCAGCCCTTGCATTGCATCCATCTCCACAATTGTCGAGGGTCAGTTTGGTTAGCCTTCTTCCATGGTCTCTCCTCCCATGGCCACCCAAAAGTAAAAAAAAAAAAAAAGAAATGTGAAAAAGAAAAGAAAAATGTATTTTCGGTAACTCCACCACCGAAGTGTGGAGAAACCAGAAACCTGAGAGAGAGAGGAAGGAGGTAGGGAGGGAGGGGGGGATCTAGATTTCGGGGCGGGATATAGATTTTGCGGAAAAGATGGTTCTTTTTTTTGTTTACTTTTTTAGAGGTCACCGCCGGTACGTTCCGAGAGGTACTGGCCATGGTGATACAGTATACTGATGATCAATGGTACGGAAACGCTCGAGGTCCGGAAGTGGAAGGGAGGTCTACATACAGAGGGAGGAAATGGAGGCTCGGGTTCCGTTGGGTCTGGCTGGATGTCTGGAGCGAACCTGAGATTCCGGAAGCCTTGGCAACGTTATTAACAAAGACCTCAAGCCTCAAGTCACAACGAACGAGTGAGGCACACGAACGCTTAGTCCAAAGTCCGAATCCGTTCCGTTTGCGCAACTTTCTCCTCTCCCGCCATCCGTCCATCCTAAAAGTTTTTCCGCGTCCTCAAAAAAAAAAAAAAAAAAAATGTCGTGTGGGCCCGCTCCCCCTCGTCCGTTTCAACTGAACATGATGGTCGTTGGTGGATGATGGTGGATGTGTGGAGTAGAATGTTTGATCTCCGATGATGTTTTTTAGCCCACGCTCTCGCGTCATTTTTTCTGGAAACTCCCGGGAGGGAGGGACCTTTCTTTTTTTGTGCGTGCGATCGACCTTTCCCGCCGCGCACCGGGATGGATGGATGGATGAGGGATGGATGATGATGGGATGGGATCGACGGGGCGGCCGGGGGGAGGAGAAGGGAGGGGAGGGAGGGGGTTGTGTTTCTAAGGACACACTGGCACAACGACAGCGATAAAAGCCCGCAACACAATGCAACGCAGTACAGAGTTAATCCGCTCTTTAATTCTTCAGATCGGTGCCAGGGGGTTAGAGGAGGGAAAATGGTAAGAAAAAGGGGGGGGGGGGGGTTGCACCGCCGCACTGCACTGCATTTGAGTAAACAATTGCGGGAGAAACAAACGGAAAGAAACACAAACAACCGTTAACTGACATGACAGTCAGTCCTACATAGTGACAGCATTCAGACTGAGGGCAAAATAATGGAACCGATAGCGATACCGATACGCGACCCCGGCCACTTCTAAACTTTTCCTTTTTTTCTTTATGTTTTTGCTTGCGGTTTTAAAACACAGCCAGCTGCCGCTGCTGGATCACGATTCACGATTCACGACCCGCGAAAGTCAAGATAAAGATAGCGAGAGTGTGAGTGTGAGGAGAGTGGGGAGGAGAGTGGGAGGATAATCGGGCCAGATCTACATAGATATATATAAAAATTTAAATCGCGAAAAACCACAAATCTCAAGATACGATTCCCGCTCCCGGTCCGCGTGTACTCTAGGTCGCCGCACGTAGAGTACCGTAGCTAGCTCGAGTAGCATACCTAGCCCTCCTACCTAGTTCTTGGACCCTTCTTCACCCCGTATCACTCACTCTCACCCTCTATCACTCACCCTCAGTCACCCTGCCCCGAGATCCTCCGTAAGGCTCCGGGAACGCCCTACCCACATACAACCAGAACCCTGATCTCCCCCCCCCCCCACCCCCCCTTAGCTCTCTCTAGCCTCCACTTTGCATCTGTCAACGGGGGCGATAGAGATATGTCGGTACAAGCAAATTATCCAATATGACGGCGAGGCAGGGCAGGTGCGGGCGGATCATCACCATCCAACCGCGGTATCGGATACACTTACAGCAGTTTTTTTCCAACCAAGGTAGAAAGATATCAAAACACACACACCCCAATTAACCCCTAATGCTATGCTATGCCATGCCATGCGATGTGATGCTATGCCGGTGGATTGGGGGTGTGCAGGCGGTAATTAAAAAAGATATGGTATGGTAGCGGAGTAACTATTAATCCTTATAAATTCTGCTCTATATATGTATTAATGACACCTTACCCTAGCCATGAAGCTGCAGGAGGGACTCCGGGGAGGGCGTTTGGACACGACTCGAGCGATATGTTTGCTGTTATGCCCTCGCTCGCCATGCCCTGCATTCCGTTCCCGCGTACGCTCGCGCGAGTGATAGGTAGAGTAGATATTCACTCGGCCATGGATATAGAGTATAAAGTATAGATACATGCTGGGGTCGCTGATATAGATTCTCGTATATAGGGTAGAGCCGGGGGTGTAGGTAAGAAGGCTGCGACTAGCATAAGGCGTGCGATAAAACACGGTTTGCATAATCCTTCTCTCTCTCTCGCTTTCCATACGTCCAGGCCATAGCCATATATCTGCTGCAGAGTAGGTAGGGTAGGGTAAGGTAATATCAAGTAGGGACGTATTATTGTAGGTATGCATATATGCCACCCTACTGACTGACTGACTGACTGTGTAGGTACTTCTGCTACTCATTGCAACTCCGGTTCCAACCAACCAACCAACCGTGGCCAGCAAGGATCGCTGGTGGGCCAGGGTGCGCGAATCAGGTACACATCCACACCGCACGGAACGTTCCGTCTTTTCTTTTCTTTTCTTTGTACCTGTGTAGAGCTGTAGTTACTGTAGGAGGAACTCTAACAGCACATAGATACATTACATGATATGATGAGAATATGTAACTCTACGTACTCTGCGTGTGATGATAGGTATTGTATATCCGCAGCTTGCTCATCATGTAGGTAGAGTTACAGAAAACGCCGCGCGTGGGCAATTGGTAGGCCAGGGAGGATGGTCAGTCCTGGAATCAATCTCGGCAGGGGAAGAGGGAAGGGGGACGCTGGAGGTATGTAGGTAGGTACTTTATCTTGATAGATAGAGAGATACCGATAGATAGATTATGTAGATATTACACTACTCTAGAAGTAACTACTCTATAGTAGAAGTACCCTACATACCTCTACCTATAGATAGTACCTGGAGCTAGTACAAATAGCTGGCTGATCTGATGATCTGATGGCCATGGACCTGGCGCAGACAGCAGTTCTGCAGCGCAGGCCATATTCTTATCTTCTACTAGCCTAGTGGGTCCGGCGCCGGGTCCGTGTCCGGTCCAAAGTCTTCAATTTAGTTCTTGATTCTGTACCGGTGGTCAGTGGAAGAGTAAGAAGCTGCTGGTACGTATGACTGTATGTACCTACTGTTCCTCTAACTATTGGAATAAGGTGTATGTAGTCGTTGTTTTTGCGCTAGGTATCTCTTGAACCTCCCAAGTAGAGCAGATCTAGATGTATCTGTAGCTGTAGCTGTAGGTGTTAAGCAAGTTTTTCCGTCGCAGCTGCCGTCGCCGTTCGACATTGACTAAGGCTTTCAATAGCCATCTCGACATTTTTTTTCTTTCTGAAACGTGGTTTCTCCCTTTCGCCATGAGGCCAGAACCCCCGAATAGGCAGGTGTGCACAATCCATCTCTAAAACGCTCAAGTGAGTTGAGGTGGGTGAGTGAGCCCTCATGTACCCATACGTACCAGCCCAGTCCAGCTTGCAATTCTGTCCTACTGCCTCGGACATAGAGCACGGCGGGGATCGGATTAATATCGGCAGCTTCGGTCCTGTAGTCTACTACTACTTTACTCCCCTGCCCACCCCCCGGTTCCCCTCTATCCCTATCCTGTCCTATCAGACAATCTTCCGTTTATCAGGAATTCAGGACGGGACTGAAACATCTGGCTTTTTTGTCTCAACTGACAGCTGTGAGGTGGTACTGACAGGCTGCTTATCTTGAATTATTCTTTTTTTTTTGTGGTTGTTTTGGAAGGGGCAGAGAGAGCGAGAGGGAGAAAAAGCTGTGCACCATCGACCATCGATCCATCGAAACTTTGAGGGAACCATCGAAGATGATGATGCTGATGATGATGGGTGGTGACTCTACCTATCCACATCCTCCACCCCCCGTCCCCTTTTTGAAATCTGTACCGTAACCCCTGCACCACAACCACCACAACCCCAGGCACTCTATCAAAAAATAGGTCTTGCGTTTTTTTTCTTCTTTGGATTGTCAGTTTCTTTTCTTGTTTATGTGAAAAAAATACTCTGTGCCATTTTTTTTTGGCACGGACCTAGTTCAACGTAATGATCACCATTTCCCGGGGGTGGAAGTGAGTAGAGAGGGCTTAATGATAATCGCGCATCGCTCACGTTTTGTGTTTCAGGTGTCGCGAACATAAAGTATCAGCAGCGCACATAGATATTTACCATACCGAAAAAAAGAGCCGGAAGATGGAGTACATACGGTTGCACGAAACCAAACAAACAGAAACATAATCCAACTCCACAAAAATGAAAATAGTAAACATGTAGTGAATGAATTTTTCTTTTCTTTTGTGATGTGCGGTGTGCGGTGCCGGCCTTGCGGAACCAAGGGTCCTTCCCACCACCACCCATCCCCATACTCTCTACTCTACCAGCTAAGCTGTGGATGGTAGGCGGCGACCAGCTGGATAAATGTATCATATCATATCATATCATATCCCGCAACGCAGTGCAATATAATTTGAGTTGGGAGGACGTATGTAGGTTGACATTAAGCTGCATGGACGTACGTCTCCCCACATTATTTCATGACGGACGGAGACACAGGAGCAGAGAGCTAGAGACGAAAGAAAAAAAACCTGGTCTGGAATCAGACATGGATACTTATTGAGTGAGATGCCGCAAGAGCCTGAAAGGAAAAATAATATAATAGCTAGGCCAAGCAGAAAGAGAAGTGGAGGAACGGAAGAAAAAGGAAAGGGAAGAAAAAGAAAGGAAAATTACTGAGCTACTAATCATAAAAGACAAGTAGTACACATACTGCTGAACTACCACCGCCTGGCCTTGCGTTGAATACATGTTAGTAGGCAAGGCAATAGGTGGGCAATGCTAAGACTGCTGATACCATCTAATAATGACAAAATTAATGAAGTTAGTTTCGCTCCATGGTATGTACAACAATTACCCGAGTGCAAAAAGGCGTGTTTTGGTTGGTGACACTGAGCTGCAATTTGTCGGGTTTATTTGTGGAGTCTGTCGACATGATTCCCGCGCGGAGCTTGGAGTTTTCCATGATTTCCAGTTCTAGCTTTCATATCTTTCTTTGCAGCTCATAGTAGCTGTGCAAGTATGTAGTGATCAGATCTATTCCAGCGAATAATCGATCTTAAGCTTGCCTGCTAAGGTGCTTTGGACTCTGCTCATGTGAGTGTGGCCCGGAAGGTATGCGGTGTTGAGCAATAACCTCCTCGTCGGTGTTTAATCTAATTTGTCCCGCATCAGCTGGGAGTCTGAGAATTGTTGAGAGGTTGAAATAAGAAGTGGCGAGGCGCTTAATCTGTTTAATTTGGTTCTGCCCTCAAATTAGGAAAGAAAAGCGAGAGAAAAACTTTTCGTTAGTGTAGCGAGGGGCAAAAGAAATCGAGAATTCCCGCCACACTTTGTTTAGACGTCTTATTGGAACTTTACTTTCCAGTTAATGTAGTATAGAGAGAAGGTCACCACTAGGTAAGTACCCAAATATGATAATGTGATCGTTATCCATAACGTGTCATATGAGGACTGAAGCCAGGTCTGGGTCCGGATGATAATTTAGGAATCCCAGTCTCTCGGGCTGTGGAACTCCTAATGTGGTAACTATCTACAGTGTAGGGCGTGGTAAGTAAAAATCCCAATCATGTAATATCACTCACAGTCATTATCAACAAAGGCGAAAGTATTTTTTTTGTTTAATTCATATAGGCGAAAGTAATAATATAAGAGACTTATCCAAAAAGTACCTTTAGTGAGACATAAGTCAAATAATGTTCTTTGCCTATGGATTAGTGCGATATGGGCTCGTGCTTTTCTGGATTTCAGGACGAGATCACGGACGCTTCTGGGACTCCGATCTCACAGAAAAATCAAAAGCCGTGAGTGAGAGGGGTTTTGAAAGTATCGATTGTTTGCTGGCTGGTACCCTCAAGAAAGACAGCCATTCTAGTTCGATCTGTCAACCCGCGTACAAAAGTACTCCCAAAGAGTATAATCATGACTCAATTTAACACCATAATCCAAATCACATAGAATCTTACTATGAGGGCTGCTACCTATCCAGCTCATTTCCCCTTGGAATCTCTTATAGTACTCAGTTCTACAAACTCGACCACCTCAATCCCTTCGGGTAGCTGATCTTTCACAAAACCGCTTTGTTGGAACAAGTAGCTCACCGCCACTGGATCCTCAGAATCGTAGATATAGACCCTGAGAACCTTCCCCGCTGGAACAGATGGTCCGGTCCCGGGGCTTAGTTGGCCGTTGGCAGTGGTTGGTTCGAGCTCGATCCCGGCCCAGAAAATATCATGGACTTTGAGGAAATCGGCAAACTTGTCGATGCATTTGCGGAGGGAGAGGCGGGGGGCGGTGGAGGCGATTTCGTAGGTCGTTTGTTTAGGAGAGGTGGGTTGGATTGGTGAGGACGACATTGTAGTTAGGGTCGGCGTTAGACTGATAAGGGTGGGCGGTCAAGAATTAAGCTAATGGGACGTTGGTGGTGGGGATGTTAAGGGTCATGTGTTGATCGAGTGATGATTGGTGAAGGCTAATTTGGATGCATGGAATATCACTCGGTATCATAACCTCTACATGCATATATGCAGCATGACCTACGCTGCCCGCAACCATCAATAAAGAAGGCCGCCAAATATTCTATTCTGGTCATTGGAGTGTTAAAATTAGACAATTATAATGCTCTCGTCTCTTTACTACTAGTGAGTGCGTAGTAGTAGAAGTTAAAATGGATTACATGATTCCTTCTCGATTAATTAACTTTATACGGGGTAGGCATGCTCTACAATAACACATGGTTATGATCGAGCTATTGAATATATTAATGGATTAAACAAAAATATTGAATATTATATACTTGATTGATATCGAAGGGTTAGGGGTTCTCTATCTTGGCGCACCGCCAAGCTCGAGTATCACTTCCAGCGCAGCATCTACCATAGGCGAGTAGTCTAGTAGTTGGACTACTCGTCAGGTTAGACACCAAGTGTTTGTCCAGGATGCAAGGTCCTGGGTTCAAACCAGGGGGGTAGGAGCGCACATTATTCCATAAGTCGCTGCAGTACCTTTTGTAGAACCTTTTGTTCTTTTAGTAAAAGAAACTGATTGGGGGGCGGTCGTGGTTTTTGATATCTCTAGAGGAAGAGGTGAGTGGTGAGGATGGGAATCGGCCCTTATTACTGATTTTGCCCGATGTCTTTGTACTCTCTCGGGTCGAGTAGACCTTCTTTTTTGGATCATAACGAACTATATCATTTTGCATTATGTGTTACTACTAAGCACGTATACTGAAATCTGTGTCATTTTAGACCTTTTTCATTATATATTTATCATAATATTAGTATATATGTCTCTACTTTTGCTGCTGCCCGCCGCAAGCTACCCGCCCCGCACAGCCACGCTCCGCTACTGACTTTATATAACTCCACGTTCCAACCGCCGTATTCAAGCAATCTTTTAAAGACCCGTGTGTTTTAATTTACTGTTTTCGTCAATTACAATTAAACAGGCGGCCATTTCCTAGATTAGGGGTATGCTCAACTCTCTAGCGAAGTATATAGCTCCCCCACCGCTATATTTATCATCTCAGAGCAACCTATAGCTATCATGATAGTTACCGGGTCCAGAGCGTAATACGCTTTTCAGATAGTAGTCATTTAAGACAGTTCTACTTATTAGGCTTCGCGTTGCGGTGCGATCTCGTGCTATGAGGATATGAAACATGAAAAGGTGTTATAAGTTAACATTCATAAATATCATTAGAATTATAGAGCATTTGTCCTGATAATAGATGCACAGTTTTCCCAAAATAATCACTGTCAGGAACCGGATAGGTATTATATACAGACCAAATATCCTTATAGAAAACATTATGAGGGAAACGGAAGTATAGGAGAGAACATCAGCCTTTAAACTTTGGCGTTCAGGGTCGTTTAGTACTTACTGGTTGACTACATTTAGACTTGTGGTAGTTGCTGCTTCATGTAACTGTTGAGCCCAATTCGGCATATGAGTATCTCCCTGATCCTTCGAGCTTGACATCCCATCCACGGTCTAGAAATCACCTTTAGTATCTCAAGATAACAATCTACTATCTTTGTAGAAGGAGAAAATATCTATATATGCGTTGCCGCTGGTAGTAACGCAGGATACATGTTTCCATCACCGGATATCACTCGATGGGAAATATTAACGATAAAATGTGTTATATAAATAGGAAAACGCCTAAGACTATTTCCATACATCAAAAAAAAAATATCTAGAATACCAATTGCAAACTGTCGACTATACTTGGTAGCCCACATATCGCAGCCAGCTACACCAATAGATATGTATACCCAACCATCTAGCTAAATCATCGACCCATCCCTCTTCCTCGCATTCCACAAGTCAATCTCCAAATGCCTAACTCGCTCCTTCAACGCCGCGTTCTCGCCTCCCAGCTCCCTCTCCCTCATGCACACCCACTCCTCCTCCTCCCTAATCTCCATCGACCTCTTTCTTAGTAGCCCCTGCGTCTCCTCATGCACCTCCTTCTTCTTCCTGAGGAGTTCAGTATGCGTCTCTTCCAGCAGCTTGACACAACTCTCCGCAGCCCGCCGTCTCCGCTTCTCTGCCTCAAGCGAGTCGATAAGCTGCACGACAAACATGGCCTCCGCCTCCTCTGCAGGGAGGCGCGCAATGGCCGTGATTTCGCGGAAGCTAAGGTTCGTGCTCCACCGCGCGAGTAAGGGCTCAAGCGCAGCCTTGATACGTTCATTGCTAGTAAGGTTGTTGATATCAATGATGCCCCTGGGGTTTTTAAGAGGAGCGTTGTTATTCTTAGTATCCTTGCAGCGGGGCTCCTTGTTATTAGCCTTCGTATGGGGGACCACTCGGATAGTCTGTGGCGGAATCGGAGGCATAGGGTTCTGGAGATGCGGCGGCGGGGGGACTCTTATAGTCAGTTGCGGGCGCATCCTAGGGTTTTGGCTGCTGCTGGAGGGCATATCTCGAGCTGACTGTATAGACATTGCTGGAGGCTTTGGTTTTGATTTTCTGAATGCGCAGAAGACGGACATATAAGCTCAGGGCCAAAAGCCTGTTATACTATGGATGGATGTTATGTTCAATGTCAATACCATCATCCGGTTCTGAAATCTCGTCCAGATTGCGTTAGAGCTATCGACACGATCTTATATTCGATGGGTGGATGTGCCCCCCTTCTGTATGTTCGGCATTTTCATAGAAAAGTTAAAGCTGTTCAAGTATTGTATCTACGACGTTGCAGCGGTCTATGGCGGCGACGGATTATTAGCTGTCCCATAGTATTATTCTCGTAAAATTAGTAGTTGCCGAAGCTTGACGTTGGTATCGCACGAATTTTCCAAGATGAAAAATTGTACGGCCGTTACTGTTCATGCCAACTTTACTGCATTCTCTAATGACAAATCTGTCCTTTGAATGAGTTGACAACACATGTAACTAACTTTCACTGCTGTGTTACGGTTAGTAATTAAAATAGAAATGTGATAGATGTAGGGTAAGATAGGATTAGTTGAGGTGGAAAAATCCTTCTTCACAAGAGCACGAGCACTGCTATTTGAAGAAACCATGTTTCTAACTCAACTCTGTGTAGTAGCAGCGACCTACCCATGTGAAAGCATCCTTACCCAACTTATACCTGCGCCTACATCTCAAACCCAATATATCCTACCTCTAAAAACCGGTAGCGCTATGGCACGTACGTACCAAACCACCATTAATCATTCCGCCCGTGAATACCCCGTCTGGGAATGTCCCATCTGGACTGAGAGTGTTATATCTTGAGGTGTTCAATCTAGGAATGTTCCATTTAGGAGCATTCTAGCCATGAACGACCTATAAGCTCACCAGCCCAACGTCGAACATCGAACAGCGAACGTCTCCCACACATCACCTACGTAAAATCCCAAACCCAGTATCCACGAGCAAAAGGCGCGGCGAGAAGGGAGCGCAGCCCCAAACGGACCACCTCCTCAACACCAGTTTGATAGGTCCAGATGTCAGTCCTATCTTTGAAGCTCCCACGGTGCTAGCACCTTGTAGCAATGCAGATAAGGACTACGGGCAGCTATCATGAAGTAGTAGAGCTAGCAACCAAAGACCTCGCCCTCAAGTCCTGGTATGATGGCCAGCTGGAGCGGACGTGGTAGAGTCGAGATGGACCGGCCGTCGAGAACCCACGACTCTTTCGTCTCATCTCATCGTGCGAGGAGTTCCAAGGACACCATCTCCAGCCAGCTAATATCACTCAAACCCCAAATCTTGATTCTCCTATCTTTCAAACCCCAAATCCTGATTCTCCTATCTTTTCAAACCCCCACCCCCACAGCCCACAGCTCCGCGGCGTCCAGTTTCCAGTTTCCAGTTTCCAGTTTCCAGTTTCCAAGCTCTATCTTCCCAGTTTCAAAACCCCACCCACCTCGTATCAGCACCCCACACTACATACCCCTGTCAGTGATTAGCGCACGTGACCATCTTGGCGCCCCACTACTCCCACCGCCTCCACCACCACCACCTTCTCCGCCACCCCCAAGCAAAGACCAAGACTAACCAGCCAACCAACCTCCGGGTTATCCCCGGAGGGGGCGCACTAATTAGTAGCTCACTAATCATCAATGTCACTTTGCACCCAGAGGAACAATAATTGTTTGTAATGTTTAATCAATCCATTTCATTGTTTTCTGAATACCGAATTCATCAACCAGTCCAAGGACCTTAAACAAATCCACAACACCAAAGCCAATCCCCCGTTCCCCCAAAAGCCAGCCTAGCCCGCTCGACATGACAAAAGAAACAAGATTTCGTAGATGTAGTGTAAGCCCGCTCAATCCAAAAGTCGGGTAAAAAAAAAAAGAATAATAAAAAGAAAAAATAAGTTGCACTGTACATTTCCCAGCTCCAGAATCCCATAACCAATAAACAGTGACCCTAATAAGTTAAAAAAGAAAGAAAAGATAGAAAAGACATAAACTCCATTAATTTTTGATTTTTTTTACTCGTGCCAAACTAAAGCATTTACCACCAGTCACCCTGGGCCTTCATGGCAGTGACAACCTTGACGTATCCGGCAATGTTGGCACCAGCAACGAGCGAAGGAAGCTCGCCCTCGGCAATGTCGTAGTACTCCTTAGCAGTGTTAAGGCAGTTCCAGAAGCACCTCTCCATGATTCCAGCAAGCTCCTTATCAACCTGCTCAGAGGTCCATGAGACACGCTGGGAGTTCTGGGCCATCTCGAGACCAGAGACAGCGACACCACCGCAGTTGGCGGCCTTGGCGGGTCCGTACCAGATACCCTCAGCCTTGCGGGTGCGGCGGTCCTCCTCGTAGACATTGATGGCCTCCTGGGTGGAACCCATGTTGGATCCCTCAGCAATGAACTTGCATCCGGCGGCGATCAAGTCCTTGGCCTCCTGCTCGGAAACCTCATTCTGGGTCGCAGAGGGGAGGGCAATGTCGACATGCTCAACGTTGGACCAGGGGCGGGCACCGGGGAGGTACTTGAAGCGGGACTTGAATGAGTCCTGGGCAGAGTAGAGCTCGGTAAGGTACTTGCGGTCAAGCTTGAGCTGGGCAATCTGCTCAATGTCGCTCTCGTTGAAGCCCTCACCAGAGGTGGCAATCAAGGCACCCTTGGAGTCGGAGAGAGTGATGACCCTTCCGCCAAGCTCAAGGACCTTGAGGGCAGCGTACTGGGCAACGTTTCCAGATCCAGAGATGGCGACACGCTTTCCGGCGAAGGTCTCCTTTCCGCCAGAGGCGTATGATAACATGTGGGAGACGTAGTAGACGAGACCGTAACCAGTGGCCTCAGGGCGGATGAGGGATCCACCCCAGGTGATTCCCTTACCAGTGATGACACCCTCCCACTGGTTCTTGTAGGCCTTGTAGGCACCGAACATGTAACCGACCTCACGACCACCGACACCAATGTCACCAGCAGGGACGTCAGTGAACTGACCAATGTGGCGGGAGAGTTCGCGCATGAAAGAGTAGCAGAAGCGGCGGATCTCGTTGTCAGACTTGCCCTTGGGGTCGAAGTCAGATCCTCCCTTGCCACCACCCATGTTGACTATCAGAAAGAAGCATGTCAGTAAAGATGGTCTCAAAAAGTCATAAGAGTCGAATTAATTGGACTACTCACGTCCAGTCAAGGCATTCTTGAAGGTCTGCTCGAATCCGAGGAACTTGAGGATGGAAAGGTTGACAGTGGGGTGGAAACGGAGACCGCCCTTGTATGGTCCGAGAGCGGAGTTGAACTGAACACGGTATCCACGGTTGACCTGGAGTTGGCCATTGTCGTCCTCCCAGGTAACACGGAACTGAATAACACGCTCGGGGACGGAGACGACGGGGAGAGCGGCCTTGAGCTCGGGGGAGACAGTGAAGAGCTTGGAGCTGGAGAGGGAAGACTCAAGCTCTGAAGGGGGTGAAAGTCAGTACAAAAGTTGATGTGAGAAAAAAAGACCCTCTCAGGGTCAATGATCGATATGAACATACCGTGGTAAGCCTGCTGGAACTCGGGTTCGTAAGCAATGTTGGACATGTTGACTGATGTGTGGTATGAAGAAGATTTCAAGAGATTCTAGTAATTGTGGTTGATGTGGAGGAGGGTGGGGGGGTTCTTCGACTTTTGTTGGAAGGGGTATCTAAGACTGGCTTATCCAAACAACTGTGGTGCGAGGAAATTTTCAACTCCAGATGGCGGGACGAGAGGTCCCTCTTTAAAGCCTTCTCGATGTCAAGGTTTCGCAATCTGCAATCACTACAACTCTACCTTATCCCTATCGCCCCCGAAGGACAAGCCATCCCATCCGCTAGCTAGCCACATCCACGCTAACCGTGGGGAGGAGACGAGCAGTAGCAGAGAGAAAAAAAGGAACGCGGAAAAGATTTTCTCTGGCGTAATTCACTACAGTCAGTTAAATTCCGAACCCCGCATCAAGGTTGATCGTGGTACTACCCTCTTTCAGTCCTTATCGATTGCTTAGCCTACTGAAATACATCATCAAGAAGTCGAAGATACGGTGCTGTGGTGGGGCTTTTTCCGCCCAGAGTGGTCTAGCGCCAGGCTGCAACGGGACCTTGTCGGTAGATTGTACCCTCCCGAAGACCTGGATCGCGGCCAGATTTGTATGCGGGTAAAGCAAAAAGAAAGAGATCCGTAAAACGAAATAGTAAAAAAAGTTTCACCTTGCATGGGTTCCCCCCTCCCTCTACATCTCTATCAGGGCAGAGGCGTCCAAAAATCAGATATCGAACATGTCGCACCACCCACCGCTGCCAACCACACACACGACAGGACGTGGGATGGGGTGTCGTCTCGTTCCCACGCCCCCGTACGGAGGAATTCGGCGTCAAGGTACATTACAGAAACGTAAAATAAACCCCAAACGGGGAAAGCACGCCATCCCGAAACCCCTCTGAAAATCTTTCTCGCTACGGAGATTTGCGCGCGAACCAAAAAGTTTGGTGTTTTGATTCCGTAGGCGGCGAGCGAAGATAAGCTGACCACTCACAGAGCTCTGATAAGGGAGAGTTCGAGAGAAAGGGAAAAAGTTACACTGATGTAACGCTTACGACTAAAAAAGAGAACCATCACCACTTTAGTTTTTCCCCAGGTCGCTGGGATGATGGGGAGTCGGGAGAACAGACAGGCAGCAAAAAAGCAATTCCCCGCAGCAGTAGCGACGCCTCTCTACCGGTGGACGGCCACACCTGGACACAACAAAGCTTTGTCTGTCAGACTGCTCTTCATGTAAGGTAGCGATTTACCCCTCCATCCCCTCCAAACCCCACATGCAACCTCTGCTGCAAGATGGAGATGGGATGTTTACGATGGTGATCGGATTCCTCCCAATTGCCGGGGAAGGACAGCCAGCCAGAGCAGCACAGGCATGGCATGCTCTACATACCAAGCATACCTAGCATACCTAACCACCACAGACAGAGACGCAGGGAATTCACCCAGACACACGTGCTTCATAGCCTTTCTACCTGTCCGTAAACTGTAAAGCGTTAGTCAGGGCCTCTCCTCGATCGAAACCCTAACCTTCTTCCCTGCCCTCCGAGGAGAAAGTTAGACTCCGAGATTTCGCGAAAAGGGAACCTCCATCACAGCCTTTTTTTTTTTTGCCTCCCCGCGTATCTCCCGGAAGCTGGATGGCTGCTAAAGAGACCACCTGTAAAAACTCAAACTTCAGGAGAGCTCCCTCCCTGGACTTGCAAGCGCAGTTGAGGATGAGTATCAAAAAATCTATTTTCATATCTGCTCCAGATAAGACAAAAAAGACCGTGTCATCTTCTCCACGATCCACCACGCAATTGCCCAGGAACGTATTGCGGGGAACCGGGGAAGCAAGCACCCACCTTGCTCCCTCCGTTTACATACATCCTCCACTCTACTTTGGCGACGACGTCGTTGTTGGGGCTGGTTGCAGTCCGGTCTGTGTTTCTCCGAACAGCCATGCCGGCGTGGACCCTGAACTGTTACTCCAACTTTAGTTAGAGTTCATCCTTCTCACTTTCCCTCTTTCTTCGCTCGCCACCCTCCTCTTCCCCTTACCTTAGGCTTCACTGCCACCAAAACTCAAACTAAACTAACCACTGCCACTTTTTCCAACCTTCTCGAAAACCCTCCTCCCCTATCTCGCCCACGGGTGCACTCGGGAGCTAGGGAAACTCCCATCGTGTCTTCTCTTTTCCCTAGGGCCCTCCTAGGCTTTAGCCTCCTCTGCCTTCATCTCGCTCACTCGCCGCTCCGTACCTGCGAAATTCCCCGTTCGGGAATGCACACCCCTCAGGGTACCTGGGCAGGCAGTTATGTAAAGCAAGATCGTAAAAAGAGTTTGCAGATGTCAGGGCAAGGGTAAGGAAGGACCTTAGGGGAAATGATTTCATATTTTCCAACCACCACCACCATGTCTACATAAGCATGTAGGTTCCCAACCACCACCACTACCACCGGATATTCCGCGCTTCACCGCTGCGTCCCTGGGGATGTCTTGCGGATATTCTCACAAGCGACGGTGAAGGAACATGAAATGGATAGGGATGGCTGGTAGGTATGCGGTCGGGTCGTTGTAGACTTCCCATTCGCTCTCACGCCCGCGAAGCAGAAAGGAGAGGGGCAGTAGGGGCGGAAGAAGATCATGTCTCGGGGTTTCAGGGCCGACTCTAACTCTCTGCCTCTGAGATTCTGAAATTATGGAGATGCGCGATGATATCATATTGCAATATCACTCGCCGGCCGGAGAATAAGCGGCCACTCCAGTCGCGCGCTTGCGTGCGAATGAGCGTGAGACATCTGCTACTCTGACATAAGCAGAGAGCAGCACTTTGATCTTTTGATCGGATGTTTGGGATTTGAAATCTCGTAGCATAAAGTAACGTAACGCAGGCTGAATATTCTCCCTCCGGCTCGATGATCTTTAGTTTTGGAGTATGTAATTCAGCCGGTGAATAGTATATGCACAGTAGAGTACCCCCATCGCATCGAATTGTGAGGAAATAGTCTGTGGATGGTTGTTTCGGGTACCTGGGCGAGTAGTACTACGATTAGTCTAGATCTAGAGGCTGGTTGGTCGAGAGGGTGATAAGCCCTAACCCTACATAGAAGGCTCTCATTAATTGGCTTTGATAGAGCTCACAAAACATCCTCCCTACAAAGAAACAAAAGAAAAAAAACAGAAAAAAAAACTCTTTATACACAGATCGAACCTAGACACTTTGTGAGGAATTCACTCATCGAGATCAGAATTCAAATTCTCGTTCTGCATACATAACAGAATATCAAGATCGTCGCCAGCGAGAAAAGAAAGGGAGGGGACAGAGAACAAAAAACCGAGTGCGATCCCATGTAGCACTCACCACGCCAAGTCGGGATGCCGGGTGTAACCTATCTAACCCAGCCCGGCCGGAGCTCAACTGGCAGGAAGACAAAGAATCCCATTCTCCTACCGGCAGCAAGCCGCAGTAACGAAGCTTCACCAAGCTTTCCTACCTGCACAAGGGCCGTGCGTTCGTTCACCACAAACAGCACTTCGCTATCACCGCACCGAACCAAAACGAAACACCCAAACCCCAATCACTAACTCATTCTTTCACCCGTATACTCCCTATATCTTCTCCCTCATACCTATACGTATTCTCCCTAAGCCCTATCTCAGCCCATGGCCATACACAAAACCCGAAACACCCAGGGCCCCAGACCAGGGCCTACGCGGTCTCCGGCTGCGTCGGCACCCCACCCAACGGGTAGAGTATTACGCGTCCCGGACAGCACCTCTAGGGCTCTAGGGGGCAGAAAGGGAACATACAAAAGGACGTGCTGTACCGTAGCCAAGAGAAGAGGATTTGTTTTCTGAGGTGGATATTCGATCATTACCTACGAGCTGCGATCTGAACGGATGACAACGACAAAGAGACAGCTCATTCTAATCATGGGCGCTCACTCACTCACTCACTCACAACCGATTAGAGTAGCAGAACTAACTGGCACTGGCGAATGGCAGTTAGGGTGAGGAGAATATTTTATTCAACGTCAAGACAAACATCCACTCACCCTACCATGTACTCTACCTACTCTACATCCTGCCTACAGCATACAGCATGTCAGAGATCGTGTATTCACAACCCAACCAACCGACAGCTGCAGAGAAAGAAAAATCTTCCGCTCGAGACAGAGAGCTACAGCAGCTACCCCACATTCAACAGCCGATCAGAAAAACACAAATACAACTGGATGCGATTGGAATACCATTACTACTAACCCCCCGCAAGATCTTGAAAGAATAAGATAGATTTTTTTTGTTAACAGACAGTACAGCAGATTACCCCTCGATTGATGGGAGGTGATGGAATGAATTGGATCGCACGATCGTTTGTTCCTCTACATTAACCAACCACACGCACGACGACGACACACAACGCACAACGCACGCTACAACGAAGCACTCATATCACAATGGGCCGACGGGACACAGAAGGATACAATGCAATGATTTTTCACATCCAACCAGATTATTTATAAAAAAAAAAGTAACAAGAAGAAGAAACTTTATCTACCCACACAAAACACGGGGAAGGAAGACTGTAAAAAAAAGCAAAAAAAGAAGCGCTCCAGGAACAAAAGAAACCCCCCTCCTCCTTCAATCCCAACCAGCCAACCAAACAAGACTTATACAGAAATGAAAAAAAAAAAAATTCACAATCGCGCCGCTCCAATCAAAGCTCAGTCATTTACAAGAACGCAGCGAACCCAACCATGACAGCAGCCACTGACCAGCCAACGACACCGCGGCTGACAGATGAGGCGCTGTTGGAAAGGCCGGTCTCAGAAGAGCTAGAGCCGGAGGAGGTAGAGGTGACACCACCGGTTCCGACACCACCACCAGTGTTGGTTCCGTGGCCGCCCTCAGGAATCTCAGACTGGGTGACGGAGCTGGTGGCCTCAATGGTCTTATCGGTGATGGCCTTGCCGTCAGAGTCGTTGATGTCGAGCTTGACTTCGAGGGTCAGATCGTCGAGAGAGAGGAACTTGCCCTTGACGAAGGTCTTCTTGTCGACACCATCATCAATGTACTCCTGGCCAAGGGTGAAAGGAAGGGTAAGGTTTCCGTTGATGTTCTTGAACGAGGACTCGGCCGCGCAGTCAACGGGGCGGTCAACAATGTTCACGTTGCTGGGGACGGAGACGTCCTTGGGGACCTTGTCGAAGGCTGTGACAAGAGTGTCGTATTCACCCATGATGTTGGCAGTATCACCGTCAATCTCAACGATACCATACTTATTGGGCTCCTCAGAGAACTCGTAAACGAGACCACCAGAGAAGACACCAGTCATGTCCTCGGAGTAGAGGGAGCCAACTTCCTGCCAGACACGGGGACGGACCTCGTTGCAACCATACTCGGTGAAGAACACGGGAAGAGAGTAGTCGGCGTAGTCCTCGACGAGCTTGTCGTATCCGGAGCCCTCAAAGGTGTTGTCACCGCACCACTGGTAAGAGTTGACACCGAAGAAATCAATGTAACCAGTGTCACCGCACTCAAGGTAGTGGGCGAGCGAGGTACGGAACTTCAAGTCATCAGCGTTGGAGTATCCAACGGGGATGATACGGTGGACGTGGTTGGTGATGTACGCCTTCATGTCACGGACGACGGCCTTGACATAGTTTGGTGAGGCCTCAGCAGAGCCGGAGTCGAAGATGACCTCGTTACCGGCCAAGAAGGCGAGCATGTTGTCGTATCCAGAGAAGACCTCAATGACACCGAAAATGTGCTCAAGGTACATGGGGGTGTAGGTGGTCCATGGCTCCTGGTTGTTCAAGTGCTGGTGCTCCAAGGGGGAGTTGACATCGAGCACCAAGTAGATTCCGGCCGCGGCCAAGAGGGTCATACATGCATCGTGGTCGGCGGTGGGGTCGACCGAGTAAACACGGATTGTGTTGATTCCGAGCTTCTGGAAAAGGAAGATGTCACGAGTACAGGTCTCGACGTCAGAGAGAGGGTCTCCCCCCTTCTCAACAGCAGCGGAACCACCAGGCTGGTAATCTACTCCCTTAAGCTGCAATCATCGAAAAAATAACTATTAGCAATCTAGAAATAGCAAATAGTAGTAAATAATACCAATAATTGTATTGATGAAAACTGTAGAACTTACAAAGAAAGGCTTTCCAGTCTTGGAGTTAACAAAGTGTCTATCCTGGATCTCAATGACATCGATAGCAGCAGCCAGTCCGCTAAGGACGGTCATAGCACCGAGGGCAGCTGTAGAGAAACGCATACTGAGTGATGATGATTGTTTGAATAAGGAGCTTTTGCAAAAAATATAAATGCTCTGGGTTGGTTTGCCGAAGGGCTGTGGGGGGGGTGTCTGTTAAACGAGGTTTGGTATCAAGCGGATGGACGAGGACGTATGTCGCTCAATTAAGTTTCGAAAATTAAAGAAGAAAAGAAAGGTAAAAAGACCTAGGGATAGCGAGTGTCGTGAATGGGGAAGAGAGAAGAAGAAAGAAGAGAGAAGAGTAGAAATACAAGAAACCGTCGATGGGGGGTGGTGGGTGGGATGGGATGGGGGTTGGCACACTTCGAAAAGGGGAGAGTGCCCAGAGTTTATTATTTGCCCAGATTCCGCCCAGAGATTCTTTTTTATTTTGACCTGTTTCGCGATATGTATGCCAAACGAGGGATGGGCGGAGGTGATCGGTTCACCCGTTCGCTCTTGCCCCAAAATTGCACTTTCCCGCGCGCACCAGCAGCATGTTTGCTGTAAGGGGAGTATGGACTGTGGTTGGCTGCCCAGCCAGCATCCACACTCACGCAGGCGCTGCATGTGCAATATCAAAGCGTTCAGGTACCGAAATCGACAGGCTCCTTCTTCTTCTTCCCCAGCACCTGCAAACCAAGCGGTACTGCACCTCTAATTCTAATTCTAATAAACTTACCTCTGTTCCTGATTATTTCTAAATCTCATACGCCATCAATTCTACGAGGAAATAAACTCCATCTAGAAAACACCAGTAGATCTACATGTACGTAGCTTGCTCATTTCCAAGCGAGAAGGGACTCTGCTCTGCTCTGCTTTACATACCACCCCTGGGGAATGATAGTTTAAAGCGGCTAATTAACGAACGAGAACGGCCTGCTTGCTCTCCCCAGCTTCCTTATGGGCCATAATTATTTCCGCCTTGGCGTCGTGTATGCGAAACGAAGGCCAAGAAACCACATATGCACTGAGATGTCGTCGGGACTACGTCTCTAACCAAGAGCTAGCATCATGCACTTCACCTCCATCTCCACACGTGCAGCCATCAAAATGCCACACCCGCCGCTCAAATCTCCAAAGCTGCTTGTACCTATCATTTCCACCTCGAGTTTCCAACATTCAATAAACTACCTCTCCAGGTACCAGCAATTAGCTGAGGAACAAGGTACCTCTCTCCAATAGCTCGCTTCGGCTCCTCCCGAATAACCCCCTCAACGTTCACGGCGCTAGCCATTTACTCTAACTGCTCTGCACCGCCCCCCCCCCCCCAGGCAAGCTGAGGCCAGTGCGATGGGTAAGCATAATCCGACATCTGATCGCCACAAACACCCCCGACCCCATAACCATACTCGGAACCCTAACCCATCAATCCCGGACGGAGTCCGATCCGGGACGGGGGTGGGGGGGGAGGAGAGGAGGGGGGAAAGTGTGGGCCAAGAGAAAGCGACACGCGTTTCGTCTCGGCGAGAGAGTGACGGAGCTGTTGGTTTAGTTGGGGGAGAGGAAGTCTTGGTCTTTATGTTATTGCCGCCCATCATCATCTGCATCGCTTTTTTTCCTTGAAGTTGGAACCTTGGGTTGAGTCGAGGGAAGCGTGAGAGAGGTTTCAGGGGAAAGCAGAGAGATGAACATGAAACAAGCGCTAACCTTGCTAAACTAGTGCAGGCAGATCGTTCATCCTGCCAAGAGGTGGAGGGATGGAGGGGGGAAGGTTATGTAAAATTGATCTCGAAATGGCTTGTGCAGGCGCCGATATGAAATTGGAATTATCGAAAATAGATCATAGACAGAGACTGACAGACTGACAGGCTGACTGGCGTAGATAGGTAGGGCACATCATCTTTTTCGTTCCGACCTCCTGCCTACCTACCTCACAAACACGTCGGCCGGTCGCGATCAAGATCAAGATCAAAACGTGGATAACGATGGCGGTTCTGGAATGATTTTTTTTTATCACGCCTCCATCCCATAATTCTCCGAAGAGGGGCGGCGGTCACGACACCTTCCCCTTCCTGCAGCCAGCCCAGCGCTGAACCCTGAACCACTTCCAAGAAAAATGGCTGTCTGTATCCCACACAGCCACGAAACAGGGCCCGCTACATGCGCAAATTTACCGCTTCGCATCTCATACACGCATCGATATCGCATAAGGAGCTAGAGGATTCTGGTTAAGAAAGTAGGAACGCCAATCGATACGGTTTGGAGATTTCCCTTCACCCCCCCCACGCACGAGCCGCCGCCGATGCAGTCGATGTCTTGTGTGTACTCGTACTCGTCATCCTGAAGCAGGACAAGAAGGACAAGAAATAAAGTACAGGCGGCCAACTTTCATGATATGGTAAGGTTTTTTAAGATATGGATTGGCAGTCGTGCATAGACACGGGTGGTTTGTTTTGCCATTGGCGATGCAGAATGTTTTGCCATACAGAGGTAACCATCATGCTACCTACAGCAAGACGCGATGAAATCACTAGAATTGAATCGAGAATCCCGAAAATATCTCAAAGAAAACACGATGCTTATGGTACTACTACTACTACCGTATTCAGTAGCCCCCAAGTTTTCGTACTATGATTTTTTACCTAGCATTGTAGCTTTCCCGGGCCAATGGTAATACGAGGTAGGCGGAGCCAAAGGGCCGAGTGACCACCCATGGCCCGGCGTTCTTCTCGAGATCTTTAACTGCCTGTCACATGTCACTACCGGGCTCTTTAAGTATCCAGTCCAGCAAATCTCCGGTTCCATTGACCACTAATGGAACAATCTTAATCCGCAGCAGAGGATTTAATTGGGAGGATCTACGTTCCTACCAGAGGATCCGAATCTCAACCCCCGCTCAGCCGGTGACGATATGTTTTTTCTTTCTTCTTTTTCTTGTGTTTCTTATGTGCACTCGTCATCTACATAGAAGCAAGAAAAGAAGGACAAGAAATGATGCAGGCTGGCAGCCATAGGTTCGTTTCTGCCAGCTAGACGCTGTGAAATGTTTTGCCGGCCACCGGCGTAGTACATTCAATAATAATTCAGCGAAACTAGAATATCAAAATAAAACCAGAAAAACCCAGGGGATTACAGCCCCAATTAGATCTCGTATCTTGTCCACAACTCTTAAAATACTTATAGTAACTACATGTACCTGTTTTTTTCTTCTTTCTTCCCTCGCTCTTTACTGTACGAATACGAGGTGGTAGGCGGTGCCCCCTCGTCTCTCGGATCTGGGGTTAGAGTCGAGTGATCGCGCATGGTCCGGCTTCTTATCGCCCAGCTACCGAAAAACCGGATCGCCGGATCACCGAGCGAGGGCATCATCCCAACTAAGTATCTGGCACCCATCACCTCTCACCCCTCTACTGATTCTTCTATCATTCTAATCCGCCCACACCATCGCCACGCAGACAGCACCTACTCTAGGTACTCTATGCTCCACCAACCAGACCGAATCAGAACCTGGGCAACACGACAACACCCAATTGCAAACCACCGCAGTCAACAATCTTTACGCACTCCGGCCCCGAACTCTCAAGATATCGCCATTACTAAACATCTACCTACATACGCCGCATTCTCTCGTCTCGTCTCGTCTCGCGCTGCAGTACCTACACTTCTTCTTCTCATATTCCAAAGTGGCCAGAGAATCACTAATTCACACAAATGGTCCAGCGCATCTACTCTGCAGAGGCCCTTATCCTCTAGCCCACTCCAGCGCGTGCAGTAAAGTACCTCGCCCTATCACGATCACGGTGGGGTTTTTGTAGCGTAGCCTTACGGGATATATATGATTGGGCAAGACAATCTATATTTCTATATTACTTAACTTTCCAGGGAACCACGACACGAATTATGGAGTCAACTCTAGCTAGATCTCTCCTCTCTGGGTTTCGACGCTTTTTTCGTCTATAGACAGTATATGACTGGACACTCTACACCCCCCCAGAGGACATCACGGGTTATGGAATTATAACGATAACGCGGGCTCAAAGAAGTTTCAACCAGTACCAGCAGCCTTTACATGTCTCCTCCCAAATCCCATACCCATACCCATACCCATACTCCCCCTCCCCCTCACCCCTTCACCCCCCCTCACTCCCCGCCAACTAACCACAACCAACCCACGCCCCCAAACGCTCACCAGGCTACAAACCTGTCCATCAACAAGCCCCCCCCTTATAATCATACAAGGGAGCCGTCGGTTTTCAATAACAAGCTAGCAGCTTGAACCGGTGGAGAGAGCGCGAGCGAGTAACTCGAGCAACGGCGCAGCTAGTAACTGTGGCCTGTTGCTCTTGGGGGGTGTAGGTTTGGTTGTGTTGTGGGTTGTGGGTAGGTATAGTGTAGATGGGATGCAGTGCGAGATTGAAACGAATAAACAAAAGGAAGGAAGATAACCTGGCCTCGCTCGCGCCAGGAGTCCAGCAAAAATATTTTCATGTTGATTAAAGCCTAATTTTTTCCCTTGAAACATGCCTGTAGGTGGGTGGAGAAGGGGAAGGGTAAAAAAAAAAAAAAAAAAAAGAAGAGAACAAACCAGTGAATGGAATGAATAGTACTAAGAATCCCCACGAATAGAATAGCGACGAAAAAAGAGGGAAAAAAAAGTCACGCTTCCAAATGCCAAAGTTTCCCAAGTAAAAAAAAAAAAAAATTATAAAGAACAGCCAGGAAAAAAAAAGAGAGCAGGTTCACAAAAAGCAAGAACAAACCTCGTTCCTGTAATAATAACGAAAAGAATAACGAAAAGAATAACGAAGAGAGGAAAAAGAGATCAGCATCAGCATCAGCATCAGCATCAGCATCAGCATCAGCATAGCATCAGAACCTACTCCCACTACTTCTCCCTCCACCTCCCCTTCACACTCCCCCTAACCCCCGTCCTCACCAGCACCTCCACAGTCTTACTCCGCTCCTCATACAGCGCCTTCAAATCCCTGACCGCCACCACCGGCACCTGTCCCCCCACCACCGAGCTCCTCCTGCTGCTCCCATCCCCCCCACCCCCCACACCTCCCACTAAGCTTATAAGCGTCCCCGAGCGGCTCCTCCCGCTATTCCCAACTATAAGCTCTGCCGTCTTTGCCCTCACCATCGGGGTGCTGCTGGGGCTGGGGTCGCGCAGAAGGCTCGTCGCGGGTAGGTTCTGGTTCGGATTGAATTTAGCGCGATTTAGCTCGCCTGCGATGGCCGCGACACTTGACGACGGGGCAGCATTTGCATTTACAGCAGGGGAAACAGAAGCAGAAGAAGGCAGGAAAGAAGTAGTAGAAGAAGGCAAAAAAGACGACGATACAGCCCTGCGCACGACCCGCGGCGGGGCGGTGGCAGAGACGGAGAGGGAGCGGGTTAGGAACGGGTGGGCATTAATATTATGGGGGCTTAGGGTTGAAGATGATGATGAGGGTGAGGATAAATATGAGGATGCAGACGGACCTCTTGACTGTGTCCCTTCGTCCCTACCATTACCACTACTGCCGCCGCCGCCGGCGAGGGCCTGGAGACTCGCTTTGCGGCGGAGCACTATTCCGCCTGGGGGCGCTGCGTCGGCGTCCTGTTGCTGTTGCTGTTGCTGTAGTTGTGGTTGCGCTGGTGGTGGGGGAGGCGGCATCGCAGCGCTGGCAGTAAACGTAGACGCACTCGGTGTCGACCCGCGTCTATACACCACCGGCGGGGGCGTCAACACCGGCTGTTGCTGCTGCTGTTGCTGCGGCTGCATCGGCGCCGCCAAGGACAGCGGGGGGTCCTCCTTATCAACCAGTGTCAGCCCATCCATCGACGGCCGCGCACTCTCACCCACCGACTTCCTCGCCGGGCCCACACCCCCATCACCGCCCCTCCTCTCCGGGCCAGGTAGCTTCTTCCTCTGCACGCCCCCCGCTGCCCCTGCCGCCGCATACGGCGGCGGCGGCGGCGACCCCCTCGGCGTCGGCGGGTTGATGCCAAACTCTATCGAGCTGCCATTCGAGCTATGCCTTCCATGCCCCGGGCCGGGGCGCTCCGGGAGCCGCGGTGCAAGCTCCTCGATGCGCTCGATTGCGACCTCGAGAAACTTGCGCACGCCCGATGACGCCTTGGCGTCGGCGACCATGTCGTCTGAGCGGATGAGGCTGGGCGCGATGCACACGGCGAGGTTCTTGGGGGTCATTTTGTTGATGGGCGCGTATTGGGAGACGAGGGCGAGGAGCGGGAGGAGGTGCTTTAGCAGCAGGGCGCGGCTGGCGGGCGGGAGGAGGTCCTTCTCGCTTTCGAGGAGGAGGTGCTTGACTTTTGTGAAGATGTGGTCGTCGCCGTCGCTGTCGTCGCCGGCGGTCGCGGGTGTGAAGGACATGAGCGTGTCGTAGCATTCCGCGGGGAATATGGGTTCGGGCAGAGAGCGGTAGTAGAGCTTTATGAGCGCGGCGTTTGTGTGTGGCCCCCACTCGTCCAGTTTGAGATACTGCTTTCGGTCCACTGCCTCGCGGAGGATGTCGAGGAGGGTCGAGTTGGGCGGGACGCGGAAGATGCCCTCGATGTGGAGGCATTTCGAGCGTATGTAGCGCGACGTGTCGATGAGGAATTGTGGGAGCGGCATGTTCTCGCCTATGCGGGGTGGGTTGGCGGCATTGTGGAAGGGCGGGGCGCCGAAGAGCGGCGGGGGCGGGGTGGGGATGGTGATTGTTTGGGAGAGTTTGCGGTCGTGGAAATAGACGACTGGGGGGATGTTGAGAGTGGTGATGTTGAGATGGTTTGCGAGGTCAGATAGGCTGTTCACTGTGTGATGAAGAGAAGAGGGGCACCTGTTAGCTCCAATTGCCCAAGGAGGTTTTGTCCAAGAGGGGAAAATCAATCAATGGGGCAGAGAGGGAGGGAGGGAATGCATACAGTGGACGACCTTCTTCCTGAACTTGACAGAAACCACGCCGGCCATCATCTCAAACAGAATACGGACCCAAGCCTTCTCATGGACAACCCACAGCCTGCGGATCCTCTTCCGCACCGCTCTTCCTAGCTGTAGCCATAGTTAGCCTCCAATTAAGCTGTAAATCATATATATAATAAATAAATATAAAAAAAAACCACAAACGAACCAAATTATAAGCCTGCAACGTCCACGCCCACGACGGCCTATTCCCCTGCGACACACTCGCCCCACCATTATTCGTGCCCCCCGTGCCGGGCATGCCGCCGCCGCCCGAGAAAAACACAACCGAGTAGCTGCCGCCGTGCTCCTCGGGGCCGAGCTCCTCATCGGACGGGATGATGCCCAACACGTACGGCAGCAGCTTGTTATAGTCGACCTGCCGCGCATCGGGGAAGCTCGCCGCGCACAGCACCAGCAGCGGGCCGCCCGACTCGTGGTCGTACCCGGACCGATACAGGATCCGCCCTGCGAGCGCCGCGAGCGCCGCGTCGTACGCGGGGTCGTCGGGGCCGGGGGCCCGCATTGCCATTGCGGACGTGGACGTGGACGTGGACGTGGACGCGGGCGCGGAGGACGACGACGTCGTCGAGTAGTCTGACACGGGGGATGTTGGCGCGGAGTTTGAGGAGGAGAAGCCGCGCGAGGAGGGGCGGGAGGGGAGCTTTGCGAGCTGCTCCTGGGCGAAGCTGCCGGCGGTCTGGAGCTTGTCTGGGAGGGTCTGCAGGCGCGCGGGGACGGACTGCAGTTTGTCGGGGATGTTGTGGAGCGTTTCTGTCACCTGGGGGAAGCGGTCGGGGAGGGCTTGGATCTGGGAGCGGAGCGTGGAGACGCGGGTGGGGACTGAGTCGCGGAAGCGGTTGAAGGATTGGCGGGCGGAGGAGGAGGTGGAGGTTGTGGGAGGGGGGGTGTAACGTTCGCCGTCTTGGGAGTAGCGAGGATCCATGGTGGTGGGTGTGGTGTGGTGTGGTGGGTGTGGTGTGGTGCGAGGGTGTAGTGCGAGGGCAACAGCTGCTGCTGCTGCTGCGTCTGCTGCTCGTGATTCAAAGTGGAATTGGATTAATCTATCTATGCGTGCGTGGTGTGTGTCTGACAGACAGAGTAATTGGCAGACGTGATAGACAGACAGACAGACAGACAGAATAGAAGAAGAAGGGTGTGTGTGCTCTGACAGACAGACAGACAGAATAGAAGAAGAAGAAGGGGGAGGTGTGTGTGTGTAAGGGTAAGGGTAAGCTCGAGAGAAACAAAACTGCCAAACGTCGTGCCAAGTTGCTGTGTGCTGTGCTGTGCTGTGCGCTGTGTGCTGTATCTAGCTTGTAGCTTTCTCTTGTCCCCCGTTGTTTGCTGTGCACGTGTTTTCAGGTACTGTGCTGGCTGCACCCCTGGGCCTTGAACGAGAAAGAGGCAGAGAGATCCATTGTATGTATGTATGCAGTCTAGGCGCTTCCATGGGAATGCCCTCCCCTCGTGTGGTGAGAGAGCATTGGCGCCGGTCGGTTATCGAGCTTTGATTCTGGTTCAATGACATGATTGGCGATTTTGAAGAAAGACTCGACCCCTGGCTCTCCCAATCCAATCTCTCAAAACCATCATCATAGATACATCTCTCTACCTCTACCTGCCTACCTAGCTACATAGCTCTCCAAGTAGCTATCTCCAGCTCCCCTCCACTCCCCTCTACCCCACCACACAGTACAGAGCAGGTAGGTAGGTAGGTAGGTAGGTAGGTACCTAGGAATAACTAAAAGAGATCGAGACAGAACAGGGAGTCATGTCCGCCCACAAACAAACAACAACCATCATTTCCCCCACAAGCAAGACATCCCAATTCGCAATCAGGGCGCAGCAGCTATCTAGCTACATGTAGCTCTCGGAGGTTGTCTTTCGTTTCGGCACCCCATTGTTTTTTTTTCGTAAATGAGGTACCTACCGAAACACCCCAATCCCAATCTTTTTTTTCTTTCTTTCGATCGTAGCGTGTGGTCTGTGGGAAGCGTTTGTTTGGTGGTCTAGTCAACGGGTACATAAATCAAACCTTCGGGCCTGGCATCAAAAGTGGAATCAAAACGGTGCGCCAAGCTCTCTCTCTCTCCAAATAAAGCTCTAAATAAAGCTCTAGATCCGTAGAGTAGATGTCATAACCAAAGGTCCTGCACTTTAATCTGGAATGACATGGAGCACCAGATACTGTATTTACGCTACTGTGGTACACATACACATATCTGGGGTACATGTTGGTACATGGCCAGCTGCATACATGTATCCAATCCAAAAACTCCAAAGCCCCAGAGCTCCAACAAAAAACCACCGCGGAGCCAGAAAGTCACCGCCGCATCTCAACTCTCTCCCTCCCCCACTCTCAGCCCCTCCACGGTCCATTTACGCCCCCTCCCCGCACAACTCCTCATAAGTATTCGGATCCCCCGTACACCTACACCACAACACCACCCATTAGCCACTCAGCCATCCCACCCGATCAGCGGGAATTAAAATAGAACTAGACCCCCCCCCCCCGGGACAAACTCACATAGTAACAATCCCCGGCGTGAAGCTCTCCTTCGCACAGACACACTCCCTCATCCTGCCCTCATCAACCTCCAGATCGTTCATCAGGTACGGCGTGCCCTTGAAGCAGTCACTCATTGCCGCCTCCATCGCCTTGCACTTTGGCGCCCTGCTCGGGGGGTCGTCCTGGATGCCGGGTACTATGAGCTGTGGACGGGCTGTGGCCGTTTGTACGAAGAGGAGGAGAAGGAGGGGGAGGAGGAGGAGGGCGGAAATGGAGGGGACTTTGGGGGCAGTGTGCATTTTGTAATATATTATTATTTCGTTTTTTTTTGCTGGTAGTAAAATAAATACTTTGCGATGGAATGGGGAATTTGTTAAAGGCAGAGATCAAATTTTTCAGGGAGAGAGAGGTCTTATCTATCTACGCGGGGGCCTTTTGACGCAATTCCGCGTTTGTAAATGTAGATGGATGACGACACTGCAGTCAGAAGCATTCCACTTTTGTCGGGATAACCCTAACCCACGATGCCTAATCCAGGCCGAATGCTTCACGAGAAGAGGAATATCCGAGTGACAAAGTGTGAAAGCCAGAAATATGTTTTCTCTACATCTATCGTCCCCCCTAATACTTACACACCCCCATTAATCTCCCCCCAAACCGCACTAATCACAATCCGTTGGGTCCCAATCTACACCAGCAGTCAGCCTCCCAATCACAACATATCACTCACCCCACTCCACCACTCCCACCCAATTCAAAGATCAAAAACTCACCAGTAACCAACCCCTCATCCAGCGCATCCATCCTCGCCACATCCTCCTCCTCAATCACAAACCCGTCCACGTCCGCATTCTCAATAATGCGCTCCCTCTTAGTGCTCTTCGGCAGCGTCACATATCCCTTCTGCAGGCTCCACCGCACCATCAGCTGCGCAGGCGTGCACCCGTACTTGCGCGCCAGCGCCTGAATCGTTGGGTTGCGGAAGCGCATCGCCCGCGCGAGCGGCGCGTAGGCTTGGATCTGGATGTTGTTTTGCTCGCAGAACTCCACCTGCAAGCAATGGGGTTTCAGAGAGGGAAAAGAGGGGGGGATGAAAGAGAAAAAAAGGGGGGGGGGGGACGTACGATTGCGGTTTGGGTGTTGAAGGGGTGCACTTCGACTTGGTTCACCATGGGCTTATCGTCCGGACAGTCCTCCAGAAGCTGCTGCAACTACACCCCCCACCATCACCACCACCACTCAGCATCCACCACCCACGCACCCACTCCTCCCCGGGGGACAAAAGAAAAACCTACATGCCTAATCCCAAAATTACTGACCCCCGCACTCCTGACCTTCCCCTCCCTCACACACTCCACCACAGCCCTCCAACACTCACTCCTCTTCTCCCTGCCGCCATACGGGCTATGCATTAAATACAAATCAATCCACCCAAGCCCACTCTTCCTCAACGACTCATCCACCGCACGCTTTGTGGCGGCAAACGACTCGTTGTTCTGCAGCTTCGTTGTGAAGAAGACGTCTTCGCGGGCGACGTCAGGATGGGTAGTAATGGCCGTGCCGACCTCGCGCTCGTTGTAGTACCAGGCGGCCGAGTCGATGGCGCGGTAGCCGGCGGTGAGGGCGTGCGTGACGGCGGCGGTGCAGGAGGTGCCGGAGGTCTGGTAGACGCCGAGGTGGATGCGCGGGATGGGGCGGTTGTTGGGGAGCTAGGGGGAAGGTGATGGTTAGGGCTGCTTTCTCTGGTATATGTGTGCGTGAGTAGGGTTAATGTGGAGGAGCGGACTAACGGTGATGGTGCTGGCAAGGGCGGGGGCGGTCATGGCTTTGAGGGTGCGGTGGAGCATGTGGTGGTGTGGATACGACAATGGGGGGGGGGGGGGCGGGCTGCGTTAGTGGTGCAGGTAATAATAAGCGCAGTAGGTACTCTATCGACCTGAGTGACCGGAGACCTTATCTGTATGAAGACATCTTGGAGGGCTTATCAGTATTTATATAGTAGGTACAGCTTTCTCCACCCTCAGGACTTGTCCGGCGAATGATATCATTAAACCCCACGCTTTTGCCAAGAAGACGGACATGGCCTACCTGCATTACTAATTACCAATCCCGTAAAAACTGGCGAAGTTTACTCTGGTACCAAATGAAACTAACCTTCTAGAGGAAATATCTGAGGTTGATCTCTCTACCCTTTCAGCCAATCATCAGTGGGAAAATCCCTGTAATCAAGTTGGCGAGTTTCTGCGGTAGGTAACTAATTCTCCGCGATCCAATCAGCTATTGCAACTAACTAGAGACATGCCTACAAGCCTTAAAGGTGGGATAAAGTGCATAATTTCTAGCAATGCAGGGTGGAGAGTGAAGTTACACGGTAGATGTTTTTAAGGGTTTGGGATCGATCGATCGAGCTGAGTAAAATAGACTATTTTCCGGCACTGCTTCTGGTGTTTTTGGAGTTCTCAATAGGCCGAGTGATAGGATGGTTTTGATTTTGATTCAAAAACCTCCGCCGGCCGTGGTAGATACATGTATGTACTGCAATATATCGGTCCCGCAGACTATTAGTACTTTCTAGCACTACATGTACATCTAGCCACACTAACCACAGCTGAAATTAGGAGGATTCTTACACTTTATTTAGAGCAAAGTACTACACACCGAACTTCGAGAAGAAAAGAAAAAAGAAAAAGGCATGGTGTATTTGTTGATCAGGTCGCGAGTTTATACGAGACGGAATAGAATCGAATTGTATGATTGAATTAAAGATGTAGCGAGAGGAGAAGCAACGAGAGAAGAAGTAACGAGAGAAGAAGGAACAGGCTCCTTTTATAACTAACAAAGTCGTGATAAACACGTTGCGAGCCCGACTCTCTATTGGGAGTGCAAGTGCCGGTGTGTCTAGGTTTAAATAACGTTATGCACAACGTAAACATTTATTTATACCCGCATGAGGTCCTGCCCGGAAAGTTGAGGCCTACAACGTTTTTTTTGGATTGTGAATTGGTGCGAGATATCCCTTAGTACCTGCATTAGATGCTGCCTCTTATTTCTCGCAGGCATGTTGCCTTGCAATTGGAGGTATTTTTACAACATTCAATATTCCAGTCTCATAGACTACAATAAGTATATATATGCTCAGAATCCCCTCAAGGAATTCACTCAACATATAGTAACCAATCATAAACACAGCACAGAACCGCAACCTTCTCATTCCAAATCAATTCATATTTCAATAGAGTATCTACCCTACTCCATCTATCTCTACCTTCTTCACCAACCCACCCCCCCAAATGCAATCCATCCACCCATCCATAGCCAATCCAATCCACGTGCCCAACCAGCAAAATAAATGAATAAAATAAAATAAAAAAAGACGAAAAAGGAGATAATAAAAAAGAAAATATCCTCCACCGGGGCGGGGCGGGGGCGGCTGTCCATGATATCTACACCCTTTACAAGCCAGCCCGCCACAAACAATCTACCAAAGCCATCATCATAAAAGAAGGACCTCTTTTCCCGGGACCTGCATGCGTCCTTGCGTCGTAATGACAAAGAAAAAAAAGAACAAGAAAAAGGGGGGAACATAACAGGAAGAGATATCGAGCTTCTCAAAACATCATGAGATGGATGGGGTCTGCTCCGGAACGAACAACCGTAACATATATCACCCGGCCAGGAAGGCCGGATGATAAGGCAGTATACTATACATACTGCTTAAGACTAAAGATTATATACAGCCCACAGGCCGCCACCCTGACTAACCCTGATAATAAGGAGTGGTAGAGTAGCAGTATCAGTCAACCAAGGATAGATGGGCAGAAAGGAAAAGAAATCAGCTTGGAGGACCGACTAATGGAAATCTCAACGAGGTTGGAATAAATAAACCTCAAGTAAAGGAGAGGGAAAAAACTAAAAAAAAAAAAAAAAACAGAAAACCACACAACATAACTCCAAAAGAAAATACCGCACCAATGACAAGGAAAAAAAAAACCCCCTCGCCATTTTTGCACTGTTCAGCTTTCCAGAAATAACCTGCTCGAAGAGAAAAAAACCCAAAAGTACACATAAAACGCCGTCAAAAAATAAAAGGAGATAGAAATAGAAGGTAAATCAAAGGGGAAAAGAAAGGAAAAAGAAACCAATAGACTATAAAACAAGAAGAAAATGTCAAGAATGTCCATTTAAAGCCACATTATGAGTGGCTCAATATAACGAGGGAAACATGTCCCGGAAGAAAAGAATAGAGAGGAAGCTTTTGAAAAAACAATAGCTAACTCCAGTAGAAATATACTGAAAAGTCCAACTGGGAGATCCCATGAATAATTATAGGTGTCGCTCTTAGTTCCCTGGCCTTAGCTAGGCGTTGTTGGCTGCGATGACTGTTGCTTGAAGGCATGTGCCCACGCGAACAAATCGATTCTTTGGGCGACTGAAGGTTGAGGTGGAGGTGGGGCCGGGGTAGATTCGGTAGCAATAGACCCTTGTCGTGATTCACGGGGTTCAAGAAGGAGCGAGCGCCTGTAGAGTTGCTGCACATCACTGGAGTTGGAGTTGTGAACTCTGGAAATTTGGGCATCGATCCAATCCTGCATTTCTGGGACCTCGGCAATGCGGTAAGGAATTTGAAACCTCTGAAGATCTGAAATTACTCGCGCAGTTTTAACATGCTTGTCAAAGTTGATGAGCTGTTTTGTGGAGCCGTCAATTGATACAGGCCTCTTTGAGGGGTTTCCAACATCGATGAAAGTAAGCTAGATAATGTTAGTGTGTGAGAACGAAGCTAGAAAGGATAGGTAAACCATACATCTGTCAAAAATGTTCCCAAAAAAGGCAAGCACGGAGGAACGTGATTACGTAGCCTGGCACGAAGAACAGCGTGGTTCTTCGACACATCAATTATTGATCTCAAATTCTCAAGTACCAACTTTGTCTTTTGAGAAACCAACTCCCACGTCTTCTTCAGCCGACTGATTGTTGACGCATTTAGTGTGCACATGATGGCCATGAGGGAATCATAGTTGTTCAACTCCAGACAACGGTCTGCAATCTTAATCCAGTGCTTGATAACCACAGCTCTGCGTTTTATATCCGAAACATCTAGAATGGTTTCCGCAACGAGATGGGCAAGATCGGTGGACAAAGAAGACATTGCCAACACATTAGGAGCCGTTGAGTTATTCTTTTTGGTCCACTCAAGCGCAACAAGCTCCTCTGGTTTGATAGAGCAAAACATTTTTGACTCCTTCACAGTGAATTGCCTTGCAAGTTCTAATGGGTCAAAATCTAGTATCGTGGGCTGTGTACCAAGACCGCTAAATCCATTTCGAAGAAGTTGGAGCTGATGCCTCGTGACGTTTGGTGTCGGGACAGGAGTCTCGGGGAGACTGTATTGAGCTTGGGCTGTAGCCTTTCCAATCCCAGATACTAGTCTGGGAACAAGAGGTCCGTCCGCCTTAGTAACCTTCTTTGCCAAATCTTCTAATCGCTTCCCTGCAGCAGGCAAAACCAATTTCAAGTCGTCAGAAGCAAAATTGTTGATAATATCCAACGCTGCATCATCAATACCATGCCTCCAGTGGGATTCCAACCACCCCTTGAAAACATTGTATACCCTGAGATGTACTGGTGATGCAAGACCAGTTCCTTCATCTGCCTCCTCGAAACGTTCTACCAAAGCAGCAGCAAAGTCTTGAGGAGTCGTAAATTGTCGGAATGTCAGATAGAACGTGGCGACGAAAACTGCGTCAGGCGTTGAATCATGAATTGTCAATCGCTCGACGAGCGACGGAAGAGTTCCGCCAATGATTTGGCCATCTTTGTTAAATGCCAAATCTTCCGAGTGACACCTCTCCATGGAGGACAAGCTCGCCACACTACTCTCAACAGACATCTGTCTTTCAATCATAGATAGCTCGGGATTGAGAAGTGGTGTCGCAATACTAGTAGATGAGGCAGGCTCTGGAGTTGTTGCACGAGTCGAGGTTTGCGATAACAGACTGAATTCAGAGCATCGCATGCTGCTTGAGCCGGTGCAGTCAGTAGCGGTGCATGAAGCAGCACCAATGCTATCAGCTCTCGCAGACTTTTGAGCGGCCTTCTCATCGGCTTCTCGTGTGTATTCACCCTGTGTCAACAAAGGAGTCAATTGAGGCAATGGAGGCAAGAGTGATGTGGTGGAAGATCGCCGGGATTCTGGCTTAACAGGTGGAGTTGCCTTAGTTTCTGGAACAATAGGAAAGGGATAGCCTTCTGCAGAGATAGTCTTATCGCTGTCAGTCGAAGTGGCCTCTGTCGGGAGTGTTGGAAGAGGCTTTTGATCATTAATATCCTCTTTTGTTGGAACTGGTGGAGGTATTTTCTCTGGCACAGTGGGTGGCGGAGGTATCGATTCCCGCTTAACCTCTGCCTTTACCGTTTGCGCAAGTCCAAATGAACCATTGAGTGCCGGAGACGCCGGAGCAGTCGATATCCCAAGTCCAGCTCCGAATGAACCCAAATCTAATTCAAAATCGCCTATCCTCTCAATAACAAACTTTGACTTTGCTACACATTCACCAGCTCCACGAACGCAGCCTGTTGCAGCATCCATCAACTTCTTTCCATTATCAGGTATAATGATTCCTTCTTCTTCATATTCTTCTATCCTTCCAGCTACAACTTCTTTGGCAGCCGATACCAATGCTGTCATGCGTCCGTACATGGCGTCTTTAGCTGACGCTAGAGCTGCTGCCTTTGTATCTCGCGCGTAGATTGCTTCAACAACTTCCAGAAGATCACGTGCTGCAGTAAGTGAATGTAGTTGATAACGTTGGAGTCCAGGCGTAAGTCGAGCTTCGCTGCATAGTCCACCCATATATGATCCAAGCCAGGACAGAAGGATGTCGTGGGTGGTGTTTAAACGAGCCAACGCATAGACAGGTTTTGACTGGCTACCAGTGCTGCGATCGCCTTGTGAGCATGGGCTTCCAGCGCGTGGCGTCTGTGAACAAGGCGTTGAAGGGAGAGGATGCGAATCTTGCCTCCCGCTGGTCACATCATGGGATGTCGATCTATTTTGCTGATCACGGGCCGACAATCGCGGCCTACCCTCATCGCTGTCGGTTCCAGGGTTTGTTTCCGAATTTGTGTGTAACGATCTACTCGCTAAATTGTGTGTGGTTGTATCTGCCGGTGGAGTAGGTGGAACAGCATCTTCTGTTTCTGCGTCGTCTTCTTCGTCAATCTCATTATCGAAACCAAATAGAGCAATCCAATTATCCAAGAATTTAACACCACGAAGAACAATCTTAAATGTTCGCAAGATTATTTCGTCCAACAAATCCTCCAGAGAGCCTTCGTTAAGGTGGTATTCAGAGTGCCCAGGTAATCGTTTGCCGGCCTTGATTAAGTGGGAGACTTCAGTCAATAGTACCTTTCGTGATTTGCGGATGATATTGCTATTTTTGACAGTTGTTGCTTCTCGTGTAAGACATTGAGTGCTCTCCTAAATGAAAGCTATTAGAATTGTTCGTTCAAATTCTTCTATATTGCATAATCTCTACAATGTTCACTTTGGAATAAATCGAAGCCTATTCGTGTTAAGCTTCGTAGCTTCTAGAAAGAACCTACCAGTAAATATCTAACTCCAGCCACAACATCCCCTACCAAACTTTGACTAAGTCTAGGACCTCCTGCATTTCCCGTCTTGAATTGATCAAATAAGTTCATACAGGCCTTTAGAGCCAATTGAATCTGGTCTAAATCGTACTCTTCACAGTAATTTGTTGGTAACCATCCCCGAGCCCCCGAACTTAGCATTGTTCCATCGGCCCAACCATTCGTGTGTATCGAATGAACTAATATTAAATCACCAGCGTTAAGTGGGAGTGTTACTGTTGAAGAGTCTGCTGAAAATGTTGGATGAAATGGGAAAAATGCTCTGACGAAAGGTTTAAATGCTGGAGTAGAAGTAGAGGAGCGTATGTTTGTTATTTTTGTTTCTGTTTCTGATGTAGTAAGAGAGTTTTGGGATGTACTAGGTGTTGGGGGTGGCGTCATCTGTTGATGTGATGATTGAGATTGAGTTCCTTGAGACTGATTTCTCGAGTGATGGCTTCGAGGGCGAGACTTTCGTGATGCATTGCTAGATGTCCTCTTAGGTTTTTGTATACGTAAAGGTGCCACATAAACACTTTCGTGTCCTGAATAACGGTTTTCTTCCATGGTCATTATTTTTCGTTTCGATGATGTTATAAATCGTTGCTGCTCATCCCAAATTGGATTGATGGCTAGTAATAAGTCCAATTGTAAATCCAAGCCAGGGACAAAATCCGTCACGCGTCGATGTATATGAGAGGTAACGTCGCTCAGCAAGTAACCTGGGCGCCGAAGAGTAAGTAACTTGCTATCAAGTACGAGCCCCTCAAAAAAAAAAGAAGAGAGAAAAAAAAAAAGGCCCAAAGCAGCGGGGATGCAGGAGACGAACCCTTTTACAAGCTCTTGATAACCAGTAAAAGACGGAAGCCGGTAACCGAATGGTGCTGTAGTGATAGCTGCCAGGCTCTCTACACATGCAGTGGGTAGAAAAGTAGCCGAATAGACACGGAAACCTGCAGTCCTCGCGGCCGTAACATACAACACTCCCCCAAATCCTCACGATTGTGAGTAGTTATCTCTTTCTCGTTTCTCTACTCCTCGAGAATGTAAATCAAGGGAATGGAAGAATGAATAGGAATGCTGTCACTGTCGGGAAAATCAGTGGAATGGGGTAGAAGACCTCCTGGATCTGAGGGACGAACTTTGCTATGTACTCGTATGCACGGGATATCAGAAAAGAGGAAGAAGACTCGGAAGAACTACCGATGATCTGAAAAGAACGGGGGCAGGTAGGCGATTAGATTAACAATAACGAGAACCGCTGGAAATCGATATAAACCCAAAACAAGAAGGGAAGCATAGAAGGGTTCGTCGAGGCTTGTGCGTTCAAGACTTCGAGAAAAGAAGTGGAGGCAAGGGCAAGAGTGATAAGATGAACGAATGAATGGAAGGACCTCGCCCACTTTTTCTCCCTCTATTCAATAATAAAACAGATTCGCGGGATGGCCAGAGCGGTGTCTACGCAAATCACCAAAGCCCAGGATGATATGGGGGATGGAGATGAGAGATGGAGATTCACGCATTATTGTATGGTAGAGTAACTCACCTCAATTGAAGGTAGCATCTTGGCTCTATCCTCAGAAGGGTTAGATATTTCCTCAAGGGGAGAAGTTGGTTGGAGATCCCTTGCCAGGTTTGGTCGAACTTCTCTGCTGCCCGTGCTGAGGTTGCTCGGAACTAACCTGTGAAGGCTTCATATCCAAATCTGTTCCTTTACCACCCGGTTACTCCACGCACCGACTCAAAGAAGAATCATCTCAAGTGAGTGTTCATGGGTTATTACTACCCCAGTGCCTGGCAGTAAGTTGACCAGGTACCTACGGTACCTAGTAGGAGTTGTTGTTGACCTCTCTATTTCGTGCCGGTAAATGAGCAAGGGGCGGCATGTGTGGGGGCGAGCTAAACTACATGCATCAGGAGCTTCATTGAGGGAACCTGAAGATCTCAGGGCGCTTGACTCGAACCTATCCAACAGGTGTTCGGCGAGTTGACACAGAGGAGAGAAGCCTTCCTCCACCATCATGCGATTCTGAAATAAGTAGACTACCAAGAGTTCAGACGGGTAACCAACGGCTCAAAAGACTCCTCTTTAACATGTCATTGGACCCTGATTTAGACCACGATTTGAAGCTGATACAATGGATTCCCGCGTGACGACGAGATGCTCTGTCTGTACCGCCTCTCTGATCTGATGGCGAGTGAGGTACCATGTAGGTGCTCTACATGTACTCTAGAGCATAATGGCTTACATCCTCCGACCGGAAACAGTAGTAGCATATGAAGTAAGTTAATATCACTCATGCATCCTGGGAGGAACTTCGGCGGCGAATGGTTATCTTGTATCGAGGTTTTAAGAAGAAAAAGCGCACCACATTTGTGAATGATGTTGGGCTTGATCCAACACAACTGTCCGAACTCGACAACACCCCTGCAGCTGTTGTTTCTTGGGGGGAGCTACAGCCAGCAGCTTACTGAAGCGAGTCCTGTTTAGTTTAAGCTTCTGTCGTTCCTTCACACCTTCCCTTTGTTTTTCCCTGCCTCTTTCCCTCCTCTTCGCTACGTCCCGGCTTATGGCGGCGGCGGCGAAGGTGGTTGTGGTTGTGGTGCAAGTCAGGTCACGTTTCTGAGACCCTTCACTTGTGGTTGCTCATCCCTTAACACTTATGCTTCGGCAACTTAGAGGCATCTCCACCTCCAACCTCACGCTAGGTAGTTAAAGCCAGAGTCTAATTCTGCACCGACGGAGATTAATCTAAAAGAATCCTTCAAAACATCTGTCTTGACTTGCCAAGATGCTACTGAATATAGCTGCTAAATGTTAGTAGAGCATACTTTACAGTAGCCCTGAAGAATTGTAATCGCCGATAATCTTTACCATGGGTGATTAGAGTAACAAGTGGACATAGAGCGTGTATGTACTCGGTAGTAGTATCTGTTAGGATCAACGTCGCCTCTCGTATCGAAAACTAAAAAAGCAAACCGAAATACTTTAATCTGACTTCCTACTCGCGGCGCCAGTAGCTCCGTGATCCCTTCTACATATGTTAGGTGCATACTCCCCGCTCATCTCCATCACAAGGTCGCCCTCCATCAACTGTTCTGCTCTTCTCATCGTCAACCTCATTACTGCCTCAAAGTCTAGAACCATATGCCATATGCAAACTTTTAGACAGTCCACATCGAGGCCAAGGCTAGTCTATCTCGCAAGCATAATCTCCTTTCAAGCCAACCTTCCCGCTGTCGCTCGAATTAGCAATACCCCTTTCATCTTTCCTTTTTCTTTTCCGGCGCTGGGACGGACCGAAAGGGTATTTCCGGCGAAGCTACCACTGGATAAAGATTGATTGATGTCTTGAACCAGCACCATAATACTGGGCCTACTAGTACACGCCTCATCTCTTGTCCAATGGGATCTCTCGGGGCGAACACCGGGTCTCACGACAACACTTTTTGCTAAACTTCCTTCCTACTTCGACCCCAGAGATATTCGAGGACGGTATAGTTCGTGGTGATCATAAGAATGAGAAAATGCTTTCTTAAGCAGATGAAATTACACATTCATGCAACGCTCTTCGTCGGGCCGAAAGAATCTCGCGCTGATAAGTTGGTAGAAGGTTTTTCGATAGCCACTGTTCCAGGAACCAGGATCGTATCATATCCAATCACCCATCGGACCGAACAGGAAAGGCTCGGTTCACTACGCACTGCGCTGCACACTGAAGGAATCGAGCGAGCAACAAAGGGGCTCGTTCGTCCTGCCCTGTCTGCTTACGTTTCCCGGAGCAAGGCCACCAAGATGGAAGGTGTGGGGATGCGAATCCAGAACTATTTTACCGTGACCGTTAGGGGCAGAATTTGTTTGACTTAGTGTGTTTCACGAGGAGAGAACTAATTAGCTAAGCTCAACGGTCTGGCGAGCCTTGATCTAGAGATGAAGACTTGACTGAAGAATTAAGGGCCTACCTATGACAGTGCAGAGACAAAGCATCATACCACTCCGAGAAACAAATCTTCGGCAATCGAATTGAACACCACAGACTGATTGACATCGGGGCCTTGAGCTTGATGAAGATCTGGTATATTGATGCAAATGAAAAGACACGACATCCAGGTGTCTATGTCGCACGCAAAAAACGTTCCGGACCCTGTGTGAGAAATATTGCGTGATTTTTTCAACGTCGACACGGGACAAAGGAAGAAATACGTAGGATCTACAATAATGATGCCTATGGAGCACATGGTTCCCTATGACGATTTGGAAGAAGTCTCATCTCTCTGGAGCTTCTCATATGTACACATGAGTGGTGGGCATCTCGTCCAAACTTCAAAGCTCCGAAACAAAGACTCGCACACGCTTTATCCACTGGTTCGTGAAGTTTCTCTGCTGTGAAGCATAGGTCGTCTGGTGACCCACCAGCCATTTGCAATTGTATGATCACAAATCGACCAACAGAATGTATGTTTCGCGCGTTAAAAACAGTAAACTCAATAAAACTACTGGTCAATTGGAAATCCACTGCTATTTTGTGCACGGTCTAGTAAATTCTATCATCAATTACTATCTCCACACTCTACAGATTCTATTGATAATTGATATCGGCTCCCTAAATTAGCTCTTCAGATCTTTATAGTCGCCGTTTACCTCGGTGGTGCGTTGAGCACCTTTTGGGCTCGAGATCCGCACTTGAGAAGTTAAGCTCCGGAATTTCCTGGGTAACATGAAACGGCACTAGCTACACGTTGGCCAGAGAAGAGAGAGCCCCAACTACATATCTTGGGCTCACTTTGACGAACATCGGTAGTATTTGGCGCGCACGTGTAAGGGTTACTACATGCACAATGTCATACTGAACTGAACTGATCAACAGTACATACAGATACTTCCCTTACTTCAGTGGTTATCCGTGTGCGCGATACTTGCAATGCTATAGGGCTACTTTCTTTTTATATCCCTACTATTTACTTGAAACTCGGCGCGCGCACTGGCAATTACCGTACATATAACGTCACTATAAAGTCCTTCTGGAAAAGGAGAAGAAGCGGATGCGGGCCCGTAATGAAGAATCCTAAACCGCCCTCGGCGAGTTAAAAATAGGGTAGGTTTGGGATAGATCTTGCGATATAATGTTGCGCGATAGTGGTGTGGTTTGGACATGAAATATCACTTGTTTGAAGAGCGCACGTGCGAATTTGACTTGTCGACCTGGTTTTCGAGGGGATAAGTCCTGCATTGCATATCTACTGTTCCTGGTACAGTCAACTGGAAAACACCTGCGGCCGAGCTGCATTTGGTTGAAAAGCACAAATTTGTGCAGGTATGTTTTCTGGCGTGCAAAGCTTGTCAAAAGATCTGGAATTGGCCGTCTCTGGAAGTTGCTGACAACCACACATCACATTCAGATTTTTTAGTTATTTCCACACCCAAATTCCATCAAATGTGGAGAAATACACACATACTATGCATGACGTAGGCCTGTGCTTCTACATCTTCCTTCGCTTGGGTAAAGGAACCCGTGGTGACCGAAGAGCTAATTGGATTGGAACCCACTACCACCGCTACCACCGCTACCCAGTAAATCCACCGCTTCCTTGCAAGGGAACATTGATTGTTAACGCACCCCAGGTTATAATCTTCTTTCGGTATATGTACTATCTAGGGCGAGTAGATAGGGTTGCATATATTAGCTCATGGATATTGGAGCGGCATCATATGCAGGTTGAGCCATGGGTCATGGATCCTACATAGAGTACATCACCACCCACGGTACCACTCGCTGCTCGTATTGATATAGTATTGCACTTTCAACAGTCCAAGAAAATATGCCTCTTGAACCCCATCCCTTACTTTGAGGCTCGGAAGTTCAAATTGAATATTCAATATCCTACATATGCTCGAGAAGCAAGGGCGGGCCGGGGAGGGGGAGGTGAAGGCGAGTGGGCCGTTTATTCGGCTCGGTACGGCTACAACAGGCCAATAAAAGCGCGAACTCGGTACGTACTGCGAATTTAGTTAAGCGGCGTTGCGAATACTCTACTGACTGGGCCGAGGCCAGCAGATTATGTGAGATGATAGATGATAGGCCAATATACCTGAGGAGACAAACAAACACAACAAACAATCTTCAAAAGAAGTTGCGGGGAGCGTCAGCACTTGAAATGACAGGTAACGGCCGCCCCTCCAATTGGCCAGAACATCCCTGACCCTGCCCTACTGCCCTGCTTATCCTTCCCCTGCCGCGCGGATGTGGCGCCATCAGCAATATTGCGGCTGAGGATGAGCATGACAGCTGATTTCTACATGTATCCCTCCCGGGGCCATCAGTAGTAACGTGCTGATGCTGCTATATATACACACTCGCTCTTACCAGACAAAATTATCTCAATTCTTGCCACTTGACGAGTAAACTAGCAGAGATACCTAGGTGGGGTGGGAGATAGATAAAGTCCTCCCGCGGCCGGCGGCCGAGCCCCTCATATGGGGGGAAATTGCGCTTTGTTAAATGGGGAATCTTTCGGGAAGGTTGGATTGGATGATGCGGTAAATGAGCTCTTGCACCAAAAACACACCGCGCGGGAAATCGGCAATACACTATACCGTATCGTGTTATTGAGGATTCGTATATAGTGGGAGGGAGTTACTGTATTGACGGTACGGTAACCTAATATCATGGGCAGATAGGTACATCTGGGGGGAAGGGGGGGATCGGTATGGTAGCTTTTCCGGAACGACGATGCAGTACCTAATGCATGCCGTGGATCGTACTGTGTTTACTTTAGCGGCGCACAATTCTCCGTAGCTTCGCTGCTGGCTGGGAAAGATGGAGAGGAGATTAGAGGTGTCCGGAATAACGGGTTTCGGGTTGAGTATCAGGTGAGTGGTAGATTTAGGTGGCTTGTGCGTAACTGTACGCGTGCGTGCACGTGTTGGTGGCATTTCGGTTCACAATTCAGGATATTGACACATACATGCGTCCAGACGTACGTGCGGTGGCAACCTGATCAGACCGAGACTTCATGAAGGGAAGTGGCAATGTTCTTTCGAAGCTTGGAGTTGGCTAATTGGGTAGTCTCATTTACAGCGCAGCGAGCCCAAGACGCTGGGTACGAGTCTTTAGTTGAGATATAGCTGTGATTTACCAAGTACCATATAGCGGGAACACCAGCATCAATGGTAACGTCTCGCACTGGATTTAGGTAGCGTAACACGGCGTTTTTGCTGGCGCGATCATTGCTCTTACCATGAGGATGCTGTACCTCGATATGTCTCATGTTCAAACTATTCGTACCCTGAACTGTGCAGCGTGGTCGGTGATGTCGACGGTAGAGCTAGAGGTACAGCTGCACGAAAGCAGTTACCCAGTCAGCTCATTCTATTCATCATATACATTCCTTGGACAGCCATTTTCTCGTACCCTACCTAGACTGTGCGTTTTCGGCGCTGGGGCTGCGACAGAAGGCTTGCGAAGGCCGGTGGCTAGCTCCGTCGCTTGAGTAGTCATTTCCCTAGAGTCCTCTCCCCTCAAGTAGCCATCTCGTAAGAGAAACCGAGAATACCTACAGGCAATCTTCTCTGCTACGTTTCACCTCTATGTATCCATGTAACCGTTTTAGCATGAAGAATACGGTACACATGCGGTGATGTGTACCGTCTGCACAGCCCATCACTCGGCCTCGCCACCCCTAACCCACTGCACCACACCTCACTTCCCATCTTACTCACTCTCACTCACCCGCCGTCTTACTCGCTCCCCCACAACATCACTCCGTTCACTGCCATACTCTAGAAAAGTTCATCCGATGGCTACGCACCACTACGTTTCATCTCGCGCCAGAATTTCTTTTTTTCTCTCCCAGTACGAGCACTTTCCCGATCTGAAAAGAGAAAAAAAAGCGCAGCGGAAGTAGCCGCACCATTGTAGAAATATGGGAGGAGTCCTATTGGCTTGCCCATCCACAGAAACCCTGTTTTTAGACCCCTGTTTCTACCTCTCGCTGTACTCTAGTGAAGAGATCACCACCATCTGCAGGGCGGATAGATCGACAGTGTAGGTAAGATGGGGAGAAAAAGCAAAGAGATGACAGCCAGTGACAGGTGGTGTGGTGCATGTGGGGGCCGTGGGCCGGTCGGTCGGTCCTATTGCAGTGTGCCTATGTTGGCGATTTGCTTTGTTCGGTGGTCGTCCGATCGGCCCTGTTAATATGAGTGCGTGCAACACAAAATCGGGGCGAAAGCTCTGTACAGTAATGGCACATGTGGGTGGTTGAAAAACTGAGTTTTTTGATATTGCACGCCGGGTGACTAATTTTCAGAGACACCGCGTATCACTCGCGGTCGCCTATCGTGAAATAAGTAGCTCAGGGTCTTTAAGATCGTCGCTGCGGGTTCAGAAGGGCGGCGCGCCATGAGCCGGATATCCGGCTTCTGGTATTGACGTTGATATCGCGCGACGGGCGTTTATTTTCGAATTTGAAAGACGTAATGAAGCCCGACATCAGTTATCACTCGGTATATTCGATGTGAATGCAGATGTGGGGGGGTTTTTTTTTTGTTTAATTCTGCAGATGTGGGGGCATTCTCATGAGTGGTATTGCATATGCATTAGCGTTGATAATATAAAATTATGAACCTCGCCTGGAACAGAATATTACAAGAGCCTTTTCTATATACTAACCTCCGGTAAGTTGGCTACATATAAGCATATTCCAATAACTTGATATGATATCGACCCGTGGAGGCTATCAGCACGCTGCACCATATCTTAGGCTTGTACCAGCACCGAGTATCACTCGATTCCGCCCAAGTAGTGATGGATACGAGACGAGACGAGACGAAACGTGACGAGACGAAACGTGACGAGACGAAACGTGACGAGACGAAACGTGACGAGACGAAACGTGACGAGACCCTCAACTCGTCTTGCAGTACCCCTCAGATCAAGCCCAGAAAACCTGAGACAAGGGAAAAGTCGTGGTAGTCTCGAGAATTTGTAAAAAGAATGTGATTCTTGATGGTTTTAATTTATGTTAGGATCGTTAAAGCAGATGCCCGAATTATTAATCTCAATGTAGAGATGATGCTGAAAATACATATATACCTGTGGTGAGGGTCAAAAGTGTCTCAAGACTCCTGGGTTTTGAATTATCTTATCTCGCTCACCGCTCAGACTCACCTTATCTTACTCCATATCTCGAGACAGCTTATCTCATTCCCATATCTATACCCAGTCTACTGCCGACATTGATGGAGCGCAGAGCTCGCTGAGTACGTAGGGATATCTGTTTGTAAACCTAGGATGGAGTATAGGATTTGGATACTTTTGACAGGCGGATGTGGATTAGTTGTGATATTGTTTGCACGCGCAATAAGTACATACATACATACGCGTATTTCTTTCGAGACCGCATATGTATGTATCCTGGACGCACCGCTGCAAACAATTAATGAATTATCAATCAATCAATGAATTATCCTGGATGCACCAGATATCACTCACTATCTGACATTGATTTAGAACCATGACTTGACTGGTTTATGGAATCCTGGATGTTCTGCGTGTGGTATCTAGAAGCTAAATCCGATCAAGAACTCGTGGGAGGGGAGGATAACTAAGAAACAAAATTCGAGAACTTAATTGTAGATATGTAGAGCTCATTAAAGTTTCAGCAAAGCAGGACCGGTGTTAGGAGACTCACAGGGTTTGTTGGGGGGCTTTTCTATGAACAAATTTGAGTATAATTAGGAGCGAGAGTTCAAGTTTATTTTGATTGTGTGAGTCTCGGACCCCTGGGTTTGAAATAGAAAGATGTCACGGTTAAATGAAGTATTTGATGAGACAGGTTGCTAGTTTCATAAGGCAGGTTATGAGGATACACGAGTCAGTCTGAACCGAGCTTTGGACTTCAATTGAGAGCGAACTTTCCCATTAGGTTGCCCACTCTGGTGGAAGTTTGGGTTAGAAAAAGATCGAGAAGTGAATTAAACGATTAATGGATATGGGAGGGTATTATATTAGCTAGATATAGAGCTACAGATTGAATGGGATAATATAGGGATATGGCGTGTTTGAACACGGTTTTGCCATCGTTTTAAAAGCCACACATTAAAAAACGTTGCTGGGGTGTGGCTTCTGAGTCTAGGAGGATATACATGGCCATAAAAGTGCCGCGCGATATCGAGCAGTTTATTCTATTATAATTAACCAATCAACAAAGTCTTCATAAAGTTTTCATAAAGTTTTCATTTACTTTGAAACTTCAATAACTATATCCAACAAGCGTGATCTGACTGAACCGAGTGATATTTCATGGTTTAGGTTGGTGTTCTACCGTGAATAGACTGGTGATATCGAAGAAAACATAGAATAAACCTCCGAAGTTTGTTGTTTATGGAAGGCTAGTTGGTCACAGTCAATATATCTCGTAGAGGTGAGTGTGTATAAGGAAATTATCCCCACCCCCCAGCTCCCCGCTAAAATCTGGTCCTATGATTATTTATGTTAACTGTTCTTCAAACTTGTTCTTCTAGTTTTCAGGGTCATCCGTACGTACACTGTAACTAGCACAAGCTCCGGATCCGGCGATTACAAGATCACGAGTCAAGGTTGAAATGAAAGCTTTGGCTCCACAGGCCTCCTTCACAACCCCGTAGAAGTGCATCATGTCTTGCGCCGGGTATGTGCCTCAAAGCAGCCCAAAGAATACTGGTCTTAACTCTTAAGGCCTTATCCTTACCACGGGCTCAAACATCGTATTTGAATAATCGAATAGTACCGAGGACCAAGAAGGATTGTTACCGGGGAGTAACATGTAATGATGGGCACAAGACAATTTTGTCTCAAGACTTAGGGCCAGACAAGGGGAAACCAAGGAGGTTCGTGAGACAAGACACCTCAATTGCAAGACGCAATTTTCAGATTTTCATTTTTTTCACTGCCGTGCTAATTAAAACATCATGCGAGGACCAAGGTCGAGATCTTCATCGGCCTAATCAGCCAACGCATCTTCTCCTCCTGGCAAAGCTCTCGATATCTATGAGACAGTGAATCCAGACCATTGCGAGACTTCTACGTGATGGTCTTGTGCTCCTCACTGTAATCCAAGGCGAGGGATTCGCCCCCACCGCAAAAGAGGGACGTAAGCCAGTCCTCCCGAGTACACAACTTTATCAGCCAGCTCAGCCCTCAATTGGTGGTAGCTGCATGAGCGTTGTGTGGGTATTACCTACTTACCTCTAGCTCCCAGGAGTAGAAAAGGTCTTGTCTTATGTCCTCCTCCACCAAGAGAGATCGATCTTAGGCACGGGGGCTGAGACGTAGATAGATCGTATGGTCTTCCCAAATTGAGATTTAGGTAGGGCTATGCAGTTGGCAGCACTGGCAATGATTAGTATGGTCCACGCCTGTATGTATAGGGTTAGGGTTGTGACGTGAAAGTAGAATATTCTGCCAGAACGCAACGCAACAACCAGCAAAAAGGAAATCTGACAAGCATCAATTTCTACACAACCACTAGATATGAGAAACAAGTAGAAATAGGTAGGTAGACTATGTCAAAGGCAAAGATTCTCATGGTTCTGTCGGGGTGGGGTGTTTGGGAGCATTCGCTTAATTTTTTTCTAGTATCTTAAAACAGTAGGTTTCAACCAACTTGGTGTAGAGACTCCTACTGGCTAAAGGAACTTCTGAGAAATATAATATACACCCTTTAGAACATTCTGCATCAGTAGGGGAAGCTTTTGGGTAGATTGGTTGGCTGATTTGGAATTGTTAGGTCCGAGCCCATAAGTCATATATTATCACTAAAACCAAAAAACAATCTGCGGGTAAGCATATACGTATCCTGAATCCTTACTCGATCAATGTTGCACGCTCTCATGCGGGAAGGGCAAATTCGAATGAAAGATTGGCTAGAGATTGATTCAGACGGAATAATTGATAAAGATTTGTTACTAGCGTCAGCCACTACCTTGGCCTACATAGGGGGGTGCAACGTTTATTGACAGACGAGGTTAGAGAAATCCGATTACCTATTCTTCAAGCTGTCATCCAAAATACTAACCTTTTTCGTGAGGCCGATCAAAATTGTGGCTTTTTCTTGATGTTTTGAATCTGAGTCAACGTACCTCCTCCACCAACCGCCCCTGTGGCTTTAATTACGCCCCCCACAAAGAAAAAGAAAAAAAGAAAAAGGGACAGCCTATGATCAAAGTTTTAACACAGCTTGGCACCAGGTATTGGTGCATTCCGATCATTCACCCATTTTCAATATTACATCCCTCTATCTTAGATCCTGTTAATATCATCATGCGAAAAAAGAAAAAAAAAACATTGATTACAAGTGGTGGATATGTACATGTAATTACATGTAGACAAAAAGGCCGAAGAGCAATTTTAACTTACGAACTACTACTTGAGTTAGGTGACATAATGCATCAGATAAATCCATAATTATCTCATACCTATATCTGGCTAGTACCTTCAAGTTCCCTATCGATATATCGGGATTTAGTATTTTTTTTAAATCATAGTTTTATTGCTTTCTGGGTACAAGAATATCGCATGCAGCTAACGCTATGGCGTGTATCGGGATTTAGTTATGCGCTGTAAAGATATATACCGGCTGCGTTTGGCGTATTTTCCATCCATATAGTTTAAATTGATCGTACTGTCACCCTTCTCTCAGTGTTCCTTGGAGATACATGCATCTTCATCAGCGATCAGCAGGGGATGGCTGTCCGGTTACCTCTTACTGCAAAGTGAGAGGTTACGGGTTCGAATCGCGTGTCCCTCACCCCCGCTACCCATCTTGCCGGTGGGGCTGGGTTTTGGAAGTTTTCCTCGGTCACTTACTCAAACGAGGACAGAGGTAGCCCCTTGAACGTTGCCATAGCCTCACGGTTGCATGCGGGTATAAGAGATTATCATTATTATTACCGGGGATCAGCGGTTGTGCCGAGTGAGAGCTGATGATCCACCGTTCGCCGCCTAAGTGACCAATATTATAAGCTCATAATCAGTTAAATACCACAGCCGGTTTAATCCTATAGCTCATTTATTATAACAACAGTGTATATGTAGGACTGCAAGAGGAAGGCTAGATATCTAATAAGGAGAGGATTATATAGATTTTTACTTTCAATCATTGGTGTGCAGCGGTACGTTTCTTTAGCATCCACGTGCCCACCACCACTACTACCACTACCAAGGCTACATGTAAATTTAGCCAAGTGACTAGATTAGTACTAAACCGATCCAGTACTAGTAGGCTTAATTATTCTCAATTACATGTAGTAACAAATAGTAGGCCTACTAATAAACATGCACACACAAGGCGAATATCAGGAATGCTATGTTATTTTTCCAGACTCCCAACCAAAAAATACAAGTAACAAAAGAAAGAATAACTCAAAGGTAACTACTTAATTATAACCAACAAAAAAAGCTACCAAATAAAACTAAATAAATCCAATAAAGGTCATCGGTACCCCCGCCATTTACTTACAATTCCAAATCCAGCTGTGAAGGAAAGGAAGGAAAAAAGAACAATGAAACCTAAACAATAAGAGATAACAATAATATCACATAAGACCCAGCACTGTAAAAACGAGAAACAAAAAAGAAAAAGCCAAACCATGGTACTACAAAGGAAACAACTAAGAATAAAAAAAGTAAACAAAATCCTCAGCTTCCCAGTTGCAACTGCAAGCTCGGGCAAACGCAGCCAAACCAAACACCAAAAAAGCCCGCAACCACACAACCACACAATACCCTGCCGCCTTATTGCTCATCCTGCATATCTCCCGCCGGCGCCCTCGCACCAAGCATCCAATCCTCCATCGCCAACCACCTACTCCAGAGACTCTCTGCGCCCTCAATCTCCGCATTCTCCACCGCACTCAGAGGGATCAGATACGGCACGGCCTCATCGATGACCTCATCGTACTGCTTCTTCACGCTCTTCCACCCGCCGCTCTTTG